TAAAGATACATGACTCGATATGTCGATCGCTATCAAACCCAAAGGGTTTCCCTCACATTGCTGTCAAATAGTGATGACGATGTGGCTGCGAAGGCATATAATGTGAGCAAAGTAAGCCCTTGGACAAATTACGAAGCGTAGTCTGGTCTAGCCAGATTTGCGTGTCCAAAGCGTTGGGGAATGGCTGCAGAGGTATGCCAGGGCTCTCCAAAACTGGGATACCTGATCGGCAGGGCGGAAAGGACACTCGATTAGCTCGCATAGTTCTGCCTACATCTAAAACAAGGGAGGCCATCGGGGATCGGACTGCAGGTCTTCAGAGGTCTGACTCAAGATCAAACCTCTGAAAGGTATGTGTCGCACTGTTTTCTTTGATACCCTGAGTCGGTGTAGGGTGTACGTGAGCTATCAAAGAGAGGGACGAATCTGAAGGTCTAGAGGGCCGGTGGTGTTGAGTTGAAACAGCAGGGAAGCCATCTATGGTTGGCTCCAGGGATAGAGAGAGTATAGCCACCCTGATCCAGGGCTATGTTGGTTGAAGGAGCAATCCTTTCATATCCCGGAAAATGAAAATATCCCGATCCAACCATGGGAATTAAACTACTGTCCTACTCGGCCTAGCCCAGCAGGCAGAGGTAAGATTGAAAATGATCGTCACGGAAGTGCGAGTCGTGCTTCCGGCTGTACTACAAGGCCCGGAACATGCTATATCACGGTTTAAGCCAATCCCACGAGCCAGGTACGCGAAGACAGAAGCCCCGGGCTGCCCCTTGAATAAAATCACATGCACATGGCCCTTCGTCGATCAACCGGGGGAATGGCGGTGCCAAAAGCCCAGAACCAATTTATGGTTAGCAAAAACGGCTGATGACGACAGGCTTTCCCCGATCGCAGTCAGCTCGTTGCTCATTGGCATAAAGCACCCAAGATTGACTTCAAGGTCAACCAAGATGTACTAAGATCAACGGCTCACCTGATTCTCGTGGGTCTAGAAACTATGTCCAGATTTCCCATCCGGTTTCCCCGGACAAACATCCCTTGCGTAAACAAATCCGCGACCTTTGGGATCCGGGTCTTTTTGTGAGAGGCTCTATCGTGCAGTACAAACTCCCCCTTGTTTGCAACCCTTCCAACTGTTTTGATGTGCTAGCGCACATGGGCACTCGAACGGGGGACTCGGGCCGTAGGGCGGCTACATTCCGGAATGTGATTTGCCGTCGCTACTCGATGTGATACAAAAGATAGCTTCGCGGGCACTGCTATCACCCTGTGGTCGTTGACATCAGGGATCAACGTTATGTCCAAATAGGAGGCATTAGGTGGCGGCGGTGTTGCCGCCTTGAACTCTGCTCCATCACACCCGTTAATCGAAGTGTGGTTGGTTATCGAGGCTACCAATTATGAGCTTCGGGACTTGTTGAATTTGACAGGTGGTCGTTCTGATTATTGATTTGCTAGGGCAACCCTATGAGTAATTTAGCAGCTCCGGTGAGCGTTATGCCACCTCGCCATCGTCTTGCGCGGAATCTAGATCAACATTTGAAAGTAAGGGTGTGTAATATATTCTACCCACCCAGCGAATGTATATGCTAGATATGGGTAGACTCCCAACCTCCATGATCGACACATATTAATGAATGGCGTCGATCAAATATATACAGACAATGCATGTCAAGGTGCATATGTGAAACTTGTGGACGCGACTGGCAATGCCCCTGAAATATGAATTCTGGGGAATATCAAATTTGTCGGCACCTGATATGGCCCCAGTCCACATTAGGCCCCGGTAAGTGCCATCACCAAATTTACCGGGTCAACGGCCACCTCTTCATCCTTCTCAGGCTCTTCAGTACATGATCTGAATATTAAAAACAAAAACCCCAGAACGGACACCGGTACGTCACCATCACAAGCCCGCGACCCATGAGATCATGTGACATAGCCGCGTGACCTCGCCACAGTTCGGCTCTCCACTCACGGTGACTTTGCTTCCGTACTCAACTCCGGTGCAGTCCCTGGTACCACGTCCTTCGAACGGTACATGGGGTACGTGACTCGAGATCCCCAGCGCGGCGAATTCTCATAGTCAGGTGTCCCTGAAACCATCTTCTGATCCACGCCTCGGCCTATGCACTGCCGACGGCAGTTGGGGGCGGCTCTGTCTGCAATGCCTCATACATTCTACGTATGACTCGAGATTGACGTGGATCGCCTCGGCATTCAAAGTTTCCCTTCCCGTAGAGCCTCGGCATCTAACTTTGATAGAAGCCGTTGATATTGCAGATGAGCGTGACCATTATTCTGACCCTCGTAGTCTCTGACCACAGTACCTGGACCGCCCCCGGCTCAAGATGTTTGATGCGCCCTGGGGCATTATTGGCAGCCTTCGGGGCTACCGAGTAGATCCTTGCCCTGATTTAACGTCGAGTTCTCTGCGGATTCAGATTGCCACCTTAGTACCACCTGAAAAGAGGCCGTGAGACGACCAATGTTGGGTTGATGGAGCCGCCATTCTGAGGTCCTCACCGTGTCAGTGGCCATGATGATCTGACGAGATCATCGATGCGGGGGTGCCAGAGAAAGGCAACTGGGGGGTCCTGGGTCAGCAGAGACAAAAGCTCAGGGCTGCACGAGTAGGAAATGCTTTGCATGCTGTAGGTGATAGTTTCGAGTCGTGTCATACATCAGACAGGTAAAGGTCTACTACAGCGCGAATTGTTTCGGACGAATCAGGAGATATTGATCAGGATCGGTGCACAATACAAATATACTTCAAGTCAAGATAGTCTCGGTCATAGCCTTGGGACATGCCTTTTTCCGTCTCGACCATTTGACCCGTGGAGAGGCCAATGTCAATACGTACTATCAAGCGACCAGACAAAACAACGTGTCGGCAGTGGAGTGGAGACGGATGAAGAAAGGACTTGTTCCCCGCAATCTCGGACAACTCAACCATTGGAACCCAGATGATCAACAAAGAGAACAGGGAAGCAGATGATACAGAGGCAGCCAGTTATCACATGATGGATGAAACGTGCGTCTTGTGCAACAGTAGCTAATCCTAGGTCGATCGCTCATTCCCAATCCCTCGGGACTAGCGAGGAGTTCGAATCTTTCCGCCAGTCCGGACCGGAGGCAAGGGAGAGCCTGAAGAGCCACGTCTCGGGGCCCCGTGAGCAGTCCGCGCCCCATTTGGGTCTTCCTGATTCTAACCGTACATCCTGATGAGCCCCTCTCTCCAAAATGATTGCCCCCTTTGCCAGCTGGCAGACTCGTGACTACGACTGTGACACTCTGCTTGAATCGTGTCCTGTTAGATGTCAATTCAAGCCAGCATGTAGCCAGGATGTGGCATCTCGGAAGATAAGGACGAAAAGGGCGGTAAGGGATTGGGAAGTGTCCTTGTCTATCCCACCTGATGCCTGTTTGGAAGGAAATTCTAAAAAATCCTAAATGCAGAGGGGAATCGGTCAGACAGCGATTGAAGCTGCATAGGGATCGGAACTGTTTCGTTTCATTCCTTTTTTATTTATTTTTCACTCGTGAACAGATAGCCAGGTGAGGGTGAGGGCAAGATTGACGGAAGCCCCGTCGCGTTCCCCGGCATGCGGCCTGGGAATCAATCGTTTATCCCTTTCTGGCGGTCGCTGCTCGCGGCGAGGTATTCCCCAGATTTTACCTTTATCTTACTCCAGACTCAAACTTCAACTAAGGACCGATGCGGACAGCATCGGTTATAGAAGTCGGCTTTTTAGCTCCTCCTTAGTCCAAAACAAGCCGGCCCCAACACCAAACGTGGCTCACGGGGAAGATCTGGCGCGGATGCGGTGTACCCCATACTTCTCGTCCGTGACGGAAATAGCTCAACATTCGAGATCTCAGGTAAGCAAGTCAGCCGGACTGCGAGCCTATTAGGCGGCCAATGGTTGGCGGTGCGACAGTTCATCAGTCAGTAGGCTCTTTTGTAGATTACCTGTGGCGAAGGCCTCACTTGTATTTTTCCAGGTGGCGTTTGAGTCCCGGTCTAGTTGATGTGGCTATCAGGAGGATGTCAAACCGTGCTCCTTGATTTCCCTTTCAGGTCCTCCTTTTTCTTTTCCTTTTACAGGTCACCAGTGCTACAATCTTCAGAACTGAGCAGTGTAGACCAAGTCCGGAAACAGACCGGTACAAGAGCATAGATACCACGTACCGCGGATCTTGATTTACAAAAATACACGCCGAGTACCGGGGAACGTCCGGTTCCCACATGTACGGCGCGGGTACCGTGGGTGTATCCAATGGCCCCGTGATGCGTCCGAATTTTCTTCACCGACCCTCGCCTCGGCCTTTTATTTGATTTTATTTTATTTATTTATTTCTGTATTGTAATGATACGTACCGAATTCCTTTTTTTTTTTTTCTTCTTTCTTCTTTTTTCTTATCCTTTTTTCCTTTTTTATAATTACTTTCCCCCTCTCTTTTCCACTCCACTCCACCCGCCGCCCCCGTCATTCTTATTATCGTTCCGACTTGCACTTCCCCAACTCCTTCTTCTCCCTCTCACACTCTCACCCTTCTCATCACCCCGACCCCAGGAATCGCTTCAATCCCTATCCCAAACGCACTTCTTTCGGATATCTCACCAAATCTATTATCTCCGCATCCGATTTCGGTGGCGCCCTGGCGGAGATTTAACGAATTCTCAAACCGAAGCCGGCTTCTCTCGTTTTTCGGTCTTCTCGCCCTCGCCTCAATCGCTACCAGCTGAATCCCCTGCAAAAGCAATCGATTACAACTGAGCTACTCTATTTCGGATTGATCGACTCTCTGCATAACACTGCAGGACCCATACTCAAATTTTCAAGGACCTTCTCTCACTTTGCAGATTCCTTGAGAACTTTCTCCTTCGTTTCAACCGCCGTACGACCACTCTCGGGGAAGACGGCGACCCCGGAACACCACTACTTTTCAGTTTGATCAGCACCGACGACTACAAAAGTAGTTGTGGCGCCGCTATCATGCCTTTGACAACACCGGTTTTGACGGTGGACGCAGACAATATCCACAAGGTGGATACTGCAAATGCACAGAGTCTTCATGGCATGTGGATGGGTACGTTTAAATTCACTGTGTTCTTTGAAAAAAAAGGATCCCCGGCCTAATTCGATTTGCAGTATTCTCGAAATGTGCCGACTATATGGACCAGGGCCGTCGGCTCGAGAACTTGAGCTGGCGTCTGTGGACCCGCGAGACATTCTGCGTTGAGCCTGGGAAGTCGAACATGGCTTCTGTCCTTCCCAAATTGCGCTCCGAGGCCGGTGATCTGCCGGAGCTCTCCGCCAGTGTTGAATCGGCCGCGTCCGACCAAGCCGAACGCATCGAAGCTCACATTAAGCGTCCCAAGTTCTCAGATTACCGACCAGCCGTGGTCCGTGAGGACTCCCTGGCTAGCCTGGGCCGTGGAAAGGAGAAGCACATCACCTCACTGGACCTCGAGCGTATGGTCCTTAACATCAAAGAGAAGAAGAACCTAGAGCCTTTGGCTCCTATGGTCGAGCCCACTGCTCCCGTTGTCGACATCACTCCCCGCCCATCTACTCCTACTCCTACTCCTATCTCCGTTTCGACTGTTTCGACTGCCACGACTGCCAGGCAGGTCCCTGCCTTCCCTCGCCCGGTGTGCCACCCCCATGAATCGACCGAATCCTGCTCGACCACTGCCCCCGAAGGGAACGATAGCGACTCCGCCCAGATTAACGCGTCCGACACTAGTGTCTCCTCTTCTGGGGTTCTTCCTTCTCGACCGGAACTGATCAAGTCGCCCAGTGTCGTTCGTGGGTTCTCGCCCTCCCTAATCTCCTCTTCCTTCCGGTCGCAACCCAGACTGGCCGCTGAGCCGAGCCCCTCCCACGAAACTCCTCAATTGAAATCCTCCCCTCTTAAAAAGAAGGGAGGCATGTTTACACTAGGTGGATCTTCTGGGGATGATGACGAGAGCTCCTTTGAAGAACGCATAAACGCGAAGGTGCCCCAGGATATTACCACTGGCGGTGGATCTCTGAGGCCAAATGGCAGCAACCCAAGCTCTTCCAAGAAGGTCGCCTCTTTCAGCGACCATGTTCAGACCATTCGACCTCCCAAAAGCCCCCTCATCGCCGACGAGGACGCCATCGAGACTGATGACGAGGTCTCCGAGAGCGCCATTGAAGACGACGAAGATTCTGATTGGGAGGACTCGGTGACGGAGAGCGGCAAATCAAGCGTTGACGAGCGACCGGAGATGTTCCAGCGGGTTGATTCCCGACCCAACTTGGTGTCGCGGCGATCCCTTCTCACCATGATGATGCACCAACCGACTAAGATGAATGGGAATGCATTCCGGTCCAGTCCTGCGCTGCAACGGTCTCGTTTGACATCACCTAACGGACCCTCCATTCCTGCTTCGCCTTCTGAGAAAGGAGAGGACGAGAACCTCACCATGCGTGGCCCCGGCGTTCCTCGATCAAACCCCATTACCATGAAGTCGCCTCCATCCCAGTCGGTGGCCCATTCGCCGCGTACCACCCGACGCAACATGCTTGCGACCGAGTTGACCGAGTCTCTTCGCCGACACCTCCTTTGGGAACGCCAGCAGAAGAGCGCCACCGCGAATGCTTTCTTGAAGCGACGCCACACTGCCCACGATATGAAAAACCTCCAGGAGTATCCCAAGGGACCGCACCGAGCTCCGGGGGCGGGTCCCTCTGGGCCCTCCGGGTCAGGAGACGCAAATGCCGGCAGCCAGGCTCGGGATAAAGATCTCTCCAAGAACGGCTCATGGACCAACTACGCCACGGACTACGGTCCTTGGGAGTACCACGTTAAGGGATGGTAAACAGCGATCTCCCACTTTCTTCTTGATGTCTCGCGACAGCGATTCAATTCTCTATCTTTTCGACACGCAACGATTACGATCATACCATGCATTGCATCCAGGCGCAACTGAGGATTTGATTTGATTTGGGTTTAAATCGGCTCCGGGGGGGTTCTCAGGATGTTTTCCCGACACAGCATTCACTGGGCGTTGGCCTTGAATCTTTCTGGACCACCTAGGGGTCTCTCTATCCCTTACGACCTTAATAATCATGTACAGCTTCAATATCCCAACCTCTTTCCCTTAATTTTTGTCTTTTTCCAAACTTTCGGGTCGTCAAATGTTTGATGAAAACACGGAATTAATCCATATTCTCCAAGAGATTCTCCTCACTGGTTTCGTTTTCATGACCGCGAATTTTTCACACAAAAAAAACCCCCATCATCAGCGCTACTTGCCACTGCCCGTCTACTTGGATCGCAGAAAACGTGCTAGCATTTTATCAACCTGTTCTTTTATTTTTGCTTTCGATACCAGATACCATGGCATATCCTGTCCTGTTTGAACGCCCTCGGGCGCTTGCTCCTGTACGCTACGCTACACACGCTTCGAGCGGAAAAATAAGAAATAGTCAAAAAACTTGGAAACCAACGTCTCAAACATAAAGCTTTCCATGCACCTCGTATCATCTCCTATGTAGAAGTAGATCAACCCTGTCTCGATGGCTGGCGCCATGCAGTGGTGAATTGGCGGTCTGGATGCGTAGAAGGAGGGGAAAGGGCTATAGCTCTTCTGCAGAACATATCTACCTTAGCACGGGCGTTCTAGAGGTCCGTAAAAGGTTTTTTCGAGGCGCGCATCCCTGCGATACCCACACCAGATAAGTATCATGTGGAAATCCAGGCGGTTGGGGGGCTTTTGGTGGCGCTGACACGTCAGAAGGGGGGTGGTACGTGAATGTATGGTAGATGGTAGTTCCTTGATGGCTTCTAGGTTACATGCGAGAGTCTCTTCTACACATCGAGGCCGAGGTGTGTGGAGGGGGAAAACACCCCATTCAATCCCGCGGTAATGGATCGCGGGTCATGTGTTTACTAGCTAGGGTGGATTTGGAGATATGATAAAGACTTGTGTATATTTATTTTTGAGTAAAGTGTTACGCCCTATCAATCTAAGGACCGCTCTGTGAAAGGACGAAAAGTACCACCTGCCTAGGTGGGTATTGAGCAGCGCGCCCGGTCCCAACAGCATGGATATTGAAGATCTTCCAGGGCGGAGGGGGTGTCAGGTGGTCGAAAAAAAAGAATCAAGAGGAACAGGGGGCGCGCGGGTTTGAGAAAAACAAAAGTACGAGAGGAATCGAGATTGAACCGATTTTCAGATCCAGATCCAGGCCCGAGGAGGTCGCGTCCGCACTGTTCGCTTCACATGCCGTCCATGACATGGTGCTTTACCTTAGCTCTGCGCCCAAGCTCCCGGGGCTCGGGCGGATGGTGGTGGTGGTGGTGGTGGCTCCACTGCGACTCGACGAGATAAGCGCTCAGTCCTTGGATGCTTGGGTAGAGTCTGCGTTACGGCTCCATATTATAGGGGTTGTCTAGGTACATATGCTGTAGGACTGTAGAACCTTAGCCAACGGGGTCGCCGTGAGAGACACGGTCTAGACTCCCCGGGATTGAGGGAGTGAAGCCCCGGTTAGCCTCATCATGACAGTATGCATGTTTTTATCATGATGGAAATTTGAGATGGTTAGAGTTTAGGCATAGCCTCCGCTTGAGACAGATCGATGATACTAGTTCATCAGACTAGGGACTATGAGACTCGGGAATAAAGACTCGGCTGGAGACCTACGAATAAATGAGATTGATGTCATATGATGGTCATGTGGATGAGGGCACATGACACGAAAAGTGATCCATCGCCTATGAAGAAGATTGATCTCTGTCGTATTATTCCAGCCTATTTAGGTTCCAATGAACCAGAACATGCCCTAAATCAATCCTCCCCGGAGCCGAAGAATACCAAAGGGGGTTTCCCTTTTTGGGCTCGACTCGCCCAAAGTGGAATCCATGGTACAACCCCACGTCTTGCCCTCCTAAAACGCCCGACTGCCTCATACCTTTTCACCAGAAGGAAGTCTATGACTGGCCATTTCCCCGACTGTACCCGGCTCCTCGTGGGGCTCAAGGAAAAGCTTTCGCGACTGGAGAATTCAGATCCAGGGCACTTGCAGACTCGAACATGGGTGATTCGCTCAAGTGAGAAAGGAGGCTTGACAATCGAAGCGAGCAGTTGATTGCATATTCCCCGTGACGCGGTCAAGTGACTGTGGCAGCGCCTTAATATATTTACCGGTCTCCGGCACTCTCGGCCCCCGAGCCCAGTCACCTCCAGACTCCTCAATTTTCCTAGCCGTTTCGAGATAACTTGCCCCGGCTCGACATGTTGTGGTGTTCGATCTCAGCTGAGCGATTCAAAGATGGTGGAGATCACGGTGGGTCAAATACCAAACCAGGGACGTCAGTGATTCGTGTAAAGACTTTAGAATGATTAATTTTGACTGGTCCGTCTCACCGGTACTGACATTTTTTTTTTCATAACTGGATATCTTCCTAGCGCTCTACGGAGTACTCCTTCTGGAGTGGTGTGGCAGCCCCCACGCCACGGATTGAGGATGTTCCAAGTGACGAATACGAATGACGGGGCTCTCAGAAAGTGGGCTTTGAAACGCCGTAAGGCTGGTTTCCTGTTGGTTGGGATGATCGAATGGGGCCCTGTGAAGATTCGGCATGCCGATGCAGAGATCAAGGTATCTTGATGCCGGGCTCCTGTGCATTCGCTTTTGCAGCAATTCAGCAGCTCAGCAATATAAACGAATGCTTGGACTGACCTGCAGTCTCCTGGAAACACACATCAAGACCTGTCACTCTATCTGTCCATTTTCGCTTGCATTTCTCTGTTACGCTGCGAGGTGTTTTGTCTGGATGTGGAACCCATCTATCTTGATCGGCCAACCAGGGCCATTTCGCCTTCCAATTCAGGTCTATCAGCTCTAGACTCAATCCAAGCTCAGACCTGTTCACGTACATACGCTCGGAGGAACCTCGCGGAAACCCCTGTACTCCGTACAGTACGCTATGCCTTGGTTCTTCAAGACAATATCTTCATCGGTGAGATTATCGGTCGCAATATATCCAACTCGACGTCATAACGGTGAGCCAAAGCAATACCAATGTGCCATGGACCACCATGGTCCAAGCACCAACGTGTCTATACACACAGCTCTACTCCTTTCTCCCTGAGGAACTCAATCCCGGCCTCTCCGGAACCCTGAGTGTCTGCAATGCCGAAAGCTCATACCCAACTCGGCAGGCACTAACGGCCCAATCCCGAAACCCACCAACACCGTACGCTAGATGAAAAAAAGAATCGCGTTCTAAGTCTTCTTCATAATGGCTTCGAGTAGAGTAGAAGGTGAATTACAAAGTACATGATTGGTTCCGCTTCATCTCTCCTCCGTGGGTCTCGTCTCACGTGCGTTGGAGTCATGGAGCGCTGTCCTCCGACGAATCACGATACAAACTCCAGCGGGCTCGGAGCGGAGAACATCCATGTTCATGTGAATGGAACTTATCGATTATACTCAATATAAGGACGCTGGAATAGGCGAACCCGAGAGTATCGACCGGAGTCGAACATTTCCGCATCCTATCTTTCCAGAAGCGGTCATGTCGGGGGGTAGTTTCCGTTGAAGCATCACAGGGCTTCCAGAAGCTTTCTGGAAGGCCGATCCGGTGGGCAGGGAACCTAATCTGCATCTAGCCAAGCGCATCACCGAATCTGGACATGCGCCTTTCCGTATATGTACCGTACCGTTCGTCCGACGTATTACGCTGTGGAGAATAGTTACCGCCTGTACGCGGCGTTTGTATATCGCGTACGCCGTGAGTTTTTATACTGTGGAGAGGGCGGACGGTGTATATTAGAAGCCCATTTTGAATTATGCGAGGTTTCTAGGGCATAGGAATGTGTGTGACGAGGTTGCGACCGTTGAGAATGTCGGGGTTTTCTTTACGGTTGAGAACGCCCGATGCAACTAGTAGAGTCTATCAACGCCACGGACAGGGTATACCTCCGAGCCGGGGAAAAGGGTGTGTGTGTGACCTCGAGGTCTAGGGAGGTTACTTGAATCGAGGGCGAAATACCCTGTCCTGGTGCGGCAACGTGATATGACATCCTAGTGCTAGGTTTGGAGTGAACCTTGGATCTACGCGCGGATAGGAAGCATGTCGGTGAGAATTTCCGCGTCCGTTTGCGCGAGTGTATTCGATGATGTCCGCGCGGGACTCGTGGTGCTTTCCCGTTCGAGTTATAGACTTTTCGATAAACTGAATTCCAATAGTGCACACTAAACTCTCGAGAACAAAACAAGGAGCTCGTGCTGGAAGTTGGGACCTTGGCAATGCTGTCCCTGCATGGAAACACCTACTGCATACGTTCTCGGTTCTTTTGAGGAAGTTGCCTTCTGCTGGGACTATGTTGTGCGGGGCTGAATACATCCTGGCCTTAGCGCATGCGGAGTTCTGGAAGCCGACCCCTCTTCTCCGCTTGACCGCCTGTGTGGCATTCTTTTCGCATTAGACTGCGTTGGCTGCATTTCTTATTATAGGGAGGTTCATGCTTCGGAGGAAAGTCTCCCGAGCGGTGTTGTGCATGTGGAGGCTTTACTTAAGTTGGGTAATCATGAAGTAAGAGAGTCGAGGCGAGTGGCAGATGCAGGTTAGAGACTGTCAATTTCTGACATGCGGGGTACTCGGACAAGCACTGAGAAATAAAGGACTGTCACACACGCACTATCCGGAGTCATCCTTGATTCATTTCGTAGCTTGGTAGCTCGCTTCGTAGCTCGGTTTGGAAGATGGTATCTTGGGGAATGAGTCAGATTGAATCACGAAGCCGCGATCACCGATTCCGAAGTCTTGGCATCCAAACTTTCTCTATTTGTATACCATACCAGGCCTGCTTCACTCTGCCAGGCATTTGGATCTAAGAACCCCTGTTCTTAATAGTCTAACCTAACCCGGCTTCCCGGATCCTATCGCTCGCGGCTTTTCCAGCTGCAGATCTGGTCCTGTCGATCCCTGGTCACCCGATCTCTGCGTTGGCAGAAAACGTCACCTTCAACCGTCTCCATCTTTACCCTCGACTCATGGCGAGCGGATCAGTTGACAGTTCGGGTCCGGGCTCCCAAGTCCCCAGTAAGTCCACCCTTCCTATTGGCTCGGTGTATACTGGGTGGTCGAGGGCGCTTCCCAGGGGAATGTCAACGAGCTCACGACTGGGTCTTCGTATCTGATTCCCCTGGCCCTTACACTCTTTATCTGCACGGTGCTTTTGCCGCCCAGAGACTGTCCTGTCCTCTCCGGAGCGGGCACAACGGCCCGCAACCTTTTTGATCACACGCTCATCGAGAAATTTTCGGACAGGGACTGAGCAGCCGCTTGCTTCAAACGATGAGTTGGCAGCCCTGGCTTTGCCGCATGGCGTTGTATCCACGCATGTGCCGAACGCGCCTCGCCAATCATCGAGAAAACGGGGCAAATGTCGTTACTTCGCGACCAAAAGGGGTACGTTCTTGCGTTGAGTTCATGCGGTTTCAGGTCTAGGAGTGGTGATCTTTGCTGCCTTTGCGGTGTATTTCTTGGAATACACCATTGTTTTGGCGAGCATGCTTTCCTTCAGGTGGCATGGTTCTCAGTCCAATGGAAATGATGTCATGTTCGCCTGTTGGGGGCCTGGATACTGGGTTGTTTACTTGGACCCTTGCAACGAGTGGCTTTGAGTACTGCACTCCGGAACTAACACCAAAACAGGCTGCCGTGTTGGCGCGGAATGTCCATACATCCATGACGCCTCCACTACCGAGCAAAAAGCGAAACAGCCTAATCAGCAGCCTGCGCCACTGCCATCGTCTGACAGTGCTCAAAATCTAGGCCCTAGTCTAGCGGCTGGTGTGCAGAATTTGAGTATCAGCGGACACGCGCCTTCACATGGCGCTCAGCCTCAACGGCCCGTCTCCAAGATAGAGCAAAAAGACCCGAGAGAGTTCCAGATCAATCAGTTGAGACGCCGCTTCCGTCCAGAGGAGAAGACAGATGAGAAGGGAGTGACTCTGTCATTCGGAATGGCGCCATCTGATCCAGACTTTCCGTTTGAATTGGACAAATTGCAATGCGTCCTCCATGTGCCCGTCTCTTATCCAAGTGCAGGACGGCCCACGCTTTCTGTTACCAATCCCGAAATGGAAGCGGCGTATCGGGTGAATGTCGGCCGTGGGTTCGATGATATTGTTGATTATACTCTTAGGTCGAATGGTCAAGGGACCCTGCTCAGCTGGATGAACAGTCTGGATAAGCAGCTTGAACGCTTGCTGATTACCCTCGAAAGAGGACCCAAACTCACATTTGTTGCTAATGTTGGTCAAGCGCCTGCTCCAAGGGAGCAGAAGCCTCAATTGATGCCCACAAGTCAGCATGAACTGCCCCAATCTAAGGGAAAAGCTGCTGTGAAAGTAGCGCCAGCTCCAGCTCCGGTGTCAAAAGCACCGATAGCGAGAAAAACCCATACTGCTACAGAAAAGAGTCAAGCCGAGAAGCGAAGGTCGATGGAGATAAAGCAGCTTGAAGCTCGCCTTGGACGACTGCCCATGTTCCAGAAGCGTACGGATACATCTTGGATCGTCCCGATTCAACCCAATAAGGTAGACCGTTTGCCCAGATCACTTCAGACAATCAAGACTGTGAAGCTTCTGGTCCCTCAACTCTACCCTCTGGAGCTTAGTTCAATTGAGATTCAAGCAAATGACAGCCCCGAGGCAAGATCCGTGGAGACCGGATTTACTGAATGGGTTGAAAAGAACTCTCAAATGAACTTAGTCTCACAGGTCAACTACTTGGCTAGTAACATGCACGCCTTCGCTAAGACACCCTTACCCGAAGTAGCTGAATATTCTCAGCACGAGCATGAGCACGTCCAGTCTGACGCGGAATCATCTGCACCGGAGCCATCAAATGGTGTACTTATCGAAGCAGATGGAGACAGACCCCATTTGCATGTCATCCCACGACCACCAGAGTGGTCCGTCCCGGATTCAAATAGTGATAGTGAGATCACTGACGAATCGAGCTATGATGAGGAGTACTCAGAAGAGGAAGAAGGCGAGGACACGAGTGAAGGCGGTGCTCCTGTTCCTGCAGCTGCGGACGATACGCCTGGTCGAGGCGTCGCTCTTTCATTCCCATTCATGGAACTTTATGGAATTGAGCTGCTGGAGCTTGTTCACCTTGCTATCACAGTCAAGTGTGAGCGGTGTAAACAGACCGTGGACATTAAGAATGTTCCTCAGATTCAGGATCCGAAGGCGTCACCTAGGATTGAATCGTGCCGGAAGTGTGCTAATTCAATGAGCATCGGTGGGTCTCAATAACTACCTGACCCTCTGAACTCTAGGCTTATCCGTTTTGCAGGCTTCCGGAGACAGATGATGCATTCACATGCTAACCGAGCTGGATATCTGGACTTGGAGGGTTGTATCATTGTGGATCTTATTCCAAGGTGAGCATTTACTTCAGGGGCACTGTCATAAAATCACTGACTCTGAATAGTAACTTCCTTCCAACATGCTCCGAGTGCTCGACCGTCCATCCCATGCCTGGGGTATCTGCAGTCCGCGGAGAAAGCGCCATGGCGATTTGCCGTCACTGCCACCGCAAGATGGGTACGATTCGCAACTTATCTAACTTCGTCCAAGACTAACTGAAGTTATAGTCTTCAAACTCCCCGAAGTAAAGTTCTTGGTTGTGGGCACCGCAGGTAGTAAGTGTAAACTCCACCGATTCCACTTCATCAATATGCTTATCAAATTTATTCAGTCACTTCCCGTGCTCTTCCTTTGAAGAAGAAGGTCAGTTTCACCACAGAGTATCCTTGAATAAGTCTGACCCCCTGTAGCCCAGAGAAGTCCTCGGTATTGTCGCAGGCCAAGAGCTTCCTCGTCGTGGTCGCTGCCAGCATTATTCAAAGAGTCACCGTTGGTTCAGATTCAGCTGTTGTGCGAAGGTCTTCCCATGTGATAAGTATGTATTGATCTGACATTCTAACTTTTCTCGACACTAACGATCATCTTAGATGCCACGATGCTGACACCGACCATCCAAACGAGCACGCGAATCGCATGATCTGGTATGTTTATCCCTCGTTAAGACAATGAGTTGATTTTAACAACTGGAAAAGCGGTTTCTGTTCTCGCGAGCAAATCTACAGACCAGAGAATTGCGGTATTTGCAAGGCGGTTCTCGTAGGCAAAGCTGGTAGCGGATTCTGGGAAGGTGGAAAGGGAACTCGTAATCGAGCTCTTATGAGCCGCAAAGGTGAGACTTTCTTTACCTGGCTGTCATATGGTTATACTGACGGCGAATAGATCCTCGGAAGTATAAGCGAAGAGGAGGTAATCCTCCCGGTGGATCAAGCTCAAAGAAGAAGTAGAACATTTCGGTCTTGCGGTTGCAACTGGGCATATTTAAGCATTAGCATACTTGCATTGAGTGGTAGTTGGGTCGATATGGGACCTCAAAAGTTGTTTTTTAGCATCTGGTAAAGCCACTATGAAAAGCATGATTGATTCATAGGTCCATACACAAATACATCCATATTGGTGATTTCTTTTCTACTGTGTGATGCAAGATAAGTCTCAAGTACACAACTTTGCCTATGCACAAAGATTAGAACACCAACGAGGATTTTAAAGAGAATGCCATCATCTTTGCCTGACTGAATAAGTTCTGGATAAGCAAGCTAGATTTAAGGCCCGCTAGGGCTCATTCAACTATTACCTTCCTCTTGGCTGCACTCAAGTGCTTAGCTACCCCTTAATTCAAACTCTTTATCGACCACAAGGTAGCCGCTTCCTATTTTTGTGAAAGCCTCAGGGTGTTAATAGAATCAGTGCAACAAAGAGTGGTCTTGTTGTTGGAGAAAAGCAACGGTGGAAGACTACTGCCTATGTTTATCGCTTTGGGAGTTCTCTGTTCTCTGGGACTATTTGTGGAGGCACCTAAGGCCTGGCATCTATAATAGAACTCCTTGATGGGCTAGATAAAAGTTCTTGTTTCATTGTGCGCATTTTTGTCACTGCAAGAACTTGATAGACTAGGTCTTTGGGCCCGAAAGTGCGGTATACCTGTAAAAGCTTCTTTGTATCTGTACGTATAGGAATCAAATAAGAAACTATGATCATATTCATGACAGGTAACTAATGTGCAGTGAAAATCGCTAATACAAATGCAGATCCAAGGTATCATTTTTTTGAGCAGAAGTTCCCTCAAACGAGATTGCCACGCAGCTCCTGCTCTCGTTCAATAGCCTCGAACAGAGACTTGAAGTTTCCAGCACCAAAGCCATCAAAATTGTGACGCTGAATGATCTCAATGAAGACAGTGGGGCGATCCATCATATGCTATGCCATTTGTTAGTAGAAGTTCAGGGAATGGCGCAGAAGAGGTTTTGCAAATTCGACATACCTTGGTGAACAGCTGGAGAAGGTAGCCACCCTCGTCAAAGTCAATCAAGATATCTAAGCTCTTGATGGTCTCGAAACCCTCCTTCAGAACCAAGTTAGACTGCTTCAGGCGTGCCTTCATGTCGGTGTAGTAGGTCTCGGGGACCTTGATGAACTCCACACCACGAGCTTTCAAGTTGGTGATATCGCGGATGATATCGTCGGTCTGGAGAGCAATGTGCTGAACACCGGCGCCATCGTAGAAGTCCACGTACTCTTCGATCTGAGATTGCTTCTTGCCCTTGGCGGGCTCGTTGATAGGCATCTTGACGACCTCATTGGGTGACGCCATGACGATACTCTTTAGAGCAGAGAATTCACTGTAATGGTTCATGTCAGTTTGTAGCTTCAGAGGTCTCAGCTGTTAACTTACGTGCAAATCTGGTTGTCATCAACGGACCAGAACCGATGGAAGCCAAGCGCCTTCTCATAACTAGAAATGTGTTAGCAAGAGTCATCTCCCCAATCGAGAAAAAAAAACCTACTATTCGCAAATCTTGTCCATCTCATTCCAATCCTGATTGCCAACGCAGTGATCAATGAACTTCAACTCAACAGCAGGCAAGAACTTCAAGATTGGGTCCTCAGCACCGGACTCAACGCGGTAACCAGGCATAAAGGCACCGCGGTACTGGCCACGCTCAATAAGGGTGTGGGTGGTCTCGCCATAGGTCTGGATGGTTGCGACCTTGACATGACCATCCTTGTCCTTGAGGATCTTGGGCTCAGACACGGCCTTGCCGCCGTTCTTGACTGCAGCGTTGAAGACAGCCTCAACATCATCTACCTCAAAGGAGACATCCTTCACCGCATCGCCGTGCTTCTCGAGATGGTAGTGAATCTCACGCAGCTCAGCCTGCTCCTCGGGGCTGAAGCGGCCGATCTGGTCCTGGCTTTGGGAACGCAGAGGCGAGGTCAAAATGAAAGTGATATCGCCGTTGCGAATGACGTGAGAGCAGATGTGACGGCTACCAGTCTCGAGACCACGGTATGCGACGAGCTTGAATCCCATGCGAGTGATATAGTAGCTGGCGGCCTGCTTGGCGTTGCCAACGTACCAGTGGACATTATCGTAGCCACGGTAACTAGCGATGGAGGATGCCCCCGTATTTGATGGGGGCGGAGTGGTGGAGATTGCCGAAGGGGCCATGTTGTTACAGACTGATTTTGATCTGACCGTTTGTTCTTGTCTTTCCCAAAGCTGTAGACTCTTGAAGTTTGAAGATGTGAGGTGTGGGAAAAGATATCAAGAATAACCTAGGATGACGGTTGATATAAGAGGCGCCACAAGATATGATTTATAAAACCCAGCCATTCCCACAATCTCAATTAAACTGCCGCGGACGGATAATTTTGCTATTCACTCGTCATCCGCGCTGACTTTGAGGACGCGATTCACTGCGGTTGGCTCCGCACCCTGATATATCCGATATTATCCGCCAACAGCCGGGCCGGGTCCGCCTCTTGATATCATCGGCTTTTCTCATCACTCACCTTATTCTCTTATTCAAGACTCAGAAAAAAGTATTGCCATCTCATTTTGACACGCTACGCATCCCCTTGTGCGCTGCCGAGGACCTCCATTCCAAAATTTCCCCCAAAAACACATCATCATGACTACCATCCAACCAGCACGACCATGCCTGACATCTAACGATGCCGCCGTTCTCCAAGCACTATTCGATGCCGAGTCTTCTCCATCATCCGGCATCACCGTCGACCCTTTGCTTCCTTCATGGCCCACCAAAGTGAATGTCTCCTGTACCGATCTCGAGACGCTCAAGCGCCGCGAGACGGATATAGTCCGCAAACTGCAAACCAACGAAACACCAAGCCGAGAGAACGTACAGTCAGCTCTAGACGAGCTAGACTCTCTCGTCAGCAGTTACCCAACCTATCCATCCGCATACACAAACCGCGCCCAGGCACTGCGTATCCTGGTTGACATCCAATACAACGAACGCCTTCAAAACACTCCTAACAACCCCTACGGCTTCGAGATCAATGCCGATGATGCACTCTTCGCTCCAGAAGCTGCATCTCTATCCTCTCAAATCTTCGCAGACCTAGGTCAGGCCATCTCCCTCGCCACCCCCGATTCCCCCGCAGACCCCTTGTCCTCGGTCCAAGCACGACTATTATCAGATGCGCATACACATCGCGGATACTTGTTATTGAAGGCCGCACGTGTGAGGAAGGATCAGTCCGGACAAGAGAATGTTGGTGGCCCAGAGAGTCTCCGTGGGCTCAGTGCAGACCGGCTCGAGGAGATGGCAAGCCATGATTTCTTCCTCGGCGGTAGATATGGAAATAAGGTTGCGCAGCAGCTCGCTGTGCAGACGAATCCGTATGCTAAGATGTGTGGGGCGATAGTGAAAGAGGCGATGAGGAAGGAAGTCCAGGGTTAAACCTTTTGTTCTGATAATTGAGAGATAATATCTTGAGTTTTGAGCCAATATTTGCATAGTGAGCCTTTTAGAATTTCCACCAATTTATTGAATTGCCTCCACTGCTTCATAGAAGACTGTAAATAGCTTATTGAAGGAATGAATCTATCGACTATACCGGCGATGGCCTTCCTAAGTCTGTTGAACGGGTCTATCTGACGAAGTCCATATGGCTGCGAGAATGTCAGGTGACAAACAGTGTTCGCGGCATTTACCATCTGCTGTCGCCGTTTGCCATTTGCTCATTTAGGTGAGTGTCGTGTGTTTGTACGAAGCGATAGATTCACCCATTGATAGCTTGATTTGGTGTCTACTACTAACTATGATTACCCGAATTTCCCCTGCCAAGGACTTCATTTCTCTACATCTCCTCTACTCACCAATGATTTCCAATACTTTGCCAGGTCATCTATCTTCTCCCGTCGATCATCCGTTGATAATACCTCGTAGTCCTTTGTGGTCCTTTGTCTCATGTATTTACCCTCCATCCAAGTCTTGATCACGTCTCAGCATGGCATCCCTTTCTTTTTTCCTCTTGATCCTCCATAGATTCGCAGGCTGTAGAGTGCGTTCCAACTCGCGGTGTTAGTAGGTCTGCAGGGACAGAGTAATCTGACCCTACCCGTTGACGTCACCTGCAGAGGGTTGTCATTAGATTCCTTCTTTAAGGTGTGGTTTTGTTCATTTCCATAAGCTCAAGTATCGTCAAATCATGCTTTGCAAAGCTGGCTAAATAATTATGAAATTCCATGATTTTTCCTTCTAAACTACAACAGACCTAGTTCTTCTTGTTGGGGTTGACGAAGTGACGCTTCAACGGCGTCCAGCTATGATCATTGTACTCCTCCTGGACCTTTTCGCAAGTCTTCAAGCCCCATTCAGAAACACCAACCATAAGAGAACTGTGCAGTTGTTAGCAAGAATACCGAGACACTTCGTGGAATCGTGAACATACCTCTCAAACATAAATGCCATGCTTCCTTCCCCGACCTTGGCAGGCTTCAACTCGGCGTTGCTGGCTCCTTCAAACGCCGCCGAGTCCGGACCGTGTGCACTCATCACGTTGTGCAGACTAGCACCGGCTGGCTGGAATCCGCCTCCCGTCTTCGCATCGTAGTTACCACTAATCAGACCCATGAACTCAGACATGGTATTACGGTGGTACCACGGAGGACGGAAGGTGTTTTCAGCGACCAGCCAGCGAGGCGGGAAGATAACGAAGTCAGCGATGGCAGTACCAACGTGATCGGAGGGACCAGTCAGAACAGTGAAGATGGAGGGGTCGGGGTGGTCGAATGAGATGGAGCCAATGGTATTGAATCGGCCCAGGTCATACTTGTATGGGTAGTAGTTACCATGCCAGGCGACGACGTCGAAGGGAGTGTGCATCTGGCGCGCTGAGAAGAGTGTGTTGTTAAACTTGCTGAACAGTTTGTACTCCTTGTCTTCTTCTTCGGCATCGTCGTCAAAGGATGCGACGGGAGCTTGAAAGTCGCGCGCGTTGGCGAGGCAGTTGGAGCCGATGGGGCCTAGCTCGGGGAGCTGATAGTGGCCTTGGTAGAGCTCACAGATATAGCCTCGGACGGGGCCGTCGGGGAGGGTCACACGGTAGCTGGGTTTTTGTTAGTATGGATCCTGAATGTGGAATAAATTTGGAATGAAGTCGTTCATACCGGACACCGCGGGGGATCACGCAGATCTCGTTCGGCCGCAGGACAATACGGCCGAGCTCGGTCTGGATGTCCAACACACCGTGCTGGGGGACGATCAAAAAGTCGCCATCGGCGGAGTAGAAGGCCTCCTTGCCCATGTCCTTTCCAGCGGCGTAAAGCAAGATACCCAGGCCTGTTTTCATGGTCGGGTCACCCGAGCCGGCAATCAAATGCAGACCGTGGACCCAGTCCACCTTCTCGTCGATGTCGAATGGGTTCCATCGGAGCTGGTTGGGGATGTGGTGCAGTTTATGGGTCTCGGTGGTCATAGCCGTATGGTAGGAGTCGGCATCCTCTGCCTTGAAGTTCTCGTGGGCCGCCGCGGGTAACACACGGTATACCCAGGTCTGCTTGTTTTCATGTCGGGGCGCTGTGAAGGCAGTTCCCGAGAGCTTCTCGGCGTAGAGACCATAGGGCACCTTTTGCGGCGAGTTATGGCCTATGGGCAGAGCACCTTCGATAGCCTCGGTTCTGGGCCTAGTTAGTCTACTTGCAATGAATTTCACTGTACAGGTACTCACTCGTGATACGAGTCGAAGCCGATCTGGTATTTGTATGGGTCTGGGTGCGAGAATTTGGTGACGGGCATGATGGCGGATGTGATGGACTAGGAAGGCGAAGCTCGTTTGCACTTTTGTATTTTGCGCTCGGCAATGAAGTCGACCAATATCCGAGATGTTGAGTGCAGCTCCATCTTTTTGAGTCGAACGTCACCGCGGGACTGCGCACGATATCCGCGTTTATCCCCGCTTCAACCAGTGCAACCCATTTCCGCACCCGCTTGGATGCGGGGTGCGGCTCAATTCCGCCGAACGGAAAGTTCGCCTGAGGGGAAGAGATGTCCATAGTTAAGTTGGAAACAAACTAAGCTTGGGACTTTGTTTCTTTCAAACATCTCTTCACCATGGCTTCCTGGCTCCAGATCCCTAAGAACTCGCCGTTCTCGCTCGCCAACATTCCCTTTGGCATCATCTCCGCTTCTACATCGCGGGTAGCCGCCATTGCCATCGGTGACTATGCTTTGAACTTGCACGCCTTCGCCTCATCGGGCGGCTTCTCTCAATTGCCTGCGATCCAGCAGCACTTGAGTGTTTTCAACCAGCCCACCCTTAACGCTTTCGCTGCCCTGGGTCGTCCCGTGCATCGCCAGGTCCGTGAGTACCTGCAGAACGTCTTCCGTGCCGATACCCAGTATCCCCAGCTTCTGAAGGACAATGCCGATCTTCAGAAGACAGCTCTGGTACCACTGTCCCAGGTCACAAACCACGTTCCTATGCAGATTGGTGATTACACGGATTTCTATGCTGGGTTGAACCACGCCTACAACATCGGAGTTCTCTTCCGCGGACCCGACAATGCTCTGCAGCCCAACTATAAGCACCTTCCCGTCGCCTACCACGGTCGTGCTTCCTCGGTGGTGCCTTCCGGTACTCCTCTGCACCGTCCCCAGGGTCAGATCTTGGCCAACCCCGCCGCCGACCCCAAGGTGCCCACATTCTCTCCTTGCAAGCGTCTGGATATCGAGTTGGAACTGGCTGCCTTCATCAGCACTCCTAATGACTTGGGCAAGCCTGTTTCTATTGAGGAGGCTGAGGATCACATCTTTGGCTTGGTCCTGATGAACGATTGGTCCGCCCGCGATATCCAGGCTTGGGAGTACGTTCCTCTCGGCCCATTCAACGCCAAGAACTTCGGTACTACTATCACTCCCTGGGTCGTGCTTGTCGACGCCCTTGAGCCCTTCCGTGCTCAAGGTCTGGAGCCCGGCAGCCGCGACTCTCTTCTCCCCTATCTCCGTGAGAAGCGCGCCGACACCTGCTACGAGATACCTCTCGAGGTCGAGATCACCAACAAGGGTGGCCAGCCTACTATTATCTCCAACAGCAACGCCCGCAATCTTCTCTACTCCTTCCCTCAGATGGTCGCTCACCACACTATCACTGGTTGCAACCTGCGGACCGGTGACCTGCTCGGCTCTGGTACCATCTCTGGTACTGAGCCCAAGACCCAAGGCAGTCTGCTCGAGCAGACCAACGGCAAGACCCCTTTGAAGCTTGCCGATGGCTCAGAGCGCATGTTCCTTGAGGACGGCGACACCATCATCTTGCGCGGCAAGGCTGGCACTGAGGGTGCCTACGTTGGATTCGGTGACTGTGCCGGCACTATTCTCCCGGCTGTTGCGCTGTAGATAGTGGAAAATGATTTGATGAGATTAGACGAGTGATTTGATGCAATTGCTATCTCTGCACGTTCCACAGTCCTAAGATAGTTGCAATGACACGTATAAGCCGGCTTTAAATGACCGGTATGATCAACCACAGAAAGTAAAAAGTAAAAGCACTAGCTATGCGTAAGGCCGTAAACCTACTCCTTCACCCGAAGCTCCTCAGGCGTATCAGGCTGCGTTTGCCAATGTCCCTTCTTAACCGCCTCTTCCTTCTCCAAATTCTGGACAATCCCATAAGTCACCGGGAACATGGCCAAATCAACGCCCACCCTCTCAGCACCCCACGCAGCAGGAATTAAACAAATATCCGCCGTAGTAATCCGATCCCCGACGCTGAAATTCCCAGCCGACCAGGAGACAATACTCTCATACGCTCGCAGTCCATCCTCAATAAGATCCTTCGACCAAGCAGCCCGGTCCGCCCCGAGCGGACCAACACGCTTGAGAATTCTAAGGTTCGTCACGGGCTGGATGTCACACCCGATTATTTCACAAAGAGTCCGGACGAGGGCTCGGGATTCTGGGTCTGACGGGAGAAGAGCGGGCCCTTTGTTTGGGAATGCTTCGTCGAGATATTCGAGAGCTGCCAGTGATTGGGTAATTGTCACTGGGGTCTTGGAGGCGCGTTGGGTCACGAGGGCTGGGACTGTGCCGGAGGGGTTGATTTCGCGGTGGGCAGGTGAAGATTGCTCATCTTTGAGAAGGTTGACGAATACCGAGGTGAATGGGATCCCTTTCAGATAGAGTGCGATGCGGAGGCGTGCTGAACAGGAGGAGCGGAAGTATGTGTAGAGGGTCACTGAGTCGGTCATTTTGAAGGTTGGAAATGGGAATAGGAATCTGGTAGTATGGTTGGATAAGACAGTCAGGATGATTTTACAAAGAGCTTAAGCATAGCTCTTAGTGCTACATTTAATGTATAATGGGCTCGTATTTGCCGTTGCGATGGCCGGTCCACATGTAGATGATCCCTGGTGCGGAACCAGTTCCGTCTGCACATTGCGCCGTTGCTTTCCGCCGTGTCTGAACCCCAGGTTGGATAGATGTGGGGAACCGGCTTCGAATTATTGGGGCTTTGTTGGAAAGACTTTTTTACTATTTTTACAGACATGAAATCAAGCCTAGACCTTGTAATTAAGCTAATGGGTCGATCTTCCCTTCTTTAAATTGAGCTACGCAAGGACTGGCGACGCCAGTGCCATATAGACAAAGAGAACGGTCAATGTGGTAGAGAACTGTATCGTGAACCAATTCGTTGCCGGGTAAATTAGGGATGGGCCAGCTGAGCAGTATGAGCAATAATAAATTCGGGATAGCTTCAGGAACTTGAAGGGAGACAACCAAGCCCAGTTGTATTGAATATCAGACATGCCACCTCCTTCCACAGCGTCACTACTGAAAGGGGACGATCATTACCTCGAAAATTGTCAGCTTTATCATAGAATGGCGTGTATAAGCTTATGTTTTGTATGCTATGGTACTTGGCGAATCGTGGGCGTCATCAAGGGATGGATAGGAGGTAAAGTCTGGGCACATACGATGTAGATTAAACCCCATGTTCATTAACCCACCATGACTAAACAACTTCAATTGTACTAATTAATATATCGTCGTGGAATGCTGTTATATTATGCCAGGAAAGCGCGTTTGGGTTGTAGACGAGGTGACGAATTTACTTCACATCTCCGATGAGAGCCCTGCTCGAGAAATATACAATCTAAGTCCGAATCTTCGGAATGGGTATTATACACGATCTCTTCGAGCCCTGAAAATACTTGCCCTAACCCAATCATCAAGGATCTTTTGGAAATCAGGTTTGTTCGTTAGATCAAGAACACCTCCAGCATAAGGTCCGGATACTTTATAGTAACTAACACAGGCTACTATCATCAGCTTATTTAGCAAAAAGTATCAAGGTATACCTACTTAGGTGCTCGCTATGAACATGACCGTCACCCGCCTCTTCACCTTAAATGCATTCACAGCAACGCAAACGTACTCACTTGCTTGTAGACCAGGACAGTCTGTTCTAGCAGCCAGATTTCAGTCTGAGCGATTCTTTGGAACTTACCTACTGCCTACCCGTCAGGTTTACATTTCATCTTCTTGTGGTTTCCTCGACATTCGCTATGTCTGCTTGGCAGCTCCTCTCGCTGTCTGCTCCCCTCAACTGTTTTTCGTCCTGTCTTAGTCCCCCAAGACTTTACCCTCACCTCCCCTCTATCCAACAGCATCAGGATATCCGTCAGCATGGGATCCAAGATGGAAATTATCCCTCTTGCGAGATTTTTTCGTAGAAGTATCAATCGGGGAAGAGCTCCGGAAGATTTCAAGATACACTGGTACCACTCTTGAAGGCCTTTGAAGAGTCGCTTGGATCTCGTAGGTGCTCTCATTCCAGGACAGCGTTTCCTCGATGAGAAGCCAATACATTAACAGGATTGAAAAGATGTGAGATTTTGGTGCTGTCTTTGAATACCTGTTGAGCAAGTTACTATGGCTTGGAAGAGGTTGGGGGCAAACCGGTCGCCTCATTGACGCTCTACTCAACTCCTCGCCTTTTCCAAGAGCTCGACCGAAATATAATTGTGATGGGAAGACCAAGTATCACAATTTAACCCTGTGGACAAGACGCTCCCTATGATGCTTACCAAGGATGCTTACCAAGGCCCTACGCAACTTCCACCAAGGCTTTGGAGACGCACGCTGTGACTTGGCCGACTATCTCAAGCTCCCCCAAACCATATTCAGTCTTGAATCGAATGCGGGCCCCAAGGATAATTCCAGGACATACCAAGAGAGATTCAAAAGTCTAACTGGCTCAAAACATGGAATCCAGCCACATTGGTAGGAGTATGTACGTCCATCATCTATATTCTCCATTGCTTGGTGCGGAGGAATGCTTTTTGGGCTCTTTAAACTGTTAACGTTGACTTGCAAGGCTTGATGGCTTTACCAGGAGTGTTAGCGAGCTGCAAATTGGACTTCCATGAAAATAATTCCTGCCATAATTGAATACATATCCTGGCCAGTAGGGCTTGTCTATCAAAATCACATGCATGTAACGACTTGCACGCTGAAACAACGCCTAGATCATCGATGCATTCTTACAAAATGGTGCATGTCTAGGTATGGGTTGCCCAAAACTCTCATTTGCATTTAGCCGCCCTGTGCTGCGAGATCCTGAAAAGATTATACGGATTGTCATCCCTGGTGCCGGGTGTGTAAGCAAAGGATTTTTCGGAGATATATACTATTTGCGTATGAATCTCACATTTAGCATGAGATCCGTACGGATATTGTATAAAAGAACACATCGCACTTGGCCTAAAAAAGGCACGTAAAACATCACATGCGCATGGCAATCTCACTTGCTTATCAGGACCGAATCTATTCTATCGTTGTTCCTGCGTTTCCTCGCTCCTCTATAGTCAGTGCACTGCTGTTCGTCAAATGTTCGTACCGTGCTTAATTCCTTAACCAAAGCGGGAGTAGAGTTTAATTCGCCCAGCTTAATGACGGAAGTATACGGCAATGAATAATAACGGTGAGTCAAAAATGACATCTGTCTCACAGCTACTGAGCCCTAACACTTGAGCTGTCGAGGCTAACATATTCGATGTATAATTACTGGATGTATAGAATGAAGAATTCGCAGAATCATCACCCACTGGGACGATAGCTCAGTTGGGAGAGCGTGCGACTGAAGTTCGCAAGGTCGCTGGTTCGATCCCGGCTCGTCCCACTTTTTTTATGTTCCCGGTATTATCTCCGAAACCCTTGAATCTAATTGATAGCTCTTTATTTCTTTATAGACTAACTATTCAATTATTAATAGACAAACCTAGAGAGAATGGTCCCTCTTATGTACTAAGCAAGATATTACAGCCCACTAGACTACTTCTTTAGATCTTATTGTAGATAGCTAGAATTAGCTAGCAGACAGTGGGCCTGGAGTGGGCCTGGGGGCGTGCAAGCGTGTTGGCGTGAGCCAGAGCAGGGGCTTTCAATTCCACTTGAGCCGAAGGATCCTGCAGACTTTCCGGATGCCTTGGGGCCGCATACCAAGACTCGGAGCTTCCCCTTGCCGCGCAGATCTTGTCCTTAGGATAGATGTCCACACTTTTAGAAAGGTTTCGTTCATTAAACGAACAGTGGACGCTGATCATTACCCAATGGGACGATAGCTCAGTTGGGAGAGCGTGCGACTGAAGTTCGCAAGGTCGCTGGTTCGATCCCGGCTCGTCCCATGTTTTTACATGTTTTTACATGTTTTTTTCTGTATAAGTTTCCCCCGACATTATAGTTCTACTTTTTCTATTTTCTACTTCAATCTTGAAGGAGTTAGCCTTATAGCAAATACTAAAGGTAATTACTAATCAATGGGACGATAGCTCAGTTGGGAGAGCGTGCGACTGAAGTTCTTTCAATATTCGCAAGGTCGCTGGTTCGATCCCGGCTCGTCCCATTTTTTTTGTTTGCTTCAATATCCTGGGGATGTTTTCGGTAGAAGCTATTAAGAGATTGCCGCCTGGAGGAGTGTCGTTCGTAGTGTTTAAGAGACCCCTCTGTCCTTATCTCCCCTTAGTCTTCCTTGAATCATATATTACTGTTTAGGACCTGCTAAGCTTTCCCCATTTCTAAGGTTGCCTAGCTATGTCATTCATCTATAGATACGTTTACTTACTTTTGCAATATGTGGTGCAATGAAAATTACAAGTGATATTTTGTTGGCGCAAGATAGAAATCTCAAATGAGGCAAAGCTACTTACTTAGTGTAAAATTCGACGTCTAATCCTACCAAGGTTAGACCACCACCGTTGGCTAGAAGATAAATGCTGCTGAGGAACTAGGTCTCTTGGCCTCTCTCTATACACATTTTTTGATCGCTCTGATCGAGTGACATCACCGGCAATACATATTTACCACCAACACAATTATGAAGGATATACTCATAGAGACAAATTCACAAGATGAAAGCAACACCATAGAAAATAGTAAGCAACGTAGCCAAAAGACTAGTATTACTCGCAGGTTACCAACGCACGGACCTACAACGTATAAATACCTCGGACTAAGGATCCGTAAGAAAAATTACAGTAAATTGAAACATATTAGCTAAAAAATTCTCAAGCATCAACGTTATCGATACCACGTACATATATATGTATCATTTCATGTTGATGGAGAAAAAGCTATTTAATAATAATGAAAAACAAAATGACAAAAACAATGGGACGAGCCGGGATCGAACCAGCGACCTTGCGAACTTCAGTCGCACGCTCTCCCAACTGAGCTATCGTCCCATTATGTAATAATTATTATCTTGCTCTGCTATCTGAACGTGACTCCTTTGAATAAATTAAAAATAGATACAGTAGCGCCACTGAGGTTCGCGACCCCTCTGATTCTGCCGGATCGAGCATATTTATCATCAACTGTTTCCTAGTACAATATCAATTTAGCGACCAAAATATACCAGTATTATACTCTATTACATGACTATACTCTATTACCTATGTTACTATGCACTTCCATTGGCCACAGAAACATACTTGGTCCACTCAGAATAGTAGGCGGTATGCGTGGTGATTGAGAGCGGTGTATAGGGGAATTGACACTTTAGCGGTGCCACTGTAGATATATAACAGCGGATTCCAAAAAAAAATGGGACGAGCCGGGATCGAACCAGCGACCTTGCGAACTTCAGTCGCACGCTCTCCCAACTGAGCTATCGTCCCACAATATGATCTATTTTACTATGAAAGGGTGTAGAATATTAATTTGAATCTTATCACACCTGAAAATTTCTTGTTCCACCCAACGGCATACAAAGAGTGTTGAGTCGATTTGAAGTTTTCTTGGGCGCGCTTAGCTACGAAATAGAACCCAAACAAAAAAGTGTGGCTGGGATAAAGCATTCTACACAGTGTACAATGACGACTATACTCTCGCTAAATCCTAAAGTTGACTTGATAGGGCTTTATTTATTGGCATACTTTCAAAAACAAATTTTTTGGAAACAGCTTAGACTTTTCAAGGTTGAAATAGTTATATCGAAGACTAAGAAGATGGATTCTTCAAATCAAAAAAATGGGACGAGCCGGGATCGAACCAGCGACCTTGCGAACTTCAGTCGCACGCTCTCCCAACTGAGCTATCGTCCCATTGGATAGAATTGAGGTGGAATTTTGACATCATCACACTTTGTGATGATTCTCATCTTATAATCCCCTTTCAACTTTAGGGGAATTTCTCTCGGCCATAATAATTTCGGTAGAAAAACATGTTCACGCAAAAATGGTTGACTATATGTATTTCTGGGTAAACATTAAACCCGTGGCCTAAGGGATACTAATGCGGAGCCTTCGGTGCTCTCATGGATTATATATTGGAGTCAGTATGCGTCCACGATCCGGGAAGAGGGGCAACCGATAGTCAGTTGCCTAGGTATTCAGTGACGATGAATGAAAAAGACAGTCGATTCAAACCGTTGAAACCAAGTCAATTAGTATCTGGACATCTCTCAAGTGCTTGATCGCCCTAGCAACATCACCATTACCCGAGGTTATATCTATCTAATAATCACAAAAGTCCACCTGAAAATGAAATTTATCTCTATATGGACATTGCTTACTCACTGATATGCCCCATAATTAAAGCATCCTTTGATTTGGGCTCGATGACGCGTGGTAAACCCGCTCTAAGCATGTTTCGCCTTCATTGCGTGCTCAAGTAACCGGGTGAACCGAGAGAAACATTTTCGAAAAAGATTGGCAAAAGAAAACGGAAAAAAGTTGTTCGAATGAGACCTTGATATTCTCCAGGCCTGTAAGTCATCTTCGTTGCAAAAATGACGAGTCGTCTCTTGTCTCAAAATCCCCGTTTTCTGGACACTAGGGTTCATTGTTATCATGGCGCAAATGAACGTCCATGAAATTTATGGTGGAAGGATACTATAACGAGCCAGAGGCCCATAAATACCGAATCCAACTCAAAGCAGCATCTTGATCTGCGATTAGTGACCATTGAATATGCCAACCTCTTCTTGAAGCAAGGTGCATATCGAGACTCGCTAAAACTACAGTTAGAGCCTCCGAAGAAAGGGAAGCTCAACCCAGTGATGGAGGTGTCTAGTCCGAATCTCTACGAGGCCCACTTTGACTGGATTCAAATGAACACAAGATTGGCGTTTGAGAGTCTGTCAGTATATGATTTGGACTTCGAGCGGGTCGCCATTTTCTCGAAATATTTCGATCTTCGAACATACCCTCGACGTACGACAGAATCTACCAAGGATATGGGTCTTGGTACGCCATTTGACTCGACAGAGGTAGTTATATGCGTCCGATTCAGCTTTAAAATCTGAAATTTCATTGTTTTTAGAGATCTGCTCCTGTCTGTGGCGGGCAACGCCAGGCTCTATACGGACGAAAGGATATTTCAGCGGAGGAAGGTAGGGAGTGAGCGTGTTAGCGACACTAAACGAGGCGGGGTTACAGGTGGGGCGTGCAGACGCTCGTCGACAGAATGAGGCCAGAGGCGGTGAGCCTGCAGGTCGATGTCACGGACCATGGACAGAAAGGATCTCCTCCTATTGAGCATCGGCCAGAGCTGAGAAGGACGCAAATTGCCGTCGCGTGATTGTAGAGGAGCCGAGCAGTCACATCGACGGATTACAGTTGGCGGAGCTCAGGAGGTCGGTGATCCGGGTTGATAGGGAAAATACGTCCATGCAATGTGCACGCATAATGAAGTATCCCAGTATGGGATATCATGGAACTCAATGTGATAGTTTGACTACAGTGGATCCAAAACTTATATTATAAATTTGATATATATTGCCATAATATTCACATATTTCAACAGCAGTCCGATATGGTGTAGTGGCTAACATCGCCGTCTCTCACACGGCAGCCGGGGGTTCGATTCCCCCTATCGGAGTTTTTTTTTGTACTTTTTCTACTCACTCACATTCATTCCTTGTTGATAACCATTTTTACTACCCTGAGTCGGATATTCTTATGGGAAGAGTCATTCTATGGAACAGTTATTAAGTAAACGATTAATTTTTATTTCCTGTCGTTTCATTGGACTCTGGGGTAACCACTTTAGGCCTCCGGATTGGATCGATTAAGCATAGGTATTTTTTACCTTGGTACAAAGAGTCAATGTCTCCAGTGAACACGGGTACACGCATGCATATGTTTACATCAATGATATCAAAGTTTCGGAGCGCTTGATCTATATATTATGGCAGCACTTGAGATGGGAACTGCCGCTGTCTATATATATTCCGAATGACTGAGCCTCCACACCTTAAAAAGCTCAAAGCAGTTGAGGCCAACTACTACTGTACGTACGTACCTATTGATAATCTTCGCGAAAAACCATAATTACTTCCTTTTCTTTCCCATCATCATCTTCCTCGATGTAAGCTCGCCACATACCACCAGAATTGAAATCAGAAACAACTCTCCCGCGACGTAGCCGATCGTGAGAAATCGTAGTGGTCGGCGCAGACTCAGCTTCGATCCCAATGATACCCCCTTCACCTTCGCCAGTGACCTTCCAGCGCCGTCCAGCCGAGCGTTGCAGTTCACCACCAGGACCAGCCACGGCAGTTACGGCATCAGCGAGGGTCGAGTATCGGCCCGGTGCAGAAAATCGTAGCATCGCGGCGGCTGTACGGGCGGCAGCGACGCGGAGGAACGAATCCCCGTTTCCAGTTCCTGAGACAGCAATGGCACGTCTCACCTGTTGGGGCTTGCTGGAAGGCACCTGGTACGGCGACTGTTTCTCAAAGATAGTGCCCGGATGACCATGGGGTAGAAGAGCTGCATAAGCTGGAGGGCGAGTCTCCCTGAGAAACGGAGGCAGGCAATCGGCCAACCAGCTTTTGGCTTCCTCGATAACCCCCTCGACCGAGGTGAGATATCGAGAAGACCGGACCGAAGCACTATCCGATACCATCTCATCCCAAGCCTCGGCCCAGAAGCCAGCGCCCAGAGTCGGGGTATCGCCAATGCGACCAGGAAGCTTGTTCGTCAATCCGCCGGTACTAGTCGCAACAGCCAAATTCCCCCATTGATCCAAACAAACACAACCCACAGTTCCCTGGCTCATGGAGATAGGTTCGGCCTCACCCCTCAACCCACGCACATGCTCATCCCACCGACGCTGCGTGAAGAACCACTCATCAGGTTTAAATTCGAGTCCCCAATCGCGAGCTAGCGTCTCCACATGAGGCCCAGCAAGCTGCGAATGCATGCTACCCCCATCACTGCTCCGTTGACCATCGACGGTATGTCCGGTGCGAAGCAGAGACTCACGTGCAAGTTGGATGGGATGACGGACATTCCTGACGCCTATCACGCCTGCGCCGCGCTTCACGGAACCCTCTCTGGTCTCGTCAGGCTCTTGAACCGAGGTCACCATTACGGAAGCTTCCATCTCGATTGTGCCGGCTGTGGTGAAGACGCTACCACGCCCGCAATTGAAGAGCTCATCGTCTTCCATTAATGAGACAGCGTGGACAGCGGCATCGAGGGCCGAGCTGCCGTTGATAAGGAGCGATTGGGTCGAGCGGAGGTAGGATTGAAGGGAGGCATGGTAAGCTGCGTAAAGACCCGGCGGGAGGGTTGCACGTTTTAGATTGCCTGCGCCGCCGTGTAGGATCAACGCGGGCTTGAAAGTTGGTTGTTCTGCTGCCATTCTGGGTGTTGGGGATGGTTGAAGGGAAGAGCCCTGGAGGCCGGTGCGGGGAAGTAGAAGCGGAGTCACCGAATGTTACTCCGTGCACTAGCTAATGCATCCTTTCGGATAAGACGGACCTGGAAGTTCGTGAGATGAGCTAGAAATGATGATTGAGAATTATTCCGAGAATGAGAATTGAAAATATGTTCAAGAAAAAAAATGCGTATTATGCCTGTTAGCCATGCGTTAATGTACAAGAATCCACCACGTCCCTTTCCGAACGCTTTTTTTGAAGAATGAGCAGAGAAATTCTTTTGTAGGGCCACCTGGCCACGAAAAAGAAACATGCTGGTTATGGGAACCAGCCATCAAATGAACCCGCCGTCTTCACAAAAAATACAATGATTCGAAAACAGAGGCCCGTGGGAGGCGGTATCAAAAGCGTCGCAAAATAAAACAAGACCCTCTATGCCATGTTGTTTAAGAATGAGGACCCAAACCGAACACCTGAGAAGAGAGACTCAATGTAGGGATGTGTTATGAAAACAGAGATCGAGGTGGGTGGTCGGCCACCGGGAGATAATTCGATCGCGGAAATGTTAGGTTAAAGGAAGTTAAGCGAGAGCCTTCTGCTCGGAGGGGGGAAGAGGAGGGAGCTAAATTGAGATACGAGTCAGTCCATGACTCCAAAGGGTTAATTTTGCGGGATAACGTACCTCAAGCTTGGTGTTGTCGGCCATCATACGCTGAAAACCGATACCAACACCCTCAATGACAGCAAGGAAGACAGCACACATGATGGCGGAGTTACGGGCAGCCTTGACACCACCACGGACAGCGAGAGCACCACCAGTAAAGAAACCGGCGATAACTAGAAGAATCGGTCAGAAAAGTCAAAGATCGGAGGAAATCCGATGAACCACTTACTAGCATTGTAGGGATCCTCCTTCTTGCGAATGCCCTTGATGGCACAGTCGAAGGTCGAGAACATTCCACCCCAAACACCGAAGTTTCCACCGAGGACGGGAGCGCGAGCCTTGATGGCAGTAAGAGCACCTATCCGGCGCTCACCGTAGGGACTGTTCCGGAAACCCTTGACACCGTGCCAGACAGCACCACCAATAGCCTAAAGCGCGAAAATCAGTCGCCTGAACTCAGGGACAAGCGGAGACGTGTTCATTGAGACATACACCCATGCAGAAGGCACCACCAAAGTCGCTGAGCGCGACCCAGGGGCAGGGATCTCTCGAGTGATCCATTATGTATTGCGGTAGAAGGAAATGTAGGTTCGTATCAGAAGGGGGCAAGGGCCGAGAGTCGGGAGTCGGGAGGAGATGGTGTCGCGATCACCAAATGTCGGGTTATGGGGCGAAGGTGGATAGGCGTAGGAAGGACAAGTTGATGGCAGTGGATGGCCGAAGTGATGAGCGTGGTCAACCTCGAACAGATAAGAGAGCGGGTCGACGACTTTTTCATCAACGGAACGTGACTGCACGTGACCGTCGGTCGCCACCGGGAAATCGGGAGCTTCAGGAATGATTTCATGGGTCCGATTCTTTGACAGATCAAGGATTAAGCTTCCCCGTCCGGGGGAGGCAAGAGAATATCCCGGGCCACATTATGTTCCCGTGTCGTCAGAAAATTTCTATCCTTAAACTTGGCCACATGCGATGCGAAAACGGGGGTATCTCGGTGTTGACGGCTATGGACTCCGCGTGCCCTTGCAGGTGGGTACGCAACTATATGTACATTTGGACACATTTTTTACATTATGACGGCAAATTCCAGATAAAATCCAGTGCCCCTCCCTCATACATCGGGAACTGACCTCCGTTGTTCATACCGAATGGTGCCATAGAAGGATCAAAGGGTAGAGACAGCCAGTCGTCGCCCATCTCGTTGAAGGTTGGGATAAAGCTCAGTTCGGATGTTAAATCCTGAGACACAGGTGTGTTGATATGATTTGAACGGTCACCGTTCTCTGGCCAAGCTGGCGGACCCATGGATGACCGTCGTGTGGTTCCTCGACTGTTTTTGACATTCTTGCAAGACGCCAGCAGATTGCGTCGCAGACGCGAGACGTGCATGTCCAGGAGTGTAGCGTAACGAGTACTGAGATGGACATCATCCAATGCGTTGGACTTAAGTGCAGCAATGCTTTTTTCTAGCACTTCAAGGGATTCGCGGAGAGTCGATTGTCGCGTACCCAAACTTAGCGCTTTCATCAAGAAGATCGAAGCACTGGTGATGCGAAGGACTATACGGACCGGGGAGAATCGCAGGGCGCCCCCTTCTGCAAGATGAGTGACCTTCCGCAGAATCTGACAACAGCCATCAATTACTTCTTGTATGTATTCGTAGTCGGTGGTGTCGATCGTCGTTGGCCGCATCTCATCCAAGTTGTTGGGATCAGAATCTGCGATCGCTCGCTCAACCACAGCTTGCATTCCCACAGAGTGGGTGTACACACGAACGAAATGATACTCTATAAAGAGATCATTATAGAAGAGGGGATCAAGAACGTGCGGCTGCAAATACCTGTCCTTCCATTGATTGAGCAGTGGCCGGAAATGGTCAAGCAGTCCAATGTAACGGCCACTATGCAGTTGTTGGCGAGCAAACTTGGCAGAGGGGAAGAACATATCAGTGACTGATTGGGCCAGTTTGGTCAGTTCAATCCACGAGTCCATAAATATTAGCCAGGTACTCCCTGGCTGGCTTAGTCCTCGAGGCTTCCGCCCGCCAAGTACAGCATGGTTCAGCGATTGAGGAATTGGTGACATGCAACCGATGCGCCATGCAAGTTGATTGATGTAAACATATAGCAAACGCTGTACTCGTTGTCTGCGAAGGGTCATTTGCTCTTTCCATTGCTGCTCTTCGCCCGGCGAATCCTCATCTTCTGTTTCGAAGATGCCCAGCTCATGCGCAAGAGAGAGGGCACACCCTAGTAGCATCCACGACATCTGGTCCGATCTCCTTGATGGCTCAATCATATCCTCCAGCCAGCGATTTGCTGACTCACTATTGGAATCACCATGATCTGAAGGTTTTGGACCGGTCGAGATCAGATCGTCATCCCAACCGTCTGTTTCGGGCGGGAAATGCAACGAGCGAGGGTGCCACTCAGCCATGAGTAAGAGTGCCTCAACTGTTCCAAGGCTTCGGACTTTCGACTTGGTGGACTTTTCTTGTCCGAAAATAAGTCGCATTGTCAATTGCTGGCAATGCTGCCAGAGTCGGTGATGGATGAAGAAATTCCTCGACTCGCCGCCGGCACCAGGAAGGACGTGATAGCGAGAGGAAATCATGAGGATGGTACTGCATAGCACTGGCTCGCGACTGATAAGCCAGTAATGATTCTGATGGTTGGCGTAAAAGTCTGTCAAGATAGGGGACAGACATGACATATTCTTGAAGAACCTGCCTGGTGTTAGCGCTCATGAACCGAAGTGAGACCCCTACGGCGAGTGACTTACAAGTCAACGAATGTGACAGCCTCTCTGGCCGTGAACCATCCCATTTTGACAAACCGACATGCGTCCCAGACATTCAAAGTGGCTTGTAAAGGGTTGGACATGTCAACTGGACGAATAGCCCTCGGAACAGATTCAAAAGTTGCCGGGCTTTCAAAGTTTCTGGGGGTAACGCGCTCTTTAGCACTCGAACCTCCGGACCGGGGTCCAGCTTCCGTCAGAGGACTTTCATCCGTTGGAGATGTGTCATCCTGGGCAGTTGCGGCCTCAAAGAGAATATTAAGTGCATCATTTCCACTCGCCACCACAGTTCGCATCATGGAGCTTGCCAGATTAGAGTTCGAGCGGTGCCTGTTGTCTTGATATGCACGACTCGGGGAAGGATTCGTTTGCATATTCCTATCTGTAACAGGCACCGGACTAATGCCAATCTGGGAACTGTGATCATTTTGTGGAGAGGTTTGATGCCCCGTAAATCCCCAGCTTTGTTGAAAAGGGCTGGTTTCCTGGTATTGCGTGGGATGATGACTCTGGACATGCTGCCCCTTCCGACTATCCGGCGATCCATCCGAAGCCAACTGCTCGGCTTGCGTGGAAAAGTCACCTTCATCATCGTCAGAGCGCGCTAAAAGAACCGATTAGAAATTTGAGGCAGAACATTCGATGATCTCAGCATACCGCGCTTGCGGGACCGCTCCCAGGCGCGTTTCTCGGGAAAAACGCACTCCCTCATCTCCCTGCGACATCTTGCGCAAGGTGGGCCGATTGGTAATCCATCGAGATCGGTTCCCAGATCACATTTGGCCTTGCGTTGCCGACATGGAATGCATGCCTTGTAAGTGCGCTGATAAGGCCGGTCCGGCCGGGCTGGTCTGGCCCCGTCCATCTTCAACCGCGCGTCTCGGGGCAAATGCAGAGCGGATGAATCAGGAGATCGGGATTAGCAAAGGATATTCCAGTGGATAATTTGGTGTGAATTGTGGATGTCTAGAGGTGCACATTGGGGATTGAAGCGGGTGAAGAGCACTAGCCTCGAATAGCCGACGATTACCGTGGGCCCCGCTACCTCGAAAGGGTAGCATCCGACCAGCCTTGCTTTAGTGTCCATAGCTGATCCCACTATTGCTAATCCATATTAGACTTGCGGAAAGAATTTGCCTGGTCAAATGTAGCGAAATAATTTTTAGGATTTTAAGTCTTTTCTGTTCTAATGATTGCAGCTTAGATTTGACAGGAGACTTAAGAGTCAAGGGGCCAATCTGCATCCCCCAGTATCTATATGTAAAGCAGAAGCATCGATTTGCGGCGACGTCGAATGTCAATCTCATTCGTTGGATGACCCCAAGCCTGTGAAATGGCGCCGCGCATCATTTGCTGGAAAGCTCACTTATAATCATCGTTCCATGTGAGAAGACACGATTCGGTGGCCCGTACGATGGTCTCGCCGGGGTTTCATCTATTGGGAGTAGCATATTTTCGCATTAGACATTGAGAATAGCAGCAGACGACTGTGGCACAAGTATAAATGGCGATCCATAATGCAAGCAGCCACCATACTCACCTTCACTCTTCGCGGTACTCTCCCGTCAGGGTGGAAGAGCTCGAATAGTCGATCTACTCATAAACGCACTGAAAACTCCGCCACGACGCATCATAATGAGATACTTCTAAATCCACGAGCTGAACTTATAGGCCGTGATTAAAGCACTGACATGACTCTTTGGTGTGGCTATCAAAGTTTGGTATGGTCCTCATCTCTTCATTTAGGCTGAGCTGTCCGGGTGAGTCAAAGGCTGCCTGCCACCTAAAACAGAATTATATCAACAGATTTATTTCTGAAAGTGACATATTGAGAGATTTGAACAGACTGTGAGCATCGTATATGATTTAATTAGAATATTAGGTTCTCGAAGCGCTCTAAAACAGACTTGAAGAATAATATGACCCTGGACTTCACTCAATCTGTCGTTCCTTCCTTGACCACGCCTGTAGAGTCATCTCTAGGAGAGCTACCTTCTGGTTGGCTCTCTATGATATGATCGCTTCCGAAGGCGGTAGTCTGAAGACTGATGTGACTCCTCTCACCCTCGAAGAACAAAGCATAAGCCTCTTCACCATGAACGGCGTCATCCCCAACAAGTAGCTGCCTCTCATTCATGCGCAAAGGGATTCGCAAGACGTATTGAATAAAAAGGCAGATGATTGTGGTCATAAATAGGTTGAGTCCGATGATGAATAAAGCACCCACAATTTGCACCCAGACCTGCCTGCCGTTACCATCAATTGCGCCACCGAGAGTTGTGATACCAAACGCTGCACAGCCGTCAATTGTCGCAAAAATACCTGTGAGAAACCCCCCAAGGAAGCCAGCAACTAGGTGGGTATGAAAGACTCCCACTGTAGAGTAATTAGCTTGGGAAATGGAGCAAAAGGGAAGAACTATCTCTGTTGGGGGTACTTACTAACGTCGTCCACCTTCTTCATCCATTTCATTCTCCCAAAGCTGTTCATCGAGATCCAAGGGATCGAACCTGAGCAGGCGCCAATTACAATAGCACCCCAACCCGTGACGAAGCCAGCGGCAGGAGTGATCGCAACAAGACCAGTAATCTCGCCTTGCACAGCTCCAATGACAGAAGGCTTTTTGAAGAAGATCCAGTCGAGGATAGTCCAGACAAGGAGGCTCATGGAGGTGCAGATATTTGTGTTGAGAACAGCAACGCCAGCATCGGGGCTCGCAGAGTACGGATCACCTCCATTAAACCCATTCCAGCAAACCCAAAGAATACCGGCCCCAACCAGCATGAGTAAAACGTTATTCGGGTAGAAGGAATCTTTGTCCCGCTGCAAGCGTGGTCCTACCCAAAAAGCAGCGGTAAACCCTATAGGACCCCTTCACGTTAGGTTTCATTATATCGTGGCTGTGATTCTACTCACCAGCAGTGCCGGAGCTCAAATGAATGACATATCCACCCGAATAATCGAGAACGCCCAAATTAGTGAGAAATCCCCCTCCCCAGATGCTAGATTGGTTCTCGATTAGCACATTTCATACAGTCACATAACTTGCTTGACAACTGACCTGAAGGCCCCAACGGTGTAACTTAAAGTGATCCAAAGGGGAACAAAAACCATCCATGCCAAAAGGTTCATTCTCCCCAACAGAGAGCCTCCCAGAATAATAACGGTGATAGCGGCAAAAACGAATTGAAAATATATCATCGTTGATAGGTTGAAATTGGGCGAGAGACCAGCAGCGGGTAAGACTGCTTGGGCCAGATTTTGTTTCATTGTCAAAACGGGGCCTGGAGTACCAACCAAAGGGAGCTTGCCCCACTGTTTGCCAAAAGCCATTTTGTATGCCCAGATAACCCAACATATCAGAGTTGCGGCGAAGGCGTAGAAAACCTGCCAGTAAGACGGATGAGAAAGTGTCGGTAGAGGTCTGTTCACGAAGGCTCATACCATGAACGCGGAGTTAATGGCCCATTTTCTGAAGTAGTTCGCTATTGTCAGCTTTATGCAAGGGTATACTTGAGAAAGGCCGACAGCGCTCACTTCTTGACGAAACCTGCATAGAGCATTGCGAGGCCTGGTATCGATTGAAGAGCAACAAGTGTACCAGCTGTAAGTTGCCAGGCTTGATCGCCTTTATCGAGCCATCTATAAGTATCAAGCGTTAGCACTTAACAGCAGATCAAGGGTCAATATCTCCCTGCGTAGAACTTACTCGGGAGCGGGATCGGTCAACGTTGTATTGGACATTGGAAGGTAATAGTGAATATGGGAATATCTGCGACGAACTTTGACTCAAGATATTAGAGGCAGCGATGCGACAAATTATCTTTATCACAGCTGTAAAAAGCGCAATATCACAGGGGTTCTTCAAAGGATCTTTCAAGTTATACTCTGCAGATGAAGAGAATTATTATGACCGTAAATGAAGACCAAGTATCTGCACCGCATCAATGTTCTTTTACTTATTAAAATGATGGCTTTCTATGGCAATCACATCTTTCATTACCGAGCTTGACATATAGTGCAGAGATAGGAACAGGATGCCTGGTTGGTCCGATGTAAGAGGCGGCCTGTGCGTTGTGAAAATACGAGAATGATTATCTGGCTAGACAAAATCATTACACAATAGACAATCCGACGATAAACATGTACAGAAAGATGATTTGTCGATGCTTTATCCCAGGCGTATTTTCATCACATGTCCTTCCCGCCCCACCGAGATAGGTTTGCCCCAAAGAGCTTGTCAAAAGCTTAAATCCCCAACTTTTGAGTTAGCATTGGCTGGCGTATTCTGGAAACCCAAGGGTCAAGGCAATAATTCTCACCGTGATAAGGATAAACCCGTTATCAGTAGTTTCGTCATTCGCTGCCTCGACGCCACTGACGCCCTGTAAATGGCAGAGCAATCAGGCTACATTGCCTTATCTTTCTCTTGTCTGGATGTATTGGCTTCCCCACTTCCCCATAAATCTTCCATTATAGTGTGGAGATAAACATCAGTCATGATGACCAAAATGAGTAGCAGTGTGTCAATTCGTTAGACATCATTAGAATCAGGCGAATCACAGAAAATAAACGGAGGGCAGTCAAGTTCCCTCATGTGAGCTAAGCAATAGCTTGGAGGTTATAAAGAACAGAGAAAATTTCAGCACAGATGCGCGTGTATCAATCGTGAGAGCTTTTTCAGAAAATCGTGAGCTTGCCTCAAAATTTCCAGTTCGCACTGATCGCGCTTTGAGACCTACCAAGAAAGCCCAAGGACAAGGTGAGTTGGATAATAAGTTGGAGCGAGATGAAGATACACTTTGATTTTTAAACTGGGCGATGCTAGGCAGGCGAAACTGACCAAGACAGAGCCTCCATTGGTACTTGGCATAGTATCAGCATGCTCTGGATGCATCGTTTTTGGTCCAAGATTCGGGGTACCGGACCCAAGGAAGAAGAGGGCAGTCAAGACCAACACCTTTTGCTATCCAAAGTTGAGTGTATGAGAGAGCTACTACCTGCTGCTATACCAGGTTCACAAAACTTGGGAGAGCAGGAGATGAAATATGTGGGGTTTGGCATAGGTGGTGCGGGCAACATTCGCAGGTATGTAAAATTGCTACTCTTATACAATTTCTCTCCGAATATCGACTCAACGATGCAGTCGATCAGCTCATTTCCTCATCTTATACTAGGGTCTCAATTCAAAACGGGCAATACTTTGACCACCCCGCTCAGTCATATCGACGAGATGAACCACGGGAAACCGGGTGAATCTAAGATAAAGCTATCTTCATCTCAACAGATAGTATTATGTTACATTTTATTTGCCGCGAAGAAAATTGAATCTTTACTAGTATGAGAAGCTGCCAAGTGGTACCTCTGGCAGTTAGCTCGCGAAGATCTCTGTTAGAAGTTTTCGTGTCCACACTGAAGCTGTAAAGATATAGGAATGCAAGGAAACAAAGAATGAGAATGTTAGCGGGTAAAAGGTGCACATAGTCGTCGGTTATGAAAGTCCAGATGGCAAGACGAGCACCCTGAAGGTAGGTTCCGTTACATAGCCTCGACGCATCTAGTTAGGCTTTATCAGGTTAATAGAACTTTGATTGATTGATTGATAAGGTTGGTTCCGCCAGCACAGATGGCTAGAGTAACGACGCTTGCCAAAGTGTTTGAAAAGAATATCACAAGTCCACACCGAGGTTCAGAAGAGGATGCGATAGATTTTATATATGAACACCATTGAAGCGATGCAATAGCGTGCGACCATGGTGGACCAGCTTGGTGTTGTGGACTTGTCTGGCAGAGAGAGTCATCCGGAATTAGGGTTATGAACGTAATAGACGACGGTAATGAAGGTCACTTCCTAAGGTAAAATTGCTTGTACTTAGGTTCAGTAGAACCCGTATCCGCTTTCACAATTGCTCAAATGAGAGGGCGAGCGAGTAGAAAATATGGTATAGAACAGCCAGTGACATCATTACAATCAAGTGCAAACAGCTACGACAGCAATGACAGGCGAAAAGTGATGGCTGCGGTGCTCAGGCTGTTGCGAGACATTAGCTTTGATATGGATTAATTCAGTGGTAGGATTTGCATACGGTCCGCCCAACTCATGATCCTTTGTTAATGGAGAAGATGTATCCTAAGAGAAATAGTTTTGAAAAACTTGAACAAAGTCGCAATGGAAAATTGAAAAAAAAGGTCTGCTCTGGGGTTGTTGTGTGAAAATAACAGTCTCGAATATAAGAATAGAGCCTCTTTGCATACAACTCCTGACTGTCTAGGGTGGGTTGGATAGCTGGGAGCCATTAGCCATTGTTCTTGAAGGCTAGGGTCTACCATTGCGCATGTCTCGGCGCACTAGGTCTTTTTTCTTTCCTTACTTTTGTTTCAAGATTTAGGAGCCGGATGATGCTCAAGAACCAAGCCATGCCATGTACATCTCCTACACGAGGAGTCTATTATTTCGTCTCATGGCGAAGTTGAGACTGTAGTCATGCATACGGCGCAGGTCGCCCATAGACGACTACCTACCTAGGTAATTGAGTGGTCAATGATATCACACCAAAAAGCATATCTTTTATAGGTATACAAAAATAGTTTGCCTGAAGCTAGCTTTATCTTTGTCTAAGTGCTGGGTTCTACTTTCGTTTAACAAATTTACTTTCCAGCAGCCTCGAACAGCGAGAGTACTACAAGAGCTACACCCTAATAGAATGCCTATGTCACATTAGAGCTATGAAACTCTGAAATGGCTAGCAACTGGTCACTGAAAGTATTGACTATGACTACCTAGGTATGGCGCAATTGGCCACGGCTTTGGTTTGAATGGCTGAGGCATCGCATTACTTACTTACTGAACGTATACTCGCACAGTTGAAAGAGCCGAATACCGCGGAGTATCTTGTGTTGGAAGAAACCCCGTGTCTTTTGTGTGGAAGCGCCTCGAGGCGCCTTCCTTCGGCGATCCAATGCGCGACCCGCTTAGTCACGGGACCAACGAAAAGCCACAATTTCCTCATCTTGTGCAACTAAAACTGCGTCAGGGACTTCGCATCCAGAATCCACATTCAATCAACATTGAAGCTTCTCGGTGTCGTCCGTCTCGTCCCCAAACTCGGTTCCAATTCGAGACTTTTACATCAAGACCGCGAATATGCCAATCACTATGAATCCCACACTGCCAAGCTCGCCGAAGGAGCTGGCTCTGTCTAATGGCCCAGGCTCGAAGCTTTTCATTGCCTTCATCTCCTCACCAGACCCCACAACCAAGCAAGCGTGGTGTCCGGATGTCCGGGCTGCCTTGCCCCATATTAATGAGGCATTTACTGGAAGTGACGCACCGACTCTATCACTTATCGAAGTTGGACAGAAGCCTGAGTAAGTGTACAACGAATTTTTTGTGTTTCCGAGCCTACGATGTGCTGTGCCAGGCTGTATGAATACACATGGTCTGTTGCGCAAGAAGCTGATATGTCATTCTCAAGGTGGAATAATCTTCAGAATGTGTACCGAACAACTTGGGGCACCAAGAACATTCCCGCTCTGGTACGGTATCAACAGGTTAATGGAGAGGTCGCTGAGACGGGGCGGCTGGTGGAAGGTGAGATTATGAACAAGGAAGGGCTCCGGGCCTTCATCGCTTGAGGTATTGAATCAGGGTCGAGCTTCAGTGTGGCACACGTGTGCGCGAGACTCAATTTCCTTCTTACTGTAAATAAATACCCAATATACCACCCTTTTTGAAGAAATATCACACATATCATGGCCATTACTCCATCCCCAACTTCATTTTGGAGTTGGCTTACGAAATGAACCTGGACGTCCTTTGCTCCACCAGTCACAAGGTAAAAGTTCCAATCTGTCACGTTGATGGGTGTCTAGTGCTAACAGCTACATTCTCGCCCTCCTCTCAACTTCGTAGTTATGCGTGTCTTCTCCTATGAGATACTGCCAACTCTCTCTACTGCGCAAATGCAAGTTTCATGATCTGTTAATCATGGGACCTGAGGAAACATCGCAATTATGGACCAGTGAAATTCTCGCCTGAACGCCCCTTCAATATGATCAAACTCGTTGGCCAAAGCCGAACAAATAAGAACAGAATTAATGACTGGATCTTTAGTGAGCTCATACGAATACGTCGTTGGAGATTTGTGACTTTAGAGCTAATCGTTTATAGGAAGGGAGATATATCAAACGGAAATACTTCCGTTCCTGTTTAACGATAGTGGACCGGCTAGTTGAGGATATACTACTACATAAGATTTTAGAGGCAAGGGAGTATATGTTACTAAGTAGGGGTACAAAAGGATAAAAGTATACCCTACGGCGGTGCCGTATAGCAGAAAACTAAGGGTAACATGACCGTACGAATCCCTATGTAAGGCCCTGTTATCACACTTGAAACAATCTTACTTTCACATTCTAACAGTTTTGATACGTGTCAATAATGTATTAATGCAAAGGTACCACTATGGATTATCCAGAGATGTATATATAAAATGCGACTATTTCCCTTCTCTAAACAATTTAACAGGTAAAACAGCTCCCGTGACCTCTTCCAGCCATCTCCTCTTAGGCTTGTACATAAATGCGTCTTTAGCAAGCAATTTCTTTCTTCCTGGGCCTCTCTATGTTCACAGAAGCCGTCAATCTCCTCCAATACAGCAAACCTAGATGCGACGGCAAAAAAGCCGTATGTACCAGCATCGGCCCGTACGTCTGCTGTCAAGCCAAGGTGCGAGCCTTCCCATCCGGAAATTGCCAGGGTTGCACATGTAAGGTCTCCCACACTACCTGAAATAAATACGGCGGCAGTCACTGTGGGAAGGCTCACGAGAGCACCAACGACGCGAAGTGTATTTCTGGTGGCTCAAGCCTACGCGGTCATACTTGGTGCAGGTTATGCTATACTGAGTGGGATGAGATTACACCACCTTGCAATTGTACCGTGGAGCCTGATCTAATCGAGCCTGGAAATAAGTGGTTTAGTGTCAATGAGTCTGTCCCGGAGGACACAAAGGAGCAACTTCCGTCTCTATGGGAAGATGCTCTTTTGGATGAGGACATTCCTCAGCATTTGTGAGACCACGAGACGACTCCTACGGATGACTTGGTGGCGGATTTAAGAGCTTAGTATGAAACTTAGCGATATTGAAGTGCTTTGAGTATGTCGCAGTGCATACTGCAGTGGAGACCGAATCTATGTAATTCCTCGCTATTTTTGCTGTTATAGTCCCATGGCATAACCCATACTGCTCCGGGTGTTGGTCCGCCAGGGCTCAACGTAACTTCAGGGTCCAACGAGGCGAGGGTCCAGAGCAAAAGCTATCATCAAAACAGGTTTGCGCCCTGAGCGATGGAGGCTGATTGTCTTAAATGGTACAGCGAAAATGTTCCTAACTATGAATAGGTGATTTATTGACCCGCCCGCTGATGGTCAAGGTATTGGACTTTCATATCGGTGCGGCGAACCGGTGGAAAAGCCTTTATACCTTATCTTAGTGAGTGGATCCAGCGTGAATGTCGGGTGGGGTTGGACTTTACACCTAAAATCCATAGTCTGCGTTCTTCGTACAGAACCGTTGTAGGGCCTCGCGTAGGCGAAAATCTGGAAGCGCGTATGTACAGAAGCTTGAGCGGTGACACTATCAATAGCTTTGATGGATGCAGCCAGCAGGGTCCAGCTCTAAAAAACCATGGAGCCAGAGTTGGGTAAGATAAATAGAAGAACCATGGGACTCACGGACCAACAGGGAATCAAGCCACCGTCTATATAACTATAACTATGAGGCTTCAAAATCTACTTTGTTTACGAAATCGATTAGAGATAGATACTGAGAGGACGAGCAAACTAAAATTCTTTATCCTTCTATTCATATTTTGTTATTGGAAACCATTCGGGCAAGGCAATCTATCGGGTCCTCCATGAAAGAAGCTCTCAGGGCATCATTGACAGATACCTGGACGTTCTCTGGAAGGAGCTTTTTGCTCCGAGTTAATCATGTTTCTTGGGCGCATTTAGAGACTCAATAACTCGTGCTGCTGGGCCGATGGGCCAAGCGAACTCCTTAGTAGGGTCTTCAAGGACTTTACCCGTCGTAACCATGTCCACAATTGCGACCGCGACATAGCCGCCAATGGCGGTAAAAATGTGCCACCTATATGTTCTTGTTAGCATTTGGGTTTACAGATATGATAAGGGAAAGAGCAATCGCGTACCAACCATGCAGCTCAGTCAGGAATGCCAATGGCAGACCAACTGCCTGTCGAGTTTGGGTCAACATCCCGCAGGCCCAAACGTCAATCAGCCAAACAAAGTAACCAAAGGCGAAGCAGGCTATAGTCGTTAGAATTATATAATTTGGGTAGGAAGGGAGACATTGGATAGGGAATACATACAGCAACCAAAGAATGAGATTCTGCGGAGACATCCCCGGATCGCAGGATCGGGCACTTGCTGAGGGATGATTTTCAAGGTCCGCGTAGCGATCAGGTACACCGATAAAGCGAATGCACCTGCATGAATAATGAACTCATCCATGACCATATGAGCCACCATCACGATAGTGAAAAGGGTAAGAAGGATTGCTCCAATTATCTTGGTCCGTTGTGGACTAGCTTGAAAGATAAGGATGCGATAAAGAAGAGGGGTCGTGAGGAGATGCATCGACAACTCATCCGCTAATGGTGCCTGTGAGTAAGAGAGTGCCATATAGGGGAGACAAAAGGAGAATTGGAGAGCACTTACACATCTGCGTGTGATATTTGAGAGTCATATGGTAGCCTCCGGAGCAGACGCCGACTCCAATCAATCCGAGATACGACATTAATCGAAGACCACCAGACTGCTGCTTCTGAGCAAGCTGCCTGAGACCGTATGTACCATAGATGACTATAAAGTTCTGTTAATTAAATCGGGACCGCGTTATTTGAAACCTTTGCACTCACTGAAAATGAAGCTGCTGAGTGTATTGATGAACTCCGCAATGAATCGTGTCACGACATAATCCTGTCAATCGAATCAGCATTGGACCCTTTGAAAAATCTTAACTGGAGAAAAAAAAATACCTCCTCACAGAAGCTAGAACGGAATTGTTAGTCACTGTTGCAGAAACTGGGCGAGATCGCAACCTACTTCAAGTAGGATGTTTGAGGGCCCCAGAAGGGAACCACACTGGGGGGTTCCATCGTGTAGCAAGCTCCTTGTATTTCCAGAGAGTAATTTTTGGTACTCAGGGCGAGAGCTTAAAAATTTCCAGGGTTTTGAGCTGGTTCCCGGAAGACGCGGATCAAAATAATGCGCCCTTGAGACGGCGTGGCGGTTGATTGTCGGTGAGTGTCGGCAAAAAGAGGTCCGTGCATTCTACCTCAATTGTAGCATGCAACATGATACCCTGATCGCGCCTAAATTTTGTAGTCTCGGGAGCTCTGTTTTGGTAACATGTTTACTTCCACGGTTGAGTCAACTATTGTTCTTTACTAAGGGAGACTGACTGGTAAAGACGTTCCCTTGAGTGACTGTTTGCGTGTGCCCCACCAGCTTGCGGATCCTCCCGCCGTTTAGCCCAGATGACAATGACGTTGTGTGAGGGTGGTCTTGGGGTTCCTTGTTTTGAGCCTCACCTTGGAAAACGCATATTTTCACGTTCAGCGCTGTTGAACTAGGTGTGGCCATCTAGAAATTCTATACGATAATATTGTGACCGCCATGAGTACGGCCATGAATAGCGGATGGCCAGTATGACGGAATACGCCATCCAGCAATCGCTATAGCTGCAACATTTTAGACATTAGCTTATTTCACTTCTACAGGCTAAGCTCTGAAATCGGCCTGATTGGCTCCCTGGAGAGCTGCTGCTTATCCCAGTGTATCCACGTACTATTTTCCATGCTCTTCAAATGTTTTCTATGTCCCTTTTTCGGGCTTTCGTGGATTTTGATATCTAAGTCGTACCCGCCCAATTCTTCCTTGTGACTATATTTCTGAAATCTCTTGATATACGTCGAGAAGGGAGACCGTGCTGTGTCGTGTCATAAAAGCTGCCGAGAGAGGGGCACTAGAGATGATAGGAAGTAGCAATAGTAAGAAGACCAGTTAAGGTGATGGCACAAAGTGAATATCGTTCATATCCGTAGCGGCAGGATTCAGGACACAGAATTGTATTCCATGTACATGATGCATCAGGTGAACCGAAATTGAAGGCGTCATTCATTCGAACCAAGTTGATTTCTTGAGTTGCGAAAGCCGAGGAATCGCACTGCGTTACCACGGATCAGGTAGAAAAGGAGGTTCATAGTGCAACAATCAGATCATCTCAAGGGTCTTGGAATTTTCCAGTCATCTGCTGAGCCGGCCTCTGAACGGTTCTCATTGAGTACGCTTGAAATGTTGATAGAAAAATACTGTTCAAAAAGAGCAAAGCCTTGATGAATGAATTGTTGGGCTCTGCTCTAGTTTATCTCTATGGACAGGAGAGAGAAAAGAAGGAGGGGAAATATGAAATTCACATAAACGTCATATTTGAATAACCGAGCTAAAGTTACATTAAAATCTATACTGAATGATAGGACCCAGAACGAGATGGCACCGCGGAAACTTTATAAACAAAGTAGCAAACCTAAAGCGAACACAAAAATCATGATAACTGAGAATAAGTCCAGAGACCAAAAGCAAGAACTCTTCAAGTGGGGAAGATCATTGTATACAGTATATAAAACTAGTCAAGAGATGTGAAAGCTTAGGAGCTCACCCACTTGATTTCCATTTCACAAAGCATATAGGCTGAATATTTGAGCACTGGAGTTGAATGTCCGTTAGACTCGGGAATCGTGGAAGTCCATGTACTCGGCACCCTTGACTTTCAGGTCATCCAGAACATTGTACTCCATGATCCACTTCATGCGCTCCATCAATGCGTCCGGGTTGAAATTTTCGCTGAAGTGATCAGGATCGTCGGAGCTGGCCAATTTGCCAGCCTCAAAACTGGTTTTTGTGACCCGATCAGTGCGAGGCTTGCGCAAATCCTGGTAGAACTGGAATGCAGCGTGCAGGTCATCATTCTTCCAGTGGGTAAGAATGGTAGCCAGTGCAATACCGGACTCGATGGCCATGCAGACACCCTGGCCTATCATATGGTGTTAGTCAATATGTCCGGGATTTGTATCATGTATTAAATATGGACACACCTTGATGAGGAAGAGTGGAGTGAACTGCGTCACCAAGAAGAAGAATACCCGCGTTGTTCTGACTCTCTTTTATCTCAAACCACTTGGCAATTGGGTCGCGAACATATAGTGCTTGCTTCATCATGCGGCCATCAGATGAGCCCTTGTGGAGACCCTCGATGACGTCCTGGACTTGGGGGCACCAGTCTTTCACATGCTCGTGGAGTGTTTCAATATCCGCACGGGCCATCCAATTCTCGGAGTCCCAGGAATCAAGAGGTTCAGACATGAATCCAATGACACCGATACGGTCAGTCTGTGTAAATGGGTTGCCAATAGGCAGGCACAGGATATGGCGCTTCGGACCACGGAAGTTGACGACGTTGCGAAGGAGCTTGGAGGTCTCTTCGGGTAGATCCTCATACTCGACGAAGCCACGGTAGACAACCTGGCCGGAATATTTGGGGGAGTCACCGAAGCCTAGCTCGCGGCGAACCCTGCTCTTGATACCGTCGCAGCCAATCACAATATCAGCGTCAACGGTAGTACCGTCCTCGAAGTGAAGGGTGTACGGTGCAGCATCAGGACTGGTGTTGCGATCGATAACTGCGAGGCGTTTCTGCAAGTGAAGATGGTCACCTGGGACAGGCTTCTTAAGAGAATCCAGGAGATGAGCGCGGTGAATCAGGCGTGCATGCGGCTTTGAGAACTCTTCAATATGAGCAAGGTATTCGCCGGTCTGGTAGCTGTGGTACTGCATATAATAAGGCAGTTGAGGTGAAGAGCAGCGGAGCAGAGACTCTTGAAGACCAAACGTATCGAGGATGCGGTTGGCATTGGCGGAGATATCTACACCGGCGCCGACCTCACCGAATTGATGTGCCTGCTCATAGCACTGGACGTTTTTCAGGCCGGCGAACAATGCGGCATTCATGAAAGCCATGCCACCAAGCCCACCGCCAACGACGGCGACTCGTTTACTTTCGAAACCCATGCCGGTAGAACCCATGTCGATAGAAATGATGATTGGGGATAGAGTAGATTAGAGTAGGTGCAGAAGGTTTTTTGTGATGACGATTGATGCTTAGTTGGCTTTGCCTTAAAATGGCTTTCTGTTTGAATGCTGAGATATGATGCTGAATGCAATGATGGATGATGATGTTCTCGAGCCAGCTATTTGTATGTTCAGAGATTCCAGCCTAAGGCCCGTTGCAAAACCAAAGAGCCGATAGCCCTTCATGCTGGTGTGTTGCGAGTTCAAGTTGTTCCGACTGCTAAAACCGGATAGCGGGGCTTTCCCGGCCGATCATCCGTCAAGATGGAGACACCACTTGGGCAAGACCGACCACAAATTGCCTTCCCTGAATAGCTTCATCGGCTCTGACGTAGGGCTGACTATTTTGACAGTCGGAAGCCTACGATGCCATACAGCCCAGTATCCGAATGCCCATGAGTGGTCGGAAAGGGGTCTTTACAATCTCACCCGCAGGACACTAACGCAATTGAGATGCCGGATGAACCAGGCCTGAAACGAGTCAACAAGCTTTCTTTGCCTTTCAAATTAGTTCTTCGGCCTTACAAAGCTCTAGCTTACCTTGATCTTGGGTGTTATCTAGAGATAATCACATTCCGAAGGATGACCTGCGAGGTGTTCCGAAAGCGCCATTCTCGGATTCAGTGAGACGGACTTTGCCTGCCCCCTGCATCCGGGAATCTTGTATCTAACACGAGCCACTGTCATTATTTATCCGGTGATCTCCATGTTGCTCACAGTATTTATTAATAGAGAAAATGCCCACCGAGATGAAGAATGCCTATAGACGGATCACTCTTCAAGAACAGCAGGATGCACGGACCGCGGAGGGCTGTGCAACTGATCTCAGGATAACGGAGCCGACAGTTGAGCGTCGTCATTTAGTGCTTTTTCGCGTGCTCTCTGTAACAATCCGCGTTGTCCACCAACGCGCTGTCGCTCTATACTAGGCCCGTGGGGTACAATGACATAAAGTTTACTGCTTTGCGAGGAATTTTCGAACAGAATAGTATACGTCGGAGGTCTGAAGGGGATAGATTGCCAACACTCACCCTTCAAATGTTATTTCACACCTACAAAGTACATGCAATGTGACATTTCCAACAATTTCTCTCGAAAGCCGAGTCTTCTATCCTGCAAAATGAGGGAAATGAGTTTCCGTTCCACATCAGTTCTACCTATTCTAAATCAAGTGCTCTGTACGCCGTCACGTAATCTCTCCCTCACTTACTTCGAAATGTGAACCCAAATTGGCCCTATGCAACCTCCTCCCCCTTTCCGCATTCTTATCATTCCTTTCCCTAGGCCATATACTTAGCACCTATCCAAGTATTACTACGTTTTTACAACTGCATCCGGCTAATTAAAAAAAATCTACTATGTACTCACCATGCCACTCATGCGCAATGATGCTATACCCTTGAAACGACAACGACGCGCGGTAAGAAAAGAATATCTTATTAGCTATACAATCTAGCTATTTCATATAACACAAAAAAGATTATAAAATCCATGAATTTTTCAATATTTTTGATTATCTCAAAAGGGGAAAAGGGTTCAAGCTATTTGTCCACAGCGTGGCACTACAGCGTCCCCGATATCACGCCACGCGCTCGATTGCGCGGGGACATCACTTTAGCAAAACGTCGCTGTGTTCTTTTCAATAGACTGGAAAGACCTTCTGCAAAGGATTATAGTCCCAAATGATGCGACTCGGCTTTCTGTATGCTGCCGAGGGGGAGATAGCTAAGAACTTATTCACGTGCCAAAACCTTAGATCTCTGCTTAAGCATATATGAATACATCATCACCGAGCCTGAAACATATTAGTCTTAACCCTGGAATATATGAAAAGCAAGGATCTGCCACCCACCAGGCACATAGAGACCCAGGAAGAAGTAAAAGAGGGCCGCCACAGCTTGGTTATCCGTGACTGTAGTCGCCTGATACATCAACCACCATTCGCTGCTGATGCCAACGGGGTACAGGATTATGAAAAGAGAGTATCTAATAGTGTCAACCTGATGTATCTTTGTCGTCAAGGCTAAATTCAGACGCGGACCGGATAAACAAGGAGGGGGAAGAAAGAGACGGGAACTCGGTCATGGCCAAGAAAATTTCAAGGAAAAGGGTGAGGAGAGGGGACTTACCTCAAGCATTTTAAAGCCCGCGGAACGGGATATCCTGCCAACAAGATAACAAAATACAAATACCGGATCGCATCAGCTGTTGCCCAGGCAAGAAGCATGGCCGTATAGGCCAATGAAAGCGCAGTGATATCAGGAAATGCATAGTTGATGGCCCAGACCTGGACTGTGCGGGCAAATACCTGCGTAAAGGTGGTAAATACAGGGGATCGGATGACTCCTGCAATCCATAGCGGAAATTTTAGGTATCAGTCTTGGGAGGATAGCTTTGAGTGGGGGTGATACCTGTTGCGGCATGCAGTATCTCAGCTACGGCTAAGGTCTGAGCACATCGAGTCCATGCTTCGAGCGATGTGTACACGGCTGAGACATCAGGGGAAAAGATCAATGTCGCAACCGTGGTGAATAGGATATGTAACCAAAGGGAGGCACCGATAGTGTTATAAAACAGTAAGTAGGTCCGACCGGCAGTCGATTGAGGCTTATTGTGTGTTGACACCATTGTAACAATTGCAGAAGAGGCTTGTTTCTCCAGTACTGCTGGGCAGGTTTCGGTACGTTAAAGTTCGGTTTTTCTTTCAGGAATGTCTTATCAGTTCAATCTAACCACTTTAGGAGCCGTACCCATCATTCCCTAGCAAACAGTAGCGCACTCAGCCTCTGATCTTCACTTTAGTAGATTTGCTCGTCTTTCGAAGCCTACAAGCGCTCTAGACATAAAGAAATGTTTCTTCAAGCTCATTATAAGCATTTAGGAATAGTAGTAGCTAGCTAATATTCAGCTAGTCGCTGTTGTTCAGTGTATATTAAAGACAAAGAGGATATTTATGCCATTCTACCCACATCTAAGGAATAAAGAAAAAGGAGCCTGAATATTTGAAATAGGCGTTGAAAGTCATGCTCCAAATATGCTTGGCGCTTAGATGACAACTTAAGCTTAGGAAGCTGTAGGTCGAACTCCTCGCCATTTTAAACCTGGCCCTTGATTCCATTCAGCTTTAATATGCACAAGTCCAGCTAAACGATATCATGCCTGCCCCGTTTGCGAGCGGCTGGAGTCGGCTGATATGAGTGCGATCTTCGACAACATCATCGCGTTGAACCATTCATTTGTCAGCTTCATAGAAGCCTGACCGAACTTTTCTGAATAGCTGACTGATGCGGCCCTCCAACGCGAGGCGAGTCATCTTCTCGCTGTCCACGCTGGAGCTGTATCGTGGATCGCAAACCGCTGCAATCGAAGGAGGCGGCGGTCCTTCTGATAAATTCTCGGGTTTTTCGCTCCAGAAAATTTAATTTTCAAAAGTGGGAGGTGCGAGCTGGGAGGTGTTATAGAAACACGTCAAAAATGGGGTTCGAGACCACATTCGTACGGTAAGGCATATTCCCCTTGCTTTCTGCTGTTTTTGGTCACCTCCAGGGCCTGTTAGCTAGATAAATTAAAACTGTTCGGAGCTTGTATTTGGCATAATTGTGAAATCAATTAACGAATAAAGGGTAAGGTCTTTAATGACACTCGAGTGACGGTGCTTTGAGGATCCGCTCAAACAAACTCACTTTTTGCTGCCCGCATTTGAATGTATTTCTTTTGACTAAAACCAATCTTAGAATTTGGATCGATGATCTTTTATTTTTATTGAATCTATCCGGTCGGGTCAATAAACTGGTGGCAGCCGATATCTTAAAAATAATCGGAAGAACATGTACACCTTAGCAACAAGCCCCGGTGAACATGCAAATCATTTGGTCCTGGTAGCACCTAAGAACACGCGATATCGAACTTTCTTAACCAAGTATTGCCTTTCTAGTCGCATACCTTGCAAGGTCAGAAATATTCAGCAAGGAATAGAAAGGGCCTAGATCAAAGGCCAAAGAGACTTAGGCACGATCGGCCGATCGATGACTTCATGATCGGGCCTGTAACCTCCGCTGTCCGGGAGCTTTGAAGTCCGGGGTGCAATGTCCATGGTAGTATCATCTAGATCAAGCCATACAATTCCCATAATCGGAATGTGCTCATGTAACTCTCGTCATATTATTGGACGATGAACAGGCCCCCCCTGCCCGGATGTAGTCGGACTTTAGGAAGCTGCCCGGGAGCCTCAAGCTCCGACACCGAGTACCATAACCTGGCTGGCCTGTGATGCTTGACGTAACTACCGCTCACCTTCTGAAACATTAGTTTGAATCTGCTATATAGTCGGTTGATGGTCAGTACGGTATATTCTACCTGGTTTGAGCACAATTAGCATGTCCCCAAGGTGTGATTTTCTCTGTCTTTAAGCCATTTACCAGTGGCACACTACCATCATAATTGCCCTTATCGAATAAGTATCAATTCAAGATCATTATGAGCCAGGACCGTCCCGATAGTGGTACGACGTTGGGGTCACGAACAGGAAGGCGCGCTTCAACCGAATCTGCTCCTGCAAGTGTCGATACATCTTCTGAGTCCGGCCAAGAGGAAGATTTTGCTCCGATTCACAGTGCACCAACAAACCAGCCTGATGGAGGCTCAGAGGAAGCTCAACTGACTGATACAAGTCTTGCACAAACATTGACCCACCGACGCAGCTATGCGTCCGGCCATGAGGGCGAAGAATGGGCAACGATCGAACGGCTGATTTCTCGGATGTTTGGTGAAGAGCGAAAAGCAAACTCCGAGGAAGAAAATACAAGACATGCCGGAGTAGTCTGGAAGAACCTGTCTGTCAAAGGCGTGGGCCTTGGAGCAGCTCTCCAGCCCACCAATGGCGATATCTTTCTTGGTATCCCGAGGTTGATCAAAAGATTATTAATTCGGGGTAGAAAGAGCACTGGAGCTGGAAAGGCCGATATTCGCACTATTTTGAATGATTTCACCGGTTGCGTCCGACCGGGAGAAATGCTTCTCGTGCTGGGTCGTCCTGGATCCGGTTGTTCAACCTTTTTGAAGGTGATTGGAAATCAACGATATGGATATGAGAGCATCGAAGGCGATGTGAGGTATGGCGGAGCTGATTCGTCCACCGTGGCAAAGAGCTATAGGTCAGAGGGTAAGTGTTACCTCATCTCAAGGATATTTATAAAATAACCGGAATAGTGTCATATAATCCCGAGGATGATCTTCACTATGCCACTTTGACTGTGCGAGACACGTTGCTCTTCGCTCTCAAGACCAGAACCCCGGATAAATCCTCACGAATTCCAGGAGAGAGTCAGAAAGATTACCAGCAGACGTTTCTCACAGCGATCGCCAAGCTCTTTTGGATCGAGCATGCTTTAGGAACTCGAGTTGGCAACGAGCTTATCCGAGGAGTTTCTGGAGGGTAAGTAGAATATTGTTCACCATATTCTTGAACTTCAAGTCCGTGCTGATCAAATTGAATTCAGAGAGAAAAAGCGAGTGTCGATCGGGGAGGCCATGGTTACCAAAGCTAGCACACAATGCTGGGATAACTCGACGAAAGGTCTGGACGCGAGCACGGCACTCGAGTATGTCCAGAGCTTGAGAAGTTTGACCAATACCGCGCACGTCTCAACGCTAGTCGCTCTTTACCAAGCTTCTGAAAACTTGTTTAATCTGTTCGATAAAGTTATCCTGATTGAAGATGGAAAGTGCGCTTTTTACGGTCGATCCGAAGACGCCAAGGCCTACTTTGAACGACTGGGTTTCGAGTGTCCACCACGATGGACAACCCCTGATTTCTTGACATCTGTCAGTGATCCACACGCAAGACGCGTCAAGCCTGGTTGGGAAGACCGGATTCCCCGTACCGCTGACGAGTTTCAAGCTGCATATCGCCACAGTGATGCTTTCAAGGCTTCCTTCACCGACGTTGAAAGGTTTGAGAAAGAGATACAAGAAGGGGCGCACGAAAAAGAGACTGCCAGAAAGAACATGAAGACTAAGAATTACACTGTCTCATTTTGGAAGCAGGTTATGATTCTTACTCATCGGCAATTTCTCGTGATGTTTGGAGACCGAGCGGCGCTGGCTGGGAAATGGGGGGTCATTATCTTCCAAGCTTTGATCGTGGGGAGTTTGTTCTTCAACCTCCCCAATACAAGGTTCGTCAAACCCCCAAAGCTTCGAAGCTGTCAAAGCTAACTGTCCTCTAGCTCTGGAATTTTTACTAGGGGAGGTGTCATGTTCTTCATCCTTTTGTTTAATGCTCTGCTTGCTCTAGCAGAGCTCACGTCGGCATTTCATAGTCGACCAATTCTTCTGAAACACAAAAGCTTGTATGTTTCCGCTTGACTATTGAGTTTGCAAAGGATTACTCTAACAGATCCAGTTCCTTCTATCGCCCATCAGCGTATGCCCTGGCGCAGGTTGTCGTGGATGTTCCGTTGGTGTTTATTCAGGTTGTGCTCTTTGACCTAATAGTATATTTGTATGATCAATCCCCATACCCCTTTGCCCACAATTCATTAACCCCCATTGCAGCATGGCAAATCTTTCCCGGACACCTTCCCAATTTTTCATTAATTTGCTTTTCATTTTCATACTCACTATGACGATGTACTCGTTCTTCCGATCTCTTGGAGCGTTATGTGGATCACTGGACATTGGTAATATTATCTACAGAAAAAACCTCGGAACTTCACTGACGTTTATTTAGCTACTCGCCTTACTGGAGTTGCAATTCAGGCACTTGTTGTGTACACGGGTAAGTATATTGGAAAGCCCCATATAGGATCTGCTAAAATTAGCAACCAGGATACCTCATCCCTCCTTGGAAAATGCACCCGTGGCTCAAATGGCTTATCTGGATCAACCCCATGCAATATGCCTTTGAATCATTGATGGCCAACGAGTTTCACAATCTCGATATCATATGCGAGGCACCATACATCGTTCCTGCGGGTCCAAATGCATCTCCAGGTCATCAGACCTGCGCTATACAAGGAAGCACTCCTGATAAGTTAACAGTCAATGGGGCCGACTATATCAAGACTGCCTTCACGTATAGCCGCGCGCATTTGTGGCGCAACTTTGGCATCATCATTGGATGGTTTCTCTTCTTCGTCGCTCTGACAATGCTCGGAATGGAGATCCAGAAGCCTAACAAGGGTGGAAGCTCCGTCACAATTTTCAAGAGAGGTGAAGCACCGAAGACGGTGGAAGATGCAATTGAGCATACTGGGCCACCAGTGGATGAAGAGTCAGCGACAAAGAATGGTGCAACTCCCGAATTGAAGGATAAAGAAACAAATGAGAAAGTTCAGGACATTGCCAAGAGTACATCGATTTTCACTTGGCAGGACGTGAACTATACGATCCCCTACAAAGGTGGTCAGCTGAATTTGCTACAAGGTGTTCACGGTTATGTCAAGCCCGGTCGGCTTACAGCGTTGATGGGCGCATCTGGTGCAGGGTAAGTGACATTGCCGTTTAGACCTAGAATGAACGATGGCTAATTGACTCAAGAAAAACCACACTTCTCAATGCCTTGGCACAGAGAATCAACTTCGGAGTCGTCACTGGCAGCTTCTTGGTCGATGGAAAGTAAGATATTGCTCCGAAATCCAGCAACTTTGCTCATCTCACAATAATAGACCTCTCCCAAAAAGCTTCCAAAGAGCGACCGGGTTTGCCGAACAAATGGACATTCATGAACCAACTGCGACTGTGAGAGAGTCCCTAAGATTTTCAGCCCTCTTGCGTCAGCCAAAGGAAGTGCCAGCGAAAGAAAAGTACGATTACTGCGAGAAGGTTATTGACTTACTCGAAATGCGGCCCATTGCTGGCGCGACGGTCGGATCCCAGGGATCTGGATTGAACCAAGAGCAGAGAAAGCGACTCACTATTGCGGTGGAGCTTGCCAGCAAGCCAGAATTACTTCTATTCCTGGACGAGCCAACTTCCGGTCTCGACTCGCTCGCAGCTTTCAATATTGTCCGCTTCCTTCGGAGATTGGCAGATGCAGGACAAGCCGTACTTTGCACTATTCACCAGCCATCGGCTGTGCTTTTCGAGCAGTTTGATGATCTACTTCTGCTGAAGAGTGGTGGTCGGGTGGTATACAACGGTGCTCTTGGACTCGACTCCAAGACCCTGATAGACTACTTTGAGCGCAATGGAGGAAAAAAGTGCCCGTCTAATGCTAACCCGGCAGAGGTAGGTGCTCATCACCGATTTTAGACCCACACCGAAGAATTCTCTGACTCATCTTCAGTACATGCTCGAGGTCATCGGTGCTGGCAACCCGGATTATAAGGGCCAAGACTGGGGTGATGTGTGGGCCGACTCTCCAGAATCCAAGAAGCTTACAGATGAGGTAGAGAACATTATCAGCTCCCGCCATGAGATGCAAGACGACGAAAAGATCAAAGATGATCGGGAATATGCAATGCCTCTCTATACGCAAATCGTGGCAGTGACTAGGAGAGCATTCGTGGCATATTGGAGACTTCCTGATTATATTTTGGTACGGCATCTTGTTTCTTTATGTATATCTGGCGATCGTGCTGCTAATACTATGTTCTAGGGCAAAATGATGCTTCATATCTTTACCGGCCTTTTCAATACGTTCACATTCTGGCATCTTGGGAACAGCTATATTGACATGCAGTCGAGACTCTTCTCCATCTTCATGACCCTTACTATCTCGCCCCCTCTCATTCAGCAGCTACAGCCACGATACCTTCATTTCCGAGGGATCTACGAGTCGCGCGAGTCCAGCTCCAAAATGTACTCATGGGTTGCATTTGTAGTGAGCACAATCTTACCAGAGCTCCCATACTCGATTTTCGCAGGATCTGTGTACTTCAACTGCTGGTAAGTGACATACTGATTCCATGAAGCTTCGAATATCTTACGAGATCTAGGTACTGGGGTATCTGGTTCCCTCGCGACTCGTTCAGCTCGGGCTATACATGGATGCTGCTCATGGTGTATGAGTGCTACTATATCGGCTTCGGCCAATTCATTGCAGCCTTTGCACCAAATGAGTTATTTGCATCTCTGCTAGTTCCATCATTCTTCACCTTTGTCGTGTCGTTTTGCGGTGTTATCGTTCCCTATTCAGCTCTACCTCATTTTTGGCAATCCTGGATGTATTGGCTTACGCCTTTTCACTATTTGCTCGAGGGACTCCTGGGTGTTGTCACCCACAAAGTTCCCGTGCAATGCGTGGAACGCGAAGAGGCCCAATTTAGTCCGCCTTCCGGCATGACTTGCCAAGAATATGCAGGTGCTTATGCACGGGAAGCTGGTGGTTATGTCCGTGATGCCGCGAATGGGATGTGCGCATATTGCCAATTTTCGGAGGGTGACACGTTCGTAAGTATACCAGAAGCACCCACTGTGCGAACGGAGGCTAACAAGAAGATCTACTAGGCTGCCACTTTCAATGTTTTCTATTCGCACAAGTGGAGAGATTATGTAAGTTCAAATGACAACATTATATGTTTTTTGGTGCTAAGAATCACCTAGGGTATCTTTTGGGCCTTCGTTTTCTTCAACTTCTTCCTAGTCTTTTTCTTCTCATGGCTATACCTCCATGGTGTTCGTGATTTCAAGCGGTGGCTCAGCGAACGCAGGACTAGGGGTGGTAAAAGTAGTAAAGCTTGATCTAGACGGACGAATGGGCTATTTTTGTTTATCTTTAGAGACAATTTTCGAAATAAATTGATTGAACCGGAAGCGAGAAAGATGTTGTAGAAAAGTAGGGTAGCACTGCTCTCGTGGGGATCTCAGCTCCGCGCCGGAAAAGCTTGGCGCCTCCTCTCTTCAACCGCCGCCCCCAATTTCTTTCTCCGGATACACAACGCGCATGCTCGATTGCTTTATGTCATGTTGATCTACGTTTGAATTGGCGGTCTCTCCCATCTCCCCACAGCTCCACCCTACTCTCTTACCATCGCACTCGCGCCGACATGAAGGAAGAAACTCCCAGAGAGACCCCCGAAGAGTCGCGCGGCGACGAGAGCCAGCACTCGGCCTCGAAGTCGGCGAATAACCAGACGGCTAAGGATCGCAAATGCCAATACTGCAACCAGTCGTTTACATCCTCATCCCTCGGCCGCCACCTTGATCAGTTCCTTTTCAAGAAGAAGCCCGACGGCGTCCACAACGTTGAGGAGATTCGGCGCATCCGTAGTGGGATCACACGTCGACAGGCTCGCACGAGCTCTGGCAAGCATGACGGAAGCCCCGATCACGATCTGAGCAAGAGCTCCACAGAACCTTATCCATCGGGAGAACCGAGCACGAAGTCACGGGAAGCTCCCGTGCGTATGATGTTCAACACACCTACCTGGCACGCAACTGGTGTCATCAACGACATCCCCAATCCGAGTCGGGCTCTGGATGGACCTCGGGCTGCGCCGGCACCCGCGCGGACGGAATCGCTGCAGCTACCGGACTACGCAAGCCGGGGTGCTACGGCGAACAATCCGGATACAATGAAGGCGCTCGAGCTGGCATTACGCGAGGTACTAGACAATATCAAGGCTGCAACGTATGCGATAACAACCATTTTATCCTCTTGAAATTGAAGCTAACTTTTTGCCAGTGCTGTTTCGGGCTTCCGACCTCGGCCATCTCCTTTCGACTTCGATCTTCAAGCCCAGACATTCCCATCTCTGTGTCTTCATCTTCTCCCTCCCCCTCCGAGCCTATTTGCGGCCCACCCGTTTTCTTCTCCTACATCATTCCCGATTCAAGCACCGGGCGCGGAACACTTAGATATCGTCCGGCAAGCACTTCGTTCCAAGATCGCACAATGGCAGTCTGATCAGCTCACCGCAGACCCCGCATCCCACCCAAAATACCCAAGCGGCGGCATGGACAATGCAATGGTCTATCGTACGGCCCAGCAGCATGAGGAAATCAGTTTCAGGCACCTGGACCTGGCGTTCAATCATTGGAGTACACTTCCTCTAGAGGCCCGTCGCGAAGCATGGTCACTGGAAATTATGCGTGCCTTTTCCCGCGAAGCTGAGAGACGCAGGTCTTCTGATGAGCAGCTTGCGAGGGTCCAGCAGGAAGCGAATCAGTTGCGTGCCCAAGTTGAGCGTCTTGGGGCTTGCCAATGGCCTCGTGAGTTCGCTTTATTCCCACCAGACATGCTTCCTCTGTCCCGGGACATAACCCGAGAACTTGACGCAAAAGAGAGCCACATCAGCCCCGACTCGGCACGATGGGATTATGATAACGTTGTTGCCAAGTGGAAGCGTGTTGTTATGCATGACAAGGGTATGGGCCGCATTGGAGTGGGCTATGGGATAAACGCAGGCGGCTTCATGGAATCAGATAATAGTCGACGCCAGAGCCCTGACGCTCGTCCTCCACGGCCAGGCGAGGATACATCATCTCACCCAAATCGGTTGCGTCCTATGCAGGCTCCTGTCGCGATGAGTCCTGATCCCGCAAACACATCCACCCCAGCCTCCTCCACGAATTACGCTTCTCCTTACTCTCATGCCGACCCCCGCAGTCCACCGGGTGGTAGTGGTCCGGGTCAGCAAAATAAACGCCCGAGGCTGATGAATGGATCGGACGGTCCAAATGCACCATCCGCCGAGCCACCGGCCAACAGGCCTCCTTGGCACTCTTCCACACCGATCCTCTCCAATTTGGCTGCGCCTTCCAATCAGACGCCGCCGTCTTCTTCTCGAGGCTAGCACAGTACACGTGCTAGCAATATCAATGCCTCTGTAACAATCAACCTGAGAATAAACTTGCTGGTGAACTGGGTAAGCCAATATCTCAGCTTTCAAACCCACCTCACCATATATACGTGTATAGCAACTTTTACTGTGAAATGACACCCCGAACTTACCTGGGAACTTGTTATGCATCTGACTCAACGACACACGAGCTTTGAACAAGATGTATATTTTAACGCTACATTATAATAATACAACCCTAGGAACCCCAAGATCTTTTGTCTTTACTTTGAGAGAGGATGACCATAACTTACAGAAATGCCCAAGAAACAAATGAGGACCGAAAAAACACAGTGTTTAGGCCCTTTTACCATAAAGTTCCTTTACAACCTTACGTAATGCGACTCCGAATCTTAAGCGTCCAAAGAGATATCGGAGCTACATACTATAAGGCTACAAAGGACTTGGCGCTATACGATACATTGAGAATAAAGGTTTCAATTCTTAGAAGATTGAGGACAATTCTCGACCTGACCGGGATATCAGACCTCAAATATGAGGTCGTCAAATGTCACGAGCAATCTCTTCCCCAATATACTCCGCAATGGTGAGCATCTTTTCCTCCTGCAGTCTCCTTCCCACGAGTTGAATGCCAACAGGCGCTCCATCATAAGTGTCCGCATCATCTTTAGTTCAAGTTAGCGACATAAGCTTAAGAAAGACAAGTGTAGACTCACAATTCCAATTGATATAATCAGCAGACAAAGACAAGTTTTTACCATGCACATCCACCGTCTTGTCTGCAAATGTCACCGGGATAGAGATGCTGCTGTAGTCCAACACATTGACAAATGCTGTATAGCCCACACTCTCGTATTGCGCGGGAATAACTGCTGCGTGAGATGCCAATGGACAGAAGAGTCCATCCACAGGACGACCAGTGCCAGTGAGAGCTGCTGTGCTGTTCCAGTAGTCCATGTATTCTTTCTGATATTCACGCTTGGTGATATTGAGAGCTGCAATCTCTGACGCGCTCAGCTGGGGCCCGTTTTGCTGGACTATGACTTGTTTCGCCTGCGTTTCCCCGGAGAGACTGAAGTGATGCCTGAAGTCTGCACCGCCGTCCATGTCGAATGTTCTGGCCTGGTATATGTCAACGTGGTCCACACAGGTACCTTTCAGTTGAGTCAAAGGGTACATACAGCTATATCATGAGCCCTCTCATGAGAGGGTGGATTCCACGGTATGACCTTATGTCCAAGCCGCTCAAGAGTCTGCTGAACAAGTTTCATTCCTCGTGCAATGGGTGGGTGGATACGGCCCACGCCATTATAAGGCATTATCCCAAAGGCAAGAGACGAAGTACCGCTTGTGGCCTGATTGATCAACTTGCGCGTCTCTTCGACGATAGTATCCCGCCATGGGATCTCCAATGCAAGTGGATCATGAAGCCACGGCTGTTGACTGAGAACAGCCTTAAACAACAACGTCAGAGACCGCGCAGTCGGCGCAAGCGGTCCGATAACTGACAAAATAGTACTCTGTCCATCCGCAGAATTGGCAGCGCTCTGATACGGGACTCTGCCTGAAGAAGGACGTAATCCATACAAGGAATTGAATCCAGCTGGGATGCGCACACTGCCGCCAATATCAGTCCCGAAGCCAGCGGGCGACCCTCGTAACGCGATTAACGCTCCCTCGCCGCCGGAACTACCGCCGCAAGACAAAAGTCTGTTTTTGGGGTTCCATGTGTAGCCGATGATGTTGTTGACGGTTTCACCTGCCATCAGCGTAGTTGGGACGCTGGTCTTGCAATAGAGTACCGCACCCAGATTGCGCAGTTCTCTGACCAGCTCGCTCTCCTTTGTTGCTCGGCGTGGATCGTCGTGCTGGCCTTGGAAAGTGCCGATCCAGCCCACGTACCCCATGGTAGTCTCGACACCTTTGACATGGAATTGATCTTTCAGACTAACGGGAAGACCGTGCAATGGCCCGGTAGGCGCTTTATGCTCTGCAAAATAGGCATCGAGCTTGATTGCGTCTTCAATTGCTGCGTCGAAGAAGATCTCGTGTAGACAACTGACCTATTCACTTTTTTTTTAGCATAAGTCCGCGATATCTGTTACTTGGGACGTACCAGTTGATGAGCGATTGCGGCGCGATGGCAGAAGGCCTTGGTCACTTCGACAGCCGACCAGCGCCCTGAAGTCGTTTCAGCAGTGATATCAACAGCATCAGACTCAGTGATTTCGATTTCACGATTGCTGAGGAACTGCTGAATATAAGGTCCGGTAACATCACGCTGTTCGACAGCCGTGGGGATGGGACCCTTCAGCCGCCATATCTCGGGAATCGCATTGAGAATTGATTGGCGCTTAGCCTCTCCTTGAGCAGACCAGTTGGAGTCAGTCATCGTGAGTGAAATGAGATGATATATGATAATTTTCGTGCAATATATTCTATTTAAGTTGACCTATGCTTATCGCGCGGGGCGGGGGTGTTGGGGTCGGTTGGAGACCGGATTTAGCACCGCGGAGACACAGCCTACGGCACCAAAAGTACAGCATTCTTTATCTCATATCCTGGCAACCCGGTCTATGTAGATCCTAGATAGTGTCACGTTGAATCTGAGTACCCAAGGCGATATCCTCAAGCGACGCTCCTCTTCAAAGGTATCATTCAGCACAAAATGCACCATTCTTGGCCCATGATTTTACGGGTAGGCCAGAGAATCTCGGACTGTTGACAGGAAGCAGATCCGAACTGTCACCTTTTTGATAGGTCCATATGCCATACGTTGGGGTGAACTTCAAATCAGTTTGCCATCCTTGGGGTAGATGTCTAGTATGTGCCAAAGGAGAACCTCCATCGCACTTAGGGTAGGAAGACCGTGGACACAATCTTCTCCAAATTGTTCAGCTTGGGGGTGCAGTACTAGATTGGCACAAGATTTGAGATACCCCAACAAGAGCAGACCCCGGAGAAAGCATTGGCGGCTGAATTCGCTTGCCTCGCTTAGAAATTGGGGAGACATGAACTCCGATATCTCACGGAACATGTGGGATATTCATCTGGCGCACATTTAGATTGATCCGTTTGCCAGACATCCAGCCCTTCCACATCTCATAAGGATCAATAAGAGCATCCGGCGCATTGTGCCCAGCAGATGGCCACTCTGCCAGCCAGCTCGGGCAGGTAGAGGGCAAAATCTTAGGGACTCCATGCCAGGCAAACCGAGAAGTTCCATTCATGTAGACGGCATCACCTGACCGAAGCCGAATGACCTCTGCCGCATTCCCGTCATCGTGGCTAACGAGAAACAAGCCATCGCACCCAAAGCTGATGCTGATCAAGCCCACATCGCAATCCTCGCTTACATCTCGATGCGCACTCAAGGTATCGCCAGCAGAATACAAATTCAGGATCGCCGCTTGCGCCTCAGTCTCGGGGAACGCAGCCTTCAACAGCTTCGCGACGTCTTGTGGGAATGGCGGCGGGGCTTCGGGAGGATAGACCTTGTCGGTCCAATTGTATTGGCCACCCAACGTGACCCAGCGGAGCTTCTTCTCGAGCACACTCTGGATGGGCAGAGGCTTGTGAACTGAAGGATCCTTTGGCTGTAGTGTGCGTGTAGGATCGTCTGCGAAGAACGACTTTGTGGTGGCAGTGCTGTCTGTTCCTTCCGGGTATGTGACGTCGTAATGCAGGTGCAGATTGGTTTTATGTTCCGGGTTAGGGAGGTCTCGGTGGAGCAGGCGTGACAGGAGTTCGGTCTGGACGGTGGGAGGGAATATGGAGGGTATCATCAAGAGACCTGTTGAAGGTTAGGAAGGGTTCTTTGAGCTGCAGGGCTTAGTTCGGAGAACCGTCAAGGCTGACCGGAAACCGAGTTGTGAGTATAGACTGGCATGTTCTCCGCCAAGGGAGCATGGTCTTGACCGGACGCATGTCCCCCGCGAATGAAGTCATCGAATGCCAGTCGGAGCTCTTGGCTGGACATGTACTGCGAGATGCTCAGGCTAGGCGGTAGGTTGTCCGGATCCACCCGCTGTAGATCGAGGATGCCGGGATCATTGTCAATTTCCGACAGAGGAAGCTTGGAGTATTTCTTGAAACAAAGCCGGACAGCCTCCGGAGGGCGGTCGTGGGCATTGAGGTCTTGGATCTGGGCCATGGCGATGCGGACTTCCAAAAGATCGGCGAGGGACAGTAAATGTACGCGCTCACCGCCTCGGCGCGGGGGTTGTTTGTTTTCTCTCCCCATTACTGTAACGATCCTGCTCAGTGAAGATCTTCAATCCGACAAATTACGACCTCCTTGGTGTTGAGACCTCACTTGACTAGCTCCGTGGTCTCAGAGATCGACGATCGACTTCCGACTGCCTGTAAGTCTCGTTGATTCCTTCCCCCTCGTGTCCCTCCTTGCTTCGCCCTCACCCCCCCCATCATCCGTCCAATCTGCATTCGCCCCCATTTTCTCGGTCCCTGTCATTTTTGCTAACGTGGCCGACAGTGAAGCTGAATCAGAAGTCTCCGCCACCATGGATAACTACCAAAAAATCGAAAAAATCGGTGAAGGTACGTGTTGACGCGGTTGTTGATATTGTCTTGTCGGAACTTGACTCACGCGTCTTCCGTCTCTAGGCACGTACGGTGTCGTCTACAAGGCCCGCGAGCTGGTCTCCCCAAACCGAATTGTTGCCCTCAAAAAGATCCGACTGGAAGCCGAAGATGAGGGTGTTCCCAGTACCGCCATCCGTGAGATCTCACTTCTCAAGGAAATGCAGGACCCCAACATTGTCCAATTGCTGAACATTGTCCACGCCGATGGTCACAAGCTCTACCTCGTTTTCGAATTCCTCGATCTCGACCTGAAGAAATACATGGAGGCCCTGCCGGTCAGCGAGGGTGGCCGTGGCAAGGCTCTCCCTGATGGATCCACATCAATGGCAAGCCTGGGGCTGGGCGACGCCATGGTAAAGAAGTTTATGGCGCAGCTGGTTGAGGGTATTCGGTACTGTCACAGTCACCGCATTCTTCACCGTGATTTGAAGCCTCAAAACTTGCTCATTGATCGCGACGGCAACCTGAAGCTTGCCGATTTTGGTCTGGCCCGAGCCTTCGGTGTCCCCCTGCGCACTTACACCCATGAGGTAGGCACCGAGTTCGGAAACCCTGAAGCAACTCGCTTGACTGATACGTTTTATCTCAGGTCGTTACACTGTGGTACCGCTCCCCCGAAATTCTTCTTGGAGGCCGCCAATACTCCACCGGTGTCGATATGTGGTCCGTCGGCGCCATCTTCGCCGAGATGTGCACCCGCAAACCTCTGTTCCCCGGCGATTCGGAGATCGATGAGATCTTCAAAATCTTCCGGTGAGTGTTTATCTTTATTCTCAATGGATTTATCCACTAATCGTCTATCTCTACAGTGTCCTCGGCACTCCCGATGAAGAGATTTGGCCTGGTGTCACCTCCTTCCCCGATTACAAGGCGACTTTCCCCAAGTGGAAGCGCCCCGATGTCGCCATTGTCCCCGGTCTCGAGCAAGCTGGTCTCGAGCTTCTAGAGGCCCTGCTTGAGTATGATCCAGCGCACCGCCTCTCGGCGAAGCAGGCCTGCATGCACCCCTACTTCCGCAACGGCAGCTCTTACTATTCAGGTCGCACCAACGGCACAAGAAACGGTTATCACTAAGATGATCTCGACGCAGATATTTTCCGTGTAACCTTATTCATTTGTCAGAGGATCGCACACGAGACTGATGCCCAGGCGACATGCGTTTCTTTGTTTCTTTTTGTGTTTTTTTTTTCTCTTCTATGTATCTGGCGTTGATGGGGTGGGGGGAGTGACTAGGAGGGCGGGCTTACTTTGATACAAGTGCTTTCAGTCAAAATGCAAGGCGTACATACCCCTTTCGGACCATAAGCCCGGTGCTACCCTAGGGAAACGATTTAAGCTAAAATCTGCAGGAGTATAGATCACTGCCAGGGGCACCATGACTGCATTTCAGCCTCCATCTCCGCTATTTCAGCCCGCATGTCCCTGGGATGCCGTATCTTCCGAACGCCAGATGAGTAACTCAGCTCCGGGATTGTCATATCCAATCAGACACACAAGCGCATATGGAATCTCGTGTCAGAGCTGAAAAGCGCCCCCCCACTTCTGAAGCCAAAACCTGGTGTTAACGTCACAACAGGGTTATTATTGGCAACCTAGTCCCAGCTGGTAATCATCGTGCATACGCCGGGAACGCCTCCATGATTTCTGCGCGGCGCAGTTGGGGGCCATTTTGGCACTGCTGAAAAGAAATGGGAAGTTGGGGGCCGTGGCGCGGCCATTGCGCCTGTTCCTTTGCAGGCCCACATCGAGTCTAACGCATGTCCCTGCAGCCTTACGGCGAATGCCCTGGAATACCGTCCGTAAATCCGGTGTGCGCGCTGATGGGCGATTTCTGGTCTTGGTGCCGGACTGTCCGTGTGGGAGGCCGTGCAGCGGTCAGTAGCGTAGCGGGGAAAGAGGAGTCAATCGGTATCTAGGGCTGCACTGCCTTCCTTCGTTTTTGATCTTATGTGATCATTGTGTTGCTTTATAAAGTGCAGTCCCCGTGTCTGGAGTGCTGTGTGAATCAGTTCGTTTCGGACCGAGACCTAGTATATCACGCTTACCATGGAAGACTACGACGATATGGGGTACGGTATCCCTAACCGCACTCCATCCTCGCGCTCGAACAGTCGGCCTCCGCATCGCCCACGTTGCCAGGCGCCACAGGAGTCTGTCAAGCAGTTCTGGGAGCAGTTTAATACTAAATACCCCGGCAAGGTGTATACCGTGCTGCCGGATAACCCGTATGCTCGCACGCGGGCCAAGCGCGTGCCCAATGGCGTGGTCCAGGGCCACGAGGCTGTCAAATCTTATGAACAAGCCAAGCAGGAATGTCAGAAGTCCGTGGAGCGCATTGTCAAGCAATGTGAGCGAGTAAATCAGAAGTACACCGATCCCCACTTTGACATTGAGCTGGATCTCAAGTCAGGTCGGAGGCACTGTTTGGATGGCCTTGACAAAGTCAATGAGGAGATGAGGCCGCGTGGTGTGAAGCGAGTCACTGTAAGATGATGTGCATTGGTGCTGATGGTGTTCAAAAATCTGACTAGTTCCAGGAAATCTTTGAAAACCCACAATTCTTCGTCAATGGACCGACAGCGTCGGATGTGCGTCAGGGTTGTGATGGTGATTGCTGGCTCATGGCCGCCTTGTGTACGATGGGGAATAAAAGTGGTCTGATTGAGAAGATGTGTGTTGCTCGGAATGAGACGATCGGCATTTATGGCTTTGTGTTCTATCGCGGTACGTAAATAAAGCGTCGACAACAACGCCAAGATACTAACGGTGGGACTAGATGGCGAATGGCAGCAATATATCGTCGATGACAAGCTTTATTTGCGCGCGGCAGATTACGACGAGTCAGTTGATGAGCGTCAAACCTGGGACGACATCAACCGCACCGACAGCGAAGAGGAGTATCGTCGGGTGTGGCAAACGGGTTCGCGGGCCCTCTACTTTGCACAGTGTGTAGACCCAAATGAAACCTGGCTTCCTCTGCTGGAGAAGGCATTCGCCAAAGCCCACGGTGACTATTCGGCCATTGAGGGTGGCTTCGTTGGAGAGGCCATTGAGGACCTGACTGGAGGCGTCACATCCGAAGTGCTATCCAGTAACATCCTTAACAAAGACCGTTTCTGGACGGAGGAACTGATGAAAGTCAATGAGGAGTTCTTGTTCGGTTGTGGCACAGGACTCTTTTCGAACTGGCTGGATCCTTCATACAAGGGACCTCCTCGAGACCGAAAGGGAATCTCGGAGAATCACTCATACTCCATCATGGAGGCCCGTGAGATCCAGGGACATCGCCTGCTTCGATTGAGAAACCCCTGGGGCAAGAAGGAGTGGCACGGTGCATGGGGTGATGGCTCCGAGCAGTGGACGGCAGAGTGGATGGAGCTTCTCGGCCATAAGTTTGGCAACGACGGCTTCTTCTGGATCTGCTACGCAGACCTGTTGCGGAAATACCAGCATTTCGATCGGACTCGTCTCTTCGGCCCCGAGTGGATCATAACACAACAATGGACGACCTTAAGTGTGCCCTGGTCTGCCGACTATCATAGCACCAAGTTCATCATGAATGTGACCCAGGCTGGTCCTGTGGTCATCGTGCTATCCCAGCTTGATACTCGGTACTTCAAGGGCCTGGCAGGCGAATATAGCTTCGTCCTCAAGTTCCGTGTCCAGAAAGAAGGTGAAGAAGACTACATCGTGCGCAGCCATAGCAGCCACTTAATGGGTCGATCAGTGAATGCCGAGATCAGCCTTGAACCGGGACGCTATCATGTGCTTATGAAAATCACTGCCTTCCGGGACGAAGAGGTCGAGTCGACGGAAGAGATTGTTCGCCGTCTTGCCTCGAGTAGGCGGGAGAAACTCGTCCAGGTCGGACTCTCGTACGATCTTGCGCATGCCAAGGGCTTAGTGGCCGAGACTGACCAAGAACGATATGAGAATGAGAAAAGAAAGGCTGCTGAACGCAGGAAGATCCGTGATGAGACAAAGAGGAGGTTGCAAAAGGAATGGATCCGGAATCGCAAGATGGATGCGCGGCAACAACGACAGGAAGCCCACCGTCCTGGTCAGGGTCCTCACGGCGCCGAGCGTACTTCAATTCCTCAGCAGATCTTGACCGACCGACCAACAGAGTCACCCACTGACACCGCGAGTATCTCCAGCGATGGTAGTGAACGACGCCCGACTACCAACGGGTCAGTCCCAACGATCCAGTTTAACGGTCTGCATGCACGACACGCCAGTGGATCTAGAAGGCAGCGAACCGAGTCTCCGCGCCCGAGCCTCAACACTCGTCTCGCCAATGAGACCCTGGACAACAGTGATCTTGAGTGGCTGGAAGGATTCGAGTTCGACAGCGACCTCGATATGCCGACCGACGAGGCAGACCACAAACAGCCACGAAAATTTCCCGAGTTGGAAGGACCTGCTGATGATCCTTGGAATGCGGTCTGCGTGGTTGGGCTGCGAGTCTACTCCAAAGATCCCAAGCTCAGCTTGGAGGTGGCACATCCTGTTTCCGAGAATGAAATGGAGGCTCCTTTGGATCGGGATGATCCTGCCGTGTCGGCAACTATTGAGAAGACGTTTGGGGGTTTTTACATTTAAGAAGGGCCCTAGCCCTTTAATGTTCAATTTTTGCAACTGAGTGGGGGGATAAATGCGTGGAGGATGTGGAGGTGGCGATTGAGAGAGTCGACTGTATTGTGCTGCTTGTGACCGTAGTTCGGATTTTAACATATCATTCCTTACCGCCAGCTTATTTTTCACCCAAGCTATTTATTCATTGGAACAGACCCTGAGAAACGTAGACAATTATCCGTTACTGCATTTTTACAATGGTTTCCAGATCATTGGGATGAGGCATTCCAGCATGTCTAGTTACCAACTATTTCATGCATCAACTGGTGGCCGTTTTCTACTTCCAATGAAAACCCCCGTCTCGACTCCCGCGATCTTCAACCACCTACAACCACCGTCTCCAATGGTGCTATGCGCGCCTTAATACACCATTCAAGCCGTTTGGCTTTTCAAATATCCAGAACATCACGGAAGAGTGGCTTTTCTATAATTCATTCTGGCACAATTCGATTCTACACCGCATCGGCTGGCTATGTTGACGAAACATTCGCGCTCTCTATCGGCCACAATGGAGAGGTGAATTTGAGGTATGAGCTTGGATTACTTACTTTTATGTTCAACTGAATACTAAATAACTGCTAGAGTCACGCGACCGGTCGCGTCGTATTCACAAGCCGCGAGTGATTCTTCCTCAGGGCCGAATGTGATTCTTTACCTGCCGCCGGGACCCTTGTTTCAAGGGCTAGGCGAAAATCCTGCTCAAGAAGATGCAGCATCTTTGGAGTCGCGTAAAGAATTGGAACTGCTCAATGCAGACTCTGCAGAGTACTCACCCCAGCATCTCCTGGCATCCGCGACCTCCGCAACGGTAGTCACAATCAACTACCGCCTCGGCAGACCAGAGGGCAAAAATGCCCTGCCTGAAAAGGCCATATCAGAGCAAGAGCAACCTCCAAACCTGGGAGAAACAAAATCTAGCCCCAGCACCCAACCAGACTTTTACAAATACCCCACCCCAATCCACGACACACTCGCCGGGTTCGATTGGATCCAAAACACCCTCAACCCAGCGCATCTCACAATCTTCGGCTCTCACATTGGCGGCTCCTTAGCGCTCATGCTAGCCCTCACAGAAGCACAGTCCGTCCAAGCAGTCGCGGCCCATGAGCCCGTATGCGACTGGCCCAGTCTAGACGAGTACTGCGCAATCGAAGACACAGCACCCGAGACAAGCACAGCCATAGAGAGCCACCATAATACGAAAAGATCCCCAAAGAAGAAAGTATCGGGTTCTTCTGCGCCTGCAGATTTAGTTCCACTCCTTCAAGCCCGTGAAAGGTTCTTCTCTTCGCCGGAGAGATGCTTCGATGCATTCGCATCTCCGATTCTCTTCCTTCGCTCCCCGGGTCGGGACACGCCGCGCTCATTTCCCCAGTATCTAATTGGCCCAGAGTATCCCGTGCCAACGCTGAAGAAAACTCGCAAATTGACTTCTGCGGAGCAGTACGAGGCGCCGGATGGGTCTCTTTGGGATAGAGATGTCTATCCGGATGTTGATGTGGAGGATCCATATGATCCTTCTGCTCCGGTTGTACGGCGCCGGAAGGCATTATCACGCTGGCCGCCCTATGGATTGGATTATGGGCTTAGTGGGAAGACTTGGACCGGGCCCGAGCACGGAATTGGGAGGCTGCAGGTTACGTTGCCTTGGATGAGGGTGTTTTTAGGGGGTGGAATTGGTGGTTCGATTAGGGATGAGACGGAAGGGCATAAGGATGGTGATTCTGGGCATACCGTTCTTGCAAATCAGGGTGAAGAGATGGTTTCTGTTATGCGAAGAGCGTGTTTCTGGGGCCGGGAGAAGGGTGTTGGGGAGAAGAAGGTGACTTTAGCGCGGGTTGAAGGGAGTCTGGAGGAAGAGGCTGGGGCTTGGTTTAATAGCTTTTTTGATGGGTCGATAGAAGAGGATTAAAATGATTTAAATGATCGTCATGTTCTGAATTTGAGGGTGGACTTCAAGTACAATATCTATAATTAGGTATCGGAATATCCAAATGCTCCGTGTCCGTCTAGTTCCTTGTATACAATATCCATGTACTCCAGTGCCGACTGATCTTACATGGATGACCCTCCAAGTCCGGTGTTCGTATTCGTTGATTCCCACCACCCATCTATGTCCCCCAGGTCTGGAAGTATGCCTGTATCACCGGAAAACTGGGGTGTGGATATGCCCATGGGGTTTGCATTACCTCCGCTGCCGGTGGGATCGGACAGCAGGTTGAGGTCGGAATTGCGGATCCAGTCAAGATCGCCTGGTTGGGCCGAGGGTGTTGAGAATTGATGTTGCGGGTAAGTCTGTTGATTTTGTTGTGATGAAACGGGCTTAGGTTGGAAGGTGTTGGCGGCAGGTGGTCCCATCAAGTTAAAGGAGTCATGCCGTGGGCGAGGTGTGTTATTCTCCGCTATGCGGGTCTTTTTGCGCGCATCTAGCCCATGTATACTCCGGGCTTGCTGCGAAGATAGCGTGTGCTGAGATAGAGCTGCGAGATTGGCGCCACCGATTTGCCGTTTGGCACCCGGGCCAGATCGGCGCATGTGTGTTTGCCAGCGCCGCTGGAGGGTGACTAGATAGTCACGCGTGCGCTTAGCATTCTCAAATGACTGGCCTAGTTCGTCTAGAGCGCGGAAGCACAAGTTGAGGTACGCAACCATCTCCGCATTGCGTGGGTGTGGTTGGTTCGTGTCGCCTGGCTTGGAGGGCATCAACGGGGAGCTTGATACCGTGACAAAAAGTAGCATCAGTGCTGCACTGAAGATGATGGCTACGACCTGGTTGCTCATTCTTCGGAATGAGTAGTGCTTCTCGTAGATGTGGAGGAGACGTGCGACTGCGGTAGCAGACTCGATGCACATGCGTCGTGCATGGTGGTATCCGGGTCCTTGGCGAGGGCTGCGTGGTTGGATGTAGCTCTTGGATACCCATGGTCGGTGGAAGAAAATGATGATCTGGTGGTATTGCATGCTGTGACACTGTCAGTGATGATAACATTTGGTAATTCAATGGTAGACCTACTGTAGCATTAAGAGATGAGGAAGTCTTGGTGTCGTATCATCATCCAGATCGATCTCAAGACTTGATGGCAGATTGGCCTTCCAGGCAAAGAGATCTTCAGTAACCTGAGAAGTGAGCCTCTGCAAGTCATGCCGAGAAATATTGGAGCATCCATATCTTAAAGACATTAGCAAAGTCATCTATACAAGGCAGGACATACGCACAAAATATGACCAGCAGGAGAAATCATCTCCCACAGGATGACAAACTGCCTGCAAACGAGCTCGGACGGGTTCCGCAGTCCATTTTCGAGCGCATCAGAAGGAGCTTGAAGTCCATATGGACGCCATGTCCCTTCTCTCTCGGTTCCAAGGGTGGAAGCAGGTTTAGCCACCGAGATATCTCCAGCGTTCATGCGGAATGGACGACCTAAGTAGAACCCCCAGAAATGATCTGCAACATAGCTTCCCCAGAAAGCAGCTCGCCGAACATCAGCTTCGTGAGGGCTCATGTCGCCTTGGTTGACATATGGTGTCATATCGAGATGCAAGCCCAAATCAAAGGCAAGTCGCATAGACATCCCGCTGTAAAGCCAACCACGGGCATCACGATTCGACGCGCCCTCGTGACAGCTCATGAGGACCAGTGCTTGAACAGTGGCAACGCATGGAGAGTCGAGCTCGATCTCCAAAAGAGCCTTGGCTCTGTCTGCGAAGAATTCGGCCAATGACTTGGGAAATGTGATGAAAGTAGGGTGGTATCTTGCCTCGAAAGCACTTCCAATGGCACACCTATGAGAAGTTAGCATTTCGTACGGTCTTCAAAGATTCGATGGAAACCTACATGGCGTTGGTGAGGACTTCGGAGTAGAAGGGGGTGTCGTCGTATTCGTTCCGCCACTTGAACCGCGCAGTCATGTACATCTCTTTGTCAACAACGTAAATGCTCGGATTCTGCCATGTGAAGTAAAGCTCGACGAGATGATCTTCCAATCCCTGGTCAACCGGCTGGCCGACTCGAAGATGATTCAGAATATCCTGACCATCATGCCGAACAGTTCGCGCATCAGGCCTCTGTCTCTGTTGCGTCGCGGAAACATCTACCAAGTTGAGATTGGAAGTCGCGCCATAGAATCTCAAATGACCATCTCCAGCGATCTTTAATGTACCAATTCGATTGGACAACTGTTCAATGACATCGTTCTCAGCCTCGTTCTCATCTTCGCTATCAGATTCATGAGTTGGGTAGTCGACCGGCATTTGGCCCAGTAGAACACTGGGCTGCTGAGCCATATCCATGCCAAGCTGAAAGTTATCTGGGCTCACGCTTGTGTTGGCCGGTATCTCCGGCGCCGCGCCATTGAGATTGGCGTAAATGGTGTCCAGACTTTCTGCGGTGGGAAGAGTAAAGCCCCAATGAATGAAATTCTGGTTGTCAGATGCTCCCCGCACCATTCCGAACGGATTCCAAGGCTCCATCGAGGGCACCTGCGGACCGGAAACAAGTCCCTGCGAAGATGATGAGCCGGGTGTCGCCACCTCGGCTGCCTGTGGGGGCTGTCCATCTGGTGTTGTACTCGGGGAGCTCTGAATGGGGGATGTTCCTGACATTCCATTTTGATTTATTTCTACTGGTTTCTGACCAGCGGGGACGGAACTTGTGCTTGTAGCGACGCCGCGCGCAATCTGCAGGGTGTCTAGCACCCTATTCATGCCAGCTTCATCATCTGCTTTCATAGGCGGGGGCTCTAGTCCCTGATCATGAATGAAATGAACGAGCTGGTCAATTCTCGCGGAGAAAAGTTCTGTGGCAGCTCGGAGGGATACTCTGGAAATGCGTCAGTCATCTTCCTTCGGGATATCAGTGATGCAATTCTCTGCACCAGCAACAGACTCAATGCATGCATAAAAAGCCAAGAACAGTCACTCACTTCCGCTTGTCATCCCCATGCTGATATTTGCAGTCCTTCCCTTTTCGCTGACAATTTTGACAGTGTGGTGTCGAGCCATCGCACTGCGACTGATTAGATTTCGGCGCCGATCCCCGCACTAGGAAGTACATACTCTGATCTTGCTCTCTCGACACGGCACGCAGGCAGTCGTAACGTGTTTGCGGGGGGTCTTTCTCGGCTTCTCGGGTTCGGGCGACATTTTTTTCAGGCCCGGTCCGGGATCTTGAGAGAGGATGGGCGATCTGATTTAAGACGTGGGGGCGCGGGGGTTGAGGTCGGAGTTGGTGTCGCAAGCGCAATCGGACAGGCTGAGTCACCGTGTCAAGTCATCTTGCGTCAGTCTGGGCAGTCGCATTCATTGTTCAATACGTGCGAATGCGAATCTGAAAGAAGTCCAGGTGAAGACAAAAGAAGTCGGGCATGCTTAGAATGGCGGGGGAAAGGGTCCACCAACGACTAAGAGGGTGGACCTATGAGATGAGTCGTAATAAGCCAAAGGCCCCATTTTTACACTCACGCGGACACTTGCGCCTAGACTGTACCAGTACCAGTACATGTACAATTAAATTCTAGGCGATAGTCAAGAATGGGCAATCTTCGCTAGGTTGCGAAGCTCAGGTTTGAATTGCTGGCTACTGTCTAAAAATGCACCCTACCAGTTAGAGGTGCGCTTGATCCGCTCGTTCTGGATCACCTCGATCCAATATCCATCCGGGTCCAAAAGGAATGCCACATTGTGCATCCGGCCATCTGTCAGACGCTTCTTGAAGTCAGTCTTGAGCGACTCGAAGCGCTCACAGGCCGCTTGGAGATCATCGACCGAAATACCTGCAAGCCCATTGGTTAGAATATATCGGATCAAACACGATGGGACGGTGGAGTTTACAGATGTGGCCGAATCCCTGAGGCTCGGTATTACCGTTGTGGTAGACTGGACCCTCCTGCTTCTCGGTACCGTAGTTCCAGGTCAGCTCCAGCAGACCCTCCCACTCCGCAACACTGTTCTTAGCACCGTCCTTGATCTCGGGGTTGGCGGCGGGATAGCCCAGGAAGTACAAGTTGAACTTGTTGTCCGGGTTCTCAATAGTGCGGACCAAGGTCATGCCCATCTTCTCCTGGTAAAACTTGAGACTGGTTTCGGCGTCCTTGACGCGCAGCATGGTGTGGTTCAGACGATAGCTGCTAGGGTCGGTGGTGGTAGACAGGGCTTCGTCGCCACGCTTAATGATCTCCACCCAGTATCCATCAGGGTCCTTGGCGAAGGCGATATGGCGCATACGTCCCTCAGTCAATTTCTTCTGGAAGGGATAGCCGGCGTCCTCGATACGCTTGCAGGCGGCTTCAATGTTGTCCACCGAGATGGCAAGGTGACCAAAGCCGCGGTGGGGCTCGGTGTTGCCATTGACCACGCTGTAGTTGGGATCACTCTCAGTGCCATGGTTATGGGTGAGCTCCAGGACGGCGTTACGGTCAGTCCAGTGACGGTCACCCTGGAGAGAGGCCGGGCCATTGTAGGCAAGGAAGTAGTTGGTGAACTTCCACTCGGGGAAGTCCAGCTTGTTGACCTGACTCAGGCCAAGGAACTTATAGAACTCAACCGATCGCTTAGGGTCCTTGACCCGTAACATCGTGTCTAGGCATGGTCAGTGTCGAGGTGCAGGTCGGAGATTGATTACTAACGGTTGAGCTTATAAGTGGAAGTATCGGAAGCCATGGTGTAGGTTCGCACTATCGCGGTTAGTGATTGGCCAGCTGACAGGATCCGCGGGGACAATACCAGGAAATGAGAAGGGAGTGAGGACCTTTGAAGACAGACGGAATCGTGAGTACATGTTATGAAGAGGGAGGTTTTGCGTGAGGGGAGGTGGGGCGGATGGCGGATGGCGGATGACGCGCTACTCTGACTTGGAGCTCTGATATTGGCTGTATTCCCCCTGTATGCCTACTAATTCCCCGTTCGATGGGTATGTTCCTATCTAGATCGATACGATGTACCAAGTAGGAAGTAGGAAGTCCCAATGCTAGTGCATCATATAGCTCGGGTCGTGAGTTGACACCCAGCACCTCCCACTAGACTAGACCACTAGGCTGCGGGCCCCGCATCTTTCGGTCTCTCCTATCGCTTCCTCCATTCTCCGACCTGGTCTAAACGCCTTCATCTTCCCCCTCTACATCACCCTCTACGATCGCCACAAGGTTCGTACGCCTTTCCTTCCTGCACTCCGCACGTCCCCCACACCCCCGGTTGATCACCCACGGGCCATTGGTCTCTCTCCCTTCCCCGGCTTTCGTGTTGGCCTTGCTTTTTCCCAATATTTGCACTTCCGCGCTTAGCACACTATTGTGCTTCTGCCTGCGCCCCGGCCCCAATCCTTCCCAATTCTCCCCAATCACAAGCTTGAATGGCTTCACGTTGCCCCCAGTTCTGCACGATGGTCGTGGCGTCGCGAGAGCCTCGCGCATCTCATGACTGCGCGTCCTACCCATATAAAACCCCCCTGCTCCGACCTCGCTCTGTGCCACCGAGCGCGGCTGGAATTATCGTGACTTGTCAATCAGACCGAGTCATCTCTGAGTCAACGCTGCTCGTCTCCTATCCCCCTTCTGGCCTAGAGCCCGCTATGATCGATCTGCCCTCGTGCCCTTTGTCAAGCTTGCGTTGGACTGAAATAGACGCTGGCCCTCCTGTGCGCATGCATACACGGCCATGGGTCTGAAAATGGCTGAATACCAACAATTTCCAGTAGCCGATTACGACTACTTCGCAAGGCCCGACCCTGTTTCTGTTCCGAAAACCGACCCTGACTTCCTTCCCTATTGGGCTCGCTGTCGCGTGCAGTGCGCTCAGAACCTTTTGGACTCCTCCGACGAGCCGATCGAATACGACGAGAACGACGAGGACTATAGTGATAACTGCTTCTTCTTTCCGGAGGATTGCTCGTGGACTCCGCCCAAGGACTGGTCCGTAGAAGCGCATTGCAGACCATCAAGGGATCTCCCGACCATTCAACTACAATTACCTACACCAGCCGCACAATACGAATCCGACATCATGATTCCCGGACTCCCTGATATCAAAATGCTGGACTCAGAGGCGCTAGGCGACCTTCTAGAAGATAACCTCTCCCCACCAGAGATCACAACCATCCTGTACATCCCCCTTCAATCCCAAATGCTACCTTCCATCCAACAAATCACTAATGTACCCCCTCAAATAGTGTCTTCGCAACCAACGGCGCAGTCTTCGCCTACAGCTCAACCCTAACATCCCGCCAACTCCGCAACCTAAGCGCAACCTACGGCGCCGCCTACACATGCTACGCCAAAACCGCCTCAAGCGGCAACCTAACAGGCGTAAACCCAGCAAGCCATCCCTCCTCCTACGTGACCGCGCAATCAATGTCCCTAGGCGACGTAGGCTCCATCGTCTTCGAACTTGACGATTCAGTCGCAGTAGTAACGCGCATCGCGGACAGAGTGCTCCTAGCAGCTGTGGGCCCGTCCAAAAGCACAGCAAATGGCGACGAGCATGACGACACAAATGGGAATGGGAATGGGAATGGGGCCATTTCAGATGGATCGGGAGATGGTCTACGTACGCCGACGAACCCAAACCCAGGCTCGGCTAATGGGCTTGATGCACAACATGAGATTGATCGAAGTGCGGATCTGGAGAGGTTGAAGAGTTTGAACTTGTCGGCCGAGCCGGCTGTTTTGCTTGCGTTGGAGTCGAAGTGTGCGGCGTTGGGGAGGTTTCTTGGGCAAAAATTGAGCGACTTGGAGAGTCCGGAGGACTTCTGAGGTTTTGTGGTAGTTTTGGCCGGTGTGGCCTGATGTGAACACCATACGACACTGGAGGATCAATGGGTCCTGCTTTAGGTGTACCATCATATATGAGCTCATGACAAATTGTGAATTTACTTCAGCGATCGTCAAGCGGACTTGGAATTCTTTCAATGTTGATATCTATACATGTGCATAGTTGCTATCAAGAACACGACTCAACTCTACATGAATATTCAGTATATCAATGTAAATTAGATACTCAAACGTATGAGTAACATCCAAATTAAGACTAAAAAAAGAATATCGCTGAAAGTCGTCGTATTTGCGGAATATTAGGCAAAGTATATATGGAAAACTGTCTTCTACACCCTCAAGCCACAAGGTGATCAATTTACCTGGGCACGCTGAGATCATGAAAATGAACAAAGGCCAGAACGAGAGATGTCAACAACACGGCATCAATACATCATGGAAATCAGAACGTATGCAGTGGTGTCTCCACGGAAGCAAAAGAATAAGAGCAAACCGACTGGAAGAGAAAAACCAGCGAGGTTTCACCATGTCACTTGATCTTATGACTTCTCACCAACAGCGGATCCGCCAGGGGATGTGTGGAAGTGGCTTGAGGTGGTGCTGGTACGGGTGATACCGGGAGAGGGAGCAGCTTCCTTGACTGGATCCTTGACCTCAGCACTAGGGGAGGTAGCTGGTGCGGCTGCGGTTGCTGTTGGGGAGGTAGCTGTTGCGGCTGCGGGTGCGGTTGGGGAGGCGGCCTTCTCGGCCTTCTCCTCGCCATTCTCGGCATAGGTGGGAGGAGGGTGGTTGGCGGAAACGTTGCGCGAGGGAGCGGCGGAGGTCATAGGCGAAGCGACAGCTGATCCGCCGGCCACGTTGGTGGACACGGTCGGGTTAGACTGGCGAGTGGCGTCCTTGATGACGGACCACCACTGCTCAGCGTCGTTGGGGGTGTGAGCCTTGAAGCTAAGCTCGGTGTTGGTGTGGAAGGCGTTGCCGACCTTGCCGCTGGAGACATCCTTGCCCTTGACGTTGAACTTGACGCCGTCGATGGCACCGACGATGCAGTCGGGCAGGTACAATGACAACTCCGGTGTGGGGTCCTTCTGGAAATCGTCGTTGCTCTTGAACTCGTGGAGGTATTTGGCTGGGGTGACGACGTAGTAGCCGGTGCTGTAGCCTTTGATCATGGCGCGAGAGCGGCGCTCCAGGGAGCCCTCGATCAGGGGCTGAGTGGACTTGTGATCCATGTTAGGGAACGTGATGCTTGAGAACGAGCGCGGCGGCGAGTCGGGGTTGACTAGGTTAGCGTCGTTGCGGACACAGAAGTTGACCCACTCGAAGTCCGGGGGAATACGCTGAGCGGTTCCCAAGACGTCGGCGTACATGGTGCGCTGGCGGTCGAGCTGGCCGCCCATGAACTGGAAGAACTGGTCTAGGGCAGTCTGGGCAGTCTGGAGGACGTGAGCTTCGAACTGCTGGAATGACTCCTGCACGGCCAGGATGTCATTGCGGTGGTTGTTCTCTTCGGTCACCTGCTTGTTAAGGCGGTGGTTGATGCCTCGCTTAATGATGTAGGGATCGTGATGCTGTTCGATCTTGTTGTGTCCAGCGGCATCCCACGAGGCGGAGTTTTGGCCCAGGAGCTCAATGTGCTTCTGGGTCGTTTGTCGGGCCTTCTCCACGGCCTTGGCGCCCTTGGCAGCGCCCGTCTTGAGCTCCTTGGACTTGTTCTTGATCTCCTTGTGGAGACGTTCCAGAAGGGGAATCACACTGCCCTTCAGGTTCTTTTCGGTGTCAAGATACATGTTCACCATGCCCTGGTTAAGCATTAAAGACCATTTATATCAATTGAATACCACCAGTGTGAGCGTACCTGGGAATTATTGCGCATGTTCTCGAAGAGACCAGTGACACCACCCTCGCTGGAGCTGAAGTGGTGGCTCTCCTTCAGAGGTTCGCTAACGGTCTATATAAAGTGTATAGTTAGCACACCGCTCATCAAGACATGGGCACAATGAGGCGCTCACCTTGAGGATCTTCTCATGGTCCTTGGACTGAGACTTGGCCACCTTAGCACAAGCGTTGACATAGTCCTCGAGGTTGCCGCACATGTGCTTCCAAGCACGCAGACGCTCGATTAGCAGATTGGTAGTCTGTATTGTACGAAAGAGCACATCGTTAGCCGATCATTCCCCCCGCGGGATTCCGCTGCAGCCCAGTGGCCCGCAGATACACCAGAGTACTCTGAACACACCTCACTGCTATCGGTCTGAGGAATAGCCTCGTCATCGCTCATGGAGGTACGGCGAGTGAAGCCACTGCTCACGGTGCCCGACCGCTGGGGGAGCTTGACATCCGTCGGAGAGGCCATGGCGGATTGTGGGGAGACAAAGGGGACCGGTGGAAATGACGCTTGAGTCAGGCTCGCAGAGGATGAGGGTAGGCGATATGTCCAGATGTTTTCTCAATGGCTTTAAAGGGCAGGTCGACTCCTTTTTGGGGGGAGAAATGCGGGATCGGGGATCTGGGACTGTGGCACTTTCGTGGCTGTGGTCGAAAACCCGGATCGCCGGGGCAAGCGCTAGTCTTATGACGGACTAGCTGTGAACAAAGCGCTTCGAGAGAAGACGATGAGTGGGTCGATGGTGGGAATCGAAGGTGGGAAGGTGGGATGAGCTCGCATTCTTCTACGCCGATCGCGCATATTGCGGCGATGAGGTCACTGCTCACGTCTGTGGCGCACCGGTGCCCAACTTACATGAAATTTAAGATTTAAGATTTCCTGGGAATCAGGGTCTTTGTACATAGAATTGAGAACTACTGGAACCTAGGAGCATTGGAAGGTCTGCCACGTCAACATCGCTATAGGTCTCACGCTAAAGATAATGTTACCACAACCCCGGTGCCCGCCTACGCCACGGTGGAGCCAACGGATGCGGATTTCCCCCCTCCCCCCCCTCCGAAACAACATTCCATGCTACTGTACAATGCCTTTATGCTTGAAAAACATCAAGACTTGCCGGACTTGGAACATTCAGTGTTATGGATTTTCCATTTGGATTGGATGTTGTGATTAGGGTATAGGTTGAGCAAGTTTGGGTATCCATGCGTAACTCGTGCTGTGGAGACTAGTTCTCCAATTCAGCTGTGTCATATTCCCGTAAAAGCAAATGATCATGTCTATGAAGATATCCTGGACTTATCTATAATAAATTCGAACGCCGAAAGGACTGGTGTATGACCGTTGTCGTGAAATGCAGATGTGGCAGGAAGCGAGCTTCCTGAAAGAGAAGAGATGGAGGGAAAAAGTGCAGATGGGTGGTAGTGGCCAGCACTGAACCCAACTTTTGTATGTTGAAGGGGGAAATTAATGTAAAGGATGCTGTGCGTAAAGATTTGATCGAGGGTATTGATGCATAGACAGCTCAAGCTCTAGCGCGCGCTTGCACTAGTCGCAACCTGGTTTCAGCGTCGTCAGCATTGGAGCTAGGGTGCAGGTGTCCGGGACGATTATGCACCTCGAAAGGAGTGGAGACTCCGCTAGTCCGGCCACTGTTGCGGCCACTTCGCAAGTAGGCCTGTTGCGGGGACTGGAGCACCGGCGTCGAAGGCAGACTGCTAGCCATTACTGCATTGTAGTCAGGTAGGCCCGAGTCGCATGGACCCACGGCCGCACGCACTGCGGTCGAGTAACTGGGAACTCGGCTTAAAGTCTCAACTTCGGCGTAATGAGGGTGGAAGGGTGTTGTCATGCCCGATACGATCGGGGACTGAGCCCCATCATCAGAAGGTCGGCGGGAGAGCTCTGGGCTACCGGGACTGTGTGAATTCGAACCGGAAGACGGCCCGAAGTAGTCACCAAAGTGGACGTTCAATCCACGCGAGTTGGCGTGATTCTCCGGGGGAGAGTTGGGTATCTCCCCAGGTGTGGCCGGCTGGAGAGTACGGTTTGCGCTGAGACTGTTCAAGCGACTGTGAAGAGCAGCGGCAGAGATATCGGTGTTCGTGAGGGCGGCCATCGAAGCCAGGTTCTCTGCAGATATGTTACGGCTGAGCGCGCCGAAGGGTGTGCCGGGGCCACCGCTGCTGGGGCCCGGAGTGCGGTAGCCATTCGGGTCGACCTCGCTGTATAGCTGGTCGACGGTGTGCTCTCCATAGAGGGGAGGTGCCTGGTGGGCGGCTATATCATCGGCAGTCTGACGATTCGTCTGCTGTGTCTGTTCACGGAGATTGTTGTTCTCGTCTATGGCAATGTTCGGGGAGATGAAGATCGAGACCGGAAGCGTCGCGCGGAGCTAAATTGTTACAGTCAGCAAGACCCTCTGAGGACATCTACCTCGGCGAATATCTCTGACTCACCTCACTGATGTGGCCGTCCGGGTTGTGAAGTTGAATGCGGAACTTCAGCTTGTGGCGGATTTTAATGCCCTTGGTGTCCGTGTCCTGCAGGCACCGGGTCAAGGTTTGCGGCATGTCTAGATAGCGCGTGAACTGGTATCCCTCGGCCGCCTCATCGATAATCTCGATGTTATCCTCATTGGTCTCGTGCTCGTCGGTCAATATCGTCCGGGTAATCTTGTAGGTGTTCCGAATGGAGTCGGGATCTTCCGGGTTGAGAGTCAAATCGTGGCTTTCGATGAGCTGTGACGTAGTCTGTCCGATGCGCAGACCCTTAAGGAGCGGGACCAATTTGAAATCAACGCGAATGGCAGTGCCGAACATGACAGCCTTCGTGGGGGTGCTGATGGAGTATTCGATCTTGTTCGGCCAGATGTTGTCCACCGACTGAGATATTGTTAGTCTGACCTCACACCACAATATTCCGGTGCAACGTACCATCGCATGCGCCAGCTCCAGAGCGCTGGAATCAAGGGTTCGAATGATGCGCAGAGGTTTCCGAGCGACGATGTCCTTGGCGTACTTGCGCCCAATCTCGGCCTTGAATCTGTACATCACCCAGGTCTCAGACAGACCCTCCACGCTCTCAGGCATGGAGCCCTCCAAGACGACGTCAAAGGGGTATTCATAGTTGCCGGCAGCCAACACCTCTGTCTTGCCCTTGCCGGGGTCACGGAATCGCCACGTCTTGTCGTAGAAGACTCGCTCGCGCCAGGATTTGCGACCGCCAGCTGACGAACTAGATGGAAGGTGCCAACTGCGGTGCTTATAAGTTTAAATTCCGGACTGCGCACTTGCTGCGGAATGACGTACCAGACGCGCGACATGCCTGTCAGCTGTAGGCGGATATGCTTGATGGCGAGGGGCTCGGACAGGCAGAGCAACAGAGTCCCTTTCAAATGAGCGCTGGCAGCCTCATGTTCATTGCCACGAAAAACGATGTACTCATCGTTCAATCTGGAACGTCAGCACAAGACCTTCAAAGCCTCACATGCCACCCCACTCACCGAATGTCGAAATACTTGGCGTTACTGGCACTTCCACCACCACTAAAGAAGCTGAGAGCCATTGTGAATTTGCCCGCAGCTGCGATCGGGCAGCCGTAAGAAAATCCAGGAGGAACGTATAGTGTGTGTGAGAGAGAGAGAGAGAGAGAGGGAGAATCGGAAAAATGAGGGAAAAATGAACCAGCTATATGACAGATGGTTTTTGCGTAAATTCTCGGTGATCTACCGGTGAGTGTCCAGAATCGATATCCGGTCCGACCAAACGGCTCCGCAGCGGTGGAGATGTGCCGGAAGCGGCAGTGGATTTTATGTGGCGATGAGCGCCCGGAGATGTTGCGAGTTGACTAAGCCTGGAGAGCCTAGATAAGGGATCGGAATTTGTTGTGGGAAACAAAAAGAACGGGATCCCATGGGATATTCCAATAATTAATAGGAAGTAAGCAGCTGAGTACCGAGGGAAGCTGATCTGGCACGATGGATTTACGTCAGCGAAGGGTATCTCACGATCATATGAAGATGTCACATACCCTAATTGTTTTACAATTACTATCTTCAATCACGTACCCAATCCCCACCTATATCTAGAACTTTGTGTTTTGTGTTTCAAGCTATCGTAATAGCACTGTCTTCATCACCCCATGTCAATCCGTTGCTCGGGGACCTTCGTTTACCCATTCTATCACGCCATGCCTCGGGATCGCCCTTCCCGCATTGGTATTAGATCGATCCAGTTTGATCGTCTGCTGCATATCATACACGTACAATGGTTAGGTGTTATCAACTTGGCTTTAAAAATTGGCTGTCTCCACTCGGTCCAGTCCTGCGTGGAATCCATGGTCCTGAAACTGCCCCTCTATGAACAGGGCTGTCGACTGAAAGCTTCCTTGTGCATACATCTACGGGGCCTCAGGTCTAGCCTAGGCCTTGTGCTGATCACTTTCCCTGCCACGGAGTTCAGGGGCATGTCTGCATATTCTGTCCTGCATGTGCTGTGAGCTGTGCAATACACGCGTAATGAATCCGCAGTTGGCCTTGAGCGCAAGTGGCCTTTGAGGGGCACGGTAGCTGTCACACGCAGGAATGTCTGGAGAAACCCATGCGGACCACATGCAATCAGACCGGAATGCAATCGACCGATTCCCGAAAGCAGTCCGACTATATTCACGCAACTGTCCAGACTGATCTTCCAATCTCTGCAGTAACTCGGAGCTAACCGCACAGTCCCTGTCGCGGTTGTAGCGGGTCCAGTCATTGCGGCAGGCGATCCGCCTATGAGCTCCACTGGGTGTCAAATGATGCTCACCGGCTACACCAGTCCAGTCTGGCTTGTCTCAATGACGATTTCTTCGACCTCTGAAACTATGAAGATAAGGTGTCGGGTATCCTATGGATCTTTTTTTTCGAACTGTCTAGGACCGGTGGCGTGCGCACACACCTACCTGAGGAGGATCAGGAAACGATATCAAGACCAAGGATTGGGTGCCACCATGTCATAGGCGTTCTCTTTGAGGATACGGTCTCGGCCTGGTTGCCGACCACGGGTCCCATCGGGATGCCTGTGCCCTGCGTTCTTGCGCATTCCCGCTACACCGGAATCCCGACCGCGTCCCGGTTTTCTCTGCCCGACTTGCGCGTCTTCTCCTGTTGATCTGGAAACCTCGAAATGCTTGGCGGGCGGCTTCGAGTTTCGAGTTTCGAGTTCGAGTTTGCCTACTGCAGGCAATCTTGCTTTCGGGCTTCTCCGATACCATTGACCATGTAAACAATCTAGATGTCTAGGGAAAAGGGCCATCCTGACACTTGCAATGCCGGATAATATCTCATAGACTCGGATAAATTCGAAAACGCCAGAATGGAACATGAACATGTCATTATTTTGATTGTTCGAATCGCAAAAATGCTCCGGTTGGGCGTTCCACGGTCCTCAGGGTTTTCCTCCATTGACCCACAAGCAGATCATGGTGGATTACTTTCTGCCTTTTTTTGGTTCTCTTTTTTTTTAGCATTGGACTTTTCCACCGTTTCCTTTTCTCTTTTAGGCAGCATCGGACACTCGCCCATTGTAACCCGCTGGGCGCAGCTTTATCCAGCAACCGGTGAAAATTGGGTCCCAGAACCAGATTTTCTTTCCATAGCGGATCCCATCACATCATCCGAGTCAACAAGTGTAAATCTGTGGGCCACGACCACACTGTTTTCTGGATGGTAGCTTTGACGTATACCATCTTTGTAGATACACAATGCAGGGAACCCTGGTCAGAAACCAGCTCAGTACCCTGGGCGCCTGACAGGGTCACAACTCCAATCATCTGGACACTGTCTCGAAACCCAACAGCCGCAGCGGTGAATGCTCTTCTTATCAGTGCGGCCTACAATGCAAAGATAGCGATGATGCGGCCAGTGGAATTCTTTTACCAATTACCACGCTGGGAAGGGCCACGCTGAGAGAAAACCGATCATGCCCCACTGCGGGTGTCCAAGAGGGTTTCTTTACAGTACTTTACTAGCGAATATCGGCGCCTCCATCGTAGCTAGTGCTCTTTGCCCCTGACTACCAAGGAGTGGCCAGACTCTGCTTTTCCGAATAGCTGCCGAGGACGGGAGATCTTGGCGCATTTCTCCGATGATCGACCGGTGACACTTGGAGTCCTGGAGCCCTGCGAGGGTTCGAGATGCCAAGGGGGATAAATCTTCTTGCGCCCAACTGCGTACTACCCTCGGACTTCCCGATATTGTTTCCGTTTCGTGATCTACGAAGCTGATGAATGAATGAAATCCATTGTTGATCGTCAAGGAGGGGGTAGGGTATTAACATAAATGAAGTAATATACAGAAGGTTTAGCCGGCGCCGTCGCATGATGTAAAAGGAAGAGAATCAATCAGGTCGGTGCAATCCATTTGGAATGCTTCAGATCAGGCAGACACTTGATCATACCCGGTGGCTTTGTCTGCCATGAGATGTACTCCGTCTGGTTCAACCTCGGCTGCAACGAGTCGACATGGTCGCTCACATATCCCCGCAAGGCCTTTGCACCAACCGCCTCTTCATCATATCGAGCGACGTTGATTGATGGAACAGCTAGAATCTTCGCACGGCCTCGACGCCACATGTCCCTCGCAAGTAACATGGCAGACGCCATCTGACACTCCCCAGGCCTGCTGCTCTGGAACCTGAACGTCTTCTCAGCGAAGGACGCTGCGTCCAATGTGACCATTCCACCCCAGCACGAAAACACCTGGAAAGGTCGAGACGTATTGAAATGGCCTCGTGAAGCCTCATCATTCCAGAATAAATCCTGGCTATATGCCAATGATCCATCATGCGGAATCTCAAAGAACGTATCACCCGCCAGTGACCTCGACACCAAGAGATCCCCAAACTGTGTCCCGTTCCCGGTCCACACAAACGGACAAGCCATACTCGCCCCCTGCTTCACATGCTGAAATACAAGCTCCAGTATATCCTCCGGACACAGCGCAATCTGATCCACAAAGATAATCAATGCCTCCGGCGAATAAATCCCCGCCAAGTCATCTATCAACCCCTGCGCTCCAACAAACTTTAACGGCTCAAGAACCTTATTCCTCAGTTCCGCAACACGCTTCTCCTTCAAAGCCTCCGTCGAATTGCGCGGAATAGATCTAACCTCATCCAAGAAAAACCGCGCTCCAATCGCCTCAACCCGTGGCTTAAGCTCAGCCAGTATCTCATTCGTCCCGTCATCCGACTTCTCAACGACAATCGATACAGCACAGTTTTTCGGACCCAAGAACCGCATCGCCTCGACGATAGTACTCATCATGCGTGTGATGACTCGCGCTGACTCGCCCATGTTCAGCGCGAAGAAATATCGCACTTGGCCGCTTGTATCCGCTGTTTCGCGCAATTGACTGTATCTGCTTCCGACACTCGAGGGGCAGGAAAGACGATTGAAAGTATCGTCGTCTTCGAAGTCGAGAATCGACCGTACGAACTGATCTATTCTCTGGCGCGAGATAGACGACGAGTTCGTCGCAGTTGAGTTGGAGTTCAAGGTCGACTTCAATGGTGAAGTCGTGACAGATGAGGTCGTAACTGGTCTTGACCATTTGGGCCATTTCCCCTTATCGTCCCAAGCTGGATCCCACTCTGCGGCGGGATTATGTATCGTGTATCCCGCCGACCCGGACGATGTATGCGTAGTCTTCGGCTCGGTATATGCGTCTTCGTGCGCGACATGACTATCCTCGTAATCGGGAACAGGAGGTAAATGGCCCTTGAAAATAGCCACGCCCGCATTGCGAATATCTTTCTTGTGTGGTAGTTTGATTAGGAGCACGGTAAGCACAAGCCCCAAGGCTACAGTGCTCGCCAGGACCCAGTTATACCGTCTCTGCCACATTGTGAGGAGTTCGAGTCTGAACCACCTTGAATTGCACGGATCGGACCAGAAGGTCCTACTTGATTTCACTGTCTGCTCGGGTGTGAGATGCAGGAATAGTTTAGGGGGCTGGCGTGGGTGAATAGATTCTGGTGCTCTGCTCGCGTGCCGTAGCCATCTTTGCGGCTATGATCCACCACAATCTACAGAGCGCTCAGGGCCATCGGCTAAATTTCCGAAAACTGTCCGCATCTGGAACGTGAGAACGTTCAATTGGCATACTTCCTCTTCGATGGGACGGAGCTGCCGGATTGGTTACGTGGAAAATGGAATCGTCGCCGAAAACGGAATTCTGGGGTTGGTGGAACGAGAGGGGCTCAATAAGCTCGGAGTGCTGTGCATTGGCCAGACAAACTCTTGGACTGTTAGAAAAGCTTAAATATTAATAGAACACATCAAGAGTTTCACTTAGCTTGTGTGAGATGTTCTAGAATGTTATCTGGTCTTGGCAAGTCCACATAATCACCTAGACCTGCAGTGTCTCTCCAATGTTCTTGAAGCTATGGAGTTGGAGAGTTGAGTAAGAGGGATTGAATTAGACCATTGTGTGATTAAAATGTTGAGCTTATGCGCGCTATTAATGAAGTCGCTAGAGCGCCCGAGAACAGGATGGGCTGGAAATTATGTTCACTAGTAGAGGCAAGTTGAATAACACAGAAGAACCCCCGATAATGCGATGTAAGCCAAAGCTCATTCGCCCGCCGCAATAAGACATCCCCGCTCAAGGTAATTTGCACATTTAGTCAAGCTTCAGACCAGAATCTTGGAGATAAAGGCGCGCGAATAGGTTCTCGCGCAGTTGGTGTCGCTTAGGCCCGGATTCCGCAACCGTGTATCAATGCGATGTCAGGGCTCAGAGTAATAATGTATGGCGCATTCATGGTAGCGGTCAGGTGTAGAGAACTGGGGGCATGGATGAAATATTGGAATGCATCTTGAACCAGCAAGAGCATCTTCGTTGACCGTGGCGTGCGCATGAAATCGAACCGAGGTCGCCATTAGGCGGGCCATGACGAGATATATCCTCGTTTAGAAGATCCATCCCAGAATGATATACAGCAAGATTCCGGCGCCAATGCAAATACCCGCCACCTTGAGCACGGCGACGGTATCGCCTTGCTTGGCCATCCTTGTGAGTCGGGAGGCGCTGCCCTTCAAGTTCGTGCCGAAAGAGGAGAAGACGTCATTCTGTAAGAAGACCGTTGTCAGTCGTATGTTCAAGCGAGAAATTTCGGCTCTTCTCTAGTACTGTCTCCGCATAGGTGGTGTCGTGATCGACGTACCGTATGATCGAGCGTGTCTTGATCCCGCGCGTTGTCGTGGATGTTGATCGTCACATCTCGGAGGGCGGAGACTTTAGAAGAGAGGGAATTGAGGAGCGCATTGTTTTGCCTAGCTTGGGGAGTCAGCGAAAGGTGTTCGGTGGCATGGTGGTCGGATGAGGCGAATGGACGGTGTCTTGGGAGCTGTCTTGGGTGGCCTGCGGGGCTTCAGAAAGGACTGGGACGTACTGCTCGCGTTCATAGGCGTCACTCATTTTGAATGAGGTCGGATGTCCCGTTAAAGATTGTGTCGAAGGCGATTTGGAGAGTTTGAGAGTCTGAGGAAACGAGGGCCTGCGAAAGGGCGGCGGTGGCTTAGACGAGGATCGCGGAGCCGATCACTGACACGTCATGTGATTCGCATTATAACCTGGTGATGATTTTGAGATTTCTTTATTCTTCATTCTTTATTGATATAATTTCGAGGTCTTCTATTTGTCTCTTATGGTGCACCGGTTGGTTCTGCCATGGTGTCATGAATCATATACAGTAGTCGCGCATAGTCCGCCATCCAATGTGACCCCACTTCATCTAAAAGACTGGCAAACTCCAGAATGATGCGCTGCGCATGTCGAGACCCTCGTCTATATATCTTCCCATTGATGATTATTGGCCCACCATCACGAATGAAATTGATGCCGGGATCCTCTTGCTCCACTGACTTGGCTGATGGACTTGAAATATGATCGGACAGACCTTCATCGCCAATCGCTTGCCAGTCAAGATCTGTATTAGCTAGGTCGAATTGACTGCCATTGGACTGGCCTGATCCTAAATAATCGGGGCCCATCAAAATGTACATTCCAAGAACAAGTGCCGACATGAATAACGTTCGGACCGACTGAAAGGCTGTTCCATCGGCAGGTTTCCGGTGCGACAAAGTCCTGAATGCTTGAGCTGCGTGAAGACATGCTCTTCGTGCAGCAGTCGTGTTTATCCAGCTAGAAAGGTCAAGGCGAGCTTGGGACATAATTTCTGGTCCCTCTCGACCGGCAGCACGCGCAAGGACATTGGCATCGACTGTCAAGAGAATGCAAACGCTGTGCCAGATGATAATACAGTTGGGGTTCGACTTGCGGAGAGTTTCATCATATACTTGGATCAAACTGGTAAGTAAAGGGGCAGCAATGCTTGCTCGTTTATCGATCTGACAGATTCTCCAAGGTACATGGTGGTGCTGACTTGCTGGAACTATATCAGAGCTGGAGACAAGCCGGTACGTATCTGCAGAAACACGAAGAAGAACGGAACAGAGTAGCCCATACATGGAGAAAGCATGAACAGGGCCATTCAAATCCGGTAGACTGAAGTTGTGTGACGAGAGCTCGAGGACGTCATTCTTGGTTGAAGTGTTGGTCGAGAGCTGCGACCATGCATGGCAGTTTGGGGCTTCGTAGAGAATATTCGATTGCGGAAGATTGATCGCCAGAGCATGAGCCTGTATAATTGGATTCATCGAGAAGAGCTCAGATAGCCAGGAGTCGTGCAGAAGGAGACCTATGATCAGACTAGGACAAATTGTTAATTGGCTGCAATGAGTATGTTGGAATGGGAGGTTGCACCATTTGGTTGATTCAACTCGGCTCCACGCACACCACCGAGCATTTTCTGACATGTTTGGTGGGGAAAGTGCATTAATGGGCTCCTCAATCTTTGAGCTGAAGAAGCCATATTTTTGTGCGGTCTGAAGGAAACCAATCAACATCAATCCTTCCGATCATCAAGTCACTTGGGAACCGCTTACTGTGAGTGTATGTATGTAGAGAATCTGTGATTTTTCCAGACAGAGATTTCCCTGTGAACTGAGTTAGACGTGTAGATTATCAATCAGTAGAGCAATTCCTTACCCCTGTCGAGATGAACAGAAAAAGCGTGTGGTGGGCCAGCACCAGATCGCTTAGAATATCGACGGGAGTTTGTGAAACTACAGTTGCAGATATTACCCGAGTATAGACCTCGTTGATAATTGCCTGCTCAATACCTGTCAGTAGATAAACATCAGCCAATTTGGAGATCTTCCATACAGGGTAAGCCTTTTGCACAAAGGCTACAGCTTCTTCAGTTTTCAAAAACGAAATCCCAACCATACACATGATAAAAATTAAGAGTGTGGGCGTGTTATCGGGGCTAAATGTGGCAAGGTGAAGAACAGGATAGGCGGGTTGAAACTTGTGAGTGTAAAGATAGAAGCCCTGATCAAAAACCTCTGTTGTGTTGATACAACAATATCGAAGCTCACAAGCAAACCCGTCATCAAAAATTTGATTGCATCCACAGACTAAAGTGTTTCTTTTTAATCCTCCAAGTCGTCTCTTGCAATTATCGGTAAGAGTGATTTCCGGAGTAGTGTCGTCGATACGCGTCTGGTTGCTTGGGTCTAGGCCTAGACCGGAATCGTAGGTGGCATAGATGTTTTTCGATGAGCCAAATGCAATTCCATACCAGAAACTAGGTCGATTGATTCCTTGTGATCCTCCTGGCCAGAGACTTTGCATTCTCGTTGCAACTTGGTACGCAACATCTGGGCGTGATAATGATCCACTACTGACGACCGAATGCAGTTGTGAACTTTGAAAGCCGTCTTGGTGGTTGGGATGTATTATTGGTTGATGTATCAACGAGTTCAAAGGAGATTGAGACTCGTAGGAAGGGTGGAAAAGCATAGTCAAGAACTCGTTGCTCAGATTACCTCGAGCCAGATCATGTAGGGAGCCATAACCCTGGGCCTCTTTGACTGCAGCTAATTGATTGTTCTCACTCAGTAGGCGCGTAGGAATACCGAGAGCGTTTTCCTCTATTGCTGGTGGTATCAGAATTTCCTCACGGCCATCCATGCCAGTCTCATGTGCTTCACCAGGAGACAACTCTTGAGACGGGTAAGTCGGAGTAAGCGATAATCCCTGCTAATTGATCAGACTCTGACTTCTGAATAAGAAATTTCTCAAGAGGTGGCCTACATCAGGACGTGATCCATTCTCTGAAGGATGATTCCGGCGATGGCGAAGGAGAACATCTCTGTCCACTTAACAATGTTCTCGTATCTCAAATGTAGTGGCTCACCTTCGAGAAAACTGTTTAGAACAGATGGAGCATTTATACGGGCGCTCACCAGTGTCTGTTGCATCTATTAGAGCTCGTTCTGAACAAAATGGGTAGGTTAACAAGGATAATCCTCCGAGGGCTGCATACGGACAAGACGATGCCGATTCAGATGCTCCGTCTTGGAAAACGTTTTGTCGCATTGGGCACAGGGGATCCTATGCGCAAGAATTCGGCGCCGCGGTCGCATTATGGCGAGTTTAATGAAGACAGAAACAGGGGATCCTGATACCCGGGCCTGCAACTTTTGCGGGGTTCACAGTTTGTCGCCTTGTTTGCAAGGCACCCGGGATCGAGTTCAACATGATAAATGAAGATCACAGGTCAATCAGAAGTGTCTATTACAGTTTGATCATCTTGTTTATTAAACGGCCTAACAATTCCGGTCCAAAGTCACATCCTGTGACTTCAAATAACTCGCGGTGACCTCGTGGTGAGAGACCTAATGTATTCATGGCTCGGGACTGCATTATGGCGGGGAATATCGGAAGATGGCAATGGCCACGGGAACATTGCAGTGAGCAAGAGCCTAATCCTGATATCGTCATGATATAAGAGTCTGGGCTAGAGCGAAATAGAGCCTCCGCCAACATCCCCGGGCGATTTGTGACAATGTGGGGGTTGTCACTCTGGCTCCCCACATTACCCAAGTGCGGGGAGCTATACCAGTGGCTATGCCCAGGTGCCTACCCGCATCTGACGAGTGTTATCGCTCATGATTACAGATGGCTATGTGGCATGTTACGCTTATGTTCCCCATCAATTATGTGGGGATTTGCCATGTGGCTGCATCCTTAAATATCCTTGTAGCTACTTAATATATATGTGCAGTTCCGGACCACCGGTAGATCTAAACGAGCAACTTCTGAGCCTCGGGAGCACCACGATAGTCGACAGCCTGCAAAAAAGCCTTGACAAGTATAACCATGGCAGCCCTCCAACTCTTGAGTCACCCTTATGAGCTTGCGCTGGGTATCTTTGTCCTATATTGTACAGGATACGTGATTTATCAAAGATACCTTCACCCTCTCGCCAAGTACCCCGGCCCTCTTCTCGCCTCGCTCACCGACCTATGGCAGGCGCACCAGTTTATAACTCTGAAGCAGCCATACACGCTCACCAAGTTACACGAGAAATATGGCTCTGTTGTGCGCTATGGCCCAGACAAGTTAAGCATCACCAACGAAGAAGCCATCAAATCGATCTACCAGAGCGGGGCTCGTTACATGCCCAAAACAGAGTTCTACGATGCATACGGGGCGGCACATCCGAATGTATTTGGAATGCGCGATGAAAATGTTTGCATTTGACCCGCCAACTCTCTTTCTTGCTAGAACTAACCTGAATGTCTAGATGCATTCCATCCGGCGGCGTCACATGTCTCACAGTTTCTCGATGAGCTACGTTAAAGAAATGGAACAGCACCTTGATGAGAACGTCAAAATCCTTCGAGCGAAGATAGCTTCGCATGCTGCGAGCCAAGAAACCTTCGATTTAAAGAAGGCTTTGCAATACTATGTCATCGATACCCTAGGTGAACTAGCCTTCAGCCAAACATTCAGCGTGCAGGAGTCTGAAGACGAAACCCGCGTTCCGCCAGTTGTCGAGCACAGCTTGTTGGCAGCAGTGACAGGTGCTTGGCCGATGATGACTACCCGACTGAAGATATGGCTCCCACTTATCCCACACAAGGGCCTGCAAGCGCTTTTCAAGGGCCGAAAAGCTTGTGCGAATCTTGCTTCTCGATGTGTCGATGCTCGGTTGAACTCTGTGAGACCAAAAAATGGGGCAAGCAGTAGCTCTTCGGAGAGGAAAGATATTCTTACTAATTTGATTCTGGCGAAACACCCTGACACGGGGGAGAGTTTGTCTCAGACTGATCTCGAAACCGAGGCATTTGGATTTATGTATGTCGCACTTTCTACGGATTTCTTCTCTTATATTGTTATCTGACGAAGACATCTGAAACAGCATTGCGGGTACTCATACCACCAGCGCAACAACGGCATTACTTTTCTATCATTTACTTCATCACCCAAGCCTCATGGCACGATGCGTGGCAGAAATCGATGAGAAGCTCCCAACTCTTCAGCCGCACGAAAGCGCCTATTCTGTTACAATGGCGGAGACATCCCTTCCGTACTTGCGAAACTGCATCAAGGAAAACTTCCGAATCACCCCCGTGTTTACGATGCCTTTGGCGCGAAAAGTCCTCATGCCTGAAGGCATAAATATTGCTGGAAATCACTTTCCCTATGCGGTAAGTCTTCATCCCCCTTCAGTCTGTAATCTTCGCTTATGTTACAAGACTTCCATTGCCGTCTGCAACCATGCCTTCCACCACAATCCAGAAGTCTGGGGATCTGGTCATAACATATTTGATCCATCCCGATGGGAGGATCCTGAAATTGCAGAAAAGTCTAAGTTGTTGATGCACTTTGGCCTTGGGGGTCGACAGTGTATCGGCAAGACTGTGGCCATGACCAACATTTACAAGTTGATGAGCACGCTGTTGAGTGAATTTGAATTCGAGCTCGCGGATGAGAATGAAAGAACTCTTGCACAGAAGAACGGGTTTCTTGGAGAGATTCCAGAAATGATTAGCGTGGGAATCAGTGATTTGGCAGAGCCTTTGCTCGTGAAGGCTCAGAAGCGGGATCGGGTTGCTGCTAACTAGAATTACGCTTTACTTGAGTATTTATATTCTTTTCCGAAATTTCGCTACTTGAACAGCTTAAAATGTTGAACTATTCCAAGGCTGGCAGCCATATCAAGTAACATGATCTGAATTTACAGTTCAATGTGATCAATTGTACACCGTGGTTATGCTTGACCAGCACCTCACCACATCGGATGTGGCTCCCCAGCCCGAGTGCAAAAAGTGGCTTACTCAAAGCACCATTCATTGGAGATCCCCACTATTATATTCAAGAAGCATTCATCATGGCAATTCTAGAGCTTGGCTTTCTCCAGCTGAGTGAGCTTCCTCAAAGGAGGCCCGGCTCGGCTTCCATCGCCCTTCATAAGAGACCCGCTAGTGCCACTCGGAACAGGCTCCAGTCGCCATTTCTTGCGCAATTCTTCGGAAGCTTTGTTCTCAAAGCAGTCCGCAATGTATTTACCCAGAATAGGAAGGAATTTGAAGCCGCTGGTCAAATTAGTCTCTATTGGTCACCCAATCGAACATGGTCAGTACTTACTGTCCTGCACCACCGGTAGCCACGAACAAGCCCTCCATTGTCGGATGGTTATCGATAATAAAGTCGCCCTTGGGGGTATCTGTGTACCAACAAAGCCGGCGGAAAGACCACGGTCGGTCCGCAAAGCGAGGACAGAATCGTCGCAGACCTTTGCGCAGGTCCTCATCGGCGTCATCGGGAAGATAGCCAGTCTCTGCGTTGCTAGTGTCGAATTTAGGGGTTGAGATTGTTCGAGTCCCGTCATTCTGAACAGTGACTTCATTGGCATAGCCATAGCCATGTCGCGCAAGCTTAAGAATGTTACTTCCCGGCGAAGGAGGGAAGATGAACACGCCATCGGTCATATTGATCATCACCGGTGTGTTTTCCAAAGATCGAGCTTCCTCCGCAGTCAATTGGATAAATCCAACCGGCTGACCTGAAGAAGACGCAGCGTGTGCAACGTTCAAAAGACGATTCGTCCAAGCGCCAGTGCTCAAAATAACCTGGGACGCGAGGATGGAATCTCCACTCGCCACATTGACACCCACAACGCGAGAACCTTCCTTGCGCAGAGAGACGACACTTCCACGGGGCCCGGTGACGATTGAAACACCCTCGACAGTGCATCGTGAAGCCAACTTCTGGATGCTGCCGGTGGCATCCGCCCAACCACCTCTCCGGTTGAGATACCCGTTCATACCAGATAAGTCGGACTGAATGTTCGGGTATGACTTCAGCAGCTCTGTGGCATCCTTTAGATCTTCCACAGTGCCACCATTAGCTAGAACCGTGGTCTTGGAGTTTGCGATCCAGTCGTTCTTAGGAGTTTCGGATAAGAGAGCAAATCCGGACTCGAAGTACTGGTCTTTGTATTCCGTTTTCCAGCCCTCATAGGCCTCACGAGCCATCTTGCAGTAGACAGGGTCGGCATAGTCAATTCGGATAATGCGTGAGATATCAACGCTGCTTCCATCTATTGCCGGAGGCGCGTATCTATCCAGCACGGTGATGTTGGTGTATCCGCGCTGCTTGAGTTCCAATGCAGTGGAGAGGCCGAAAACACCGGCACCCACGATCAGAATCGAATCACTCTTTGAAGGCATTCTGAATAACAATCCAAAGGAATACGTCAGACTGCTCAGATTGATAGAGCAGTCACACTATCTAAAAAAATGATCGGATGTGGAGAGGAAGGCAAACCCGGTTGATTGCCGGGTTCTTGGCGGCCGGAGAAGACGGAATCGGGCCGTGACCCGAGCATAGAAAAATTTACATCTTTCTGTCCTGGCTTTGATTTTCGATTAAATATCATGTGCTCAAGCTCAGCCAGTCCTCAAATGCCCTTTCATAGTCCTGGAGCTGCAAAAATAGCGTGTCCCCGCCCGTAAAGTCCAAGTTCTGATCTTGCGTGAAATCCGGGAAATCTATAACAGGTGCCGCTTGATCCGATTCTTGCTGCAGCTGACTGGAATGCTCTGTCTGCTCTGGTGGATAAGTCACACACTCGGCAGCAACTGTTTTGTGTCCTGATATACCCGCAGATCCAATCAGGGAAAAGCCGGGATCAGCAATAATACCGGCGGATGACGCGCCGCTTGCGATGCTATCCCTGACCAGTTCAGGCCCGAAAATATCGCCAGCAGGGTTCGAAGACTTGCTTGCTTGCGAGTAAACCAGAATATTTCGTAGGAGTTGTAAATTGACGGACCACTTTTGGCGATGATTGGAACCTGTTTTTGGTGTACTCGCGTCTGTCATGAGGCCTCCAGGAGAAATACTACCCCGAAGCTGTTCTAGTTGTCGAACCTATAGGATGATCGTCAGCTTACATAAAGTTATGTGAAAGAATTTACTATTTGCCATTACCTGGCGATCAATATGAGGCCACCGGTAGGCCATTGCCCGCAGGAAACGAAGACATTTCTCGAATCCTGTCTGCGCCTTTTTGCTAAAGACTTGATCTTCCGCAAAGCTGTGCTGAAGATAGATGGTAGCGACGATAGCCACGCAGTGTCCCAAGGTTGGATCGGAGACTTCAAAGCTCTTTGATTCCACAAGTTCAAGGAAATGCACAATCCAGCCCGAATGGAAGGTGAGCTGCTCGAAGGAGTTGCGAAGGAATGACTGGGGCATGGTCCTTCTGAAGTTTCTGAGGCGCATAGAAAGAAGAAAAGGGTGGTTTAAAAGGGCTGGGATTGCATGCCAAACGATTTGGAAGAATAGCCAGGGACCCCAGTAACCACGATTTGTCTGTAGTTCGGCTAGCGAGTGGTCTGAAAATCGGCTCGCATGAAGCCGGAATCTGAGTGGCATGCAGCTTTCATGTTCAGTATGCCGGTAGGTGATCATTGCGTAGTCTGACTGTGGATGCCAAGGAGGGTTTGTGTCGACGCCGGCATGATTCATGGCATATTTGCATGCTAGAGCCCACAGCTCACTTATGTGCATATTGGCAGCCTTGATGCCGATGTCTAACTTGGAGTCGTTACCTCCTCTTCGAGGATCTTTTCGGGATATCAATGCTTCAAGCCATGGCGTTTCAAGTGTAGTCTCGCTAGATTGGTCCATATTATCCTTGAAAGGTAAGAACCCCTGAAGGTTTCGAAGCATCATGACACTGGCATGGCATAGCTTTCGTTCATCACGTTCTGATTCCAAATGTTTCAGAGACTCTAGGTCACCGACTCGGATGTTCTGCATGAAAAAGTTTGCATTTTTGGCATAGAAACCTGCTCGGACAAGGTTTCCAGCTATTTTAAATGCTGTTAGCCCATCATCTCCTAGGCGCACGTCGAAGCTTACCTGTAAATTCCAACATGCTCAGCAGACACAGCGTTTGAATTGTGGATAATTCCACATTTCCTTCTGTTAGGCGCGCCATTACTAATTGAGAAGCCATTTTTGTTTTGAACGTAATCTGCTCATTGGTTTGGCTGTCCTGGACGCCCCTGCCGAGAAAGCGAACACCAAGGGCCTCCATGGCAAGAACAAGTTCTGGATCTCGGCTGGCTAATGACGCATAAGAGCCTTCTCTTGGGAAAAGGGGGAGGGGCTGAAAATTGCAGAAGATTCGATATAAGTTGATGAGAGCCAAGTCAGATGGACGTGGAGATTGTCTTCAAAAAACGTTAGTTTCTTCATCAGGATATGGCAGAGAAAGTAGCTTACATGGGTGCATGACTTCCAGACGAAAGTTCTGGATGTGGTAAATTTTGTTCACTCGCATGAAGACTAACCATAGGGGACCGGGCAGTTGGCTGAGATTGTCGTTGGCCGGCACTTAAGAGGGTCAGTCAGATGTGAGAAAGCAGGCCAAATTGGTGCTCTACGTACGCAATGTACTCAATCAAATGTTCCAATTTGCTCTCGATTCTTGAAACACGATCTTCCTGGAGTTTCATTAGCCTGGTTCTGGGCGATGAACCAGAGGGTCCCGTACCATATTCTTTGCGAACTCTGAGCCCTCGTCGATGGCCTCGGCGCTACCCGCGTAAACGCATTTCTGACCCAGTCGCTCGCAAAAGGAGCAGATAGGCTTTTCCCCGGGACATCTTGTCTTTTTACGCCTGGAAAATGATTAGCCTCAAGATATCTCCACGGAATCCCAAGGCCGGTCGTACCGACAAGTCTCGCAAGCCTGGCGCGTGCGTTTGGCAGGTCGCTCATCCTCAGCGGAGGCCATTCTGGCCCCTTGATTGGGTACGATAAAGGGGATCAGGCCTCTGCAGTGAGTAGCGGTATCTCCATGAATTCAACACCAGCTGATATGTTCATTCTTTTCGCGGTATGCCCGGTTCGCGGTATGCCGGGGGAATAAAATTGTCGAGCCTTTTAAGATTAGGAACGGCGCGGGGACCGAAGTGGGTCTTCCATCTCTCCCGAACGCCTGTCTACACAAGTTCAGTTAAAGAGATACATAGTGAAATGAGGATGGCTCGATGGCTGTCTGGCAATGCAGACTGGACAACATCAACTAGTAGAACACACACCACCACTTCCAGGCTCTGTATGAGGTGGGTGGAGATTGGACTGGGAGAGGCACTGCGTATTGCCCTTAATGCTGCATCATAAATCAAAGAATGTGGTGAAAAACTGTCATGAATTGGGTGGATGCCTCTTCTATCTCTATCTTCATGTAGAAACTATTGCTTACGTCCAAAGTGTTCGTGACACCTCAGGCCGCAACTGCATATATTATGTCGTGCGTTTCACCACTACATTAGATATGCACAGAATATAGGGGCCCCTGGTAATTAAATTTTCTGGGGAGTTGCGACCATCTTCTCTACACACAGCATTAAAGGAAGATCAAATCCGGTAAATCAAGCAAAGTCTATGTCGCTTTAAAAGCTACAGCAATCTATAACATCACGGCCCCCCGGCCAGCGAACAAGATCAAATATTCAAACCATATGGGTTTCAGCCAAAAGAACATCCTGCTTCACCATAACCGCCAACTTGCGATTTGAAGCCGTCCCCTCCGCAAAGCTCCCATCCTTGCAAACAGGCCACTGCTCAGGTCTCAGCCAGTACTTCTCATGAGAAGCCTGTCCCTTGATCACGCCGCTTATATCCAAAGGATCCATGAAAGTCTCCCACTGATTCCGGTGATCAAGCCAGCCCGGTCCAGATCGCTCAATATGGCCATCTAGCCCCAGATACCGAGACTTGTCCTTAGGTAAGTAACGACCGGGATGAAGCAGGTTCATCCAGAATGTGAAGATCAACATCGGACCCAGCTCGAACGCATATAGATACCATTCATTGCTGAGAATAGGACTGCAGTTGTCTTTGCATCCAAGGTTGCCGAACATCGCGAATGCTTCCACAGCACGGAATATACAGCGCAGGAGCACGAATGTCGATGTTCCGTATAGAGTGTAACAGAGTGTTTTCACATTGCGAGGGACCATTTTTGCACGCGAGGCGCGGCGGTGTACCGTTGCGACGATTGCGACGACAAGACATTCTACCACAGCTTGTAGAACGAGGCCGGCTGCTATGAGGACGCCGCCGCTCTTATATTCGGCAAGATCGGTTCCAGCAGCAGCACTTTTGGCTGCTCCCGCAACGGTGATGCTTTCTACTGCGGCACCGACGTATACGAAGAAGATGAGGACCCGATTAGGGTTGAGGACGGCGTGCATGGGTAGATAGTTCATCAATCGGCCGACGAGGTTGTATGCGGAGGCTGAGTAGACAGGTGGAGCCAGATAGATGAAGACGGATTGGGCGATGTAGAGGTTTAGGTTGGCGGGGTAGTAACTTGAGATGCAGCGAAGAATCCAGCCTGTGGTGAAGAGAGTGCCTCCCCAGAAGAGGAAGAATGTTACTCGCCAGAATCGATAGCGGCTAAATGAAGAGTCAGTGAATAGTCCTTTGCAGTATATTGCGTGACTTACGTACAAGTTCTGAAAAATATGAATCAGCAGTGAAACACCGACTAGTGCGGCAAAGACCGCTGGCAGGACATGGCTAGGTTTGTATAGATAGAGACTGGACGCCTCTGTCGCCGAAGTGGTCATTCTGAACAAAGTAAATGAAGATTGATGTGAATTATTCTATTTTTCATGTGCTGGAGGCAATCTTAAATATTCTTGGATCGGGAGAAGCCATGTACAAGCCAGCGCTGGAAAGACCCCAGAAAGGTTAGGGGTCGACTGAGGCGCAAGTCACTGCGAGCTAAGCCCCTTGGCCCCCAAATTCAGTGCGAAGATATAACCATAGGTCAGAATAGACCCTCGAACCCCAAAGTGGGCACTCATCCATCCTTGCAGTCATTGACCAATAAAGTAACGCGGAGATACGAAACTATGGGCGGGACATGCAACCCAAAACAGTTAGACTCAATGACATGGGCTCAGCCCACCCAGCCCCGGCCTCGGAATAAACTCACCTTCAACGGCTGATAGCGTTAGGACCCTGAACTAGACAGGCGCATTTGGCATCTGTGCAGCTGGATCCTCCATTCATTGTCCACGTTTCTCCACTATTTATTCAGGGCTCGTGAGAGCCTAGCGGGTATGCCCGGTGTACCAACCGGCCGGGCCTGCGATGCTTGTCGCAAGCAGAAGAAAAAGGTATGCACATTTACGTAGACCTGCAGTTACCCTAAAGCTGAAATATACTAATCATCCCAGTGCGACGAACAACAACCTACCTGTTCGCGCTGCGCCCGCCTCAAAGTAAAATGCATAGGCTCAGGCAAGCAACGCTTCAAATTCCAAGAAGAAAAGCGCTTTTCTCCACCCAGACCACCACAAGCGAATGTCAAATCTGAATCAATATCTTTCAATAGCGTCATCACAAAACCAATCCAGCACATCTACATGCACGTCCCGCTAGGATCGCTCTTACCGAGCCCTTCCAACGAACTTACAAACCTAACAGCAACATTCATCCGAACAATCAAACGCTCCACAGATCTCCGCTACAATATGTGGTGGAGCTTCGGCACATTCCTAGATGACGTTCCGCGCCGTCTAGGTTCTAACGAGGCGCTAGACCGCGCCGTTGACGCCGTGTCTACCGCCCATGGAGACTTCTGTACCCGCCGCGAAGCGTCAACGGACGCACTAGCTAAATACTCTCAAGCTCTGCACACGCTTCGCGTCTATCTGGATGATCAGTTCCATGCGCAGTCCTCTAACACGCTTTGTGCGGTTATGATTCTACTTATTTGTCAGGTTTTTCTGGGTCCATCGACTCAGTGCTGGTCTGGACATGCGGAGGGAGCAGCAGCGATCCTTAAGGCGAGGAAGAGTCTTGGACCTAGGGATGATTTTGAGAAGAAATTGTTTCTTTCGATGCGTGGGACGGTGGTGAGTATTCCAATGTTTGCTTGGGGGAATATTGTGTTTCTTATTCTTAAATGCTGACGACATCACTAGTTATTTGAAGGCGTATTCAACGATCGAATCAACCTGACGCCTGAAGAATGGACTGATCTTGTGAAAAGCGATCTCGACTCGAATACGCCCGAAGGCCAGATGATGATATGTTTATCCCAAGCACCCGATCTAATGCGCCGCGGCAGAGAAGCACTGCAGACTGGATCCGATACCACATCCGTAAGCGATGAAATATGGGCCATCTATCAAAACTGCAAGACAGAACTAAGGTCACTCCAACTACGAGCGAGTGAGAACATTATTACCGAACTCGACATTTCTCAGATCCCGGCTGGTAAGCAGGCTTTAGTCCGCACATTCATGTATGCGCACTACGAACGCACGTACGGGATCGGGTTGACGATCTCGCTATTCTTCAACTGTCTTCTTAGTGGACTAGGGGCTCATGATGGCGCGAGTCTTTTTGACGCGCATTTTCTTGCGGAAGAGGTTCTTGCGCTTGCGGATCGTTCGGCTATCTGGAGGCCTATTGGGACGGGGTATCTTATTATAGGCTTCAGTGCTGCTTGGGCCGCTGCGACGGATCCGCTAATAAGGGCGAGGCTCTTGGTTGCTATAAACGAATATGGTTCGGATATGAGGATGCGGGATTCGAACTTTCTGATCAACGAAGTGCAGTGGACGGCGGAGCGTTTACGTCTTGGAACACCGTTGGAGAAGGAAAAGTATCTCCACGGGGTGCGGGAATATATACAGACATGATATGTGAATAGTTACGAAGTTATGAACCGTGAAAACATGATTCAGATTTAGCGTTCTAAGGAGTCTATCTGGTTACGGGCGTGAAGCAACACAACAGAGAATTCTCAGCTCATATGAAAAGTGGTAAGAGTTCCGAAAGGAGAATACAAAAAGTCTGAATTGTATGAGCTCAGTTGGAACCAAGCACAAAGGCAAACAAGTAAACAAACCCCAGACGCTATGCGAAGTGAGAAATCAGACCATGTGGGTGAACAAACTATATGGCAATGCACAGGGCCAGACCGAGGGCCACGATGGGCCAATGAGAAAAAAGGAGAATGTCGCGTCCTGGGTTTCTGTGCTTGGTGTTTCTGTTCCAAGCCCCAGCGCGTATCTAAGGATACGAACCCATGGCCCCTCGGCAGATGTGTCAGGGGCCATGAGGAGAAATGGGAGAAACAAGGCTTGTATACAGGCAGTCTAGGGATAACCAGGACCGACAAAGGCATGGGTATTTCCGATGAGAGCAGAAAATTTGAGAAAACAGAAAGGGCTGTGCAAAAAGCGCAAAGAATGAGTGAAGACGCCGCGCTCCTGATTCACCACATATCATCGTCATCGTCGTCATCCAGCTGGACATCATCACCGAAAGACGAGTGTCCGTACTGGTAGTGGCCCGAGTCGTAGGCGTTGCCGTTCTCGTAGCCGTGCTTATTACTCCTCTCGTGGGACTGCTGGTAGCGATCGTGTGGATTGTCGTCGTAGTCGTACATGGATGGGTCATCATAGGCGCTGTCCGCGTATTGTTGTTGTTCTTGTGCCTGTTGACATGTTATTAAGAAGGCTCTTCCTTAACGGCGACGTTTCACTTACTTCTTGGTATCGCTGGTATTGGAGATACTCATCTGGTTGCTGTTGCTGCTGCTGCTCCCGCGATTTGGACTGCCTCTGAGATCCAGAGGAAGCCACCGCCATATGCGGGTGCATCTGTTGCACCTTTTCCAGATATGAGTACATAAAGTTGCTCAGCAACACCTGCGAGTAAAGTGCACGACGGGGATTGGCAAGCTTGATGTGCGCCATGCGGTAGATTGCGCGTTCTTCCAGAATAGAGAAGCGTGTCCAAGGATAATCGACATCTGCGTGAAGCTCTCGCATAGGTGGATCGGGAGACAGGTTTCGCGACGAGTTCTTTCGATGATGGCCTTCTGAGCTGTGCTTCTTTCTACCACCACCGAAAATCGAAGAGAAAATTCCATCCTTTTCTTTCTTCGAGTCTCCCGAAGCGCGTCGCACACCATCCTTCCGTCTCTCTTCCTCCAATTTGGGGTCGAGACGGTCCAAAATGATGCTCTCCCGGCCCTTCGGAGTATTGTCGAGTGATGATTGCACCGCCTCCGCACGCGGACTGCTGTGCACTTTGTCGGCAAGCTTGGACTTCGACTTCTTCGATTCGCTATCCTTTTCCTTCTTTTTATCCTTCTCTTCACTTCCCAATAGCCAGTGCCAGCTGGACTTGCGACTGCCATCCGAGTCTTTCTTGGACTTCTTGCCTTCTGGCTTGCGTTCCTCGTGTTTACGCTCTTCCGGCATAGTCGGAATGAAGGAGAGGTTGTCCGTGCGAGTACTGTTACCGGGTATCATCTCGGGGTGATTGGCGAAATTATCTAAAGACGATGCGCACTCCTTTTCAGACTGCCTGCTGCCGCTCATCAAGGTCCGCTTGCTCGGTGTCGAAACCTGCTGCTGCTGCGGCTGCTGTTGAGGTGCTGTCTTTGGCGAGTACAGGGATGGCGTATCCCGTTCTGATGCTCGGCTGCCATGAGACGCTGCATTGCGGTTAGGCTCACTAGGAGGCGATTCAACAATAGCGGGGATTTGTTGTTCAGATTGAGGGGTGTTCATGGTGGATCGGCCATTTGCGCTAATGCGAGATTGCCATTGCCGTGCATAAGCACCGGCATTTGCATTTACACCATCCGATGAAGCGGCATCAGATTGAGCACCGGAAGAAAGTGCTTCCTCCTCTGCTTCTGGATTATCGAGAATGGAATCAAATGTGGAGCTGGTAGGGGAGCCTGCTACATAGGCAGTGCTGCGGGACGAAGCAGAGGGCGTTCGGGCGACTCGAGATGTGAGCGGAGTGGAGTCGTTAGGCACTCGGGCAAGTCCCAGGATCGGCTGATCCTGGGAAGTAGAAGAAGCAACTGAAGGCGGCGCTGATCCTGCAGATTCGGAGAGGCCTCTCCCGACCCTTTTCGAATAAGGAGCCTTCTCGCCCTTCTTCAAGCTCCCCTTCTTGTATTGTGTCCGAGTCGATCGTCGTAGGCTGTGGCCTAGAGGCGCAGGCGGGAGGATCGGCTTATCTTCGCCTGGAGTAATCCCCAGGTTCTGTATCCCGCGCACCAAGGAAGAATCTTTCGTGGTCGGTTTCGAATCGTCCACTAAGGTTTCAAGTTGTTGCAGATTTGGGCTCAATATGCCGTCCCGCTTGCTGCTTGACTGTGACCGTTGACGTTCCAGCCGGTCAGCACCATCTTGAAAGCCGGACGAGTCGTCGATTTGTCTGGAAAGCATGGATCGTTTTCGACGCAAACTGCTACTCGATCCCTGGCGTTCAGGTCCCAAAGATGAATAATCGCCCGATTTGCGTTTAATGAGGTCGGCCTTGCTTTCGAGGAAGGACTTGAACTCTTTTGGCGCCAACTCCGGATGTAGACTCGCTGGCACCCAAAATAACCGGGAGGCGTCATTTTCGTCGGCTGAGGGAGAGGGGGGTAAGGAGGGGATCGAAAGGTTGTTATTTCCAAACGCCGGAAGGTCAGGATCACCCGTCGCCGCTTCATGCATGGACATACGTCGAATAGCTGCAAGATTATTCAATTCCTGGACTACCGCGGCAGGATCGGACTCGTAGTCAATATCGTTGAGAGGAAAAGACGAGGTAGCAGTTTCCGAGGGCGATCGAGTACCGTCTGCAGATCCGGGGTCACTTTCTCGGTCGTAAGACCGGTGGGTCGCGAGAGGTGGCCGTAAGTGCGCATTTGCCTGCCTTGATTGTCTTTCGACCGGCGAGTTTGGAGACAGTGTAGACGGGGAGGAATTCTCGAAGCCAGCGGCGTTACGCGGGATGGTCGTTATTGACTCGCCGAGAGGCGTCGATATATAGCTGAGACGCCTGGGATCATTGCGATCATAGTCATCGTTGTACATGTGCCCGATGGCTTCTGTGACATGGTGGCTAGGGTCGCTAATGGATAGATGGGGAGAATGGCCTCTCCGCGTCGCGTGTCCTCCGCCACCCTCAGGGGCACTCGGGGAAGCCTAGGTGAAAGAAGAACAGTCAATACAAAGAAAAGAGTGTTCAAAATGCCATGAACACGTTCAATGGGCATTGTCCCCCACCAAGGGGTGTCACTGGGAGGAGGGGCCTCGTGCTGAGAGGGGTGGATCGTATTCCCTCCAAAAGCAGAAACAGCCACACAGCAAGGGAGAAGAGAGTCGGAGAGTCAAACGCACCTGCATGGGAACCAGCTATACAGGAACCAAACCCCTCGAAACCCTGGAGAGCCGAAGGGATATTGGAGGGAGGAGGGGAAGAAGAGGGTCGGTCAATGTACCACGGGGAAAAGACGACCGATCATCGAAGCGGGGGAAAGAAACAAAAATCAAGAGAGCTAACCCGTAGCTACCGTGTGCGAACCGTCATCTGTAGGACGGAAAGTACGCGAGAAGAAAGAGAAGTAGAAGTCGAGAACGTGAACGTAGAGTACCTTTCTCAAGGCCCACATACGACAAGGCGGAGAAGACAACACCTGACTTTCGATCGATCGCGATCAACACTTTTTTGTGCCCACGAGTTGGGGGAGGGATCCACCAGCTGAACGGGCTGGGCCTGATCTACGACTACAAGTTACGAAGTACTGCGAGTACTACTCACTTACCTACTTTTCACCTGGTTCACCTCTCGGATTCTAACCCCGACTGCAAAGTACGACCGTTCCGGCTCCGCTTATATTTTTCATTCGTGGCACGGGCTGAGACGCCTCCCTCGTGCTGCTCGCCCCCGTGCACGAGGTACATCTATACTCTCCTTTTCCTCTCATTCCACCTTCCGGACTTTGCCAAGGTCCTAGACAGGGGTCGTGTTCCGTGTTCCGTGTTCTGTGCTTCGCCGTGATATTATCAGCCGCGGTGTCATTCTACGGTCTTTGGGAAAGGGTGACCTGCTGTGCAAGTATTGGCGTCAGCCATGGCGGATGAGATAGATGGTCACGCTCGTCGCTAGAGCCAGCTGATATTTAGGCAGATACAGTTCCTGAAGAGTCAAAAGGGTCATTTCATAATCCACTGTTAATCGCAAGAACCAGCGCGCATAATTCTAGAATTGCATGTGTGCCAAGACAAATAACTGTCACCGAAAATGGCGCCTGATATCAACAGTCTGCAATGCCCAAGAAATCAAGCATAAGAATGAGAAACTCCAACGCTGGACAGGAGGAAAGCGATAGGGAATCAAATGGTGAAGATGGAAAGGAGGCATTCAACCAACGCCCAAATATGTTCAAGCCAATGAATCAAGCCCGTTATGTTCAAATGAGAGAATCAGGTGCTACACACGAGTCTAGGAGGCGTCGACATAGTTGCTGCACTGATGTTAGTCTTGCCCCAACTTCACGACTTTGGGAGGCCTTACCTAGGGAAGATGCCGACGCGATCACCGATACGTCCTGTCCACCAATCCTCCGCCTTCTCTGTACGCTTCAGAATCGTGATGATCTCACCCTTCTTGAAGCCTAGATCACCATCCTGGTCCGCATCAAACGTAAACAACGCGATCGCTTGATCTGCCCGAAGTCCAGCACCCTGGCCCGTCTTTTGCCCAAAGACCGGCTTGGGGGCGCTCGGACGGGTAGGTTTGCGATCGGAGTACGAGTATTCCTCCTCAAATGGCGCAGTGTTGCTGCGGCTGCGGCCGTAAGTATCCCCATATTCGGGAGGAGAGCGAGTAGTCGGAGACCGTCCCATATCCCCGGTAGGTCGGTCATACACGTCGTCGGCCCATGTGTTCGCGCGACGTGGCTTGTCGCGATATTCATATTCATCGTCGTATGTGTTGGCGCGGCTGCGTCGTGTGTTCTGACCCATGGCCTCACCTCGCCGTCCTTCCCAGACCACGTCGTCGTGGCGTTCATCGTATACAGGCATGTCATTGTACATAGAGTCACCCTGGCCACGGCCTTGGCCGCCATGGAAAGCGCGCGAGTTCAGAACGCGCGTCAGAGCATCAGTAGAGGGCGGTGCTCGAATAGAACCCGTGAGCAACTGACTAGCGCTCACACGGCTCTGGTACATCTTCTCGTTCGCATCCTTGCGCTCGACGAGCATGCTACCCTCCAAACTGACACCAGCGAAAAGACCCTTGGTCTTGGAGTATGAGAAGACGGCCGCGACACCCTTCATGCTGGCAGCACCGGCAGCCTCGGCGTTTCGGCCAACCGGTCCTGCGGCGAGCGATACGTTACCGCCGAGTGTTAGGGTTCCCACTTGTGAGAATGTGCGAACGGCGGCTGCATCATTGAGAATGAAAACGAAGTCGGTCAACTCGAACCCAATCTGTCCTCCAACGCCAGCACCGGCGGTCGCGATAGCCGAAGGGGCCGACCAGGAGCCATCTGCGAGGCGTGCGACGACGATACCGGAGCCGAATCGACCGGAGCCGATAAATCCGGCTTTAAGGACTGTAAGAATGGCGAGGCCCTAGAGAATATCAGCGCTCAGCGAGCCGCACGTTACCCCGCGACGGTGGAAGATCTTACCTTTGCGCTAGCCAGAATCTCTGGCGGAATGACCTTATCCGGACCGAAAGCCTGCTTGGGATCCACGAAGGAGGTCAGGATCTTGGCCGCCTTCTTGCATTCACCTGTCCACGCGAGGGTCTGTTAGCCGGACATGCCGCGAGCGATTGCGGGGAAGCAGATAGGATCTAGACAGGGATATACGTACTAGCCAGAGACGACGGCAGTGGGTTATGAATCCCGAGAGGCATCTTGGCGGTCGTCGAGGGGAGGAATTGAGGGGAAGTCGAGGAGGAGGCTCTCAGTGCTCGATCTTAGACAATCGAAGGTTAGTCAGTAGATGGGGCGGGTGTGGGCCTAATGACGGCTGACGCGGGACAGTTCGTCTTTCGCGGGCACAGACCGAGTGCTACTTATTTAAGGTACACTTGGGCCAACATGCATAACACGATCCTACTTCTATTTAAGATGTCTTTTCAAATCCAGTCAGTCTTCCAACGGTTTCCATATCCTAAAGGGGCGTTGTGGCGCAGCACAGCCTCCGCTCCCAAGGTTCTAGTGTCATCAACGCGGGGATAGTGATCGTCAAAACAATAGACTAGGCCAAGAGAGGGGCACCACGGTGATATAAAGTCTGCTCATTGTGTGGTCCCTGCATAGCTGCTTGTCTGATTTACGGGTCAATTGCGGTCACTTGAGTGCATTGATTTCTGTGATGTATATTTTATGCCATACATTACTCGCGTTATTGTATTCCGATCAACCAATATCTTTGCATCCATGGATGCTATGTATTGCCAACAGAGAGACGCGGAATCTACGCAGATGACAAACCATCAATAAGCATTTATAGATCATTCCCTGGCGATCGCCCATGGACTGTACAAGAAATACCTAGCTGCCGGCGGCTAGGGATATTTTGTAAGCGTTCCTCAATAAGCAGTCAGGGCTGTCGTGTCCGTTCAGGTGTGCAATATTATGACACCAAAAGAAACAAAATGTCGCCTAAAAAGACCTCGAATAGAATGCTCAATTTAGTGGGATCTGAACGAAGAATATGCGTTGTCTGAACCTACGAGTTAGGCTCGTATATATGGGATATTTCATACATATTATCTATTCCAGTGAGAGCTATATATGAAGACTCGACTGAAAGCGTACAAAATTGGTGAATTACAGTGGCATGCATCTACTTTTAACCCCAGAAATAATGCTTCGAGTCTCAAATAAGGTCCAGCTTTGCCTCGTTACTAGCGCGGGATTAGTCAGTGCTCCAGCGCTTATCGAGGCGACCCCCGGGTATCGTCCCCAAACACTCTCCCCGGGAAACCAGCCATGCTCTGTCTTTAGATCAGTCACCTTTGTGATCGCGTTTGCAGATGGCAACAGGTAATATACACTGGTTCTGTTCTCCTCCGAACCCCACTAACTTTATCCAGTCAGGATTTGCGTATGTGGCGACGAAGGCACAGGCAAGTCCAGCCTCATCACCTCGCTCGTCAAAGGTGTCTTCGTCACGAACAAGATCCAGCCCGTCCTTCCCCAAATCACCATTCCCCCAACGATTGGAACCCCTGAGAATGTCACCACCACGACCGTCGTTGATACCTCCGCCCTTCCACAGGAACGGAACAACCTCGCGCGTGAGATTCGAAAATCCAATGTGATTCTCCTGGTGTACTCCGACCACTACAGCTATGAGCGCGTCGCCCTTTTCTGGTTGCCATACTTCCGATCGCTTGGTGTCAACGTACCAGTCGTGCTGTGTGCCAACAAGTCAGATCTGGCGGCTGAACACAGCGAGGCGCAGGTGATTGAAGAGGAGATGCTGCCGTTGATGTCGGAGTTCAAGGAGATTGACTCGTGCATTCGCACAAGCGCCCGAGAGCACCGGAACGTGAACGAGGCATTTTTTGTCTGTCAAAAGGCTGTCACCCACCCAATTGCGCCACTGTTCGATTCCAAGGAGGCTCTTCTGAAGCCAGCTGCCGTTGCAGCGTTACAACGCATCTTTTACCTGAGCGACAAGGATCGGGATGGATATTTGTCGGACAAGGAGATCGGGGATTTCCAGACCCGCTGCTTCGGGAAATCGCTAAGTGAGGTAGATCTTGCGCACATCAAGGAGACTATTCAGAAAGGCTATCCGGAATCGGTCACCGAGTCTGGGATTGACTGCCGAGGTTTCATCCACCTGAACAAGCTTTATGCGGAGAAGGGGCGTCATGAGACTGTCTGGATTATTCTTCGATCTTTCCAGTATACCGACAATCTCTCCCTACAAGAGACCTTCTTGCACCCGAGATTTGAAGTTCCTCCCTTCGCCTCAGCCGAGCTCTCCCCTGAAGGATACCGTTTCTTCGTGAACTTGTTCCTTCTATCCGACAAAGATAATGATGGGGGGTTGAATGATGCAGAACTGGAATCTTTGTTTGCACCGACTCCAGGCCTTCCTGCATCCTGGGCTGACGGCTCTTTCCCTTCCTCTACGGTTCGCAATGAAGCTGGACACGTCACTCTCCAGGGCTGGCTCGCTCAATGGAGTATGACGACTTTTATGTCTCCCAAGACAACTCTGGAGTATTTGGCATATCTCGGCTTCGAGTCCTCCGATCGAAGCAACCCGTCCATTACAGCAGCATTGAAGATCACAAGACCTCGCAAGAAGCGCAGACGCCCCGGTCGCGTGGGACGCAATGTCGTTCAGTGTCATGTTCTTGGAGGCCCCGGATCTGGAAAGTCGGCCTTGCTTGACGCACTTCTGTCGCGCGGGTTCAGTACGACATATCATCCTACGATTCAGCCTCGTACCGCTGTTAACACGGTCGAACTTCCTGGCGGGAAACAATGCTACTTGATTATGGACGAGCTGGGAGAATTGGAACCGGCTATTCTCGATAACCAGGTGAAATTGCTTGACCAGTGCGATGTGATTGCATACACATACGATTCCTCCGATCCCGATTCCTTTGCCTATATTCCCGCGCTGCGTGCCAAACACCCCTACTTGGAAGAAATTCCAAGCGTGTTTATCGCTCTCAAAGCCGATCTTGATCGGACGACTCAGCGAGCTGAGCACCAGCCCCACGATTACACCGCCATGCTGAACATGCCTAGTCCCCCTCTGCATGTCAGTGTAACCTGGACATCTATCCAGGAAGTATTTGTACACATTGCTGAAGCTGCCATGGAGCCTAGCACGGCATTCCCACGGAGTGAGGAAGATGTTGAAGGGAAGTGGATGGCGTGGGGCATTGCTTTTGGAGCGGTGGTTTGTGCCGGAGCGGCAGCAGTGATGATCTGGCGTCGAGTGAGTGGTAGTGGATCATGAAATGTAGATTATATTAGAATAATACCCCAATGTACTTGTGTTCATAGTCCATACTTCGCATTTGCCAAGCCCGGCTTAGCCGGAGTTAACCAGGAGCCCCGCCAGGCACGAGACTTGCGACTCCGCTCGACTTTACCCCGGACATCGCTGATCTCTCATTCTTGCTCCTCTTCGCTCGGACATCTCTTGTTGTGTTGTATTGCTGTACATACTTGCCACACCATCTTCTCCTTTGAATCGCCCGGACATTGTCCACCCGCACCTCTCTTCGTGCGTGACGTTCACGATCTGACTTCTCCGCAGTCGTGTCCCCATATCCTCGTCAGGGCCTAGCTTGGAGCCAATCAGAATCTTAAATCTAGCATACAGTTATTCCAGTTGCGACCAAAGCAGCTCAAACCTCACTCCGACAAGCGCCCCCTGACCGCGGAGGAGCTGCCCGCTTTGCCTGTGTGCCACGCCACAGCTTTGGCCCCGATCTGAACTTGACCTGGACTCAAACCCTGGAACCGTTCAGAAATCATGTTGTAAGACTTTCCACTCTTGTTTTTGGTTGCACTCGCTTGTCAGAGATCTTCTTTGGAAGCAAGCATCTTCTTTCACTATGTCACATGTCTTCTGCCTTAAGTCATCCGAGCTGCAACCATTGTCGGACTCGGAGGCAAACCCAAGATGAAACTCCCGAAAGATTCGCTAGCTTTACTAACGGAACACAGCGTCTTACCACCTCCCCCACCCCGCTATACCATCCCCGTCGCCTATCAGGCGGGCGCGGCAAATGGTATGGCGGTCCCGGTCGTCGAGACCAACAATACAATCACCCACCCAGAAGGCGGATGTCCATTACAGGTTGGAGAAGGTATGTGCAGCGTCTAGATATTTGCGACGCTAGACTAGCCCTCTTCCTTGTGCCAACGGTTGACTCCAACGTGCTAATTCGAGATTGCGCTGCAGGAACCTATACTCTGAAAGACGACCTTCTCCTAGCCACACCTCCCCCTCATCCGTCCGAAGCTCCAATTGTGAACCCGAATCCTCTTGCGACAGTTCCATCGCCTCCAACTAGTGGAGTCAAGCTGTGTTTGGTCAGCCTCGACCCTCGCAAGAAACCCCCCACCTTCTTGAAGACTGCCGTCGTTGCCCCGCAATTCGGAGATGGAAACCCAGCACTTGCACCGCCCGCACCGCCAGCTAAGGAGAAGGATGCGCAGAAGAGACGAAAGCCGAAAAACAACATCATCAAGAGCAGTTCCTCATTTGTGTCCCGAGTCATCACCCACGAGACCTCTACAAAGCGACTGAATGACCGCGACCAGAACGGTGTCTTTGCCTTTGCCAACATCAACCGAGCATTCCAGTGGCTCGATCTTTCCTCGGCGTCGAAAGAGGAACATCTCACCAAAGTTCTCTTCACCAAGGCACATATGCTGTGCCATGACATCAACGACATGACCAAAACTTCGTCCCATCTGGACATTGTGATGGGCTCGTCCGCCGGAGATATCATCTGGTATGAGCCTATGTCGCAGAAGTATGCTCGTATCAATAAGAATGGAGTGATCAACAACTCTCCCGTGACACATATTAAATGGTTGCCCGGGTCTGAGAATATCTTCCTTGCATCTCATGCCAATGGTGTTCTGGTGGTCTATGACAAGGAGAAGGAGGATGCCTTGTTTACCCCCGAAGCCCCGGCACACCCCGAGAAAGACCATAGTCGGCTGCCTCTTGAAATTTTGAAATCCGTGAATTCGAGAAATCAGAAATCCAACCCCATCTCTCTGTGGAAGCTCGCGAATCAAAAGATCTCTCATTTTTCATTTTCTCCGGATCAGAGGCATTTGGCTGTTGTCTTGGAGGACGGATCTCTTCGGCTGATGGACTATCTGAAAGAAGAGTATGTTGGCTGTCTTGTCGAATTTGAAACTCAGTACTAACATAAAAAGGGTGCTGGATATCTTCCGCAGCTACTACGGAGGCCTGATCTGCGTTTGCTGGTCCCCAGACGGCAAATACATCGTCACAGGTGGTCAAGATGATCTTCTTACAATCTGGTCATTCCCGGAGCGTAAGATCGTCGCAAGATGCCAGGGCCATAACTCCTGGGTCTCAGCAGTAGCTTTCGACCCGTGGCGCTGCGACCAGAAGACTTATCGATTCGGCAGTGTCGGCGACGATTGTCGATTGCTGCTGTGGGATTTCAGCGTGGGCATGCTCCACCGACCTCGCGCGGTTCGTTCTCACCTCGATGTCCGCTCCCTCGGATCCATTACTAACAAACTGGAGCAGCATCACCAAAACTCAACTCGGCAGCAGCACCGTAGCAGCATTGTTGGACCCGGCTCACTGTCCACGCATCGCAACCGGGCCGACAGCGGTGGCACCAGGTTCAGATCCGACTCCGACCGAACTGAGAAGTTTGTCGATGGGGATTTCGACCCCGTGGAGAACCATCCAGTTGAGCCCCGGTCGCGGACTGCGTTGTTGCCGCCTATCATGGTAAGTTTGTGTCGGCTTGTTTGGCCAACTAGACTGAAGCTAAACGTGAGCCCAGTCCAAAGTTGTCGGCGAAGATCCGATCTGCTGGCTTGGTTTCCAGAACGATTGTATTATGACATCCTCGCTCGAAGGTATGTATAAAATTTCTCTTCTTTTAATTCAGCTTTACTGACTTCTCCCCTCAGGGCACATCCGTACCTGGGACCGACCCAGCGACAGTGTTGTTCACAAATGACCACCGCCAATGAATTGCCATTGAGGCGGCATAGTTATGCGCGATCCCATTCAAATTTCTCATGCTTTTGCTTGAATTTCTCAGCGTTTACGGGTGGAATCTTACATTACCATATTTTCAGATACCCAATCCAATCCTACCAAGTACAAAAACCAAGCACACTATATATTCAGTATTTACTTAATACCCATTGCTCGCACAAATGCGACTAGGTTTGTATTATGCGGCTACAACCTGATTCCTCACAGCTTCGAGTTCTCGAGCCCCTCGACATCGAACTCAGTCGTGCAGAGTAAGAAAGTATCGCGAAGCGCCTACACAATTAGCAACGAATGCCAAAAAAAAAAAAGGATCATAACTTACCGACAACCGATACTTCTCATTAATAGCCTGATAATCCTCCCCAGCAAGCATATCACAGAAATGCCGAATGGAAGGATAATGGACGATTGAAATCTCATTCCACCACTCCTCCGTCTTCTTCCTATCACCTCGCGAATGGTCCTTCTGGCCTGCAGGGGCAGGTACCACATTACCAACCAACTTCGCATTTCCACCTCTCTTCCCCGCAACGGGAATGAAAGCTTGTCCGTACTGGTAATAGCTCTTCTTCCCGTCCGGATGATGGAAGTGAAGTAGATTCAGCATCGTCACGGGGCCCTTGTGTGTTTTCTCAAGCCTGGTCATGAATTCTAAGAGTGAAGGGGAGACTTCTAGGTTCTGGGATGTGGATTTGCTTCCGGAGTGTAGAATTTTGTCTAGGGAGCCTGTAAGGGGAATTGATGAGGCTTCGGATTTGAGGGTTTCGGAGCGGGTGGAGTAGTTGGAGAGGAGTTTCGAGGGGATTCCTGCTGGGAGTTTATAGGTGTTTGTTATGTGGTGGTTGAGCTGGTTGAATGGGGTTGGATTGCTGGATTGGAGGAGAACTAGGAGATCCCAGTGGGTCTTGGTGAGGGTCTCATTGTCGAGGATGTTGGGGTGGATGACAACATGGCGTGGGCGCGATGCGATAATGACTTGGAGGTTGGGTGTTTGTTTGAGTTGTTGGAGGAAGGAATGCGCGTCTGTCGATTTGGCGAGTTGTAATAGGTAAAGGTTGCAGACTGGCATGATGTGCAACTGTGCGTTGATCTGTATATGTATGTGGGAGGTTGAATGGGGAAAGTAGTCAAGATGGGAGCTTGGTGGAAGCCGAAGTTCGGGAGATAGGAACAAGTATCGGATGATTCAATCTCATTGCGGAGAACATTGATCGGCAGCCGAGGTCCAACTTTTTAAAGCCGATTGGTTGGAATGTAACTAAGTAATGTCGACAGTTCAAACATGCACAACGTTATTGAATTCCAACATTAAATAGGGACGTAGCACAGATCCAGAGTCAAACAAGAGAATTAAATCCAATCTCAACAGAAATAAGTCCCGAATCAAGTATATCCTTTGCCTCCACCAGACTATTTTAGAAAGTTCTCAGACACTATAGCATTCTTTGCGCGCATGTTTTAGTCATTTCAGTGAGTAAATCCGGCATGGCGGATCCAGTAGGATAATATTTAGAACACACACGCGAAAAGGCCCAGAAGCAGACTGCCAGCCTGGTTCGGCGGCAGGATAAGACCGGCTGCATTGGAGGTTGAGGTAGCAGTAGCACTGGAGGTCATGGTGCTCTTCATGTGCTTAGTAGTCGTGGTCGTCCCAGTGGTGTGGGACTTTGTCGAAATGCTGCTAGATGAAGTCATGGATGATCCTACAGAAAGTTCGGGTTAACCTCAAGTAAATACTGATATCGGTGGTCAATCGTAATTGAAAGATTGGAAGCCACGTGGCACCGTTACTCACCAGGAGTAGAGGTGCGGGGTGAACGAGACATGGAAGAACGGGGCTTTGAAGGAGAAATGTGCGTTCTTGAGAGCGAAGAGGAAGAACTGGTGCTCATATGGGTGCTTGAGGGGACAGTGCTGCTTGAGACAGAACTCGACGATGAAGGAGAATGGGTCTTAGAACTAGAAAGGGAAGACAAACTGGTAGAGCTAAAAGTCGGGGTGGAGGTCGGGATAGAAGGTGAATGGGTGGATGAAGACGCTCTGGTAGGCGTCGTCATAGAAGACGAAGTGCGGGAGGAAGTAGAAGATGCAGTAGTAGAGGAAGGAGAGGTGGTATGGGGAGACGCACTGGTGGAAGAGTGAGTAGTAATTGGAGAAGAAGTAGTATGAAAAGCAGAAGTCGAAGTGGCAGAAGTGGCTGCCGTCGATGCCATAGTGGAAGAAAGCATGCTCGCAGGAGACATTTCACTAGCAATTCTGGCTTTCTTACCAGAAGTAGAAGCTTCAATTTTTGGAACAGTCACTTTGAACTGCTGTGACTGAGCCAAAATACCACCAGAAGGCGAGAGGAAGTTGACCTGATAACCACCACTGTATCTGTCAGCGGTTGGATGTTTGCGAGTTCGAAGACGATGATCACTCACCCGGTGTCTGATACAGACACATCCTCTTTATGGGCTTTAATCGTATAGGAGCCCATGTCCGCATCGACTCCGGAGGCGACAGTCTCAGTCACAGGTGGATAAACATCCTCATTGACTAGAACAATGTCAACGGTAGTAGGATCGGTCCTAATTATTCCCGTTAACGCCCTCAATAATTCTTCTCGAAAAGCAGAAAGGTATGTTACTAACGAAACCCGCTGCCACTTAATGGTAACTGGCTTGGAGAAGTCAATCTTCTCGCCAATTCTAGGCGAAGTGATCACGATTCCTAGGGGAGTATTAGATCCGTTCTTGGCTGCTTCATGCCTCGAACCGTACCTGCAGCCGAAACGGCAAAGGCCATCAGGGAAGTCATGGCAGCAACACGCATTGTGATAGATTGGTTTGATCCTTTGTTAAAAATGGAAAGAAACCCTCTTAGACCCGAGAGTAGGTAAGAAGATGATAAACGAGAGGGAAGTCGCGAAGGTGGCAGGAAGAAAGAGGAGAGTCAAGGAAAGACGATAATATTTTATATTTGATAAGCGAGCCGAGCACCAGCTGCCAACTTCCAAGGGTCTACCTGCATTTTTATGCCAATGTTTATCTTCTGGGCTAGGGTACTTGCGATTCCTTCACGCGTCATGTCTCATGTGTCCAGCTCCGGCGGAGTACAAGGAGCCATTAAGCAAGGGCCATATCTCTCAAAGTCCCGGATTACATCCATAGTTAAAGGTAGAAAGCAATCTTGGAAGCAGAAGGGGTAGATGCCGTAGCCCGCAAAGAATGTACTTCAGCCTGAATTTGAATCACCGGCGTATTTGTGCTGCACAGTCTATGCCAATTCGCCCGGCCGCGCGTCAGAGTTCTTGTTTAGTTCCTGTCTGCATTTCTGGTGAGAAACTTCTGTTGTACCTTCCTACTAATATAGTGATGGTCATTGGCCCAAGAACATCGCACTGGGATGACCGCTGCAGCCTATTTAGCAGGACAACTGATCACCCGGGATTTTATCATTTGTGAATGGAAACGGTTACTCAGTTCTGTTCGCTTGGGGGCCAACTAGAGAGAGAGAGGTATGACTCTAGTACGTATTCATGTGGTAGCTTGAATGGACACTAGGCTGGTTACGAATATTGTGTGCTTCCGATTCATGGATTTTAGCCTCAAACTGCAGAGAAGACAGGAAGACCTAAATGAGCACCCACGAGGCAAATTCGCTGTTTCGTGGCAGATAGATTTACACGGTCGGAAGTCAGACAGCAAATCTGAAGGGCCTAAGCACTTCGGAACAGCTGGATTCCCTGTGTCTGGTCTCGGATCGCAGTCATGGATAAAGGTAGGACAAGGCCAAGGCCAAGGGCCGAGACTAGTACCATTTTCAACCTGACATCTTCACTCACGCAACACGGGAATGTCGTTGTGAGCTCACCAGGTTTTTTATCGTGGATGAGATTGCAAAGCTACATATTTGCCTCTTGGGGTGATTTCTACGCATGTCAGTAATATGGCTACCTTGAAACGCATTTCTTTGCTCTTGATTGCAGATCGCACAACGCAGGACACCGGAACTATCGTGATTGGATCTCACACGAGAGAAATTAAAATGCTTCAATCAGCTTAGGTTGTTATTCACTTCCCTGCCGTATTTGTTGCTGTGAAAATGTTCTTTCTTGGCTTGAATGCGTTTTCTGTGTTCTCCGAACCTCTAGCTTGTCGGATAGAGCTAGATGAGAAGACGCCTCATTCGGTTGATAATCCGATGGCCTAGACTGACAGGAGCCATCGTCATTTAATCCTCAGACCACCTGTGGAGTTCTAGAAATAGGAAGTTTCAATTTTGTGAAAATTCGCACGGTCAGAATCTAACATGGTCTCTGCCTTTAGTCGGACTCTATATCATCCCGAACTTACGCACAAAAGAAGCTCTCTTTGTCACCGCTGGCTTAGTGAACTTTAAAGTTTTCATGGTTCCCTCATAAGCTTCTAAGACATTTGAGGCGATGTACGTGAAGATTGGGGTGCTGCCCACTCGCTCGAGTACCTGCAACTTTCCATTCTTGGACAACTTGGAGGCCACATAGTCATCCAAGTTGAGGTGCTCGAGATACTCGAAAACCCTCTGGCTGGAGTCTATCTGAGAGGCAAATGTGATGAATAAAGTGGAGCTGCCTTGGAGGGGGAGGGAGGAAGAACTTAAAAAGAGCAAGGATGAGGCTCAGCAAGACCAATTGTGTTTGGCCCCAAAAAAGGGTTTTCTTCGAAGCATCCCCCTTGAGCGAGAAGCTGTGCTTGTAGTGGGTTTCCCTCCATGGGTTTGACCACTTCGAGTTCCCATTTAATCTACCTCCGAGCTAGAAGCTCGATTATATATCCCTTGCTTTTTACAGTTTGAAAGGTAATCCAAGATACTTTTACATATCATTCGGCGTTCCTTTCCATAAGGCAACTTGAGGTATACGGCACCTGTAAATGGTGCCGAGACGTTAGTTTATCACGAGAGTTACAGCAATGAAATAACACTACAACTAAGCAGACTCACTGCAGTCAGATATGGAGAGGCCATACACCATTGGGCACGAATTCCATATTCCACCTCAGACTGCTCAGTACTCTGTGGTATTGTGACAGAGAGGAGTTATTTAGTGCGAATACATGTCAGACATATTAGCCAGCGTTTGTTTACCCGCATAACCCAGCGCACTTTGCTTATGTCAGGATATGGGCGCTGGCGTTACGTCGATTAACTGCCCTGAGATGCGGACACGACGGCATTCAAGGTGATCTAAGATACAAAATTAGCAAGGCTCTCAATCAACGACTCAGAGGAGTATAGCTTTGTTAACAATGTCATGATGAGGGGCACATTTACCAATATTGGCAAGAAATTCAATCGCGATGCATCCTTTGGGCGGATGTCGGGGTGTTTTGTAAAGGCGGTCTAGAACACAGGGCAGTTCAAAAGGCGGCGTGAGTGTGGGGGTGGAGAACGCGCAAAGGCGGCGTAGAAAGCCAGCAGAAAAAGAACCTTAGTGGAAACGTGGGACTCGTCGTTATGTCATCTTCACGTCCTCAGATCAGACACGCAACACCAGTTTGGTCTCGCTGAGCTTATTGTGGGTGAAATTTGGTGCTCCAAGATCAGAAAAGCTCAAGCGTGCTCGCTTCCATGGCTCATAACAGATGCGAACTGGCATGTCATTCACACCACGCCATCTCCTCCGTCTGGCTTTTACACCCCACCCTGGACAATGGATCACTCCGGTGAAAACACGTTAAGCGTATGTGACTTGATGATATTCCAATAACATGAAATATTGGTGTCTAATATATCGGTCATGAACAGGAACTTCAAAAGCTTTACTGTCCCCCAGTGGACTCTGCGTTATTTGCGGCTGTGGCGTCTGATTTCGACCTAACAGACCTGGCGGCTGTCGAGGAACTTTGTCAAATTCTTTCTACTATCAAGGAATCCGCTCTAGAGCAAGAGGATCTGCCATTTGATCCAACAGGAACATTCAACCATGAAGCCAACGATGCTGGAGTAGGCGACTTTGGCTCCTCGCCCCACACATCCCCTAATGGGCAAGGCACTTTACACACCCGAACAGATACCTCAAGTCATACATCTAACTTGGTTTCAAGTGAGAATGACGGAAGGTCCTCCTCTCAGAGCAAATCTCAGGGTGCGTACACGGTGGGGACAGATGGCTCCCTGCAATTCTCAAGCGGTTCAGATGAGGAAACAATTGAGTCACTCGTGCAAATGTTTCCCACAATATCTCTTCTTGATATCACGCAAAGTCTGAAGAAGAGCGGTGGAGATCCCACCAAATGCATGGATGTTTTGCTTAATCTGGCCTTTTTCGACGAATCTCAAATAGCCGATGACGACACGAGAATCGCTGTACCCAAAGGAATCGATGGTTTTATGGAAGGTAGCGGTGACATCGGCTATGGAAAGGGGAGCAAGAAAAATCGGGGCAAGAAACAGAAGCTGCGCCAGGGATTCAGTCATTCATCCACTAGTTCCCCTCCTCTAAACAAGTGGGAAACTGGCAAGGCAGACATCGAGTTTATCTCTTCGCGCACTCCGGATCTGCCCAAAGAAAAGGTGTCATCCATTTACCACGCAAACGGAGGGTCTTTGTTTCCCACTATCAGATCGATTGCTCTTTCCAACTGTCCAAAGGACGTGCACGAGATTGACGAAGATCCCGTTATGCTCACACAAGTGGCCGAGCTCGCTGGAGCATTCCCCAATCTCCAAACCACTACTCTGATCGGGCTTCTAAAAGTCACAAGTAACATGCCCTCAGCGGCGACTGACTTTGCAACGGTACTGGCTCGGAGGCCTTCATTGTCTGATGTGTCGAACATTATCAAGTTCACCGCAGCACCTATCGACCTTAGTGAGGAAGATAATGTCGGCGGGTCTGGATCTCGGAGCCGGAGCAGTGAGGTTGCCGCAGATGGACCTGATTATGCACAGGCAACGGCAGCAGCGAACGCTCATTTTGCGGCAGGTTCTGCCGCTTACAACCAAGCACGCGAAAGCTATCGCCGCTCCAAGTCGAATCACCTCTTTTCTGCTGCGACAGCAGTCTACCGAGAGTCTGCAGAAAAAAACTTCATACGTGGAAGAGCTCAACTGTCGCTTGCGTCTGATCGCCTTGTGGACAACCAATCCACTAAGTACGATCTAGATCTCCACGGCATCACCGTTGCCAATGCGGTTCGCATTGCCCGCGAGCGAGTTCAATATTGGTGGGACAATCTTGGCGATGCCAAGTATGTCCGTGGCGGTGGTAAACATGTACACGGTGGTTATAAGATCATCACTGGTGTCGGTAACCACAGCCACGACGGCACATCTCGTCTCGGACCAGCAGTTAGCAGGATGCTCATTCAGGAGGGCTGGCGAGTGGAGATTGATCGAGGGTTCTTGTTGGTCACAGGCGCTGCTCGTGCCCGGTAACTGCATTCTTTCTCTTGTGCCTTCGATTTTTTTCATTGTGGCCTTGCAATCGTCCTGTCCTGTATAGTTTCTGGGCCCATCTGTTCGACAGTATTTTTTATTTGTACGATACCCAGCATAGGGGGAGTTTCGTTTAGCTTTCCTTGAAGGAAAATGTTTACTGGTCATTGTTTGATGCCCTTGGTACCATTTCCCCTTTCGTCCTTTATGAGTAAATTTTATTAATGTTCGTAGATAAGTAATTAGGTATTCTCGATTCCTCCAAATGCAGTCGTCTAGATCTAGATCGCTGATGCCGCGGACTCCCCGCATGATGACGTAAAGCACCCTGACGCCAATCGCGCCCACTTCTTCTGACAACACTTGTCACACAAGCACTACAAGCCATCTCTATGAGATCTCAAGCAGCCCGCATCTTGAAAGCACCCCTAAGGCAACGCGCTCTTCTCCAGCCAGCCTCCTTCTCCCGCTCCCATTCAAGATTTCCAGGCAAGAACAGTCGTTCTACGCCCGGAGCTAAGGCGCTTAGAGCAGCCCCGACTATTCCATTCTTTGGCGCATTCTTTAGCTCTCACAAGCCCGAGGACTCAAGCGGCAGCATGTCTTACCCTGATCAGCGCAGTGAAGATCAGTGGCGAACGGTGTTGAATCCCGGTTCGTATATTTACCTTCCCTTGCCTTCGACCAAGTATTTCGCTTACCCAGTGATATAGAGCAGTTCCGCATCCTTCGTGAGAAGGGCACCGAACGCGCCGGTACCGGCGAGTACGATCAACACCAGCCGACCAAGGGCGTGTACAACTGCGCCGGATGTGACGCACCTCTTTACACAGCCGATCACAAGTTCAAGTCCGGTTGTGGCTGGCCCGCTTACTTTGATTCGATTCCCGGTGCCGTAAAGAGACATGTGGACAGTACCTTTGGCATGAAGCGCACCGAGATCGTCTGCAGTAACTGTGGAGGTCATCTCGGTCACGTCTTCGAGGGTGAAGGATATCCGACCCCCACTGACGAGCGTCACTGTGTGAATAGCGTGAGTCTGCGTTTTACCGAGGACCAGGGATCTTCTGGAAAGCCGGCGGAAAAGTCGAAGGCATGATTGGATGTAGTATGTAAAACAAAGATTTAAAGTGTTCTAGAAAACGAAGCTGGTTAGCGCGGACCTTGGGGGCCAAGCGCGTAGTCAGGATCCAACCATCTTGCATAAATCAATGGCCTAACTTGTTTTGAGTGTAGATCCTACGTGTGTAGATCCTACATATCTATCGGCCGTTGCATTAATAGCACACAGAACTTGAATGGAAAGCAATATATATAAAACTGCGTGGCTGGCACGTCCCACTAACCGTATCCACGCCTAAGGCCGCATTGCCGACCGCCACCTGCGCATGCGGGAGGTTGCCAATGTTTCTCTTCTCCTTTCTTACCACACAAACGTCCACTGATTATGTCTCGACGCGCTACGCCGGGCCAGGCTGCCCAGAACCAGCAGACCATCAAAAGCCTGCTGAAACTTGAGACCAACAAGATATGTGCCGACTGCAAGCGCAATAAGCGTCAGTGACCCCCCTCCGATGCCGCTCACGCGGGCCTGGTACCACGGCTGCGGGTCACATTGCATACTAACATTTCTCTTGATTAGATCCTCGATGGGCGTCTTGGAATTTGGGTATCTTCATTTGCATTCGCTGTTCGGGTATTCATCGAGGAATGGGCACGCACATCAGTCGAGTCAAGTCCGTTGATCTCGATGCATGGACCGATGAACAACTCCAGAGTGTTGTGAAATGGGGCAATGCGAGAGCCAATAGGTCAGTTGTGCGCAATTGATAGTGTCGGCCCATGTACTAATGTCGTACAGATACTGGGAAGCGAAACTGGCGCCCGGCCATGTCCCCTCGGAAGCGTGAGTGCATTGCGACCTTACTATATGTGATAGCATCTCACTAACGTCGCGTGCCTGTAGTAAGATCGAAAACTTCATCCGAACCAAGTACGATACCAAGCGCTGGGCGATGGACGGTGGCATCCCCGATCCCTCGACTCTCGATGATGGTGACGATGACGTTGTAAGTGTTTCGGACTACAATGCGAAATGGCGTGGAACAACACATGCTGACCTTCCAGCCGCTTGCCGTTGTTCAGGAAAAGGCAAAGATTGAGCGTACCGTTTCGCAACGCATGGCACCCCCTCCCCAGCCCGCTCGCCGACAAGCTCCAATTGATCTGTTCGGTGATGATCCAATTGCTCCCCCCGCTCGCCCTAGCACAACCGATCCGGCTCTTCGCGCTCCTGCAAGACAAACACAGTCCGCACAGCCGAAGGCGCAGAAGCCGGGCGACTCGTTGCTCGGCCTCGACTTCTTTGGCAGCACCCAACCCTCGTCCGGCAGCCGTCCGTCCAGCACCGCATCTACACCCGCTGTGCCAACTGGCATGTCTCGGCCAGATCTGAAACAATCAATTTTGTCCTTGTATTCGAAGCCACAGCCCCAGGCTGCCCCCGTCCAGCATAGGCGGGACAACTCCTTTGGCGATATGGCCTCTCCGACGGCACCCTCTGCGTCCTCAAACATGGGCGGTCTGACCGATGCCTTCAGCGGCCTCACTTTCCCATCAACCACATCTCCACCCCCGGCCCAGCAGGCTCCGAAGCCTTCTCCATTTGCCAACCTTACCAACTTCGGTGCTGCCAAGTCGACCCCGGCCGCTCCCAGGGTCACCTCACCTTCCGGCTCTGCCGGTGGCGATCTATTCGATAGCCTGACCTCTCCTACACTGTCTGCCCATAAGCCCCAGTCGCGAAACACATCCATCTCTTCGCATAACCAGGACTTTGGCGGCTTCGGCGGCTTTGCCTCTGCTTCCTCTCAGCCGAAGCCTAACCCTTCATCTTCATCCATCTCCAATAATCTCTCCAATGACCTGTTCGGTCTCTCTTCTCCGAGTCTCTCTTCCCCGCCTCCTGCGCCAATTTCGCCGCCCAAGTCTACCGTGACTTCCCCGCAGCACGAAATGAGCTCTGCATTCAACCTCTCCAGCCCCTCGTTCCAGCCCAAGCCCACCACATCCCCCAAGCCCCAAATGCCTTCCGCAACTGCGGCCGCTGCCACCATGTCAGCGATGGACCCTTGGGGTGGTAATGCTTGGGGCACTCCCGACTCTGCTCCTGCCCCTGCCCCGGCTGCGCCTGCGCCGGCATCCATGATGAAGATCCCCGATACCCTGACCCCCAACGACATTGGAGGTGGTTGGGGTGCTCCGGCCCCCTCCTCCCAAGCCCACTCCTACTGTGGCGGCTGATGAGGACTTTGGAGGCTGGACTAGTGCTGCTCCCGTCTCGTCGGGCACTACTACAACTAGCTCAACCAAGCCGGCTGGCGGGTTTGGTGGTTCTGATGACCTTTTCTCTAATGTTTGGGAGTAGAGGATATATTATTTCCATAGGCAAATGAAATAATAATTATACTTTGCATTTCATTTCGTATATCAAATGATTGGTAGGTAGATAGGTATACCTGTAGTATAAGTTTTCTTGATTTTGAACTGAATGCGATTCTTTCAGCCCATTCGGCCTTTCCATCTCATGTTAACTCTCACTCGGCTTTGTGTGTGGTTTTTTCGGAAATGAGTTTCTTATAACCACCTAACACAGTTCTAGAAATCAATCATTTTAAGGAGACATGGTGAAACTGGTTTCAAAGTCTGTAGTCGTCGCAATTCTCCCTATAATTACAATATTCATTCAAATAAGACATGAAAGCACAACCAATCTTTTCAATGTTTTGTTTATTCAATTGTTTGTGCCGAATTATGGCGTGCAGCCCCAACATGGAAGTATAAAGCGACCAGAACAGCATAATACGCCGTCACTGGTAGTAAAGGTGTGCCTGCTCGGGCAGGCGCATAGATAATAATAAAAACAACCTCCCAGTGGGCTCCACCATATAACATCCGACCCAGGTATAGTTAAGACAGGTAAAGAAAAGTAGTCAAGAAAACCCACGGCCAATGGGGAAAAAGAAAGACGTCAAGACCAAAACCAAGAACAAATAGGATATAACTACCGACATCACGAATCATAACAATATAACAATATAAACAGACCTAAGAAATCATCTCAAACAAGCTCACTGGCACTCTCCGTCTTATGACTTCCAAGAGCCGTAACTTTCGACTCCTGCGTCATGAGCGTAGTCACCTTAATACCAGCAAACGTTTCCTCTTTGCTCTTTTGCTCCTTCTCGAAGCTATGGATTGAGCCATCAGGGGATAGGTCATCCAAGTCGTACCCGTCTCGCCCAGGGTCCCGACCGCCAATGACGGATGCCATGACTTGTGTGTTCCCGTTGCCGGTGTTGCCGGTGAGGGCACTGCGACCGGTGTGGGAGGGTCGGGTCTTACTGCGGTAGCCGTTGCTGCCAGTAGAGAAGACATGAGGGAGGATTTGGGAAAGGAACGCCCGGGTGCTGGGGAGTGATGCGCAGATGATGGCGACATTGCATTCGACGGCGGACCAGGAGGCAGCACCGATGTTGTCGTCTGTTCAAAGTTTGTTAGACTCGAAGATTGGTTTTTTTTTTTTTTTTTGGTTCTTGTTGGAGACTGGATGTGTACTTACAGGTTGGATCATCGGAGTTGGAAATAACTAGGAGGCTGTGGAGACGGAGAATGGTGGTGATTACAACACTATACTTGTTAGTAAATGTGTTGTTGGAAATGGTGGAGTATACTCACAATCCACCCAGGGCAAAAACACCTATCAAGGCCAACTTTTGCTTTCTGGGGAGCTGGAGAGAACTGAGGACGGGCATTGGGAATATCAAAATCAACAAATCCGTGAGAATGTGAATGGCGGAGTTCGAGAACCATAGGGCTTTTTTGTCGAAGCAGAAGCCTGGCACTGTCGGGTCCCAGAACTTGGCGAGAGGGACGCAGTTTGCCCAGGCACTGACGACTGACCAGGTTCCGTAGACGACGATGAATCCGAGGAAAATGGCACACGCTAGACGCATCCGCGGTGTTGAGAATACTCGTCGATATTGAAGCAGCATAGAGATCTTCGTGCTGAAGAGACTGGTCTGGTAGATTGGGACTGAAGCCCAGAAATACTGGAAAACAAGGTTAATAGTGACCCTTAGAGTGCCGGGGGCTCATTGTCCATGAAGTGTCAGTACTCACAGTCATTTGAGCTACATAGACTGCATTTGGGATGAGCTTGAAGTGTTGTCCCATGTCATGGTAAACCTCTGCGAGGAGTTAGTTCACATCACCGATGATAGGATGGAATGCACTGACCTCCCACAAATAATCCAAAAAAGACCCATGAAAATACTAAGGATGCCATAATGGCGTAGTCATCGGCTCCCATTTGCTTCACCATAAACGCTCTCGTATAGATGCGGACAAGGACCACAAATGTTGCCAATGAGGTGAAGACAGCACTGACGGCCAGAGCCCCCTGGCCCCTTGAGGTTGATAGTGTAGTCATTGTTGCGAGTATTATTTAGGACAAAAGAGTGTCGGTCTGTGCAGCCAAAGATCACCGAAGATCTAGACTAGACAACAGAATAGTTAGAAAGTCCGAATGGAATCGAAGATCAAGCCAGGGCCAACTGCATTTAATACACCATTGCGTGGTGCAGAGAGAAATGGCCAGTGTGGGGGTTAGCCCCTCTTGAGTCAATAGAAACAGGAAAGACAGGGAGATCCGTGGCTTCAAATGACGCCCGGAAAAATATCGAAAAGGACAGTATAGGACTAGCTTTGTGAAATGCCGGTCAGCCACCGAGGGGCTAGAGGATATAAGCTTAGGGACGAGGACAGGACTATTGGCATTCAGGAGGTATTATTACAAATTCAAGCTCGAAACTCATCTCGAGGCATGGTCAGTGAGCGTATCAGCGTCTGAGCGCCCCGTTTCTACTGCGAACCACGCAGGTAAGAACCCCGACAGAGTTCGACAGCCTTGCGGGTGCTGGCCGCCGTCGACGACGATCAGGTAGCCAACATGAGAGGGGCCTATCATGGTCCAAGTTCCTGGGCCGCTAAGAGGGGTACCTGGCTGAACGTGGAGCTTCGAGTCCTGTTTCGGGCTATGAACCATGAGGGGGCATCCATGCCTCACCCGTTCGGCCCACCATGGGAGATGCCATGCGGGCCCATTGCAGACCGGAGCCAACGTCGACCAGTGATTCCAAGAGCTTGACGAGTTCAGCTAACTAGCGTTGTGGAGATCAAAGGTACAATCCTTGGTTTCTGCAGCGCACAGGTCGTTGTCTGAAGCGGGTTGACATCTGGCAGAGACGAGTGTTGCAACCATGGAACCGGTTCGCCCCGAACAGAGCATAAAAAAGTACCGAGACCGTTGCCAGAGTTTAAAACTATTGTTTCATATGTTTTTTTTCTTCCTATTTTCCAGACTCTAAATCTGATTATTGTGACATAATACTCCGTACTTGGCCTACACTCCCACATGCATCAATTGGCACGGATGCAGAAGTTAGCGCGGAAGATTCTCGCGAGAAAGCGCCGAACGAATGCCGCTTTCCCTTGGGAACGCGGGTAAATTATCCTTAGCTCGGGCTCCATTCTTCTTTCTACGGACTTGCACACCCTATCAACGCCGCCCCAGGAGACCCCCTCCAGCTTGGTGGCTGGCAATAACTCCAATAGCGTCAACTTCGTGGCTGTCAGTGGGACACAGGAAGACTTCTATCGAAAAACGCCACGTGCTTGACAACGATCTACACTGCAGCAGCCACCACTGAGTTATCAGTTCATGCCGGCCTGAAATAGATGACACAAAAAGCAGTTCACGAGAAGGGAGATCCCTCGGATGCCTCGCTTCGACATTCGGCGCCCAACAAACCAACAAACAGGTACAGTACTAACAAAGAAACTGCCCCGAAACGTCGCTATCTGTTGCGCAAGTATGTCGATCACTCCGGGCCTTGTCCCGTCCGCATGTAACGCACGGGGCTCTGACGGCTCGACTGCTAGCCGAAGGGCGGTTGGATTGTCGATTGTCGATTATCGATTATCGATTATCGTTCACTACCCCGTCCTAGATATTGCATAAAACAGCCTGTGCTTGCGCCATGACCACTAGGGCTCAGTAGCCTCTACGAGAGCTTCGTGCAATCGAGCGCAATGCCTGGGATTGGTCATTTCTCTTGTCGATCCTCGTGGACTGAGGGTCCACCACTTGCAAAACCACGCTTTGCCGGAACTACCCTTCACAGGCGTATTTGTAACTGAGGATAGGGGTATGATGATCATCTGACGCGAAAAAGGTAGCTGCAGGTCTAACAGTAGATGTTTCCACGAGCTGAAACTGATTGTTATTGCCTTCCGGTGCTTCCAAGGCTTTCGTGGGGAACTTGGTGAAACTGCTACAATGAACTCACGTGAGAGATTAACGGTTTCGCGGAAGTACTTTGTGTTTTCTTAAAAAAGAAAAAAGCGCGCTCCATGTGGCTTGGATCGAATGGATCGAGATTTTTTACTTCCTATCTTGGACTATAGATCAATGATCAATTGCTAGTGAAATCGAAACATTCCGATCAACCGTAGAATCTCCCTAGAGTGAACTGGAACTGTGCAGACTGATCGGGATAGACTGACGTGCCTCCAACTGGTAGATGTCCGGTCGCTTAAATATAGCAGTAACATCAACAGCAGCTATGAATCCAGGACCATGTCAGACCATTTCCGTGTGTTTGTGTCGGCATGAAATAACGATTGTCTCAGCACTAAAAGTGTCATTGACATTTTTGGTCGAGTGATCTTCGTTTTCACAGTTTGTTGCTGGCTGACCGACGTTATCGACACCTGAGATATCAGGCCTGCGACCAGCCTTCCAAAGGCGTCAGCAATATCATTGCCACCCAGACAGGGTATTATAGTCAGTTCAATTTAATTCATTAAACACAATGGTAAAGATAAACCAGCTAGTGGTAGCCCATCTCTTCCCTTGCCCTACTGGTCTGCTTCGTAGAGTACCTCGTACTACCCGGTCGTGTTGAGCTTTCAAAACGCGGCTGGGCAGCCTGCATGGATGACCATGGATATGATCCATGTGGCTTGGCTAGGAAACCCTATAATCAATATCAAACAGCTGCTCGGTCATAAATGACAGGTCTATTGGTCGATACGGGTGTCAGAATCAAAGGTGAGCTGGGAATGAGGTTAGCGCCTGCCAAGTTGCATCCCCAGCCACCGATCGCAAAAAAGCACATGGCTGGGACGTGGTTTGCTTAAAACCCCCCATTAGCATTCCAACTGATGCAATTTTTCTTCACATTCCCCTCTTGTGCGGCTCATTCATCTTTGAGCTTCCCGGAAAAAAAAAACAAGCAAGATCGGGCTGCACTGAATTGCGCCGTACATACTGCGCTGTCTACTCGCCGAGTATACAATCGAACCCAAGTGCCAACGCAGCAGACCGGGATTACCTCTGTCGCCCAACTATTTTCCCTCCAATTCTTTTCTTATTTTTCGGACACGAAATCACGACCTATACCGTTCGTCCAAATAGTTCCATCGCCTTTACCCCGAGCTCTCGAGCTCTAATTCTTACGAGCTGACGGCCCAAACCCTACCCAACCTCCACCCAACCCCGCCAAGATGGTCCAGCGCAACATCACCATCGCGATTATCATTATCGTACTCTTCATTATCCTCGCAATCGCAGGATTTGCTATCTACGCCGTCCAGAACCACGTCTCCATCTTCTCCAAAACAAGCAAGGAAATCGACGAAGAGAGCGCAGGCGGAGGGTGACCTCACTTAACCAGCGACACTGCTGCCGTCCTGATACCCCTACTATACGACAACATGGATATATCCTTGGAGAACGGACGAAAAGAAGAAATACGATACCCCATAGCATATTCTGCTATCTTGATGAGCCTGATGCGACTGCTTTGAGACTCCGCGCGTTGTTTTTTTTTGTACAACTTTTGAGCACATGAATTTTTGCTACATATCTTTTTGCACCTGGGGAGTTGGTTGGACATTACTTTTTTTCTTTCATGGATGTACTTTCGATGACTTGGATGGATATGGTCTGCTTAACATATGACACATGACTGGTACGATGAATTTAACTTGCATGCTCTTTCGTGAGCATTTCTACTTGGATAATTCTGCCTAGTTACCTAGGTTTTTTGTAATTTGTCAAATGATCTGAAAAGAGCAAAGGTGCTCAGCGGGGCCCATGTGATTCGTTAAGGCTATACCGGCACATATAAAAAACATCTCGGATGTATATCGCTCTGTGGCTGCTTTTAGAGTGATACAGTTAGGCAATAGTAATGTGTTGAACACAAAATTGAGAACCGGGATTATAATGACTAAGGATGGAAGGATATGTAGGTGAATAAGTAGAAAATGGTAAAATTTGAATGCTTGTTGATAAGCGTAGCAATAAGTTGAATAGCTGAAAATGCAGAGATATGCCACTCGCTTCCACGAAAACCAAATCCATGCCGCCAATGGTATCGCCAGTTGCCCGAATAACATATACAATGCACCAAAGCCCCATAAGAATCTTGTTCAAAACACAGGACGCCAGTAAGACACAATCAAACTGAATAAATAAGAAAAATGTGTCCAAAGTTAGAAAACATAGCTTAAAAGCTCTTGAGCCCGTAAAGCCGTCGCTATATGCCAAGGCAGCGTGTTGTTCTGCACGCTGCGCATGCCCCTCGCTCGGGCAAGAGATGCTAGATCGCGATACATGCCCAAAGTTTCCCTTAAAGTGCTTCCGTGAGATGAAGATGGCCGCTGGGAATATACGAGGTTGACGGTCATGGAGAAGACACCTTCGCCGTCTGTTGTGCCTTTGCGGCGGAGGAGATACCCGCTAGCCAGCGCAGGGCGGAACTCGGTGAGATGAGGTGAGCTGTTGAGGCGATGGGAGAGGATGACTGCCCATGACTCATCGCTGATGTCGGTGAGAACGACGTCTGTGTCGGGTTCGATGGAGGGTTCGGTTGGAGTGGGGGCGTTATAGGTTGCGCTGGGTGTTGGCGCGTTACCAGATTGCTCGGGCGAGGCAATGCTGGCACTCGGGTTAGGGGTGGAGACGGGGGTTGATGAGAAATGGGGATTCAGGACGGCTGTTGTCATGGTTGAAGTGGGTGCTTCGAGTGTGAGATCGGGGGTGGTGATGACGGTGACCATGGTCAACTCCAATGATCCTGGTCTCATCTTGTTCACTTGGTCGGCCAGAACGCTCCATCCTATAGAATTGTGAGATTTGGAATTGTAAGTTTCAATATCGTTTGAACCTTACCTTCAATGTCGTCTTGATCCATTGGTTCGGTGTTCACCAGCACAACCCTCCAACGGGCCTGGAACTTTTCCATGATGTGCTTTGTCGTGGCCCAGATCTCATTGCGCACCTCGGCAACTGTCCTAGCGGCGCCTTTGCTTCGATATCGGAGGCAATAAGACATGGTTGTTTGGATAGACCCAGTTCCATCAGACCATGCCACCGACATCCAACGTTGATCTGAGCTTTTGGAGCACGCAATATGGAGGCTACGCCCATCTTGTAATGGTGACCCTTTCTCGGATGCAAGGCGGAAATGGAGAGCTCTAGGCAGAGGATCGGCGAGGAGTATCGCAGGAGCACACACCACAGGACTCAGATCTGCTTCCTTTGGTCGGCATCGACCGTATACCTCTAGAGCGAGATCCAGATAGTCTGTTTGAGTCGGAACAACCATTGATTCCCCGGATGTGATGAAATTCATTGGGATAATTTGCAAAGCAACGTCGTTGACCTGTCGGGACTGTCGAAGGTCGGCGTTAGCCAACAATTGTTGGAAAAGGTGCCAGAAAGCCGTGCAAATGTCCGCCAATGCAGCCGCGTGAGGGAACGGATTGACAATATAAACGACACAATTATCGGAGGAGGGTGGGGATTGCGACAAATCAGCGCCTGAAGTCGGGTTAGATAATATCAAATGAGCCGGGAAGCGTAACATACCTAGTTCTTCACACAGCTTTTTCAAACCCTGCATCATAGAGGAGTAGCTGGACTCGGTATCCCATGCCCTCATTCCGTTTTTGAATGCCATTGACTTGTCGCACCGTGAATGGTCACCAAGGTTGCAGCTTTGATATGTAAGACCAAAACGATATAGGAATGAATCTGCAGCCTTTGAAGCGGAGTTCGGATGAATGCAGTAAGCCGTAATATCTTTCGGCCCACGAGCAGGTTCAAGACCGAAAGTCTCCCAAAACGAGATAGCGGGCGGAAGGGTTTCCAGAAACTCCTTCCCACGGCGAACCCGAAGATGTGGAGCTGCAACCTTTGAGATGGGGACTCGCGCCGGTTCTTTGGACGGCTGATGTGTCGACTCCGCGGCCGTTTCATCTTGCAGAGACGTATATCCCTTGAGATCCAGCTTGGCCATCTCACCCAAGAAGCCTGTATCTTCCATGCACGTTCGCAAAGTCAGACTGTCGCTTTCCAGACCAAACAGACCGACATTGCCATCCAGGACATGATCCAGAGATGATTGTGTTATTTGGTCGACCAAGAGCTGAGCAATTGGCATTTGATCCTCCCGGCGGAGAAGAACGGGCAGTTGTTGAATTTGCAACGCAGAGAAGTAACCAGTAAGTGTCCAATCGGAGAAGTTGGCAAGAAAGTTCCCCAGAAATGTCGAATTCTCAGCTTTGGATCCCAAGTTCACCTCAGGCACACTAGTTGATTTGGCTGTTGATGCAACGGATTGGATATCGGTTTCGGAAGAGACACGCTTTCTTTTCAAGGTTGGGAGAGCTAGCGGCGTCGGAGCATGCTGCAATGGCAACCCATAGCTGTCTTCGCTACTAGCACTGCTTGACATCGACGAAGACCGTTCCCGGTCTTCGAGGATTGATGGTGAAGCATTTGTGCCATTTGGTTTTGGGAGGCTCACTGAAGTTCGACCACGGTGAGGAATGCCAACCGTGGGGATAGTGTTGGGGTTTTTGTCCGAAGTGTCTGGTTTGACACCAGTAGAGAACCAAAACTTGCCCGCTGCCCCATATTTCTGGTCCCAGTCTCCGATCTTCTTTTCGAAGGCAATGGGGTGATAGTGCCCTTGAGGATGATGAGAATCTTTGGACTGCTCCTGGTGATCTGACTGTTGTCTAGAAAACAGGATTTTCTTGATTTCCACTGGACTTAATGGGGGACTAATGGGTTGGCTCTGGGGACGCGGCGAGGATTGAACCGAGGAAGCGGATGTCATTGGCACATCTGCCGGTTCGGGCTCGGTATCTTGCACTGCTTCAGGAGCTTCTTCCTCTTGGGGTGGTTGAGCAGGTTCGATATTTTCTGGCGGGGCGTTTTCTGGAACTGTACGGTCTTCCATTTCCTCCTCTCCAATGCCCTTCGACTCCAAGTGTGCCTGAGGAGTCTCTTCTAGGTGATCCATAGAAGGCTCATCACCCATACCTTCGAGATCCGGTTCATCAAAAAAGCTGAAATCAGCATCAGTTATTCCTTTGGAGCCAAAGTCTCTCTCATTCATCTCCCCAAAAAGATCGTCATCATCGCTGGCATCGTATTTGCCAGTACCAATCGGGGCGTTAGATGGGGGTTCGGTATTCGAGATGTTTCTGTCATGAGCCGCAGCTGGTGATAAGAATTCGACATCATCGGGGAAAGCATCAGATTGATTCGTGTGGTTTATTCCCATCGCCGCAGCACCTTCAGGTGGAGTTGGATAGACCAGGTTGGTAGTTTGCAAGTCATTATATTGAGACATTCGGGAGAGGCTTTCAAAGATCTCCGCATTATCAACCTTAGGAGATGACATTTGGTGGTCTTTAGGTTGAGGTTCCTCTAGAGTGGGAATGGTCTGCAGGTTCTGGTTTGGGTTGAGGGAACCGGTTTCTGGAGTCCATTGCCCAATGAACTCAAGGGGATCGTCCAAGGTCTCCCGGAGCCAGGAGGACTGAATCGGTTGGCCGCATCGTCGGAAGCAAAATCTCGCGGGCCAAAGCATGCGTTTGAGAGGAAGCGCAGATTGAGATTCCTCATTTTGCCGCCATGCTTCCCCAGCAAGTCTTGCAAAGAAGGGCTCCCAAACCTCGACTTCGACCCATGGTTCCTCGTCGACGGACTCGATCTGCAATCCGAAGTTCGTAAGCCACTGGACGACATCCACCTTCCACTGTCTTCGTTTTGTCAATGTGTCCCCAGAATTCTGATATCCTGGTGACGGGGCCGTCGAGGATTCCAGATTAGCCGTGACAAGTCTCGCAACAGCCCCATTGGGACAGAGCCAGAGATCAGATCCTGGTTGCACTCTCAGGACATCTGAGATATCGTCACGTGGGCTGCATAGTCGGACGATACCCTCCTGTGATATCGTCTGCGGGGAGACTGTCAAAGTTCCAGCTGCATTTAATTGAACATTCAGAGTTGTTAAATAAGATTTTGAAAGCACGCTTTCGCTGTCAATTCGCGGGCTCTCATAACCAAGCTGCTCCACAGGAGTGAATAGTGTGCGGGATCCAAGCGGGAGAGCACCATATCGTCGGATCAGATGAATGCTAATCGCCCCAGTGACAGCCGAGATGAAGGATGCATATATAGCCGCCGAGCCGCTATAGCCATCAGGTCGCCGAGATGATGGTTGGCCTTGCTGTGGTCTCTGCGACCCGGCAGATTGAGACCCATTTTGATCTTGGGACTCTGATGAAAGGCTCCGTATCAAGTTCTGGGACGTAATATTGCCCGATGCGGAGACTAGACAGGGTATTAGCAAAGTAAACGCGCCATCACAAATTCCCGTGAATCAGATACATACCTTTTAGATTCGTTGTATCCACTAGGATCTTCGTCGTTGCTGAATCCCCTTCCTTCACATACAAGGGGTTCAAACTTTCAAAGTTCGGAGTAGGGGAAAATACCCATAATCCTAGGCGCCTCGGGCATGACGCTAGACAGTTCAGACTTCGCAATCTGGCTTCCAGATTCTTCAAGCGACCAAGATGCTTTAAGATCGTATAGCCATTGGCTGGGCCCTCTACCGCCGGGTTGGCAGTGGTGGGCTCTTCCGTGTAGATTCTCCAGTAGATCGTAGAGAAGCCATCCTAAGATTCATGATCAGTTCGTATCCCATATGGGACATATGCGCTCACTTACAGCCAGATGTACGTTGGTCGTCGCACCTCCGGGAAAGTCCATGGTTTACCAGTTACGGACAGGCCCGGGAGTCATAAATAGAGGGCTGACGAGGCTTATTCGGAGAGTCATTTCCAGAGGGAGAATTCCACATGACCACGCGCGCACGGCAAGCACAGACCCATTAGCTGATTAATGAGGCACCGAATGTCCAGCAATGGCTGAACTGGTGAACAAATCGCGAGATCGCGAGTCCGGGGGAAGTTCGAGGGACGCTCGGGCCAATCACTGGGATCCGCACCGGGCCTGTCACGTGATCCCTATCGCTCTATCTTTTTTTTTTCTTTTCGTTATCGCAGCTTGACACTTGGAGAGACTTCATATACAATACCAGACACCATGAAGTTGTCAAACCAGTCCGAAGTGCCCGTCTACACTATCTCGGGCTCTAACACTGCCCGGCCGTTACCTGAATGGCTTGCCAGACGCCGAAAGCGCAGTTTGAAGGATGATCCCGAGTATGCGAACCGCGTCGAGCTGCTGCAAGATTTCGAGTTCGAGGAGGCCAGCCAGTGTGTTCGAGCCAGTGAGGATGGAGACTGGGTGATGAGCACAGGTAGGATCCCTCGGTCATGTAACTGTTGGAGCGTAACTAACATGTTGATCACTAGGAACGTACAAGCCGCAAATTCACACTCACTACCTTCCGCAACTTTCTCTGTCATGGGCCCGCCATACTGTCGCTCTCAACACCACTTTCCTCCTTCTTTCCTCCGACTACTCAAAATCGCTTCACCTTCAGTCCGATCGCTCTCTCGAGTTCCACACCCCGTCAGGATGCCATTATACCACTCGTCTCCCGCGATACGGCCGTGACCTTGTGTATGACCGCCAGTCAACCGAGGCGCTGGTCCCCTCAGTCGGCGTCAACCAAGATGGTATGGGCGAAGTGTTCAGATTGAATTTGGAGATGGGCAGGTACATGCGCAGCTTTGAGGTGGATGTTGGTGGTGACGATTTCACATCTGCTGGAGGCGGTACTCTGCAAGGTGGTATTCACACTGGCTCGGTCAATACTGGTGCCATCGCGGAGGAAAGTCACAACTTGTTGGCTTTCGGTACATCGGCTGGTACGGTGGAGCTGTGGGATACCAGAGCCAAGGGCCGCGCGGGTGTCTTGCTTCCCCCCACACAAGCTGGTCCGGGTGAGGCGCGCAACGAGATAACGGCTTTGGAGTTCAACCGCTCTGGTTTGACTCTCGGTACCGGCTCCTCGAACGGTCTGATTCACCTCTACGATCTTCGATCCCCGGTCCCCCTTCTGAAGAAGGACCAGGGATACGGATTCCCTATCCACACCCTCAAGTTCCTCCAGCCTTCGACCGCAACACGCGAAGCGACCTTGGACCCCAAGATTATGTCTGCCGATAAGCGTATTATCAAGCTTTGGGACCCTCGTGACGGTACCCCGTGGACTTCTGTCGAACCTGCGGTGGATATCAACTCGGTGGCTTGGTGCAAGGACAGTGGAATGCTTTTGACCGCCAACGAAGGACGCCAGCAGCACTCGTTCTTCATCCCGCAACTTGGACCCGCGCCCAAGTGGTGCTCGTTCCTGGATAACTTGGTCGAGGAGATGGCCGAGGATCCCAACGATCCGAACGCCTTCACCAGCGCTCAGGCTGGCGCTATTTACGACAACTACAAGTTCTTGACTGTTCCTCAGCTTCGAACTTTAAACCTAGAGCACCTTATTGGCCGCACCAACCTTTTGCGACCATACATGCACGGTTACTTCGTGGCTCAGCGCCTGTACGAGGAGGCGAGATTGATTACCAACCCGTACATTTGGGAGGAGGAGCGTGCCAAGCGTGTTAAGGAGAAGATTGACAAGGAGCGTGAGAGCCGTATTCGGGGCAAGAAGAAGGCCGCCGTCAAGGTCAACAGGAGACTGGCCGAGAAGTTGATGAACGCCGAGGAGAAGAACGAGCGCCGCAAAGCCAAGCGTGTTCTGGAGCGAGGTGGTGACGAGCACATGGTTGATGCCGCAGCCACTACCGAGCCTAAGGACAAGGGTGTCCTGGCTGACAGCCGTTTCAAGGCTCTGTTCGAGGACCGGGACTACGCCATCGATGAGAAGTCCTTTGAATTCCAGCTTCTCAACCCCAGCACTGTGCCTGAGTCTTCTTCACGGAAGGAGCGTGGCTTGACAGCCGTCGAACAAGAGGCTATCGACGACGTGCCCGGCTCAAGCGATGACGATTCAGGATCGGATAATAATGAACCCAAGGCCCCTAGACCCGTCAGAGAGAAGCCTTCAAACAAGATCTCTTCTTCCGACTACAAGCGTACGAAGCGTCCCCCGCCTCGTATGGAGGTGTCTTCCTCGACTCGCACCAACTCGACCCGCGATCGTTCATTCGGTTCGCGCGCCCAGAACATGAAGACCAAGCAACGGACTGCACGGACAAATGGCCCCGTCGGCGAGAGAGAGGTTAGCTTCATGCCCGCCGGCAAGGCGAAGCACAGCAAGCCCGAAGTCCGTTACGATAAGACCGAGTTCAAGTCCAAGGCGCGCCGCAGCGCTTCTAACAACACCTTCCGTGGGATGTGAAGTGTTGATTCGCCTCGGGCCTTTTTTTAGGCCATGCCACTTGAACCACGCCCAATTGAGCAGAAGTTCGCTGGCTCGTCCTTTTTACGAGCCAGGTTAGACGCTTCGCTAACCTGCGCCCCCTTCCATTAAGACACGATGCGCAGTCCTTCGCTCGCCCTGTGGCTGGGCTGCGACGTCGCGTTTGGATATGCCTTGAACATCCTCGTATAGGTTGACCTGGGAATATTACCTCGATACTTTGCCCGACTGGCGGGTGGGTGAATGTACATTTAGTATGGACACGTTGCATGACGGGATTGTTTTCAGCATCTATAGAGCCCTTAATTGTTAGATACCTCGAACCGGAATTGGATAAAAGTCTTTGATATTCACCCAGTCACCCCTTGTACAACCTCGAATCTCCACGATCTCTACAATCTATTGAACAAGAATTGATATTCAAAAATTGTAATATTCGCCTGCTCTAGGACTCAAACTCATCATTCCCACTCCTTATCCTTATTCAAAATAGCACAAGACGAAAAAAGACCTCAAATCCACCACAAGAACATATAATGAAAAAGAGAGACCAAAGTCAACGATATCCAAAGCAAGAGAGAAATCGCATGAAAACATCAAATCGTATCGATCATGCGGGGTTGCATAACTAGCAAGTAGTTTGAAATCATGATGTCCCAGGGAGCAGACGAAAGGCGAACGCAAGAAAATGAATAAAAAGAACAATCCCTTTCTATGCACAAGAAGGAGGAAATCAAATTGAGTGCTCAGTCTACGGAAACCGCCAACCCCAAAAACTTAAAAAGAGAGCCTTTTGGAAAGGAGACGGAAATAGATCCCAAAGTGAGACAAAACCGCGACATAACGAGAAGGAAAGAGAGAGAAATGGGTATTTGAAATTGCGCCTGGGAAATGGGAAGATCAGAAATATTTGGCAATGGCAAAGGAAATAATGCGGCCACTAGGACCAGGGATGGAAGCCAGGGAGTCCAGCTCCGCGACGGCCGCTGCCACGACGAGATCCACCGGCCGAGTCACTGCCACCGTGATTGCCTCGGTTCTCTTCCAGACTGCGCCGGGAAGCGCCGAAATCGCTCATTGCGAAAAGCAGGGGCTCGTCGTCTTCGATCTGAGATGGCGGGGCTCGGTTGGTGCTAGGCCGGTGGCCGGATCCACGCCGTATCTCCATGGTGGAATTGCCGCTGTTGCTACCGCTGGCGTTACCGTCGCGGTCGGCATCGCGCTCGACGAGATGAGACGGGATATTAGCGCCTCGGGCTAGGCTGCTGGAGGCAGAACTAAGGGATTGCGGACCACCGGAGAAACCACGGCCGCGCGAGCTGGCGAAACGGGGCTGGTAAACGTTTGTAGTGGACGAAGTTGATGTAGCCGTAGGACCAGCGCCTCGAGATGAGACAGCGTCGCGGTAGGGGCCGGTGCTGCTTGTGGCGGTAGCAGGTGCGTCGATAGAGGGTGACTGTTGATTGGATTGATTCTCGGGAGCGAACTCGGCCTCTTGCTGTGTGCCGATAGGTAGAGGGAGCTGAGGTCCCACGCTCATGCTGCGCATACCGAAGGGGAAGATCTCGTCGTCATCGCTAACCGTATGGCGTCTATGTTGGGCGGCAGAGCTTGACCGGCGATAGCTGGGATCGAAGACCCGCGGAGAAGTTGGAATGTCAATGGCAGCTGCAGTAGAGGCATGCTGGGTGGCTTCGAGGCTGGGGTGCTCATCGAGTGCAGGATCGTGCTCGATATTTGCGGCCCGCTGGCGTTCGTGGTCAATGACGATATCATCAGCAACACTATTGGAGCTGAGGCGGGATCGGATGGCAGGCGTATGAGGCGTGTGAGGCGAGATTGGTTTCCCAGGAGAAGAGGCAGTAGATATGGAGGTACCCGCAACCATCGGTGGGACGCCTGACAGCTGCTTGCTGGAGGAAGTAGAGGATCGATGTATGTGCATGGAGGATGTCATGGAATCTGAGAGGGCGGCGTGCGGCGCAACCAGGCCTCGGAAGCGAGCCAGAGCAGCTGCAGGAGCAGTCGCGTTTCGAGCACTCTCCTCAAGCGAGATATTGGCCGCGGACCGAGTCATCAAGTCCTTACTTGTATCAAGCATCTTCAGGAACTCAGAAATATTTTCATCGTCTGCGTGCATCGATTCCGCGCTCGTCCCTGTTGCTTCTGCGAGAAGGCCGGAGCCGGGCTGGACGTTGGACGATGCAGCACTAGCTTTGCCGCTGGAGGTGTCATCTTCCATTCGGGGAATACCTCCCGAGGATGGTCGGCCTCGACGGTGGCTGAAAGAACTACTATAGCGTGTAAGGGGTGCAGGCTTGGGAGATGCGGAAGTAGAAGAAGGTATAGCCTGTTCAGATGCAAGAACCGGAGGTCGACGAGCGGCTGCTGCAACGGAGGGAGGGGGCATGAACCTCGAGTCTGCGGACGTTCCAATAGAGAGACGTGCAGATGTAGTACGAGGAGACACGCCTAAAGGAGTATCGACGAGAGCAGGTGATGCGGAGAGAGGTGGTGCTTTGAAGGGTTGGAATGAGACAGAAGGGCGACGAGTAAAGTTAGAACTGCCACTTTCACTTGCAAGTTGAGCGGCACGTCCTGTGGGTGCTATTTTCGCAGCGGGCATCAACTTCTTAGGCGAATCCGATGGAGATGACGACCCAACACCTGAATCGCGGGCTGCTCGCAATGCAGATATAGGACTGGCGCCAGTAGCCGGCCCAACCTGGTGAAACGTTGACAGACTTCCGTATGCACGCGAGCAGTCTGGATTTTCAATCGTCCTTCTTTCCACTGGTACCGACCCAACTTCAGGCCCCAGGCGAGTAGCTTCCTCTGACGGCAATGAGGGACGGAAGATAGCGTCGTCGGCGCCCATGAAACGCGAGCTCAGTAGCGCTTCTGAATCGTCCACCCGGAAATCGCAATTCGTTCGATATGTGACTGATACTGTGAAGGGCCCAGCAGGGGATTCTGTCACGCCAAATCTATACGTGTCCACCACCTTCTCAGTCCTCTCATGTAACGGAATCGTCAAAGGATCAGCCGCAGAATCACTGCGTATAGTGCTCCCATCTACCACACGATATCTGAGGTGTAGTGCCGGGCTCCGACGAACCTTTGTGTTGCGCTTAGAGAACTTCCACGCAGGTAGGAACTTAGAATAAGTGAATAAGGATCGGAAAAGGACAATGCTTTTCTTATACACAGTCGGCAAGATGGAGCTCAGATCTGACGGCAGCCCGCTGGAGGACTCGCCTAACTCGATTCTCCATCTTTCCAAAATAATCTCATTAGAGTCCGACTGGCGTCCTTGAGATGCACGGGCACCTCTTGATGCCGTGAGTGATTCTTGTACATCCCATCGCTTACCGTTCTCGTCTAAAATCACCAAGCTCTGGTTATTCGTAAGGCCCTTGCCGTCTAGAAACGTTTCGATGATGAGGGGTGGCGGTCGCTTCTCCGTGGCGTTGCATGACCTCCAGGTCCAAAGTGGCTCCCGCAGAGCATCCGTATCTTCCAATTCGACATTAAACTGGAAAGACGAGATCGAGGTTAGCACTTCGTTCTTGAAGTGGGGTAACGAAACAGGACGGGATCGTCGTACCCAGCGATTGATTCTCGGGCTATCAGAGCCCTTATTGAAGCTTGCCGGCAGCTCCACGCGTGAATGCAAAATGATCAGAGCGGCTTTTGTGTGGTAGTTCTGCAAGAAACAAAGGAAGTAGTCAGTACGTGCCACACACGGCCAATGTCGAAGCCGCCCGCGACCTTACCGAGATGATCTGGTTCAACTTGGTGATGGCCTCTTTCCTGAGTGCTGCTTCTCTCGTCTGCCCGGTGGCGTCTGCTCCGGCATCGATGCCTAGGCCCCGAGCGGAGTTTGTTCTCATGTCTGTAGAAGGCGAGGGTGGCACGGAGTCGTGCTCTCTTGGGTCGTCCCGAGCGGGCAGGTTGGAAGAGAGCCTGGGTGCCGATGAAGGCACCGCAGGTGATCGAGGGTGCTGATGCATGGCAGGGGACTATCAGGTCAGCGGTCAGTATGAAGTTGAACGACTTCGAGACAAGAGCACTCACTCCGACAAACGGGTCCGGGGGGCGAGTGCTATCAGCGGGAATTCTTGTTATCAGGAGTCCAGCGCGGCGGTGGATCTGGTGCAGACGGCCATGCTAACAAGTGCGAGGTAGAAGGATCAAGGATGTAAAAGTGGGAATGGCTGGCGTGGACGTGAAAGTGAAGTGCTAATCAAGACAATTGCAAGGACGAGCGCATCGTTGACGCGGTCTGGGACCTTCGGAGCCTAGGAGCTTCTCCGCATCCACGGGGGGAGTCAAGGGTTCACAGCGTATTTCACGTTGTGCAACCTACGGGATAAAGAAAGACATAATGGTTCAAAGTATATGGGAGGAAGGGGGGAGGAGAACGTGGAGAAAGGGGAGAACGGTCTGTGACGCACATCTGGTGACTCGACAGGTCTCGAGTGCGGAAATCAGCCAGGCGCCACCACAGCTGATCTATGATACCGCCTCTTTATCTAACATTCCTTTTGGCTCTGTCCCAGAACTTCCTCAAACTCTACAAATCTCACGACAAAAAGCAAAGCTAGCTGCAGCTCTTACACGGTAACGGCTTGGGTACTTATACATGCGCCCCTGTGGAGATAAGAAGCAGGTGATCTCGAACAGGTGATGGACACCAAGCGGCTATCTCTGAGCGTGATCAGGTTCGATCTTTAATAGACATCGTATTGCTGCCTATCCTCCTTGTCTATTTGAATGCGTGAACAAAGTACGGCAGCCTGGGGATCAAAGATCAACGCTGGGAAGTACCGCTGTAAGGTAGATAGATAAGGTCGGGCGCACTCGGACCCGCGTGCAGAGCCGCGGAGAAATGACGCAAGCAATCACGAAATGGGAATCATAGTTTAATAGTGAGTTATCCGCTGAGAAGAATGGGAAGAATTTGGAGAATTATGTAAATCATTTACTGATTAAAATCACGTCAATCAAACAACCTATTGATCATGTCCAGCTGAATCCCAGGACTAGGGGATCTCATCATTACCAGTCCATACCTGTAGATCTCGGCTCTCGTCGATCATTCAAGGTTCGAACCAAGGTTACATCTCTACCAAGTAACCGTCTCATGCAGAACGTCGAGGTTCTGCTTCACGTTCTCGTCGCGCTTTCCAAGCGTGAGAAGCACGTCGATTAACTTCACCAAAATAGGCTCTAGGCTCACGCCCAGTGCGATCGGGTTTAGAATACTGGCAAGTTCCGTGTTCTTGGTGCATCCGCTCGTCGTGGTACCGGCAAAGGCAGCTTCGACAAAGTTGACAGCGTCTGCCACTGCGATGACTTCAGTGGTCGCGTGACCACCAGCGGCGAAAGTGGTGAACTTCACGTTAGCGCCGTAATTACACCACGAGTCGACCATGACTGATGCGTTCGAGTAGGGAATGATCTCGTCTTGCGTGGCATGATAAACAAACACAGGTGCTGTGGGTGTTTCGTCCTTGTTGACGCCCATGGTGTTTTCTTTCAGTACGGACTGAATTGTTGGGTTGTACAGCAGCTCCGGGCCCAGACTCTGGATACTCGTGGAAAACAGCGACTGTCCAGCAAAGTTGAGCAGATCGGCCACCGCGCAATTCTTACTAGCAAAGTTGATCTTGGATGCGCCTTCCGTCGTCAGGATGGAACTGATCAGAGCGCTCAATTCGGTACCATACGCGCTGGGCTGGGACAATCCAACAACAGCAGCAGGGCTGAACCCGCTGAAGACTCCGCCATCGAGCTCGAGCAAGGTGCCCGTCAAGTTAGAGGGGGTGCCACCCTGAACCCAACCTTTGATCTTCAGCTCAGGGGCATAGGAGGGTTGCAAAGAAGCTGTCCATCCTGTGGCGAGGGCGCCGCCTGAGTAACCGATGCCAACAATCATGGGGCTAGTGCTACTAAGACCAAGAGTCTCGAAATTAGAAACAGCACGCATATTATCCAGAGTTCCCATTCCAGCCAAGCGACCCGGGCCGAAGGCCGCATCGGGGCCTTCATAGTCAGGCGAGACAACAATGTATCCCAGAAGCAGGTAGATTTGCAGGATCAACTGCTCAGCGGATGAAATGATATCAGTCTGCGCTGCCCCGAGCTGGTAATTATAGCTAGGGTTGCAGATGCTCGCTGAGCTGTCGTAAGCCGTCTGGAAAGAAATAAATCGATCCTTCTTCGGGTTGATAGGCTTGAAGATCGTGGTAACCGTGGCAATGGCAGAGCCGTTGACAGCGGTTGTCCGATATAGCAACTGGTAGGCAGTCACTGGATCTGGAATCAGACCCAAGAAGGCAACATGGATATCCCGCTGCTTCAGAATTGTGCCTGGTGCCTCCGATTCGAAGCCAGCCGGGGGTTGATAGAACGGATCATCCGCTGGGGCCAAGGGAAGGCCTCTAGCATACCGACCAGATGGCAAAGCAGATGTAACTGCCAACATGAGGCCCACAAAGGCCATCATGACGCGGCGCACCGAAGCACCGGTGGTGGAGATCATCTTCAGCTGTATAGATTGGTGACCAGGGCTTCAGTCGGTGCACACAACGTCAAAACCATCGGAGGGAAAGGATATAAATACTCACCGTCAGATTCAACGAATGTGATATTGATGGCTCCGCTACCGAGGCAGTCCATATTTTTCGAGCATTGATCAGCATCTATCCAAACACGCCCCTGGCCCTCTTTTTTTCTCCTCTTTTTTAGGCCTTCGGACTATGCAAAAAGTGGATCCCGGATGAATCAGAATCCGCTTTAGCACAAATGCTAGCTGAAAGCAATTATTGCACATCGAAAATGCCACATATGTCTGGGAAGGCATTGAAATTCATGTTGAACATTGTGCCCGGAAGAGCTGGACTCGTGGGAAAATCTGGGGAAAGCCCGTTGAGGGATCATCGCTAACCCCGCACTGCGGAGGACCGCCTGGGGTTGTGATCCTTTTGATCAGCAGGGTAGCATTTAGGCTGCCGAGCCCGGAACACGGAAAAAGAGAGCACTGCGATAGGGCTGGGCACCTGGGCATTCTGGCCTGGCGCTGAATAGGTTGGGTACGGTTGATGCTGAGTGGTGGGGTTTATGCGCTAGGATATCTTCTCGTACGATGTCGTTCTCCACCTTGCTTTCCTATTTCTCGATTTGATTCTAGTGCTCATTTTTAATGTCATTTGAACTTAATTGCGTTGTATGCATTCTGCAGGTCCCGCATTTTAGATATTTGGCATGTGAGAAGGGATAAAAGGCGTTGGTGAATGATTCCAGTCGGGAAATACTCGGAGTCAACTAAAAGATGAAGCGGAGAAGAAGCAGAAAGGGAGATTGCCCCGTCCTTGACATATGGCTGGAAAACACCGCATATTGAACTATCTTTCAAGATATCACATGGAATCTATGCAGTTGCAGATCGATCCGATCTTTCATTCGTTCCTTTCTCGTGCATTACTCCGAGGTAAAAGCCGGGGAGGGACGCGTGAGCCGTCTTGAAATTACCCAACAATAGATAATTTATGTTCCCAGAATAAGGAATGGAAGATCGAGTATCGGACTGAGACTGTGAATCCATCTCGCTACCTTATCATTGTCTAGTTATAGATTTGAGCCTTCAGTCCCGGGATAATGTCGAGATCCTTTGGTCCATAAGTATATTTGCCCTCCCTCGACACCTTGACATCCTTGTTGCGGCGCTGCTGTTGGCTTTGGCGAACCTTCACCCACTCCTCGGTTTTCAAGTGCTGACCCAACTCGGTAAACACATTCTGCGTCAGTCCCAGTCGGCCAAGGAGCGCACTATTCTGGAGAGGATCAAGGACCACGTGGTTATTGGGTCTTGAATAAATGTCAGCATAAAAAAATGACATTCTGGCTTCCTCGGCAAGACTCACCGGGCAAAATAAAGCACGCCCAAACGGTCAACATGGGCTTGGTCAGCTGGCGGCGCATGCACACGGTGAACACTGGATTTGATTAAGCCACCCGTGAGAGCTGTCAGAGCGTCGCAGGTGTTGATCGTGATGGTGCCGTCCTGGGGCCGCACCCACTTCCACTCTCCTTCCGAGTTGAGTATCTGAAGCGCAGCTACAGGCTGTCGGAAAAGCAAAGTCACGGTTCCCAGATCGGTGTGACCGGGACTATACAGCTCACCAACTTGTTTGTTCTCTTCGGCACTGCGAGCTGCGTAGTGCATGTAGCGTAGATGGTCCTCGCCCTTGACGTCGTACTGGTGGTCTTTGACAAGTTGGTCCTCATCAGGAAGCTCGAGAAGAATGGCGAAGAGACGGAGGAGTTTCTCTACTACCTCGGTGTGGCATTTCTATTCACCTTGGGTTCAGTAGCGCGACAAGAAGCAAGTGATTGATGTCAACATACCCGACTAAACTGCTCAACTTCTGCGATGTGTTTGGAAATGACAGGAGGCTGTTGACGCTCATGGAAGCCATCGAACTTGGGAATATTGTATACCTGCACGTTGTCCCGGATGCCGTTTCCAAGGCTGGTCTCGAGTCAGCTTTGAGAATTGTTCGGTGGCATGTCGCACTTTCTTACATGCGGTGGCCAGCGGGTCTGTAGCCATTATATTCGCCTCTGATAAGATCATCCGCATTGTGATACTCGAGCTTCTCCTCAAGCGGTAACGAATAAAACTCTCGACCCAGAGCAAACTGGCGATCAACTTCTTCTTGGCTAATATTGAAGTTCTTTACATAGAAAAACCCTTTGAAGTGTTAGTGACTGGTCGAAGTGGTTGGACTTAATACTAACCAACATGTTTAACAGCATGCTCCAGCTGCTTTACCAGCGATTCTTTGCCACCTGGTTGGTCATATTCACTCAGATCGAGAGTGATCAGCTCAGCCCAGTCCACTGAGTTCAATTAGAAAGAAATCGCGCTGGAGAAATAAACAACTCACAGTCTGCCTTGGTCACGGGCACTTGCTCGTATCTATCAAGAATCTTTCCCGGCATGTTGATAATTGTAACGGTTCAACTGGCTTTTTTTTTCTGTAGCTCCTGCACGATCGAGCAATTTGAGAGCCGCATATAAAACAAGCAGGTCTCACACCAGGTTTTCTAACCCCGCACGCCTCGACTTATTGTGATTTTAGGCATATAAAGCACGCCATCTAAACATCCGATGATATCTTCCTATCTTCCATCATTGCTGTTTTTCGGAGGTTATGCGAGCGACAGCGCGAATTCTGGGCACGCCATCGTCCCTCAACATGTCGCAGTTGATGAGTTCGTAGTAAAGCTTCGCCCCGCCTGCCACTCAGCTTTCTAGGTGCCCGCACCGGCTAATCCATCTAGGCTTTGTGATCTAGTATGATGGCATTTATCACTCGGAAAGAGCCCGATGGCGACAGTCAGTGGGGGGAATTGCAATGATGTCAACGAATGATATAGGTCCTGTATGCGTACACAATTTCGCAGTATTAGACATATAATAGCTTGCGGGAAACAATCCGGAGTCTGGAACTCACTTCGGGTGTCCTAATCTGTCAGAGCGGGCATTTACAAGGAGTGCTCTGATCAATATGTCCGAGGTCAGCTCCAAGCCGGGTAAATCGGCACTTCTTAGTCTTTTCAAGGAGATTTTCAATTGGTATCCGTCTCATTATCCATCCGAAGAAAGAAAGTAAGTCATGCCATGGCATTTATCGTCGATTGACAGGGTAGCTCACTTTCACAGGCTGCTCTTCAAGTTAGATGTGTCAATTCTCATTTTTGCGTGTTTATGCTGTGAGTTCTATCTGAAACTAAAGAGCTTGGTCTTGTACTAACATTATTAGTCTTTGTCAAGTACTTGGATAGGCGGCTTGGATAAATCGATGTGATAGGACATTCTTTAACTTGACTACAGATCAAACGAATATCAGCAATGCCTATGTCAGCGGACTCAAAGAAGACTTCAGTCTTAACGGCAATCAGCTAAATTATTTCAATGTCTGCTACTACACAGCATACGTGGTGTTTCAAGTTCCGGGACTATTGCTGTTGTCGCGTCCAAAATTGTGCGTATCTACCTACTCATCTCTTTAGGCATGGAGCAACACTTATCGTGGGAATATAGAGCTCGCTGGCTGCTCCCCGGATTGGAAGTTTTATGGGGTGTCTGCACTTTTGCCCAAAGCCGTGTCACAACCGTCAATCAACTTTATGCCCTTCGTTTCCTGGTGGGAATGCTTGAGGCACCTGTCTTTGCCGGAACTCATTTTATTCTGGGTAGGTTTATCTGATGCCAAGCTATGCAAACAAGGCTTACATTATATGACTTTCTACTATAGGCTCGTGGTATTCCGGCCCGGAACTCTTCAAGCGTGCGGGCACATGGTTCATTTGTAATCCTCTTGGCACCATGGTTAGTGGTTACTTGCAGGCCGCAGCTTATACCAACTTGTCAGGGGTTGGGGGAATGCCAGGCTGGAGGTGGCTATTTATCGTTGACGGTATCTTCACCATTCCGGTAGCCTTGCTTGGCTTTCTTATCTTCCCGGGTATACCAGGCTCACCGCAGCCATTTTACCTAACCGAGAGTGATATTGCCTTGGCCAAGGAGCGAACACGTAGAGCAGAAATCCGTCGCCCCGGAAAGCTTGGGCTTGATGTTTTCAGGCGGTCCTTGAAACGATGGCACATTTGGGTGTTTATTACATGCTACGCGTGAGTCAGATCATCCCTTTGACTTGTTTTAGGAGAAACATTTGGTAATAATAACATGTTTTCTCATAGATGCATGATCATCTGTTCTTACCCATCAGCCTATATGAGTCTATGGCTCAAGGCGGAGGGCTACTCTGTGACACAGATCAATCAGCTTCCGACGGTTGTCAGCGCGATCACAATTGTCGCTTCGTGGCTTGGAACAACTGTCGCTGCGATATATCCTACATGGGTCATCTATACTATCGCTTCTGCGTTTTGTCTCTTCTCCACTCTATGTATGGTCATTTGGAACATACCTAGGACACTAAAGTACGTTTCCTACATTCTAGCAGCATCCATACGCTAATTATATGGCCAGGTTCGTTGCCTGGTACCTGTTTGGATTCTCAGGCTGCTTGAGCCCTATCTTGTACTCGACCGTCAACACGATCGTCAAAGATGACTCAGAGGAGCGGGCACTGATTATGGTATGAAGTTTCAGATATCAGAGCCCTGAACACAAGACTGTGGATCGTGACTGACCAGATTAACAGGGCGCGATGATGACCTTTGGATATTCCTTTAACATCTGGGTTCCCCTCTTGCTATTCCCGACAGCCGGTCCAGATGGGGCGCCTCGATGGAAGAAAGGATGGCCAGTGGCCTTTGTGTTTTACTTCCTACTGTGGGCCGGCTTTGTATCCGCTGTCCTATTACATAAGAGGTAAAAGACATCTATAACTACTGGCTCAGATATATAACCACTGGAAGAGGAAAGCTAATATGTCTTCTTAGGGAGAAACGAGGAGAGATCGGTACGGCTCCTAGCGAAACGAGTGTCGAGAACACCGAGACCATCGTTATTGAGAACAGCTTAAATTCCAAGACTGGGTGCTTCGAGGTCTTGAATGGGTAGCATTTCATTTTATCTACCCAAAAATAACCAACAATAGTTTTCCTTCCCATCTTTTCACTGCTCCTTTGCGAGCTCTCAAAGTATCCTTATCTTCCCATCACAAATCCCACTTTCCCAGCCCAAGGCTCCGTTCCCATCTTTCTAAAAAGATACATTTGTCCATTCCATTCCATTTCTTCGTAGCGTACGCCAGACAATCGCGCTCCCTTCCGGAACAATGTATGTCTAGTGTCAAGTCTGACATTTTGGGGAGTGGGGAAAATGTAGAGGGGCCTACTGGCATCGGCTTCTCTCTATAATTAAGCACAAGTTGACTTATGAGACAGCATTCGCGCCAACTTTCTAAATATGTCTTTCAACCTACAGATACATATTCCGGCGGTGATCCGTAACGGTCTCGGCCCAGTATATAATCTCGGAATGGGTGAGAACGTGGATAGGACGAAGTGCGGGGGAAGAGGGGGTACTAGATCCAAGCATGTCATCTACGTAGTTGCAGAACGTGAGGCACAAGGCCTGTTTCACCTATCGCTCCCCCACGGGCTTCAACGGGGCTCTCAGGGCAACGGATGATCCGCGCCTCTCGGGGAACATGGAGGGACGTGCGCGCTATGATTGGTCGGTACCACCTTGGGGGTCCCACGTTTCACGGCGATGACGGAGAGTCGATGATTGAAGACACTTGCTACCAAGTGGGAAACTCTCATTGCCTTCATCTCACTGTTTTCACTCATCCGGACCCGAGTCCTTCCGCGAGAACCCCCCTTCTGAGACCTCCGATCTTGCCAGACAAGCACAGTTCATCGCCACCTCGCGCGAACCCACCTCTATCCAAAACCCACAATCGAATTTGTGTCACCGCGCGTTGAAAGACCCCCGGTGAAACTGCCTTGACTAAGGACGCGTCGATCGCCTTCGAATCGACTTTTTTTCTTTCGAATCCAGAATTCTCTCATCACCCAGCTCTTCCGTCGCGGTTCACCTCGTGGTGACGGCGACGCTCCAGCTTGGGCTTGATAAGAGATTCTGAGACCGGACAACTTCGGGCACATGAGTAGCAAGCTTTGGGAGTTTTTCATTCAAGATGATGTGGAGAGCTTCCACCGGTTCCTGGCGAACGCAACGTTCGCCGGACCGCGAGCTGGAGGAGCGCCCGGAGGTGCCGCAGTTAATGGCGCAGCGGCGTCAAGTCTGTCGGCCAAGGTTGGAAGCCCTGGGTCAATGATCGCCTCGTCTCCCAATCCTCCGAAATCGAAGAAACCATACGCACCATCTCCCGGAACTTCCTTCCCCGAACGACCGGCCTTCCAGAAGGGTAGTATCGCATTATCTCGCGCCGATGTTAATGCCCGCGATCACTATGGCAGAACGCTCCTTCATCACGTTGCATCATCTCCGAAACCCACGGCCGCCAGCTTTGCGCGTATGTTGCTTGAGATTCCGTTCTTAGATATCTATGCGCAGGACTGGGAGAGCGGGTGGACGGCTCTGCATCGGGCCCTCTACGCGGGAAATGCCACAATCGCCCAGGCGCTTATGGCGCGTGACATGCGCGATGTGACGGATTTCAGCAAAGTGGGAAACACAGGGCATCCAAGTGGTAGCTTGATCAAGATCAAGGACCGTGAAGGCTACAGTCCATTTGACATCTATGGAGCGACTATCACATCCCGAGATATCAAACAAATGACTTTCACGGCGGGGTGGACAGACTCGATAGTCCCAGATGCTGCAGATAGTGATGCTGGTTCAAATGCTGCGTCTAATTATGGAGACGATGGTGAGGACGAGGCCTACGTTACCCGGAGCATCCTAAAGCCGCGGAGCGATTTCTCCGCCGACGAGGTTTTCACCCTGGGCAGCAACAAAAACTTGAACCTCGGGCTTGGAGATCAAGACGATCGTCAGTTCCCCGAGAGGGTCGTACTGAAGCGTCCAGATCATCTGCTTCAACGTTTCTACCGCGAATATGAGGAGAACATGGAGCGTCTTGGTCTTGAGGATACTCTTGACCATAGCAACTCGAGAGACCTGCCGACTTTGATCAAAAACAAGCCAATGAAATATCAGAATGTGATCATGTCAAAGCTGCATACTGCCATCATCACAGATGACCCTGAGGCCAACTTGTTTATGTGCGGGTTTGGACCCGGCGGTCGTTTGGGAACTGGCGATGAATCGACCCGATTTACTTTTGTCTGCATCGAGACCGGCGGTCTGGCTGGGAAGAAGGTTATATATGTTGCCTTGGGACAGGACCATAGCTTGGCAATCACCGATCATGGTGAGATTTTCAGTTGGGGAAGCAACAGGTTCGGACAACTTGGTTATGGCCTACCCAGGACAAGCAATAAGAATGATGTCCCAATTCAGAGTACCCCGCGGCAGATCTTCAATCCTTTCAAGAAGGAAATGATTATCGGAGCGGCGGCATCCTCGATTCACTCAGTTGTCTTCACTGATTCGGGTCTGTACACTTTCGGCAAGAATGAAGGTCAATTGGGATTAGTTGACTCTGATGCCCGCTCTCTTGAAGTCCAGACAACACCTCGACGTGTTGGTGCCTCGCTCTTCAAGAGTCCAATCCAAATGGTCTCCGCTATTGACCGCGCTACTGCTGTGCTTCTTCAGAACCACGAAGTTTGGGTCTTTTCGCAGTATGGCTATTCCAAGCTCTCTCTGCCATTGGAGTCTACCTCCAAGTTCATTAGGGATAGTTTCATGGCAACACGATACGGCGGCTCGGTGAATCGCGTGGTCAAGCTGGCATGCGGCGGTAACACAATTTGCGCCTTGTCGAGCTCTGGTGACGTTTTCACTGTCCAAGCAAACAAGCCTGACGAGCCTTCAGCATTGACATCAACAACCAACCCAGCCAAAATCCGTAACTCTTTAGCTGCTCCTATGAGGGCCTGGTCCGTCAAGAAGTCCCATATGGCTGCCAGCGACGTTGATGTGGGACAAGATGGATCCATCATCATTTGCACGACCTCAGGCTCGGCCTGGAGAAAAGAAAAACGGACCAAAAACAAAGAGGGCGCGTCCAAAGAATACAAGTTTGCCCGCATCCCGGGTTTGTCTAGGGCCGTGGCTGTACGCAGCAATGCGTACGGGGCGTATGCTGTCGCTCAACGTGACTGTGATGTGACCCGAGAGCAGGTTTATACCGACCCAAGTACACTTTGGGATGACTTGTTGCCGCTGTCACCATTCATGATGCCCGAGCCCGATGATGTGGATATGATGATCGCAGCGGACGATGCGGAGGATCCTGTTGCGTTGTCTTCCGCGGTGGCCATCAAACGTGACATTCTGACCTCATCGGAAATGGAAGATAAATTTCTCTCCATAGGCTCAGAAGGCACTATCTGGGTGACTAGCTCGCTCTCGGATGCACGAATCCCAGCACACGAATTCCTCTTGAGCGGTCGCAGTCCTGTTCTTCGCAAGGCGCTGCACGAATTCCGGGAGTCGTACTATGCTTCCGTGCCTGATGTCCTCGATATCGAGTATGGCAAGGATGGGCACATCCAGATCCGTTTGCTAGGTGCTGATTTCCTGACTGTCATGAATGTCGTCTTCTTCCTCTACACGGACAGTATCATCGATGTCTGGCACAAAGCGAGCACTCCAACTCAAAATGGCGCCCGTTACCGCCAAGTGCGTACGGAGGTCATGCGAGTGGCTACTCAACTCGGTCTGCCAACATTAGAACGTGCGGCCCGCTTGATGGTTGAGCCGCAGCCGAGCCTGAAGACCGATATGGCACATGCCATTAAACACCTGTCCTTCTTTGATGATGCTGATGTTGTGATTCAACTGAATGGCGGTTCTGTCAAGGTTCACAGCCAAGTGGTTTGCCAGCGCTGCCCTTTCTTCGATGCCCTGTTCAATGGACGTTCGGCTGGCAGGTGGCTTGCGCATCGGCGAAAGTCTCCCTCAGAGAGTGTGCATGTTGATCTCAAGCACATCGACCGATCGACTTTCGATTTTGTCTTGCGTTACCTATACGCCGATACGGAAGAGCAGATGTTCGATCAAGTACGGTCGAAAGATCTCGACGACTTGATTGACCTGCTTCTCGATGTGATGTACGTCGCCAATGAGTTGATGATCGACAGACTTTCTCAAATCTGCCAAAAGATGCTTGGTCGTTTTGTCAACACACGCAACATTTCGTATCTTCTCAATTCCATCGCTCCAGTCTACGTCCGCGAGTTTAAGGACGCATCCTTGGAGTACATTTGTCTCAATCTCGAAGACATGCTTGCAAACAGACTCTTGGAAGGGCTTGATGAGGAACTCCTCAGCGAACTTGACTCGGTTTGTCACGAGAATCAGCTGGCGTGCTTACCTATATCTCGAGGACGCAACTCAGAGGATTATGTTTTTGAGAAGTACCCCGAGATTGTCAGTTCCGTGGAGATGGACAAGCGACGTCGGATTGATGCAATGGCTTTGCAGTCTCGTTTGAGCCAAGTCGAATCCTATGATGTGCGACCGAGACAGCCTAGTGTGGCGACCACGCCAGTGCGCAAGGGCAAGGCCAGCATTTCCAGGGACTCGGGAAGCCTCCTTACCAGTCCTACTTTGAAACCAAGACAGTCAACCGGTGACCTGATGTTCCAAATGGACGAGGAAGGTGCACTTTCTCCCGGGGACACCAAGGGCAAGGCTGTGATGCGCGGAATGAAATTCGGAGGGACTCCGGAGAATCGGTCTTATCCCGATTCTCCAGCATTGGGAGCAAGCATACCAGAAGCCGAGTCCCTTGAAGAACGTGGCTTTTTGGATGAGCAGATGTCTTCGCCGCAAGATATACCACTTACCCAGTCTCCTACGGAATCTCGGGCAATTGCCATGCATCAAAAGCGTGGTATGGCATCGCCACCAGACTCCTCAGCACCGTGGGCCTCTCCGGTAATCTCAAGCGATAAGAAGGACCTCAAAGATATTATGGGTGAAACCTCCCAGTCCCGGGTATCAAACCTTACATTGGGCATGGAGGGACGATGTGAGGCAAGTGGTAACTTTAAGATGTCCCAAAAAGAGCGAAGGAAGATGCAACAGCAGCAGTTGCAAGACAAGCTTGCTGCCGAAGAGAAGGCGAAGGAGGCTGCAAAGAACCCATGGGCGCTACCATCTCCGGCTACACCTTCAAAGCCCGCCAAAGATCCTCTCCCGGGGCAAAACAGACTCAGCTCACCTGAGCCATCGAAAACTGCACAGAAACCTTCGATGACTATGCGTCAAACTGTGGCGGGGACACCTCCACCGAAGCCGATGGCTACACCGATACCGTCCCAAGGCCGCAATGTCTCTAGCAGCATGCAGCCATCTTCCTTTTCGAAGCCTTCACCCTCGGGGCCTCCAACACCAGCCCAACAAGCTCTTCCAAAGGCATCGCCCCAACCTGCAATTCAATCTGTTCGTCATATCCCACGTCCAGAGCCCTACCTATCAGGCTTCAACTCCCCATCCAGTGGCTCTCTCTCCCTCGCAACCATCCTGCAGCAACAACAGATCGAAAAAGACGTCATCCGGGAGGCAGCCACGGCCAAGCACAACCTGCAAGAAATTCAGGCCGAGCAAGAATTCCAAGCCTGGTGGGATCAAGAGAGCAGGCGCGTGCAGGGCCTCCTTGACCCGGAACCCGCGCAACAGCCCAACGGCAAGGGTGAACGAGGCGGGAAGCCTTCTGGTACATCCGGAACGCCCCGTAAGCGCGGAGGCAAAAAGAATGCCGCTGATGGGGCTGGTTCTCAGGCCCACAAACAGTCTATACCATCTCCAGCTCCAGCCCCAGCCTCAGCCCCTTCCATACTTAAGAAGAGTGCGAATATCCCAACACAACCGCGGAACACACACAATCAGAGTCCCAATGGTGGTGCCAACAAAGGCCCTCGTCGTGGACATGGGAATCGCAGCAAAGGGAAAGACAAGGCCTAAGATGGCATGACCTGTTCCTCCCTCATTGTATTTTCATTTTTCTACATTCGACTTTCATTAGCGCCTCCGTTCTGATGTAAACCCCATTCTTGTCGATACATTATGACTTTGGCACTTTTCTAATATGTGATCTTCGGCGGCTTAGACTTTCCTTGGACAGGATGGCGTTTTCGGATTTGGATGCTTTGAAGCAATAGATTTTTGCTTTGAGCTAGATAAACGATCGTTTTCTCTCAGGGTTGAAGTATATATAATTGAATATCATCCCAGCTCCATTACATTCCAAAGGCTCAAACCAAAGCTGAGCTAAACCACCTGTTTAAACTCCATTTAAGTCTCAACGACGAAATACATGTGCACCAAAGAAAAGGAATCACTACCCACGACGTTCCCACCGCACCGTAGCCGGTTGTACCGGACGAGAGAACAGCGACTGCAGTCAGTACACATTAGCCAAATCCACAACGCATATCAAACAGGGACAACAGGGACAACACTGAACATACCGAATAGTCCGTCTCAGGCACACCAACCCTATCTTCAGGATTGAAAAAGCGGAATTCCCTCACAAGCGTCGCAACAATAACCGTCAAATTCAAATACGCAAACTTCTCCCCAATACACCTATGCCGGCCAGCTCCGAACGGCAGATACGGACTCCTTGTCCCCTTCGACACAGTGCCATATCCATAATCCACAGTATCGCCCTCACCTTCATCGTCCTCAACGCGAGACTCCCACCGATGCGGATCCCAGGTCATAGCATTCTTGAAGAACTGTTCATCGCGCGCAGTCACACCAGGCGATGAAAGAAGCGTATGACTAGTCGGGATAACATAGTTCGTCCCCGGAACCGAAAGTGGATTCTTGACCTTACGCATAAGCGTATGAATAGACGAATGGATCCGCAACGTCTCCTTAATAACGAAAGCATGCAGAGGAAGTTTCTCCAAATGTCCAAACTCCAACGGTGGCAGATCTTTACCCAAGGCTTGCACCTGCTCGGCGTACAACTTCTCAGTCATCTCCGGCTCAGATGCAAGCCGTAACATGATCCAGCAACTAATCGCCGACGAAGAGTGTTGTCCAGCCATGAGTAGCGTGATCATCATATGAGCAATCTCTTTATCGGGAATTGTGTGTCCGTCACGGTAGACACAGCGCATTAGGTTCCAGATCATATCTTTTTTGGTCTCTTGCTCGCCTGTGGCGCGACGCTCATGGATGATCTGGAGGTAGATCTCGCGCATGCGTGCATGAGCGATATCACGCTTGCGGTTGTGGGGGAGGGGGGGCCCAGGGGAGCATGAAATTGATGGGAGAAAAGCCTAAGTCTAGGTCGTGGTAGAGGTCGGCGAATTCGGTTGTTAGTTTTGCGCGGACTTCGGGGCCTTGGAGGGTGCGGCCGGCTGTGAAGATTGTGATTTCGGCCATTACTGTCGGTAGGTTGATTGTACCGGTGTGGCCTTTGAATTGACCTGAGGTTTTGATGTATTGTTTTACTTCTTCTTCGATCGCGGGTACGTAGGATTCTAAGGCTTCTTGGCTGAGGCCGAATTTGACGAACTGGGTTGATGGGGTTGTTTAGCATGATGATTGAAGAGAACTGGGGAGGAAACATGCAGGGAAGGTGTTGCTTACTTTCTTTTGCTCCATTAGCTTGGAGTTTGGACAGTCGTAGACGACGTCGGAACCGAAGACGGGCGTTGTCAGTTTGCCGTAGACCTCTTCGGCGTTGACATCCTTGAGTTTTCCATTCAGGATGAATTCATTCCCTTCTATTCCGAGGTAGACAGTGATCTTCTTGCCGAGTAAGATGAATGTGAAGATGTCGCCGTGCTAGACCCGTGTAAGCTTTATCAACACAATGTTATTGAAGCCGGTTTAACCACCTACTTTTTCACGACACGCGAAGAAGAACTTGTACGGATCCATGCCATAGGCGACCGTACTTCCAATGAAAGGGAACCAGTGGAATACCAGCGGTGGTTCATTGCGCTGATAGAAGAATTGCTGGTGAATCAAGTTGACCACCACCGAGATTAGGGCAATTGCAGCAACATAGCTGATGATACGAAGGATCTGGCCGATAACCAGCGGCACGAGGAGCTCCATGGTTCTTTTGGAATGAATGGTGATAGAAGTAAACCGCTGAAGTATATACTCTTGAGATCAAATCAGGAGGAAGGGATTAGGCGTTACTCATCCATGGGTCACGCCATGCGCGATTCCCCGGAAGGCGACCCTGCCGGATGCCAAGATCAACATGTATTACATTGGAACGCAACGCTATTGACTGGAATAAAAAATAAAACCAAAGCTATGTCCACTGTGGGGTAAAGGTCACGTAAGAGAACCAGGAATCGAAAGCCACCAGCGCCAGGTAATTGCAAAAGAGTCATCAACGTAAATGAGCAGAATTAGGGGGCTTCAATTCGAAGAAGCAACCTCGCGACTCTCCCACATGCGACGGATCATCATGTCGACGCCATTCACAGCCGGGTAATCTTCAGGATCATTGTCTCCCTGGAGGCCATGCGCAGCTTCGTCCGAGGTAGAAAGGATGCGGGCGGAGGGGTGGGCAGACTTGGTTGCCTGGGTGTCGGTGGATTCGCTCCGGGTCGCTGGATCCTCGGAAGTCGAGGAATGAGGATCAGGCAACTCGGAGCTTGAGCCGATTCGGCTTGGGCGCCTTTGATGCTGCAGCAGGGTCAATGAGGGGGCTGACTTCACAGGCTTGCCCATGGAACTGTGTTCCGCCCTAGCTGCGACTGCCTTGGATGCTCGAGCTATAGAGCGAAGCCGAGTGAAGCTATCGCCCGTGGGGGTCTGGAAGCGTCGCACCACCATCAGTTCGAGTGACATCTTCTCGTATGCCTTGCGAATGTGTCGCGTCTCGCTGTCGAATCCCGACCCGCTTGCTCGACTAGCACCATTCATGCCTCGATTGGCATCGAATACCCCAGAGGCAGAGCGCTTATGTCCAGTAGGCATGTACCCTGAATCCATGGCAGATGGAGATGCAGCAGTAGAGACTCCATGGGTATCGGGAGGAGAGTTGTTAAGGGTAGCCGTACGTTGAAGCCACAGCTTCTGCTGGGTTCGCGATGGCAGATCAGCGCCGCCGCGAGGGCGTGCCGGAGAAGCAGTAGACTTGCCAGCACCGCGGCCGGGAGAGGGAGGAGTTTGTGGGTGATAGTGAGGTAGGAAGGAGGAGGGAGTGTTCGGGTCCGAATCGGTTCTTGAAGAGGCCTGGCCAGCCTTGTTGTTCACTATGAACCTTGAGACACCCCCTTCCATGGAAGATGAAGTGGCCTGAGGTTGGCTACCAGGCATGCTGGCGAGCCCAAGGTTCGAGGTAGAAAAGGTACGCCGGGCCGCATTCGGGACGGCGGCCAGCTTAAATGAGGCACTACGCGTTGCAGAGTTCGAAATGGCCGGCTTATGCTCACCCATGGCGGATATGGAAGACATCGCAGGGGGGCTTTGGCGGAGTGTGAAGGGCTGAGGAGGCGGCTGGCAATGTCGCCTTGCTCACCAGGCTGTTCTTGCTCGGGCGTCACGTCCGAGTCGTTCTCTTCGTCTTCGTCTTCGTCTTCGTCTTCGTCCTCCTCTGGGTCCCTGCGTACGAACTTATTGATGACTGAGTCCGGAAGACTTGTAGCTCGAGGCATTTGTGGGTAAGGACGCTTCACAAAGGTGAGCGGATCGACGAGGACTGCGGGATTCTCCGCGCTGTGGTTGGATGGCACGACCGAGTTGCGTCTCATGCTCTCAGGCGACTGTGTGGTGGTATCCTCCCACTCAGCTTCGTCGGTCTCATCATCACCCAGCTCAAAGCCGACAGACTTCTTCTTGCCGGAGCTTAAGGCCGGACGATCAGTAACCAAGGTCTTTTTCCCAACCCCGGAATTATTGCGTTGCAAGATGGGCGTAGAGTTGTTTCTCTTCATAGAATCATTCTTGGGATGGTCATCCACGGTCCCAGTATCCCATCGCACGTGTGCGGTACCTTTCGGACTGGCGACCGGTGTAGCCGGAGCGGACTTCTTGCGTTGGTGGTGGCGGCCGGTTGGTTCGGGTCCCAGCTGGAAGCGCTGTAGTTTATTGAAGTTCTTTCCGACCGAAGGATTGCGGTGATGATTGCGGCCACCACCGACGACATGGGTGCGGTGGGCTTTATGGATGGGGGCCTTGGAGTTGTGAGACTCTGACAGGTCGAGGTTGGAGTTCGCCCGCGTGACGACCGCATGCGAGGAGACAGCGCGACGGCCGAGACCGGGGCGCTTGACTGGGGAGGAGGTGCTATTCGGCATGGCGGCAAAGCTCACAAGAGCCACAGGCGGGTAATCAGTTGACTTGCACAGGGCATCGACAGGGATTGGTCGAGGTAGAAGAGGAGATGAGGTATCACGGCAGATCAGATGTGCGCGCAGACGAAAAAGCAACGAGGTCGCAATAGTCGCAAGAGATATGTACACCGCTTCGCTCGAGAGACCGTGGCAGCGATACGAGTAGCTGGGAACTGGGGGGCAGGGAAGAAGCCTCGGGAGGTGAACTCGCTGTCTTCGGCGACGGGGAGACGGGTAAAATTACGGTACGGATAGGATACTACGCCATGTGTGGGAGAGTGGAGAGGTCTAGATCCCGCTTCGAGAAATGTCGATCATCCATGAAGATAGACACTGCCTGGTACTACCTTTTTAACTCAATCAAATGGTACTAGGGGATGGCCATTTAAACTCATTATTTACTCTCATTTACAACCATACATGCAATTATCTGCAACCTCTACATCCAACCTTATTGAGCGATAGCCTATATCTACTGGGGTCACTACTAAATCACAATGACAATCTTGTGTATGAAAACTTCGGGTCTCAGGTATCATCGAGTACAATAGTAGATAAAGAAAAAGGAGAACGCCGTAAAGCAATATGCAAGTTCGCTCTACAGCTCAATCAGGCTCTCCTCCACCGCTTGTGCGGGTTGTTGATGCAACGCGGGGGGTTGATGCTGGGCCTCCGGGTACGCCCCCGGTTGGCCGGTCGGCACCTGCGGGTATGCGGGTACTGGGCTGGGCTGCTGCGGCTGGTGATAGTAGGATTGAGGCGGCGGCCCGCTAGGCTGCTGATAAGCTGCGAGTCCGGTCGGGGGAACAGTCGAGTACGTCGGTGATTGCATGTACTCGGGCGAGTGTGCCTCTGGCGCACTTGGGGGCGCACTGGGCTGGTATTGAGAGTCCCGTCGCATGATCGGGGACGGTTGGTAGGGAGGCTCGGAGAATTGTTGCTGGGCCGGGTCTTGATCGGGGTGAGGGGTATAGTATTGCGCGGGAGCTGGGGTAGCATGACTGGGCACAGCGTTGTTCGTTGGCTGAGGCGACCCCAGCGAAGGATATGGGGTTTGACTCCAGGCAGCGTTGTGTGACTCTGTTGGGAGTCCACGCTGGGCCTGTGCTGGGTACACAGGCGCCTCGTAACCATTGCTTTGCGCCTGCTGTGGCGCATACGCAGCATTTGGCGGGGCTGCAGTTTCGGCAGCATTTCCATAGTAAAAGTTCTCCGCGCCCGATTTCATATCGGGGACCTGCGAGGGCATACCGTAGTACTGAGACCCTCCATATCCTAGGTTTTGCTGGGAATAGGCACTGGAAAGACGTTCCTCGAGCATTCGATCGTAATAGCGGACAACCGTAGACAGCTTGGAATGCAGGTCAAGCAATGTGTCTAGAAATGTTAGTTTCAAGCGTAATAGCAGGTGTGACATCGACTTACCATGTTTACTCATGGTCTCGCCATAACTGCGGGCAAGTTTAGGCCGAAGTGCGCCTATACTTTCGTAAAGCTCCTGAATCTGCGGTTCCCGGAGAATGGTTCCGGGTGGCTGGTGCTGTAACCTGTCGACGAGAGTGGAGAACAAGTGGATGTTTTCGGTTTCGACCGGGCTGAGCTCGTAGGGGTTCTTGGGCAAGGGAGTTGAGACGCTTGACGAATCGGGCATCGCTGAGGTTGGCTGAGCGTTATTCTTCAACTCCGCAGCATGGATCTGCTTATGCTGTTCCATATCTCGCAGCGATGCTTCAATTGCAGCCTTGAGGTCTGCGTCGTCTTCTTCCTCCACGTTTGACGGCGCCGGGGCTTCTTGAACCGGTGCAGGGGCATTTCCAGTCTGAGGCACAAATCCGGAGGGGCCTCGTCCTTCTGCCTCCTCGAGGCTCATTTGTAGCGCCCGACGGAGATCATCATCAAAGCTATTATCCGCCTTTGCGGCGCGTGGCTCCATCGCGTTGGATTTGCTGATGGATTGATTCTTGAATGAGGTTCGATCTGAAACTCCCGATGGCGTAAACGATTTCGAGGTCAATTTCGTATAGCATCCGTCGTCGACTCGAACAGGCTGAAGGATTCCGAGATGTGGCAGAGGGATGGTCTTGCTAGAACATTGAGCGTCGAAGACATTGCCGCAGTTACGGCAGTGGTGCTTCCGGTTCATGAAACTAAAGGCAGTCCGACATCGCATGCAGACATCGGAGTCTATCCATTCCGGCGGCTGAACAGATAGTTAGCTAATCTCGTCATTGCTGTGGAGAACCATGATGCTAAGCTTACCGCATTGCTCTCCAGCATACTACCGCTCATTTCAGTCTTTGGGGGGAACTGGAAGCCTTCGCCTTGCAGCTTGCGATATGTCTCCCCCACATACGTCAGATCCATTCGACCCTGAGCCGCCATGGCCCAATTCTGTATAAGTTCCAAAACTTTTTGTTGAACCTCCGGGTTTAAAGGAGCACCCTCCGCCTTCAGCAAGGACACTAGATTATCCATGAATTCACGGGAGGCGATCTCAGCGAGGAAATGGGTGCCACCATTCTTGACACAAGTATCGGTCAACTAAATAAACCAGCTTATTAATGATGATCTAGCGCATAATATCCGAGGGTTTTGTAAACACCAACCTTCAGTGTGGCCAGCTGGATGTTGGGATTCCTGTTCTCCAGTCGGCGCTTCAGCGCCTTCATGGCCTCCTTGGGTTGAACGCTTTTTGACCGGACCATATCGGATATCTCGAGGTTAAGAGCAATGTCCTCCCTGAAGATTGATTAGTATTCAGTTATCCAGATCTGATCGACCTCGACAGGCGACAACGATCGTTTAGGCATCAGGTCGCGATAAGATGACAACTTACAGGGAGGAGGAGGTCGCCCGCTCGATCTGCTCATCGAGCGGCGACGCAGAAGAGAACCAGCCTGCCATTATGGAGGACAATAGCGACACTAAATGCGCGCAAATGAATTCAAAGTGTAGAGAAGCCCACGGAAAAGACGAGGCTCTACGGTAAAGGTGGAAGCTGTAGGCAGCCCGCAGTGACTAAGCTGGGCTGGCGTCATAGGCGGGGGCGGTGAGAGGTGTACTGTCACTTTGGTTACCCCAGACCCGCTCCGGTTCCTGGATCGCATTACGTTGTTCTTTAAATGCTGGAGCCTTCCAGTCTCATAGTTATGCGCTGAACCTCTTCATTGCTGCCTCAAACATGCCCCCCGATGCGGCAGCACTACCTCCTCAACCGGACATACCGCCGTGGAAGGACACCCGTCCTTACTCGGTGGGGGGCAACATGCATTCCAATGGCCAGGTCAGCAGACCGGCCTCTTATCAGAATGGTGCCCGGCCACTACCGCGTTTCCCAAATATCAAGGACTTGCAAGATGAAGCGGCTCTTCTGAGTATCAACGAGAACACTCCGGTAAGTACATTATCCAGGATGCGGGGAACTATCGCTCATCTGTTGCGCAGCTTGACGTCCTCCTGAGAACGGCTTCCGAGGCAATCGAACGAGCCAAGGACCTGGGTGAAAGGGAACTCGACCGAGCCTATATTCAGTACTTGCGGGCCTCCGAAATCACCATCAACATCATCCCCCATCATTCGGAATACAAGACAACTATTACTGAACGGCCTGGATGGTACAAGGAGTTTGCGGATTTGATGCAGGCAGTCCGAAGGAAGCAAGGAACAATGGATGCGATCAAGAAGCAAATAATCGAAGATAATCTGGAGAGCAACGTGCCACCAACAGGTCTCTTTGGATCTCCTACTCGCGCCTCGGCTGTTCCCAGGGGTCGCGAGAACCGGTCCGGAAACCACTCTGTGAGAATGCCCAGCCCGACGCAGTTCCAACAGATATTCGACCCTCCCAAGTAAGTTTTCTGGAGACTAGAGACCGTTTTTATAGAACATCTTTATGGATCCATCAATGTCTCTCCAGACCATGTTTCAGATATGTATTGACCAACGTTTTAAGATTTAATCCGAAGAGATTCTCCAGTCCAGCTGAAGATATACTGGCGCAACGTTTTGCAAAGCTTAAAACTTCTCAGCCCCATGAATCAGAGCCAACTTCGAGGAACTCGCCTGGCTATACCCCATCTGTGCCTGCTGGACATGCGTCCACTTACACCTCTAGTCTTCCCCAAGGAAGCTATGGTTCGCCTTTTGCATCGCCGACCAGACGCCCATTGGGGCCTCGCGGTATGGGCATACCGACCGTTCCTCCGAAGCTTCCTCTTACAACATCTCTCCCACGTGCCCCGGACCCTACATACAGTCCTATCTATACAGTGCCTTCGCAACCTCCGTCGAACCCGCCAAGAACGTCATCTGAAAGCGCGCGGTCATTGAGCCAACGTTATTCGCATTTTGCAAACTCTCCTCAGGGCAGTCCAAGCCGTGGATTTGATGAGAATCCTTACAGATCGCGAACACCCAGTGGTGTCCATGTCCGAGAGACCAGGAGCAATTCGCCTGATCTACCGTTCAACTCTACTGTAACAGCCACCGACCTCATGGATTACATGCGCAAATATAGCGTTTTACTGGTAGATGTTCGTTCCCGAGATCTCTATGACAGCGGCCACATTTATGGAATTTCTATTATTTGCGTCGAGCCGGTGGCCTTGAAAGAGAATGTTTCTGCCGAGGAGCTTGAAGAGCGCTTAGTGGTGTCCCCAGAGCATGAGCAGGCCTTGTTTGAACGGCGAAATGAGTTTGATCTAGTTGTCTATTACGACCAAAGTACGGCTTCAGTCAGCTATCTGGCAGGTCCACCGTCAGGAACGTCCGCCCCGCATCTACGATTCCTTCATGATACCCTTTATGAGTTCAACGAATACAAACCCCTCAAAGCCGGGCGTCCTCCGGCACTTCTCCTAGGCGGTTTGGATGCATGGATTGATCTTGTGGGGCAGCAGTCGCTGGCTACCTCTACAACTGCCGCTGTCATGGGATCGCTCCAGACCAAAAAGCCTGTACTCCGACCTGGTCGCCCCCTTGGCCGTGTTCCAACCATGGCAAGTGCCAATTCTAGTCTGGAGGTGCGCAAGAGACGCTTGCGCGAGTTCACTCCTCTCAACTCGAAAGAATTATCGGAGTGGCTGGAAAGGTCGAAGAACGAAGAGATTGACACTAGCACCTACTTGGAAGACGAGGAGCTCACCGAAGAGCCCCAGGAAGAAACGGCAGCTCCATTGGTCCATACCTACGAAGATTTCCTACGGCGTTTCCCCGAGCCGCATCATGTTCAGCAGTCAATGATGCACCCAGATGCTCGGCCAACACCACCGGTACCGAATTACGCAGCCCATCCTCTACCAGTCGCGCCTTCACGACCGCCTCCGGCGGTGCCTCGTCCGAGTTACAGCGGTGTTTCGGATGGGCGGCAAATACAGCCTCATATGGAGCGCCAGAATTCGGCAAATCGCACGGCCTTATACACCCAGAACTCGTTCCTCAGTCGCGTAAAGCTTCCACGCACCGGCCTCACCAATTTTGGAGTGACTTGCTACATGAATTCGACCATACAGTGCCTCAGCGCTACTGTCGAGATGAGCAAGTTCTTTATGGACAATCGCTTTCGCTACTATATTCAAAAGAACTGGAAGGGATCACAGGGTGTCATGCCTGGTCTCTATGCTAATCTGATCAGGTCGCTTTGGAAAAATGACGTGGAAGTCATTATGCCATCTTCGTTCCGCAATTTCTGCGGTCGATTGAACCGGGAGTGGGCCATTGATCGGCAGCAGGACGCCAAGGAGTTTTTCGATTTTACCGTGGACTGTTTACACGAGGATCTCAACATCAATTGGCAACGTAACCCACTGCGGCCATTGACATTTTCTGAGGAGATGCAGCGTGAACGAATGCCTGTGGCGAAGGTTTCGCAGATCGAATGGAACCGGTACTGTCATCGAGAAGAGTCTTTTATTTCAAACCTTTTCGCCGGTCAACATGCCAGTCGATTAAAGTGCACGACCTGTCAACAAACTTCAACCACATATGAAGCCTTTTACAGTATCAGCGTTGAAATACCGCCTACCGGCGCTGGGGATATCTATCAATGCCTTCGCAGCTATTGCCAAGAGGAAATGTTGAGCGGTGACGAGGTGTGGAAGTGCCCACATTGCAAATGCAAGCGCATGGCAACAAAACAGATCTATATTACGCGCGCACCAAAGATCCTAGTGGTTCACTTCAAACGCTTCTCCGCATCCAAGACCCAAAGTGCACGGAAGATCCACACCCCGATCGAATTCCCGCTTCATGGCCTACGAATGGACGAATTTGTAATATCGAACCCGAGTCCAGCACCCCCTGACCCGAACGCCCCCAACGCCGACTCGACCCGAGCACCCTTCACATATGACTCATTCGCAGTACTACGACATATCGGATCGTCCATGGGCAGTGGCCATTATATCTCGCTAGTGCGCGACGCAGAGCGACAGTGCTGGCGGAAGTTCGACGACGAACGAGCCACGGATTTCAATCCACGAGACCTACGCTCAAAGGATAGGCTCCAGAATGAGCAGGCTTACATTGTGTTTTATGAGCGAGTTCCAGCGAAATGAGCGTTTTTATGCCTTTCTTTTGTGTGTATTCATTGTTGCGTTTGACATTTTTGCATCTCACGACTTCTACGATTGAATAGATCGGCGCCTGGGCACTAGGTACATAAATCAATCTCATCAAACGAGGAGGGTACCCCGATGTCAAAGTTTCATTGTGAGGTTCCACACCGCATTTTGTAGGGTTGGTATTTACGCAAGTATAGGTGTGAGCCACTATATGCACGTGTCCAAGGGTGCAGAAAGGGCGACTTGAGGGTAAATAGCTCGACGCGCCCAGGTGGCCCCGGGGATATATAGAGATACGCCCACTGGTGATACGTCCACGCGGAAAGATCCACGGCTAGGTGAGCAAAATGGATAGGTATCATGGAGATAATAGTCGACGCATTGATAGCCCTACAGAGGTGCCCATGAAAAGATCTAGAACGAAGCCTGGAATGGGGAACGTATTTAGGAATAAATTCATCTGAACCGGGGCAATTAGAATATAGACGGCGATGTTATGAAGACACTCCACTTAGTAAAAAAGTTGGGTCTAGAGGACTGACATTAATTCCGCAGTGGCGGAGGCGCGGATCTTGGACCCAGCGGATCCCGCACGCGTTTCCCGAAAAGAGCCACCGGGCCCAACTCACCCTCGGGTATTGCATATTGGCACTTGCATATGGCACTTCTGGCAATTGGGATCGGTTTAGATTGGAACCTTATGGATAATCGGGAGATAGCCCGATCCCGAGGTTCGCTGAATTCACTGAATTCCCTGAAATCACAGAATTATACCCCCCAATCCTATCTTAGAATCCTAGACTATGTGATAGTCCCCAAAATCCCAACGTTCATATGCGCCGAGGCTCTAATAAGCAGCCTCTGATTCGTCCAACCCCGAAAATGTCGGAATTGCTCGATTCTTCACGGCGGTCAAACCGGGGATCAGATGTGCCTGTCCCTAGGCAGAATTTGCCCCCTCAATAGTTGCGTAGCCCCGGCTATGGCCCCATTACCCAAAGTAAAAAATAATGTCGGGTGGGAAATACGGGTGAAAGATGTAGTATGTACCTGGCCCACCGCGGAGACCGCCCAGGCGCACGTCCCAGGAACTTTCTCGGTCTTCAACACTTTCCTCCCTTTAACTTGTCTCTGTCCATATCTTTGCTTCTTGTCTTATAGCCCTCTCTAAGTGAGTTCCCCTCTACCCGTGTCATACGACACTTAAATATTCCTGCATTTTTCCAGCGGTTTTTCTCTTATCTCGTGTCTCCGACGGAGACACAAAGAGCCACCGTCGGACCCTTCCTCTTCTCACCGAGAAATGTGGCCTAATAGCCCTGCTAACACCTGCGATCGCTCCTAGTTCTCTTCACAATTCACCATGTCTGACGTCAAGGAGTTCACCCTCGAGGAGGTCACCACCCACAACACCAAGAAGGACTTGTACATGGTCATTCACGACAAGGTCTACGACTGCTCCAGCTTCGTCGACGAGCACCCGTATGTTCCTTCTCTTTTTCTGGCTCCTTCTCCCCTCCAAACCACCCTACTACCCCGGCGAGAAACTTGCGACAGGTCGCTTCTCCCTATCGCGAGACCCTGCCCCCTATCGCAAGATCTAACGGCCAGCTTGGCCTTAACATGCCCTCCCCACTCAACCCCACGCCACACTAAACCACGAACGTGAAAAAAATGGCTAACAATTACTCTACAGTGGTGGTGAGGAAGTTCTTCTCGACGTTGGTGGCCAGGACGGCACTGAGGCTTTCGAGGATGTTGGCCACTCCGATGAGGCGCGTGAAATTCTCGAGGGTCTGCTCGTCGGCAACGTGAAGCGCATGGTACGCATTCCCTACTTTAATTATATCGCTACGGCTACCCCATACCGTGAATTGCATATACTAACAACTCCTAGCCCGGTGACCCCGAGCCCAAGTCCCACGCCAAAGCTTCTTCCTCGTCTTCCTCCTCTGATGCCGGCAGCTTTGGTGTCGGTCTCTACGCCGTTATCCTCATCGGTGGTGCCATTGCCTACGGTGCCTACAACTACCTCCAGTCTCAGCAGAACCAGCAGTAAATGGAGACTGAGTGGGGAGGTGCATAAGCAAGTGGGGGTTTATCAGGGAGAAAAAGAGGAGACCGTTGGAGACTGATACTTTCCTTGGAAGATCAGTGAGGAGGCACTTAGAAAAAGATGTCTGCGGGGAGAAAGATTCGTCTATAGTCCGGGGTTTATGGGATTTTCTTTATGTTGAATGTTTCATTGTTTATTTTCTTTATTTTCTTTTTCTTTTTCTTTTTTGGACGAATTCCTTTTTGTTTATCCCCGTGGACTTTCTTCGCTCTGGAACGGCTCAGAAGTCAATCAGTTAGCATATTTCGCATGGATATTGACTTCCGCCCCCAAGCGGGAAATATTGCTCCTTTGGGTACTTCCCCTCAGGGAAAAGCGGCGCGGTCTCTGCTAGCGCCCGTGAGGGGAAAGATAGAGGTGCTTCTGTCTGTTTCTACGCTTATATTAATAGACCGATATTGACTGGCTTATCACTAAGTATGTAGTCCCTCGTGAGGGGTCTTGGTGTCTTTCTCCTCATAGAATACGATGGAATCCTGATCTGATAATCCGAGGGCTTGATACCCGAAAGTGTTGTCTATTCCCAAACTCCGTGCAGTAGTACATGAGGTATTCTTATTCTAGTTCGTCCAGCCCTTAGGCCCAGCCCATTCACCCTTCACCATTGAGTTGTAGTACACCCAGGGGAAGAAGTCCTTCTTCAGGTAGTAGAAGGAGCGGCGGGGTATGGCCTGGTCGATGCCGAACCAGTTGCCAAATGTCTCCTTGGGCACACCGCCGTACTTGAACTCGGCCAGAAGGACTTTACCGTACTCGGTCAGCAGCGGGCACGAGGTGTATCCGTCGTACACGGCATCGGGCTTCTTGCCCTCCATCGCTTGCAAAAGGTTGCGCACGACCACGGGAGTCTGAGCGGTGACGGCAGCGGCGGTCTTGGAGGTAGGTAGACTGGACGCATCACCGGCGGACCAGACATTGGCGTACTTCTTGTGCTGGGTGGTGCCGTCGTCGACATCGACGAAGCCGGACTCGTTGGCGAGAGCACTGTTCTTGACGAACGCAGGGGCTCCCATCTTGGGCACCACGTGCAGCAAATCGAACTGCTTGGTCGCAGACTGGCCGTCAGGGAGAGCGAAAGTGGCCTTGTCACCATCGATGGAGATCAGGTCGTGCTGGAAGAGGCCGTTCACGCCGCGCTCCTGCTGCATGGCGGTCAGGGCCTTGTTGTACTTGGGCACACCGAACATGACCGGCGTACCAGTCGCGAAGTTGATTTTGATGTCCGAATTGGCCGGGTTGCTGGGGTCGTAGCGGCCTGCGCGCTTCCAGTGGTCCAGGGCCAACCACATGATCTTCTGCGGCGCACCGGCGCACTTGATAGCGCCTGCGGGCTGGGTGAAGTAAGCGTTGCCCTTCTCCAGCTTCTGGATGGTGCCGAACACCTTGCTGACAGTGTCATAGCCATAGATGGAAGAGACCGGGGTGCTCTTATCGGCCAGAGCCTCCTGCAGACCCTTGATATTTCCCCAGTTAAGGGCGAGGCCGGGGGCAACGATGAGTTGTTCGTAGCTGACGCTGTCGCCGTTGCCGAGCTTAACGGCATTTTTTTCGGGAGAGAATGATGCCACGCTGTCAACGTAGTGCTTAAGCTTGGGGTCGATCAAGCTCTTCATAGGGCGTCGAAGCTCCTCCTTGGTCTTGAGACCACCACCCACCAGGGTCCAGCCCGGTTGGTAATGGTGGAACTCGGCGGGGTCGACAACCGCGATATCATCCTGTGAGAACTTGCCGGAGTGAAGCAGCTGGTGGCTGATCGCCAGACCGGCAGAACCACCGCCGACTACGACGACCTTGTGGTTGCGCGCGGAGGCAACGGGAGCCTCAGTCGCGAATTTGCGAATGCTTGGCGCCGCGCGGGCAGCCTTTGTCGCGTTGCGGCTGAACATTATGAGTTGATTTTATTTTATGTGGAGAAATTGATCAAGGAGCGACAGAGCTTTAAAAAGGAACTGATGATGTGCTTGGAATGAAGAATCTTGTCTCGGCCGTGATCGACCGCCCGTAACTTTACACATTACAAGGCGCTTACGGGTCCACTTAACATCACCTTTTACCATGCAGGGCACTTTAACTGACTGCCCTTAACCAACATGCGATCTCACCTTAAGTCTCCGAATTTACCGGAGACATAAGTGGTCGCCGACTCGGTGGCAATCGGCGGCAATCGGCGACCAAGGGGTTTTGATAGAGCCCGGCCTATCCCCTGCGTACTTTAACCTTAATATATGAATGTAACATGCATCAGATGGCCTCATAGCCTCATAGCCTCATAACCTCCCCATTTCTTCTATACCCAGGGCCTGGCAATCATGAAGTCCGTTAAGTCCATCACTCATGGTCTACAACTTGCAGGTAGCGCGCGGTGGCCACAACTAGCGGCCATTCCTTCAGTTGGCTACAGTCCCATGCCCAACGCCACCTCCATCACAGCATCGCCGAGAAGAGGCCTACACAGCAGGGCAATTGCACGTCCTCGCACTCATAACCGGGATGCCATTTTTGCAACCCACCAAGCACCACCTGGGTATCAAGCGCAATACACCACGGGCGCTGCCACCAAAGTACCAACGATTCACAACATCTTCGAAAATGTGACCGGAACATGGCAGTACATCGTCGCAGACCTATTAACATCAACCGCAGTAATCATAGATCCTGTTCTGGACTATGACCCCACCACACAATCCATCACCACCCAATCTGCGGATAAACTACTATCTTTCGTCCAAGAAAAAGGCTATAAGATCGAGAGAATCCTCGAAACACACGCCCACGCCGACCACCTGACATCATCTTCCTACCTCCAAAGCCGACTTGCCCAAATACAGGGCCATAAGCCACCTATTGGCATCGGCAAACGCATCGAGCAAGTCCAAACCCTTTTCGGTAAACGGTACGGGCTTACAAAAGACGAATACAACCACGTGTTTGATAAATTATTTGACGACGACGAAACTTTCTCCATCGGCAATCTAACAGCGAAAGCAATCCACTTACCGGGCCATACACCCGACCACCTAGGCTACCAAATCGGAGGTAAGCAACATTCCCCAAAACTCAACCCCTTTTCAAAACTAACAAACCCCAGACAATGTATTCTGCGGTGACTCCCTCTTTCACGCAGACATCGGCACAGCTCGCTGTGACTTCCCAGGCGGCGACGCAACAGATCTCTTCCAATCAGGCCGTAAACTTCTAGAATTACCCGATGAGGTCAAGATCTGGCCCGGCCACGACTACCCGCCTGACGGACGAGAACCTATCCCATGGATGAGTGTTCGCGATCAGAAGAAATTGAATAAGCATCTTGGGGACAAGGTCTCGAAAAAAGAGTTTGTGGGTATGCGGAATGAGCGTGATAAGACGCTCAATGCGCCTAGGTTGCTGCATCAGTCACTGCAGGTTAACATTCGGGCTGGGAGGTTGCCGAAGGTTGAAGAGGGGTTCAGGATGCTCCGATTGCCTTTGAAGGTTGCGGTCGAATGGTAGATTGGTGTGTTGACATGGGGTAATGTTCTGGGCTGAGAATATTGAATGCTGAATTCTCTTATTGTTTAACTATAGGTTATCCGTATAGAAATTGATCAATTTGTGTTATTGAAAATCATCTCGACTTTGGTTTCGCGTGTTCATACTTAGCGTAGCAGAGTTGAATTCCACTCGGGTCCGGAAAAAATCCCAGTCATACACATGCATAGTTTGTATGGCCGGTTGATGGGATTGTCTATAATATCTATGAATAATAGTAAATTGATAAGTTCATCTCAACATCTCCCTTACTGTACTCTATGCGTTAAGATAGGAGATAATAAAAGGATGATGATTCGTTTCATGGACCGTACGGCCCGCATCGCCGACCATGATGATGATGATGATGATGCGGTAGATGCGGTTTCTCCGTCGCAATCGGCGTCCTTTGTCAAAATGAGTCTGACTGGACATCATCCCACTTTGTATTGAATATAACACACTAGAGTAACAATACGTGTATCCCAGTGATGATGCCATCGTCTCTCGCCCGAGTGACCCATTTCTCGCCCGAGCGAGACTCTCTCGTCCGAATAGACCTCATATACCCGAGCAGGTGGTTTGATTGATCCCAAAAACATACATAGGGCTGCAAGGGAAGTAAGTCAGATGAGCGAGACAAGATGCCAGTCATAAAAGACTTGTTTTTATAGAAAAGAAGCAGAGAGGAGTCTGGCTAAAGTGCAGGTCGGTGGATCTCGACTGACCAATCGGGATCTTCCAGTTGCGGACATTTTCTCGGCGATGGAGCGTCATGGCCCATTTTGACTCCGCTGGAACCTCACATTCTTTGCGCTAACAGATGGGAAATATGGAGAAGTACGTAAGATAAAATAGCATTTCGATCGGCGATGTACGGGATTATGCATGATTGTGAATCTGTGCGAGGCTGATCAAGTCGCCGTTCATAGCTTGTTTACGGGCATCAATGCGACCAAAGATGCAATTTGATCCACATGTGCTTCGGTCTGTCCTCGGCAGTTGGCTTTTAACTATCTATCCTGCTTGCATAGACTTCTCCATAACGTCCCTTCCTTTATGATTTGCTCTATCGCATAATTCCCACCGTCCTCTACCTGGTTATCATCAAAATGGCGTCCGCCTTGCGCCGCCTTATGCCAGCGCGCGTCGCAAACACAGGCTCGCAGCAACGCGACCACCACGCCAATGAGCGCACATTCCTATCATGGACCCGAGCAGGCCTTGGGTTCGCGGCTATGGCGCTTGCACTCGACCGCCTAGACGCCATCGACAAACTTCTCACCTCGAAGCTGGGCTCTGCGCTCATGGCGCCCCAGCAGGCTGGCGCGCCTTCCCTGCACGAGGAGAAACCTGCTGTCAAAGATGCGAAGCAGGTCTCAGGTCCGAAGCATTCCCAGCTGCAAACTATGGGCCCTAAAATGGTCTCGGATGCCTTTTCTGCGACGCGACTTTGTCAGTTGCTTGGAGTTTGGTGTCTTGGATATGGCTTCTTCCGATACTGGTCTATGAGGCGGTATTTGATGATTGGGCAGTTTGTTCCTGCATTTTGGGGGCCTGTTTTCATGACTGTTGGCAGTTTTGGGGCGTTTATGACTTTGGGGTTGCACATGGAACGGAGGCATGCTCCCCACTTCTAAGGCGGTGCGGGTTTTGTTGGAATTACATACTTGTGTATAGATTATAGAGATGATAGATGGGGTTTTAGATATGTAACTAATGCAGCTCACGTATTGATTGGTTGAATGAAAACGCTCGAGTTATACTGCCTGAGAAAAGTGGCAATAGTCGGGTCCCGCGGAGCCCGTCAGCCCCTTTGCAAGCAACAGACTCGACCTGGAATCTGTTACAAGCATCAAAATTGATTTGAAGACTTCGACAGTCGATTCCTTGCAAGCACTCTCCTTCGCCATTCCCCTTCCCGTTCCCACTTTCCTTGTATTTGCTTGACACGGGCCCTGATACCTTCATTCATGTGATATCAAAACTTGCAAGACCGAAGGCCATGGCTGCGGATCCCCTGGTCATCTTCTTGGTAAAAAGATTAAATTTCCATCCAAGGAGGAAATACGCTGACACTCAGTTCAACAAAAAAAGGCTAGCGCGGCTACTACACTATCTCTGGACTTCATGATCCACCCCTTGGACACCATCAAAACACGCATTCAATCTCGAGAATACACTAATTACGCACGAAGCACAAGAAAGAGCGTTTTCAGCCATCCCAAGATCTTTCGAGGTCTCTATCAAGGGTTTGGTAGTGTGCTTGTCTCCTCATTTCCAGCTGGTAAGTCTTTGAACCAAAAGTCAAAGATACCGCAATGAGTTGCTCAACTACCTCTTTCTAGCTGGGGCATTCTTTATCACATATGAAAATGTCCAATCAAGACTAGCCAGCATGGGCCCAGTATTGATGCCCCATCAAACGAGTTCCTATCGAGTATTCTCCGACTTCTGCGCAGCCTCTGTCGCCGAGGCCGTTGCCTGTGTTTTCTTTGCTCCAGCCGAGGCGCTCAAAAATAATGCGCAAATGATCCAATCGACATCTACAAAGTTCCCAACGTCCGCAAGTCAGAGCCATCAAAAAGCTAGCCCCCAGTCTGCCACGGTCCAAGCGTTCAAGAAATTCAAGAACGTCAGGCAACTATGGAGCGGATACTTCGCGCTCCTAGCACATCATTTGCCCTACACAGCTATTCAAATGCCCATTTATGAAATTCTGAAAGATCATATGTCTCAATCAGTGATCCTCCAACGGTCATTGATATCCACGACCAGGGATATGGACATGAAACACTCTCAAGTCATCAACAGTGCCACAAATGCTGCAGCGAGTGGTGCGGTCGCGGGGGGCATAGCCACGGTGCTCACTGCCCCCACGGATATGTTGAAGACAAGGGTGAACCTGGATGCTTCCGACCAGAGCATTCTGCAAAGGAACCGAATTATGCATGCTGCGCGCAGTATCCTCGCAGCAGAAGGCTTCCGCGGTTTCTTCCGCGGCTGTGGCATCAACATATTCATGGGCGTTGTTGGATCTGGCGTGTGGTTGGGCCTTTACGAAGGCACAAAAACTTGGCTAAGCCACAAATGATCGTAAGAACGACCAACGGCCCTCACAACTATTACTGTACGATACCCAAATGATTTCTCAACTCTGTCTTATTAGCGGCAATCTCCAACTCAATATTGAACAATATGTACATCATGCCAACTCAAAACATCCGACCTACGGTGGTTCTCTTCATCAACCAGTAATCCAAAACCATAATTTGCCATACCATGTAGTAGGCACCGTTGTCTCCCAGTATTCACTTTCAATCTCAAGACGTCCAGTGTCAAGATCGGCTTGCATGGGAGAGACGAAGCTGTCACGGAACATCAGCTTGTGGCCAACGTATAGGATGGCGAAGAGAATAAGGCTAATATATGCGACGAAAAAGCTCTCCACATTGAATGTAGGGATCCACGCGGTGAAGCCTTGCGTTAACATGATGAGAATGTTGAAAAAGAGTCCGTAATATGCGAGGAAAGGCTGAAGCGGCGCCTTGTAAGGCAGTAAGTCTCGAGACATCTTACGAGCTTTCAGAGCACGCATAAACGCGATGTGACAGACGTTGAGAGACGCCCAGAGAATAAAGCCTGCAACTGTAGTAATGTTGAGCAGCCAGTTGAAAACAGTAGACCCGGAGTTGGAAACGTTCAGGAACCCCAGTAGACCAAATGCTGCGGTAGCAGCTACTCCATAATAAGGCACGCCTCCTTTCGTAGTCTTGGTAAAAAACGCAGGCGCAAATCGTTCTTGCGCGAGTCCGATCAACATCCTACTACCACTATAGATATTCGCATTGGCAGCGGATAGAACCACAACCAAAAGGACAGCATTGATGAGACTAGGCAAGATCTTGATCCCGGCCAACTTCGCCGCAATGACAAAGGGCGATGCTGCTGCATTTGTTGTGCCCGTAAGGAGTTCCTTATTATCAGAGGGTACCAGTAGACCAATGAAGAACACGGAGAGAACGTAGAAAAGAATGATACGGATAAAAGTCGTCCGAATTGCCTTGGGCACAGTCTCTCGTGGGTTTTCACTCTCGCCCGCAGCAAGACCAACCAGCTCGGTACCTTGGCATGAAAACCCAGCTTGGATGAGAACAGCCCAGAAGCCGACGAATTTGGCCGTTGGCCCTGGTGTTACTAGGTAATCGGCAAAAGGACCAGGGTGCACCCAATTGTGAAACCCGAGATATCCTTGTTGACCAACGCCAGCGTCGACGCAAATAGCAAATATCATAAAGCCGATTACCGTCAATATCTTGATACTCGAGAACCAGAACTCGAGCTCGCCATAGAAGTTGACTGGAAGGAAGTTGAGTGCGGTGATTAGTACCCAAAATACTCCGATGAAGATCGAGATCTGGATAGTAGGATCCCAGTATTGGATGATTAGACCTGTGGCTGTGAGTTCAAGAGCAAAAGTGATTGCCCAGGAAAACCAATATATCCAGCCCATGGCAAAGCCGAGACTGGGATCAACCAGTCGCGTTGCATAGGAGGTGAATGCTCCTGCGACTGGCAGATAAGTTGCTACTTCTCCCAGAGAGGTCATCACTGAAAAAACGATGGAGCCGATGAAAGCATATGCGATCAATGCACCAACAGGTCCAGCATTTGCCAGAGCTGTTCCGCTTCCAATGAACAGACCAGTACCAATTGTGCCACCTGTGGGGAAGTGAGTGATTGAAGATGCAGAATCGAAATGGAGTCTATGCTTACCAATTGCAATCATTTGCAGGTGTCGGCTCTTTAGCTTCCGCTGTAGCGCTGGCAGCTGCCTTGGCTCTCCCGGGATATCATCATTACCCTCATGAAAAGGATCACCGGCTTCTTTAGCCTCACCCTTACTGAGCGACTTTACTTTACCTTCAATAGCCATCACGTAAAAAGGATGACTAGACTAAAGCGAGATCGCCAGTATCCAGCTTCTGGATGCAATCCTAAGACACTCTTGGAACGTACGCCCGAGCCTGAATCTAGGCATATTCAGGGGGCGTTAGCTAGGTATATTCAACACAAGACTCCCAATGCAACTACCATGAACATAGAAAGCTTAATGTGGATTCAATTACCGTTGTAGTTATGATGATCAAGTGGACCTTGTCGTTGGCACGTTCTCGGTATTGTGGGACAATGGAGGTACCCATCCTAGAATTACGGGGCGAAAAGAGAAAAATATTAAGTGAAAATATTTTCTTAGTTTGGCAGTAGCGAGGCGCTACCTAAAAGCGCTCTAGAGCCTGTAGAGTTCCAATAATGCGCCATGGCCTTACCCCGCAGGTACTTTCTCAGCCGAGCTGTCAGTTCGGGTTAGCTTCACGACCCTCAGAACGTGGCCAATCCTGTCGGCTCGTTTTTTCACCCGGACTGCCTGAATAGTGTTAGATGGCCGGGGGTCCTTGGTCCAATGCAACGTCCACTTTGTAGATGCCGTTCGTCGGCATCTGGTTACCGGAGCCTCCTATGCAGCTTTCTCATGCGACCTGTCTGATTTGGGTTAGCCTTATCTTGTATGTTTGATTCAAAATTGACGTTTTCTCGTCATGCTGGTGGAGCGACTTTGATTCTCTTTCTTTGTATTGGTCGATAGAAGTGGCATGAACCCTTGAAATATGATTTAATTACTAGAGAGATTCGAGATCCGGTTAGTTGAGTAGTATCAATGGCGGTTCAGGTGAACTATAAAGCCCAACGATAACCCTCACCTGAGTACTGTTTTCCCTCTCATTTATAATTCAATTATCGCAATAGAGCAAGTCAACCAGGATCTATTTCCATCATGCATGCTCCAACCGACAAACCAACTATCGTCCGACTCAAGGCTTCAGATCCCTCGGTAACATCCGACAAAGCCATTGAGATCATCAACCGTGACGGCGGAGTCATCATTGAAGGTCTCATCTCTCGGGAAGAAGCCGAGCAAATTAAACGGGATTTGAAACCACATTTCGACAACGACATACCTGACAAGTCTGGCTTTTTCCCATCGACCACCCAGCGTGCGACTGGTCTTTTAGGTATCTCAGACTCATGCGTCGATCTGGCATGCAATCCATTCTATATCGATGTTGCCAATAAAATGGTGTCGTCTACTTTCAAGTACTGGAGAGATGATCAGCAGGTAACTTGCACTGGGAAGCCTATTATCTCCTCTACTGTTGGGTTCCGGGTAAACCCTGGTGGGAGGCAACAGGTTCTGCACCGTGATGATAAGTATGAACTTCTTTCTCAGGGTCCCGGGTGGTTGCATTTATTGATAATTTGCAAAGTGATTATCATCCCACCAACGAAATGATGCCTTGTATGATCGGGTGTGTTACGGCATTGACGAAGACGACAAAAGAGAACGGTGCGACAATTGCTATCCCGGGCTCTCACTTGTGGGGTCCTGAACGCCGGCCGTACAACGAAGAAGCTGTTCCTGCTGAACTAGAGCCCGGTGATGCATTCATTTTTCTGGGCAACACTTATCACGCTGGTGGCGGTAACACTACGCAGTAAGCTCAACCCGATTCCACGCCCGGTATTGGATATGAATGTTGGATGTGCTAACAGAAAGCTCTTTCTGCGTGCAGAGACGAATATCGCGAGACAGTAGGCATCTTCCTCTGCAAGCCAACACTACGACCTGCGGAGAACCAGTTCTTGATGGTTCCGCTAGAACGAGTAAGAAATTTGAAGCCACAGGCTCAGAGGTTGCTTGGTTACGGTGTTTGCGACCCGGGGGTTGGTTTCATGGATTATCAAGACCCGATGAGGGTTCTGTTCGGGGTAGAGGATGAAGAGACTTATGACATGTGATGATCTCTACAGAGAAATGATAATGGTGATCATAGATTTAGTCCTTTCTTTCTCTTGTTTCATTTTCGGATGCTTTAAAACACAAAGAAAGACCCAATCTCTTCCTCATTAATTCGGGCAAACTGAATCCAGCTCCTTTGGTGTTTGTCGCTAGAACTTTCCCAGAAAAGATGAAGGAATTGCAGTGCGGCATGGTTGCACCAAAACCCGGTCGTAGCAATAGACTGCAGGAATAGATTCTCGATATGTGACTGTCTTTGCTTGTCATGTTGGCTCTCAGTGCCAACGATGAAAAGAGGAAAGAAAATATCATGGGCAAAGGTCGGTCCAGGCTCCGTCGTTACAGCCACAACTATATTCCAGAGATGGTTCAAAGATGACTGAATCGCCTCGGCCGCTTCGGCCTGAGATGCAAGGGCTTGGTAACTGTAGATAAGGCAGGCATGGTAATGTGCTTCTATGATGGCGCGAAAGCGAGTTCGTTTCAACGGTTCATCTTCAGGAAAGGATGAGATCAACATGCTCGCGCGAGTGCAGGCTATCTCCAGTTTAGCGTGCCAATATCTCATGTCTACTTGTACAGGGCCGTTGCTACTTTTCAAAAGAGCATAGTGGGACCTCTCAGCCACTGTAGTCTCGTTAATAAGCAACGTGAAATCCCAGAAGTCGCCATCGAAAACAGCAGGCCAGGTCATCATAACGCTGGGATCAAGCTCCAAGGTGAAAGCGGAGATATTTCCAAAGATCTCAAGATCAATGACTTCATTGATTAGCCACTTGGCGATTACATCCCCAGAAAGTTCCCGCATGCTTCGCAGATGGTGTCTTTCAATGATTGCGTGGCATGCACGGAGATGAAGCTTCCAATCCATCGAGCCCGGAATGTGTAGTTCTCCATAACAAAGAACCAGCATCGAGGCGAGCATCTCCACTAATGAGAAGTCGAGGAAGCCTCCTCCGACGGAGATAGAATTTGCAGAGCACTCGATCTGCATTTTCCTACTAAGGGTCCCGAGGATTTCATTCCGCAGACGCTGGTTAACTTGCAGATGAGTCGAGGACCGCTCGAATTCCGCGGATGTGGCAGATAGATGGGCGGCTGCTAGACCCAGGATTGACAAGCGGAGACAGGCAGATCGCTGGGCAAGTGGTAGAACGAGGCTTCTCCATGGATTATCTGGGCCATCGATCCATGTTAAACGGGAAGCAACGTTTGAGAGGAAGTGTAGAAGAAGCTTGTCGCAAAGAGAACGTGAAAGGTGCTGAGTTGCGAGCTCAGCATCACTCGTCGGGGATGCATTCTGGATTGAAACATTTTGGGGCGATAATATGAAGCTTGAATCAGAGGATGAGACATATTCCAGGCCAGGCACAGAAGCATTGCATCCCACAAGTGGTAGGCTCTTGCCCGAGAGATACCCTCTGCTGGCCACGCCCTGATCCCATCTCAGATACACACGGGGGAACCCGGGACACACTAAACCACGAATAGAGCACTTGCGACAATGTGGCATAGACCGATCACATTTGATGCGACGCGTCACGCACTGGCGGCAGTCTGGGGGGTACATTAGCTCGGTCTTTAAGTAGTGAAGATGACTTACCCTTTGCCGCTATCCGACGATCAGACGGTAAGGAGTCTATACGAACGTTCCTTTTCGGCTTTGCGCCGGACGGCGCCATCAGTCGATAGGTGAGAGATTAAATCGCAGGTGTGGCCGAAGTCGGTTGATACGATACCCCGCAAGCCTTATCTGAGGCCCTTTTTATCGTTTTACCGTAGTTAAGACCCACCAAAGCCCAAAGGGGCAGCAGTAACCCGTTCCTTGTTCCGCTGATGAATCCTATCCGCTACTCTTGCCATTGGTTATCTTTCCCTTCTCCCCCGGTTCCTACATCGGCGCCTCCTCACGGCCAACAACTACAAGATATCGAAATAGTAGCACGGTATTCTCTCCTCGATTTCGACACCTGCTCATCATGGGGAAGGTCTTCGATGCCGCAGAAGGTTTGTCGCGTTACCCAGTGTCCTTGACTCATCAAAGCGGTGTTTCCATTCTAGGATAGAGCTAACTAACATGATGTTAGTGGCTAAGCACAACTCAGCTGAAAGTTGTTGGGTCATAATTCATGATAAAGTCTACGATGTGAGAAACCCCCCTGTTTTCCGGCCCGGATGCCGCAAATGAGACCCTAATAAGCAAGAAGCTAACGTTAACCAGGTCACCAACTTCATGACCGATCACCCAGGCGGCTCCAAAGTCATCCTCAGACTAGCAGGCAAAGATGCTACCGAGGAATTTGATCCGGTGCACCCAGACGGCACCCTCGAAGAGAACCTCAAGCCCGAGGCATGCCTAGGTACAGTCGACCCATCAACAATGCCCCAGCCTGAGCCCCAGACCTCCACCCAAAGCAAGATCGAAGAAATCCCCGTCCAAAATCTGCTCAACATGGACGAATTCGAAAAAGCAGCCACTGCCAAAATAAGCAAGAAAGCCTGGGCCTACTACTACTCCGCAGCGGATGACTTGATCACGAAGCGCTTCAACACGGAAGTATTCCGCTCCATCCTATTGCGCCCCCGCGTCTTCATTGATTGCACAGAGTGCGACATCACTGCCAGATTACTAGATAATCCGGTCTCCATGCCTATCTACGTTTCTCCCGCAGCAATGGCCCGCCTGGGCCACCCGAGTGGTGAAGCCGGAATCGCCGAGGCATGTCGCAGCTTCGGCGCTATGCAGATCATCTCCAATAGCGCAAGCATGACGCCCGAGCAGATCGTCGCGGGTGCGTCGCCTGAACAGACATTCGGTTGGCAGCTGTACGTGCAAGAAGAGCGAAGCAGAAGCGAGAAAATGATTGAGCGAATCAACAAGTTGCCTGCGATCAAGTTCCTAGTCCTTACTCTCGACACACCGGTTATGGGGAAGCGAGAAGATGACTTGCGAGGTGGCAATGTCATTAATGAAATCACTGAAATCAAGTCTCCTGAGGTTTCGCAGAAAGATGAACGGGCGGTATTCCAAGGCCTTGATCCTACGCTTAATTGGAAAGAGACCTTGAAGTGGATTACGAAGCACACGAAACTGCCTGTTGTTTTGAAGGGGTTGCAGACGCATGAGGATGCTTATATTGCTTCTTTGCATGCGCCGCAGATTAAAGGGATCATTCTTTCGAATCATGGGGGTAGGTCTCTTGATACCTCGCCTCCGGCTGTGCATACACTTCTTGAGATGAGGAAATATTGCCCTGAAGTTTTTGATAAGATTGAGGTTCTAGTTGATGGGGGGATTAGAAGGGGGACGGATGTCGTTAAGGCGCTTTGTTTGGGTGCGAGGGGTGTTGGCATCGGCCGGCCTGCGCTTTGGGGATTGAGTGCTGGAGGTGTGGATGGTGTTAAGAGGACATTGCAAAGTAAGAGAATTCCTGGACTCATTTTTCTTGCGGATTCACTAACTGGATACATAGTCTTGGCCGATGAGACGAAGACATGTATGCGCTTACTGGGTGTGGAGAGGCTTGACCAGCTCGGCATGCAGCATGTAAGTCTTTAGCTGTTTTATCTTTTGGTATGTATAAAGGACTGACATTTCTAGATTAATACCCGCATGGTAGAGCAACAGATCTATGATGGCCCATCTGGCCTTGACCCCATTCGAGCCGAGTTCCGATCAAAGCTCTAGACATTACCATGGACTGGAAGAACGAGCAATTGAGAATGAACCGAATCAAGCATACAGGCGACGCGTCAAGCAAACACTGGCATATAAAGCACTCCTCCTCTAACTACCTATCCAAATCGCATCCGCATGTCCTTGCTATAAACATGAACCGAACAAGCTACCAGCCCAGTAAACCCTCCGTTCCTTATTTCCACTGCCCAGCATTCTCAACACCCTTCGCAACACTCCTCGCTCCATCCTCAAGCCCGTTACCCCCAGAACTCAATGCATCACCGAGAGGCTTTCCCGCACTGCCCGTCGCGCTGTTGATAGTTTCGCCGATACCGCGGGTCCCAGCGCCTGTCACACCGCCCACAGTGCGTGTGACGCCACCCACAGTGTTTCCGAGTGTGGATGTGACCCATTTGGCAGCGCCTGTTGCGCCTTGGTCGTCGGAGCCGTTGCCGATGGGCATTGTGTTGAGTTTGTATATGTTTGGAGTGGTGTAGAAGCGGGTGGTCTTCGTGATTTGGGATCGCTTTGTGAGATCTATTCAAATAATAGGCAGGTAATCGATGAAGGATGAAGAAATCATCTAGTGAGGGGCTGGCTGTGTAATATAAAAGTCCGCGGTGCCAGCGGGTATGATGTCATTGTTTACGCGGATGATGGGTGTGGCTGCACGGGGTAATAATCGTCGTCTCTTACCGGCGAGTAGAGTGTAAGCCACGAGGGTGGCGTTGTTGCTTAATCTATCTGACTTTGACAAGGGTGTTACCCCTTTACTGGGTGTATACGTGGACAGCGCGTACATCGAAGCTACAACCTGGAACTGTGGAATAGAGAAGAAAATTTTGTTTTTGAAATAAAATGAGATAGTTATACTGAGTACCAGGGTAATGTAGAATGGGAAAAATTTCAAATAGACAAGAAAATCCTGCTCCCTCGCTAGCAGAGATCAGGTGTATGTTTCAAAATGCCAAGCGCATATATGTTCTGTCGTCATGTGCTCAACTCGACAAACTGGAAAATCACAAAAAAGAGCATTACCGCGCAGAGCCGTTCAAACCATTCTGCACGGCCTCCAGGATCATATCTTTAGCCTCCTCCAGGCCAGTGGCACTACCCCGGATCTCAATGGCCTCGCCGCGGGCCTGGTCCTTGGGCACGTTGATACGGCAGCCGGTCTTCTTACGAATGGCGTTGATCTGGCTGCCACCCTGGCCGACGACAAAGCGGTAGGTCTTCGGGTCGGGAAGGATCAGGTAGCCGGTGGCGGACTGCTGACTGGCCGATGAGATGGCTTTCTCGATCACAGCGCGGGCCTTGGCGACGTTCTCGGGGGAACCGGTGAGAACCCAGGGGAAGGGAGTGGCATCGGCATCCGCGGGAGCGGAGTTGTCCACCACGTTCCAGGAGTGAGCATCCATATCGGGCTCGTCGGTGATCAGGGGCATGGCGCCGTTAGCAGCACCACGGGTCGAGTCAGCCGCACGGGCGGGCACAGCGCGGCCAGAGTGGTCAACGGTGACCTGGTGGTCGTTGCGGAGACGGCGGAAGATCATGCCATTGTCAGCGACGACGTGGTGCAGGTGGCTAGGAACGTCGACGGTCTCGGCGTGTTGCTCCTTCAGCATGCCCTGAATGTGCTCCTTAGCCTCGGCGACGGCATTGCTAGGGCCCTTCAGCTTGACATCAGTACGGCCAGAACCCTGCTTAGGGATGTCCAGGGTGACGCTGAATTTGGACTCAATGCCGCGGCGGGTATCGCCTCCACGGCCAATCAGCATGCGGTGCTGGGCGGTAGGGACTTCAAGAACCTCGGTCACTTGGTCCTCACGCTCCTTGACGAACTCCTCGATGGCGGCAATGATGCTGTCAACGATCTTGCCATTACCCTCGAGGCGGATGGTAGACTCGGTGCTATCAGGGCGGGGGAAGCGGACCATACGAGCAGCACTGCCGTCGTTAGGGCCGCCGGCGTCGGTAACGATCTTGCGGATGTTGGCACCTGGCGAATGTTAGCGAAAAAAGTAGCAAGGTAGGGGTATCAGAAAAACTCACCACCACCGCCAATCAGGGCCTTGTGGTACTTCTTGTCAACTTCGATAGACTTGGTAACAGTGGCATCAAACTCAGTAGCACGCTGCTCCAGAACCTTCTTGGCCTCGGCAACCTGCTGCTTGGTACCCTTGACGCGAATCTGGACACGACCAGATGCGTCCGGCGCATCGTTGGCACTGGGAACATCGATCTGGGCACCGGTGTCGGCACGGAGCTTGTCCATCTCACGGCCACGCTGTCCAATCAGCGAAGCAATTTGATTCTGGGCAACAGAGATGGTGGCGGAGTGAGAGTGGTCAATGACCCACTGCAACAAGCTGAGAATCTCATCACGAGCCTGGTCAGCACCCTTGCTGGGTCCCTTAACCAGAACCTCATCAGCAGCTTGCTGGGGACGGCCAGCACGAGCACCACCTGCATCACTGCCAGTCTCGATGACGGACTGGTCGTCGTTGGGGACAGCAGCGGCACGAGGGAACTGAACGCGAACGTTGTACCGATCCTGAAGACGGTTGACCTGGTTGCCGCGCTGTCCAATCAGTTCACGATGGTACTGCGGGGCAATCTTGAGGATGTGAGTGCTCTCGTCCTCGAGCTTCTTGCCCATGTTGATGATGCGCATGCGAGCAGCATCGGCCTTAGCTTTGGGCCCCTTGACCTCGACCTTGCCGTTCTCCACCTTGATGTCGACATCGAACTCCTCACGCAGCTTGTTGATGTTCTCACCACGCTTGCCAATCAGGATGTTGGCATACTTCTGGGGGAAATCAAAGGTGGTAGTATATCCACGCTCCAAATCATCCTGCTCTTGCTCCACAACGAAAGCAGCGAGCTTGGCAGCGAGCTCGTCAACGAGGCCAGAAGGTCCGCGAAGGGCAATCTCCGCCGAGCCACCGCGGGGCTCACCAACAATGGCACGCACGGGGATGCTGTCTTCACCCTTGGCATCCTGCTCACGGATGATGAACCGCCGGGCCTTCTCCTGGTACTTGGCGGGGATCGACACCGATTTGCCGACAATATCCTGCTGGTTTCCAAGCGCGTTCAGGAGATACTCCTGAGCCTCCTGCAAAGACTTCTCGAATGCAGCAACCTCCGCCGGGGAGGGGCGTTGTCTAGGCACCTCGAAGTTGGACGTAGTAGCAGACGGGCCTTCGTAGACAAGAACAACCTCGGGGCTCTCAGCATCATCGGGAACTAGGAGGTGAACACCATAGTCACTCTGGATGTGGCGGGCGCTCTGGCTGCGCAGGTGAGAGTGGAAGTAAGGGTCAACGGGGATATGGCGCAGACGGGAAGGAGGGTAAGCCTGCACCAGGTTCATGATATCGGAGCGGGCGCGGATAGTGTTCTTGCCGTCACGGGAGTAGACCTCCCAGTTGACAGGACCGTCGACGGTCTGGGGAAGAGCAATGTGGGCATCATAAGCTGACTCAAGCTGCCTGATGACTTCGCGACGGCGAAGATACTGGGTCAGGGCGCGCGCATGGGCGTGGGGGCCAGCAGGGGCAGCAGGGTGCTGGCGAGACAAATCAATGCTAGCCATTTGCATGCTGGTTGCAAGATCCATCGCGTGGTTGATACCGTTCTCGATCTGGGAGAGCGGGCCAGTGATAGTCAAGAACTCACTCTCGTCAGAAGCGGGAGGCAGAACAATGGCACATCCGGTCTGAGCAAGGAACAGGTGCAGAGCGTCAGCCTCATTTCCGAGGATGAACTGGTGCTGGCCACGGTTAATAGCCAACTGGCGCAGAGTCAGATTGCGCTGCAACTCGGCGGCCATGCGTTCAATCTCCGCGCGTGCCTCCTGGGCAGCAGCCCGCTCTCCAGAGATGAGAATGTGCTTGTCAGCAACGGGGAAAAACTGCACCTGGCCAGGGTGCGCTTCCTGAGGAGGCGGCTGAGAGGTCCAGGTATCGTAGCGTGGCACACTGACCTGCGCCTTTGTGCGCTCTTCAATCTGGCGCAAAGTCGCATCGTGTGCACCAGCAATGAAGGGGAAGAACTCCGGGGGAATTGTCTTCAAGCGCAAGCTCATGCTTGAGCCACGCTCCTTGACAATGGCCTCAATCTCACGTCGCGCCATCTCCGCGGCCACAGCATCGCCCTCAATCAGCACATCAATGGTGTCCTCGTCATCGTCATCGGCGGGGGCGTCATTGTCGGCGCGGGGAACCTGGACACGGGCACCGGTGCGGGTCTGAATATCCTGGACAACGGCACCTTGGCGGCCAATGATGTGAGGACGGGCAGAGGTGGGAATGGGAACCTTGACAGATTGCTACGGAGGACAGAATATTAGCCTGAGACAGTTGCATGAAAATTCCTCTCACATACCTTCGATCCAACCTGCTGCGCGACCTCCTTCAGAGCCTGGCGAACAGAATCCACAGAGCCCTTGCCTTCAAAGATAATGGATCCACCGGGGCCACCGCGCATATCAACATTGGCCTTGGATCTCCGGGAGATGTCGCGGAGGATATCCCGGAGGGGCTTCTTGAGCTGCCCACGCGGCTGCATCTGGGAAGGAGCCAGGCGAAGCTGTTCCAGGTGCTTTCCAGGGAGGGACATGACCCGGGGCATATTCATGGGCTTGGCAGTCTGGCCATTGGCAACAGCCGCGGCCGCAGAAGGCTTGTTGGCACCCCATGTGGCAGCGGCGGGGGTCGTAGGCTTCGGCCCGCTACCCAGTGCAGGGAACAGCTCATCGGACTGGACGTCGAAGGCGGGGGCCTTCTTTGCAGCGGGCTTCGGGGCAGGGGTTGCGGATTCGGCAGGTGTAGACGTTTCCGAGATGATGGGAGCGGCAGGAGCGGGTGTTGAGTTGGCAATGGCAGAGGGAGGGGGGTGCTTCAGGTCCTCTTCATCCACGACTTCCTCAACAGTGGGCTTGTGAGCCTCGTGCTGAGCCTCCAGCATGGCAGCCAGAGATTGGGAGCCACCATTGGTAGCGGAAGCTTGAGCAGCCATGATGAACGAGATGAATTGACCGAGAGAGAGAAACCGGAGTGATCGACGAGGAACGGTACGGAGGTAGACTGCGAATCAAACCGGTTTGAATTAGGATTGCGACGGAGGCGAGCCATTGGAATGGTGAAAAAGGCAGGAGACGAATGGTTCAGAAGTGAGAGGAAACGTACCGATTGAGCGCTACCTTTCCGAACTGAGATTCGGGAGTAATGTGATGCCCAAATGAAACTTGGCTTGAGGGCAATATCCCGGGGAACGGTGATAGAGCAGCCTAATGAGAACCCGGATTATATGCGAGCACCCAGAAGAAAGAGAAGAGACACTGAATGAACAGAGCTCTTAAAAAGAGGAAAGGTGAGGGGGAAGAGAAAGGGGGGTGGGGGAAAGGAGAGGTGGAAGGTGCAAGGTGAGGTCGAGAACCCCAGAAGTACACAAAGTGACAGAAAAGGCCAGCTCGAGGCTCCGGGGAAGTTTTCTCCGACGCCGACACTGAGCGCCCCATCTCTTTCTACACGCTAATTTGACTTTGGAATCATCTCTATTTCCATCATCGAACCGGTTGTTTTCTATCATGATTATTAATTGAATGGTAGATGTCACCACATCCCCACGGGCCAAACGGTGCCACGAGTCGACACCCATCTTCCTCTCCACCGACCTGTCATGTTTGGAGCCAATGGCTCGGGAAAGCAGTACGTTCTCGGGGTGAGCTCCGTGAGACGTCCAGATCGCTGCCAGGCGTTTCGACGCCGCACCACGTGCCCAGGGCCAAGACGTAGCCGTAGCCTCAGCCTCTACCGGGGTGAGACCCTCGTATGAGCAAGAGCTATCACTCGCACATGATTGAGTCCAGACCCCTACCGGCCCGGCATTGACCCGGGTTCTACTCTTCCATGCTTGGGAATTCCGTACCACAACCCTGTACGCGGTGTGTTCATGGTGTGTACATGGGGGCAAAGTTGGCCTCGAAAAAGTGGCAAAATCAACCAAAGCGACCATCATTCGCCGAGAGTAGGATACGATGTGCGGTTGAAAGGCATGGATCCAGTCAATCCAATTGCAAGCAAAACCCTAGGAAAAAAAAAACCAGGAGACTCGGGGACATCCGACTTGAGCCCCGCCCACCTGATAAGGAAAAGAATTTTTTTTTTCTCGGACCGCTAAAGCTTAACCCCATACTTCTTTTCTAGTGCTGACTTGTAAGAAGACAGCCTGGAACAGCCACCTAGTGTTTGATAGTCTATATTTTATACTTTAGAGAACGAACTGTAGTCCATGGTTCCTTCTCAGTATCAACAATGCCGTCCAAAGAAGAAAGAAGAAAATCAGAAAGGCCACCGTCAATAAGCGGCCAGGCCCACACGCGACCCGCGAAGAGATTCTCCGAACAATGCACTACTAAAGGCCAAGACCCCCAGCTCGTGGGCGAGTGCGGAGATTTTTCGTCTTACACCTGCTCTACACTCCCACAATGGCTTCCGACAGCGAGCACGACATAGAAAAGAAGCTCCAGCCCGCTGTGACAGCTGTCGACGCGGAGCATGACTTAGTCAAACCCGCGCGCGGCTTCTTCGCCAAAGTCCGCTACTATGAAGACCTTCTGGACCGCAAACTGGGGATTGAGTCCCACAGTCTGGATCGCGTGCATCCCGAGAATCGCAACTCGCCTAGTCTCCCGGTGATGGCGTTTATGTGGGCTTCGGCGACGATGAATATCAGTTGTTTTAGTACGGGGTTCTTGGGGAGGCAATTTGGCTTGTCGCTTGGAGAGACCATCCCTATCGTGATCTTCGCGACGTTGTTGGGTGCTATGGTGACGGTGCGCTTTCCTTATCCCTCGGGGGGGTTGAGGTGCACGAAATGGGGAAGGAAGACTGACGGTCGATTTTAGGGTTGGTGCGCTACAATGGGCCCTGGAACGGGTCTGCGCCAAGTCGCCATTTCGCGCTACTCACTGGGTTACTACCCCTCGTCCATCATTGCCTTACTTAATGTTATTGAGCAGTTGGGCTGGGCCTCCGTCAACTGCATCACCGGTGGATTGGCGCTCAACGCCGTGTCCGATGGCCATGTCTCCATCGCCGTGGGAGTCGTCATCATCGCCTGCGTCAGCCTACTATTCAGCTTCGTCGGACTGCGTGGTGTACTTCTATACGAGAAATACGCGTGGATCATGTTCTTCATCATTTTCATAATCATCTATGGTGAAGCCGCTCACCGCGCCAACCTCTCCGAAGCCTCGACGGTGACGGGCATGACCAAATCCGGCAACGCGCTTAGTCTCATCGGTGTGATCTACGGATCTAGCGCCTCATGGAGCTCTATTGTATCCGATTTCTACGTCCATTACCCCGTCGACACGTCCAAGGTCAAGATCTTCACGTACACGACCCTCGGTATCACAATCCCCACTTGCATCGGCATGCTGCTCGGTGCCTGCATCAGTTCAGCATTGGACACGAATCCCGAGTGGGCGGCCGCGTACGACACGGGCATTGGCGAGATTTTGAAGACGATCATCTACCCCACCGGGTTTGCTAAATTTCTGCTTGTGCTGCTCGTCTTATCCGGAAGTAAGTGATATCTGCCATACATCATACGTGGCTCTGACGCTAACGTTGCCCTTGCAGTTGGTGTGAACTGCATTGCAATTTATTCCGGTGCACTGTCGGCTCAGCTCTTTGCGCCCCCATTCGCCAAGGTCCCCCGCGTGCTTTGGTCATTCCTTGTCTTCGGCGGTATTCTGGCTCTTGGAATTGCGGGTCGTAATTCCTTGCTCGATGTCTTGGAGAATTTCCTCTCTCTGCTTGGGTACTGGAATACTTCGTTCTTTGCGATCCTCTTCATAGAGCATTACTACTTCAGGAAGGGAAGTCTCGCGAACTATGATCTCGACGCCTGGAATACCCCTTCCAAGATGCCTGTTGGTTATGCTGGACTAACAGCCTTCCTGTGCGGTGCCGCAGGCTGGATCGTGGGTATGGTGGAAACGTACTATGTTGGCGCACTTGCAGCAAAGATCGGAAAAGATGGCGGCGACATTGCTAATGAGCTGGCCCTCGTGTTCACGAGCATCTCTTACCTGCCACTCCGAATCCTTGAGCTGCGCTATGTGGGACGATAAAAGCCACAAAAGCAAGCTCGAGTACTCAAAATCATGTATAATTAGTTATGAAAAGCAGCTGAAGGCAAAGACAGGTCAAAACGAAGGAACGAGCTCTATTCACGAGGTCTAATTGACATGTCATATATTAATTAAAATGTGCATAAGCCGTACAGGCCATATTAATGTTAGTATAATATGTCACGCGTCCAGCCAGGCAAAACAAAGCCATGGAGCATTATAGGCATGGGTATCGAACAAACAAGTGCACTATTCAAGTGCTCTAAACAAAGTATGGATCCCAACCATCGACAAAAAAAAAAAAAAAATTGAGAGCCTCGCAGCCAAAGCTGATATGTATAATGAGGCAATGCAATATTTGCAGAGAAAGCTTAAGTGGCCTTGACGTAGGGCCAGCCGTTCTCCCAGCCAAGCTCATTCCAGGAGTACATGTAGCCCGCATTACCCTTACCACCGGCTTCCTTGGTGGCAAGCGGGTAATAGTGATAGTACATCACGAGCCCAAGGTCATTGTCATTGACGACACCCCTGTTTGGTGGTTAGATGTTGCTTTTTCAAGACATTGAATTGCAAGAGTGACTTACTGTCCACCAGGTCCGTAGACCTGTCCGTGGCTAGCCAGGAGAAGAGATCCGCCAGTGTTGGTGCAGGCAGTGCCGTCCTTGTCCACAAAGCCTCCAGTTCCAGTAGTAGAGCGGCAGACCATGATGTGATATTCCTCGCCCTGGGCGGGATAGGTAGCGGTATATCGGCCCGCGATACCATCAGAGTAGAGGAGGTAGTAGAAGTCGCCGTTCTTGAACATGAAAGAGCCCTCTTCGCGGTGGTTGAGGGTTGCGTTGTAGGACAGTTGGTAGGCAGCGGAAGAGCCGACCTTGAGAGGAGTCTCCATCTCAATCTGGTGGATATCTTGCCAAAAGGAGCCAAAGTTAAGGTAGTTCTTGCCGTCGATTTCAATCCAGTTAGGGTCGATGCGGTTGTACTCGCTGTTGGCCGGAATGCCGACGGAGCCGTGGTCGGTCCAGGAGCCAGGTTCCATGGTCTTCGAGGTGGCTACGCCAATTTCTGAGTTTTGAGTGCCAATCTGAGAGAGAACATAGTACATGTAGTACTGGTTGTTTTGGTAGTGCACGTCAGGGGCCTATAGGTGGTTATTAATAATGTTGTTATATACATGGTGATGTAAACATACCCAAATGTCGGAGCTGCTCACGCCGGAGACCGTGATGCTAGAACCATTGGGCAAAGCAGAGCCGACGTCCGTCCAGGGACCCTTCACAGAAGGACTCGTCATAGTGTTGACACCCGTTCCCGTTGCGAAACGGAAATATTTTCCATCAGACTTACGCTGGATCATTGAAGGGTCGTGTGTCCAGCAGTCACCCGTGCAAGCACCCCGATTGGGGTAGGCACAAGCCAACGCAATGAAGAAGAAAAATAGGGCGAACATTATGGCAGTCGAAGGTAAGGCCGGGTTGTCGAAGGTTTAGTCGCGATGATAGCCCTCGAAATTCGGAGGAATGCGCTCATTTTATGTTGACTCGGGCAGTCCCCCTAGAGCCCTGGGAGGGTCATGCAGATGTCGTCTCGTCGAGTCCATGTTGCGCCTTGATGGAAGGTCTTGGGACTCCACCACGCCAATCACAGTGTGGTCTTGATATGTATTTGGTCCTATGAATGTAAGGCACATGTCAGTAGTTGGGCCTCCCGACGTGGCTCGGACGCCACAAAGGGGATAGCCGGAAGGTAAGTGGGCCTCTAGGGAGATTCTTTCAGGGCGCTGATCATCAACAAAGTAGGGAATTTGAATAAAGACGCAAGACCCGCTCTCTCTTGATCCCGGCAACCAGCCGTAAGTGTCCCGACTATCCCTTTTGTGATGTCTCGCATCCGCAACTGCAGTAATCTTCACTAGATTCGGGCTACCTTTGGACAACAAATCCGCAAACTCCACACAGATTCGTGTTCAGATCGTTTATGCAGAGTATAGTGTGGACGACAGGGGCTAGGAGTGCATGATTCGCAATATGGCAATGCCGGAGTTGCGGTTGCATGAGACCCACATCCTCCCTTCCTATCGTGGCAGGCAAGGGCGATCGATCTCGCTTGCACTATTGAATTCCTTGTTTGTTTCGGGTCGCCTGCTTAGGTTTGTGGTCATTTCATCTGCTGCCATGCCAATCGAGGCAACAGAGTTTCTACATCTCAAGTCATATGCGTTGCGGACGTTTAGTCTTGGGGCCCCATAAGGCCCGCACAGGTACCGCACAGGTTCCGCACAGGGCGCCCCAAGTCCGGGGAGGTTGACGATCGGCCCCCATGTGGGACTCGATCGGCTCCAATAGGCTTCATCCTGGAGGCTCATGAGATCGCCAGGTGATTCCCCGGTCCGCTAGCTTGACCGGTACGTATATCATCTCTGGGTGCGGATCGGATTCGCAATGGTGTGGAGTGCTTCGCGGCAAAGCGGGAGATCAAGGCTTCGATCACCCTTTCATGGAGGATGACTATGATCAAGGGCGCTAGCAAGGCTGAGAGTGGGGGCTGTGAGACCGGACATCAAGGACAGAGGACAGTTCCAAAGAGTAAGCAAATCCGAGAGTACAGGATGCAGACCCTGCCCAACCCTGGGCAGTTGCAGGGAAGCAAAGGTCGAGAGCTGAGACCAACAGCAAACCCCGGCTCTCACCGCGATTTTGAGCCTTCTCTTAGATACGAGGCTCACGGTAATAGCCCGAGCCGACCTTGGCTCTCGTCATTTAGCATCTCGTTGCACCTTAGTGGATCGGCTCCACGACCCATGACTTGGGCTCCATCATGAGCGATGTCGCAAAATGTCGCCATCGCCCTCATGCCATCAACCCCTCATCTCGATAACAACCGAAAAATAAGATTCTCCACGGCATTTGTTCACAGTGGCTTGCGCCCCCGGGATATCTCCTCCTCCTCGCTAGTAATTTCCCAGGTTCCAAGGTTCGTTCCCTTTCAAGTGCCTTGGCTGTCTGATACTGCCAATGGGACCGGGCCACTTTGAAACGAGGCAGATCCAAGACCAAGCCCTATTTACGTGGACTGCGCTCATTGATCATCTTCAATACATGCGTTTGCTCTTAGCGGAGCCGTAGGTAGACGTAGGTTGTGAACCTTCAAGCAGACCTCCCGCGTTATTGACACATCTCCTCAGCTCTGTGAGACAACGTCTCGAGCAACTGATGCCCCGCTATTTGTGTGTGTTCCATGTTGTGATACATACCACGCGTTTAAGCTTGTTTTAAAATTGATTTTCGTCGAATATAGCGCGGGAGAGGCGCCATACTGAAGCTTGGCTTGGCTGGAACCAATGGAAATGGTCACTTTGCTGTCTTCTTTTGTGATCCGGTCAAAAACTCGATTGGAGAAAGGTGCTTGTCCAAAGGTACGCTGGGTATTAGCAATCAAAGTTACGATGATCAGGTAAAGTACTGAGATGGTCGCGAGGATAATGAAGGGTTCAATATATATCCTGCGCCGGCGCTCACTCAAGGTGTCATCCAATGCACAGGTGTTGAAGATGCACTCTCATGGTCAGCAGTTGAACCTTGGACTGCCTAGACTTTTTCAAAAGACCAATTTCTACAAATGTGGGGAAAGCCGGACGTCTAGGCATTCAAACAACATTGAAGGTTTGTGATGCACAAGTGACGCGGGCCCTGAATCCGTAGCCCCCTGCCCCTGCGGGAATCAGGGCAGCCAGCCATCGTGCAAACTCGGCTTAAAATCTTGTAAAGATAGTCCAGCTGCCAGAGAGACATTTTGGATAATTTCTTGGCAGAATATCTAGAATGTGGTTTAGGGAGACATCCAAGATAGTAAATTTGGGAATCTTGGAACCTTGGATGCCGTCTTCCCACTCAACACCCGGACTAAATTCACTCCGGATACCAAGCCTGATACTCCATGATATACCGGTGGATAAATCATTTCACTATTTACGCTTTACAAACTGTCTTGCCAGAATTTTCCCCTGTGAGTTTGGGGAGAAGATTACCACGCATCCCGTCTAACCATCCAAAAGAACCTGGCCCCCTGAGTTAAGATTTTGCATCGCTATATAGACCGCGCTATACCCGGTCATGGGCGGTGGCAAGTACAAAACACAAATTTTGCTTAGCAGAATGGTTAACCATCAGGCTTCTATAGGACCTCATCACTAGCTTTTTAATCTCTACTCAAAAACGCTTTCTATGACTGGCCCTTCCATGAAATTGATCTAAAGGGGCCTCAATTCCTAAGCTTTAGCTATTTCTTGGCGTCTTTCTAGGCACCTCTCTAGAGCTCTAGAAAGAGCTCTTTTTGTTACTTGTTTCAATCCTACCAACTAGCTTAGAATACCCCTGGTAGGATCAGTGACGCCCGCCTATTTATAACTATTTATATCTTATCTGGAAAGCCGTGAACTGTAGTCTAGTTAGGTTCATAAAGTGGGGAGTGATCTCTCGGTGGGCGAAGAGCCACATTCCAGCCAATGACCGTTTCTTTGTATTTGCCCCTAACCACTACCATATCCGGTGTATGTATTGCCCGCTAATCTACTTGATTTTGCACTAGTGCCTTATCGTTGCCTTTATTGAAAGGAACTCCACAAAACCAATGTTGGATCAGCAAGGTCGGGTGAGCTGACCCCAGGACTGAGATACAACTGGAAGTTCTGCCAGTGAGAGTGGCCAAGGATTCGGTTGGCACAATCATGATGGTGCAAGAGCTTTTTAAGAAATTCAATGGAGGTTTCTTGTCTAAGGATTAACTTTCAAGGTTGATATCGATCCCGCACAAGGCTCCTTTATCTGGCCACGCAATGCTTCTCCGCCGGACAGGGGTTTCCTGATTGGGAGAGTTGATACCGAACCGCTCCTTTGATTGGCTTCTCCGCATGTTTGTCAAGGGATAAAGCACAATCAAGGCTTGGAATCCCTAATCGCGCGAAAAAAAAAAAAAGCTTCAAAGATTGTTATCACTTGCCAGTATAGATAGATATGATTGACGCCGCCAACGACAGAAGCTCTACTGTCAATTTTGGAAATATCTCCCGATAAGTAAAGACGCTTGATTGGCACCGGATAGAGGGGTAGGCAGTCGTCTAGGCATAGAGAAAATGTTTCACAGATATGCTGGGAAAGTACAAAAATGAAAACATATCCTCTAAAAGTATCTCTACCCATCGGACTATTCCAGCACCGCGTTGCCTATCATGTCCGTCTCCCGTGCGAGATCGTTGTCCGAAGAGGACACAATCGGCTTTACGGAAAAGAAACTCCCAACTTATGATACCGAATTGCACGAAGTGGACACCGCTGTTGGCCAGCTGGAGGAACTGAACACCGTTCGACAGGGTCTCCACCAGCGACACATCCAGATGATTGCTCTCGCCGGTACCATTGGAACCGGTCTTTTCCTCAGCTCTGGTAAAGCCATCGTCAATGCTGGTCCTTTAGGGGCTTTCCTTGCGTACGCAATAATTGGGTTGATGGTTTCAAGCGTTGTCTTGGGAGTCGGAGAGATGGGTGCTCTGGTGCCGCTTAATGGTGGTGTGGTCCGTTATGCGGAGCTATTCTGTGACCCTGCTTTAGCTTTCGCGAACGGGTGGAACCAGATCTACTCTTATATTATCTCAATTCCTGCCGAGATTGTCGCCGCTGCTGTGGTTCTGGAATTTTGGATCACCGTCAACAATGCTATTTGGATCACTATCTTCGGTCTTCTGATGACTGTCACCGCGCTTCTCTTTGTGCGAATCTACGGCGAACTTGAATTTGGATTCTCTATGCTGAAGATCATGCTGATCATTGGAGTCAATATTATGGCTTTAGTTGTCACCTGCGGTGGAGGACCTAACCACACTTCTATTGGATTCCAATTTTGGAGGAGCCCTTACGGCCCCTTCCAACAATACCTCGATATATCCGGTCCTTTAGGCCAATTCCTTGGATTCTGGACTGCATTCAATAACGCTCTCTACGCATACTCTGGTATTGAGGGCATCACCGTCGCCGCCGCCGAGACCAAGAACCCTCGGCGTGCTATTCCTATGGCCGCGAAACGTATTTTCATCCGAATTCTACTCTTCTACGTCCTCACAATATTTATGGTCACTCTTGTTGTATCTTCAGCAGATCCAGATCTTCTAGGATCTTCCGGTACAGCATCCGCCTCTCCGTTTGTTATCGCCGCTCGCAATGCTGGTATCAAGGTAGTGCCGTCTATTATTAACGCGGTTGTCCTTACCTCAGCCTGGTCATCAGGAAACTCTAGCATGCTCGGTGGTTCCCGAGTGCTCTATGGTATGGCAGTTCATGGCCGCGCACCTGCTATCTTCAAGCGCCTGAACCGCTTCACAATCCCTTACGTTGCTGTTATTCTCTACACTGTATTCATCGCTTTGGGTTACATGACCCTCTCAAACTCGGCAAGCACTGTTTTCACATGGCTGCAGGATATCGTGTCCATTGCAGCACTAGTGAACTGGATTTGCATCCTTATAGTTTACCTCAGGTTCCAATATGGCTGCAAGAAGCAGGGTATCAATCGCCATGAAGAACTCCCATGGGCAGCCCCTTTCCAACCGTGGGGAAGCTGGATCTCGTTGATCATGTTCGTCATTTTGTTCTTCACTGGTGGCTATTCCACCTTTATCCACGGAGATTGGAGCACTGAGACATTCATTTCTTCGTACTTCAACTTGCCTTTCATCCTGATTGTCTACTTTGCCTACAAGTGGTGGATGAAGACCAAGATTATTGCGCTGGAGGATATCCCCATTCGACCGTTCATTGAACAGTACCGGCTTAACCCAGAGCCGGAACCTACACCCAGGACCGGTCTCCGAAGACTTAACATCCTATGGTCATAGAGTCGAAGAGCTATTTGGTTATCGCTGTATTGAATCCATGTTTCCCCTCACTCTGTTCCACCGTAATTTTCAGTGTACAACGATAGAAGATACAAGTCAATTTCAAAATTTCACGGTAGATCGTCAGACACATGAATCAATCAAAGCCTCAGGAACCTAGTCGAGCCTATCAAGTTGCGTAAACCATGTGGATGATGGAGGTCCAGGTTTCTTCCTCCCGAAACCAACGATCTGTATCTAGGCGTCAAATCTTTCGAGGGAAATGTGGAAGAGGGGAACTGTCTTATCTCTCCCCTTTTCGTGGTTTCATCCAGGAAACTAGTGCCTCCCAGCCCCCTAGTAGTCATAGAGGTGTATCTAGATAGGAAGATTCCAACCTTCGCGCGTGGCACTTTTTTGCCTACGATTATCAGCCGCGACTGGCCAATAAAGTTGGACCGGGCCGGGCCTACCTAAACGGGTGGAGTGAGGACCGGAACGCAGATTATATTGCATGGTGCGGGGAACAAAAGGGAAGGAGAGGGAGAGATAGCCGATATTGTAGAGGGTCATGAATATCTGTTCTGCTGATATGTTTCAACTCGCAACGGTTCAAGTAATTTGAGTCGCGGTTACCGAAGGCTGAGCGCTGAAAAATCCACTTGCTGGACTTAAAAGCCACTCGATAGCTATTTGGGAAGCCTCGTCCCACTGAAGACTTGACCCGCGAGACCCGGGGCAAACGGCATATTGATATCTTCGCGGCCTCCGGGTATCGAATGTTGATGCTGTCGCCGATTCTGGATTGTATTGAGCCTAGTTTCAACTCGGATTCCGGCAATAAACTTGAGCCGCCATCGTATATTACCCAACATATTAACTTTTAAGGGTGTTCAACAAGATATTTGCACATTTCTAGAAAGAAAGACCTCGGGTTCAAGACATGGTTCTCATGTATGTACATTCACCTGGGTTATGCTATATGTATCATTAGAAAAATGCCCACTCATATTCACATGCTCATAGTCACATTCGTAACACCCCATATTCCACCGGTCGGTCAGGTCTAGAAAAGGTTGCCGTGAACCTTCTTGTTCAATTGCGCCCTCCAGAGCTTGTTCTCGTTCAAAATGAACATTGTGCCGTTCTTGCCGAACGAGAAATTCGACGTACCATCCTCAATCAGGATCTTGCCGAGCAAGACACCGCCAGCCGACCAGACATTGACACCGTCACCGCAACCAGCATAGACGTTACCATCCATATCGACCTTGACGCCATCAGGGATTCCATCACCTGGCATGGCAAAGACACGACGGTTGGTCAGGAAAGGCTCCCCATTGACCTTGATCACGTCAAGCGCGTAGCTAGGAGAGTTAGCAAGTGATTCTCAAAAATGCAATCTTTGACAAGGACCAACATACATAGTAGCAGCCAACATCTTATCCGTCGAACCATCACCATTAGTCTCCGCAGTATCGGTGATATATACAGTTTTCTCATCAGGCGAGAAAGTAATGCCATTCGGCCTCCCAAAGCCATCCGCAATAACGCGCACATTCCTAGTAGCTGGATCATACCGATACACCTGGTTCGGCAGCTTGGGCTGAGGCCTAAGACCCTGGCGCCAGCCATAAATGGGGTCAGTGAACCAATAAGACCCATCACTGTTCACTACGACATCATTCAGCGAATTGAACTGGCGGCCGTAGAAACCACCAACAACAAGCTCGGCCTTGTACGGTGGCTGTACGGACATCTGGAACAGTCCACCAGTCGAGTTCATGGTACCCTGGCCAGTCCAGAGGATACCGGCACCGTGGTTGACACCGCCGTTGGGCATGGGAACGGTCGTGTTGATGATCTCCGCGGTTACGGGATTCTCGCTCACACTGGCTTTGGTGATTTTGATTGTCTTCTCGCCGGTGACTGGGTCCGTGAAGCTGTTGCTTGACATGAAGAGAGTCTCCGAGGACGGGATGTACACGCTTGCCTCGTGGGCGAAGGGGTAGGATTGGTTCTCATGGATCACCTCAAGCTTTGGAGCTGAGCCGAGGACCTTGTAGAAGGCATTGTCATAGACGCTGAACCCGGAGGGAACAGTGGAGGCGCTGGCCATGCTGGCCGTGGCCAAGTGTGTCATTGAAGCAGCCATTGAGTGGTATGAATTATTCTTCGCTGATTTTCTTAGGGGGCGGGCACTTTAAAGGTCGAGCTTGGCCTAATTTGTTCGGCGAAAGTGATGTCGAAGATCCACTTCTGCGAAGCCAATTGGGTGGGGACTGTCTTATGGTTGTGCAACGCTTGCCTGAAAACTGATCGGATTGGCAGCGGACCAAGATCCACTCGCCAAATTGCCCGAGATTTTGCCACGGGGTGGTTAGGGGCGGAAGTGAAGCTCTTGTGGATCAATTCCAACGATTGTTGAGATGCTGTTCTATTATTCCAAACAAGCAACGAAGCACAGTTTGGGGTTGAAGTTGAAAATCTCCGTCTTGAACTAGATGTGGGGTTCCTCTAGAGATGTGATCACCTTGGCAGCACAAATTAGAATCGAACATCCACGCAGATCCGCAAATACGTGAAAAAACCCTCATTAGCTCGATTCAAGATCATCGGTCAACGGATGAGCGCGAGCGGTGTGGGGCTCAATCGACTTTATAGGCAAGGAAGTCCGAATTGTAGCGCACATGGACACATTCTCTGCATGCGAGAGATATCTGGAAAGACGTAGGGAGATATTTATGCATGCGTCTCAGTTTATATTTGGTAAGATTATAAGCCCAGGCAGCCACCGGTAGAGAATTCTATGGCCTCTGCATTGATGTCGAGGGCATTCGCTTGCATGTCCTCGGCAGAACAACGCCAAGATCCATGAACACCCCAGGGCTTGTTAGAAACCAGATTGACTGGTACAGCTGCATCGCCACGCTGCGAAGACTTAAACTGCATGTTCTCTGTGATCAAACCCCATGGACTATCAAGACCCCACGGTTTGCACCAGAACGTCACCGCAAACACGGGGTCCTCGGACTCGTCAAGCTTCTCGGGCTGCACCGGCTGAGTAGCCACGGTGAAATTGTGGATCCGTACACGCTCAGGGGGCAGCACATCATCCTCTGGAGATTGACCCTTAGGTAGACGAAGATGAGCCTCCTCAATCTCCATGATTCTGGTGAAGATCGCGTGATAATGCTGCGCTTCGAACTGCCATTCGCGCCTGGGGCTCCTCGTGAGCAGATCAAGACCCTTGCGACGGATATGTGGCCAGCGACACTTCCACGCCACTATGTGCAGATGAAAAATCATACCCGAATCTAAAGCCAATGTCCGCGAGATTTCGTCGGGGAATCGATCAATTAAGATAGACTCGGTGAGCTCGATCAGTTCTTCGAACATAGCGCGGTTGGAGTCCCAGTCGCATTCACCGGCCACTTGGGAGGACTTGACACTGTAGTCAGTGCTGTGTGATATGATTCGGATCATATCGGCGGCCCGCCGCTGGGTTTTGTTCCACGTATCCTTTTGTCGGCGGACCAGGTCATCAAAACTCGATCTCCATCGGCGGAGACTCAACTGGACATGCTCAAATACTGTGGTTGTTTCCGAGTCAGAGTAGTGGTCATTCTTAATGGCGCTTTCTGATCTCTTCAAGTGATATACGGTAGAGGTGATCAGGTCCATGAGACCCACCCTGGCTTCGTACAGTGTATGGAAGCGATCTGCGAGAATCACGCGCCCGCAGTCATCGACGGGGTTCATTATAAGGTTGGCTCGCTCTTTGAGCCCGGTTGGAACCACGTTGATGTTGAACACACTAAGCAGCGGCGCAATCTCCATTTCCATAAATCGCGCCTCAAAGGAGGCGTAGTGGATGCCCCAGGGCGTTACAGAGGCTCCCTGTGTTTCCCGAAAATCCTGAAGGAGACTAATGCCGCTTCTAATATGTGCCGCGGCTGTTTCTGTGTTTCCCTGGAAGTATTCGAAGCAAGTGAATAGGATGTTTATCATGGCAATGAGTGGCAGTGAATTGGGTTCTGAGATGACTTTATCGATGATAGCGCGAATCGATCGATTGTAGAGCTGAATAGGGACGTTTAATGGATCGAATCGCTTCCGGCGAACCTGTTCATTCGACTTCCCTTGTTCCTTAGGATTGTGTGGTCGGCCAAGGACTGCCTGTTCGTGAACAATGCCTATCGCCGCCATTGCCTGGCGGATGGCAGGCTCCACCAGGCTCACCTTCAACACGCTGCCCTGGAAGAATCCCCCCGCGAATAGCCCCGCCAACTGCGGCGCAGTCTTGTGGAAGAAGAACTCGAGGGCGCGAGTCTCGATCCGTGATCCCAGACCGGGTGCCGGGGCCAACGCTCTGGGCACCAGTGAGGGTTTGGATAGGGGATAGCCATCGCATTTTCGCCCAGTACTCGTACATCTCGAAAAGTGTCAGTCCAAAAAGGTAGGAAGGTACGGGCGGAGGGAAGATATACCGAGCGCAGGCTGGTTTTGCTTCGTCACACTTGACCCGTCGGGTCCTATATAAGTGGTCGCCCCTGTTTAGAACTTATAATGTATAGCGGGGGCCTGAACTAACTTGCAGGTAAAGCAGCCGGTGCGGACCTTGGGCTTACTGGCGCGTTTCTGAGTTGCGCCGGGGGTAGGGTACCCGAGCACCATGTCGGCCAACTTGAGCTACGAGGCCATTCAGGGGGGAAATAACCAAAGCCGAACGAAAGCCGGTCGCAATTGGGGCTAGAACTCACGTGCAGGGATTTAGCAAGGCAGAAAACTAGCCTAGGCAGCGCCTAGGCTGGGCAAAGCATTCGATTCCATAAAATCCCAGGGTAGTTAACTAAGTAACCTGGAAATCATCGTATAATCGAAACAAGATCGCCAGTGGTTCGGGTAAATGAACATCACCAAATGACAGATAACCGGTCGTTCCAATCTATTCTTATCCCGCGTAGTCATCCCGAAAAGTGGCACCCCATTTGAATTGGGAAAATCTAGATCGGGGGGAAAGAGATTAACGAGCTAGCTATCACAATCGCCATCACCATCATTTCCCAGATCAAGGCTGGCTTCCCCTGTCCCCCTTATACTCATCAACTATCAACGGGCCCCCGCGTCATCGTCAAGCCCAGCCACCAACTCCTTTTCCGCTCCGCTCTCCACGTGTTAATTGCTTTGGAATTCTCATCTCCCCTTCTCTCCCCCCTTCTGTTCATTCCAGAAGTCTCTCCGGAATTTTCCATCGGGTACCTAGGTATAGAGGCATCGTCATCCTCATCGCTGGGCCCGCAGAGCGCATCACGGGCGGCAAACCCTGGTCCCAGCCGCGAAAAATACGCAGGCAGAAAATTCTCCATTCCCTGACCCCTCCCCTCGGCCCAATTTCAATCTTGTCTCGTGTAGAGACAAGTCCCTGCCTGCCATGAGTTCAGAGGGTTTCTCGTTAAAATTCCGTCGCCCCTCCAGCAAGCTGCACAAAGATCCCCCTAGCTTCAGTTCGCGCATTCTTCGGGGTCATCAAAGCACCAGCTCCCTGAAACGTCATCCATCTGCCCCGGTCTATCCGCGGTCTTCCCCCAGTGGCAGTCGCGAGCACGTCCGATCGCGATCAAACGCAGCTCCTAACCCGAATTACGGCTCCTCGTCAACCTCACCCGATCACAGTGGCGCTCCCTCGCCCGGCTACGAGGAGGCGACACAGTTCCCCAGTCACAGCTCTTCGCGTTCTCGAACCCGCTCCCACCGCTTCTCCTATGATCAGCATAGTTCGGATGAATTAAACGGCCCCTACGAAACGCGGGGTATGCTCAGTGCGCTCGATGAGAATAGCGCCGACGCCCAGCCTCAAACGCATACCCAGCAACCCTCGGTGCGCTCTCATCACACCAGTCCTGACCCGCGTGGCCGCACGCCTCTCCGACAGTCCGCCAGTTTCACCACTTTAACGAGCCGCATGGATCCATTCGCTCATCGCGAGACCGAACGGCCTTCCAACTCCAAGAGATATTCCGACGAAGGCAATAATGGCCCGCCCACTCGGATGGGGAGAAGCAAAAAGGCCAGCTTCTCCAGCTTCGTCAACAGCATGCTGGGCTCTCCTCGCAATATGAAAATTTCAGCCCCCGAAAACCCGGTACACGTTACTCACGTTGGATATGACAACCAGACCGGTCAGTTCACAGGTCTTCCCAAAGAGTGGCAGCGTCTGCTGCAAGAGAATGGCATTTCGAAGAAGGAACAGGAAGAGCACCCACAGACCATGATGGATATTATGCGTTTCTATGAGAAGAACACTCGAGGCGACGATGATGAAGTGTGGCACAAGTTCGACAACGCGTACTCCGCAAACAACAACGGTCGCGCGCCCTCGCCGCCTGGCAGTCCTCGATTTCCCCAGAATCATGAAGGTAGCTTTGAAAACCCACGATCGCCACCTCCAGTGCCTCGTGGGCCGCCTGTCGCGTCACCCGCGCCCGCGCCAGCCATGTCCCCTCCGTTGGGCAGTTTGGTGCCGCACCGCGCTCCTCCCAAGCCGCCCACTAGCATGACGCCCGCCCGCCCGCCGCCTCAACCTCCAGTATCCCAGCAATATACTGGGTCTCCGCAGCGAGCTGTGCAAGATCCGTACTCATTCCCCGCGCCGCCCATTCCCGAGTCGAATCCAATTCCCCAGTCGCCCAAGCGCAGCCCGTCTAGCTCTCGCAGCGGCACCCCTGCGCCAAAGGGACCGATCGCCTCCCCTACTCAATACCAGCAGCAGCAGGAGCAGGTCATGGCAGCTGCCCAGCAAGCGATTGCGCAGAAGCAGTTGGATCGGAGTACCAGTCAACGTCAGCAGGTACAGCAACCACCCCAACTTCCTCCGATCGCCACAAATATGGGCGCTTCATCGACCGATCCTTCCCCGACCACGCGGGCCCCGCCAGCAGCTCGACCTCGTCAACGCCAACGCCAGAGCAATGCAATGGATGTGCGTCAGCGATTGCTGTCCATCTGTCACCCCGGTGATCCTACCCAGATTTACTACAACCTCAACAAGATCGGTCAGGGTGCTTCCGGTGGTGTGTACACAGCCTATGAGAAGGGATCGAACGGATGTGTGGCTATTAAGCAGATGAACCTTGATCTTCAGCCTAAGAAGGACCTGATCATTAACGAAATCCTTGTGATGAAAGATAGCAAGCACAAGAACATCGTGAACTTCCTCGAGAGTTTCCTTCACGGCTTGGACCTGTGGGTCGTCATGGAGTACATGGAAGGTGGCAGTCTCACAGATGTGGTCACTTTCAACATTATGAGTGAAGGACAGATCGCCGCAGTTTGTCGAGAGGTATGTTTCAAATTCCCCTTTGTGTTTTCATTTTCACGTGAGTGGCTTCTGACATTTCTCGTACTAGACCTTAAATGGCCTGCAGCACCTGCACTCAAAGGGTGTCATTCACCGTGATATTAAATCCGATAACATCCTTTTGTCATTGGACGGCAACATCAAGCTGAGTACGTTGTGGTTCTTCTGTCACAATATTGAATGTTGAAACTAATCCATTGCAGCCGACTTTGGCTTCTGTGCGCAAATCAACGACTCGCACAACAAGCGGAATACCATGGTTGGCACACCCTATTGGATGGCACCTGAGGTAGTCACCCGCAAGGAGTATGGTCGCAAGGTTGACATTTGGAGTCTGGGTATCATGGCCATTGAGATGATCGAGGGTGAACCGCCATACCTGACAGAATCGCCGCTCCGAGCACTTTATTTGATCGCCACGAACGGCACCCCGACCATCAAAGATGAACATAACCTGTCGCACATCTTCCGCGACTTCCTCCACCTGGCCCTCAAGGTCGATCCCGAGAAGCGAGCGTCAGCTCACGACCTGTTGAAGGTTTGTCTCTAATATTCCTATACTTTGAACTCAGCCACTAATCTGCCTTGCAGCACCCGTTCATGGGCTTGTGCTCTCCCCTCAACCATCTCGCCCCTCTGGTCAAGGCTGCTCGCCTCAGTCGGGCTCAGGAGAAGGCGCAAAAAGGCGGCGCCTAGATGAACCGCTCTTTCTTTTTTTTTTTCTATCTTTCGGCATTTCCTTTCTTTGCTTTACGTCCTCTCTTCCCATCTTGCTCAGATACCCCATCACTACCGATGTTTCTTCTAGATCCCGGCATGCCGAAATTCGCATCATGTCGCAGGAATCGTATTTACTGCACCCGATTTGTTACCCAATATTTCCTTGATGAAACCATCCCTTTGTGATGAAAATGATCTGACCTCAGGACCTGTTATCCCTGATATGTTTGTTTTTTCTTGCGTGCCTTCGGGCTGTCTATGTAGCCTATGTGTAGTCCTATGTCAGTCGTCGCTCGTGCTGTTTGAATATTCTACTTTGGGCGATATGAGCTAGCTTTCTTGCCATTCTTACTTATATACCTCCAACCGCGCATGATTAAGAATGCGCGCTTACATTCGGCGTTTGGGATTGTAAATTACTCTAACAGGAGCATTCTTTGCATTCTCCCGCATTGCTGAATGCAGTTTTTTTTTTTGAATATGTACCCTTATATCAGTTGAGGCTGTACATAGTGGAGATAAGTACAAGCCACAGAGGAAGGTCAAATCAGGGCAGGCTATAAAACAGGAGCCTACGAGTATTCGAGCAAAAACCTAAACTACCCTGTAGTTACCTGGACCTGGATTGATAATGATAAGAAATAAAGACAGAATTTGCCGTTTCAGGCAGACACGATATCGAATTGTGTAGCTAAGAATATCTGAGCCAAGCTTCTCCCACCGTCGTCATCGCTGCTGACTCAGGGCCACTTCCGCCCCGACACAACACCGCGAAGTTGACACAACCTCTGTGCCGACTCAAACAAGAAAGTTGCAAGACGTCTGAGAGATCGCTGTATCTTTCCCTCCTCTACTGTCTCCCACCACCTTCTCCTCTCGGTGTACCCGGACCTCCTAGCTCAGCCCGCCGACGAACCTCAATTCACTCCCCGCATTTAGTGCTCGACCAGCACCGCTGCGAACCACGCCGTCGTGACTCGTGAAATTTGCGCCCGATACAAAACCCTAGTGATTAGCTTTGCGGCACGTTTTTCCCTAGCTGCGCTTTCTTGGTAGTTACCTGAACGAGCTCCCTGCGTGAAGGCCGACAAGTGGTGCCCGACAAACCCGCTTTCTTGAATTACCGTGATTGCGAGACCTTCAAGGAGTAGTTTTACTGGAGATGTTTCGTGCGCAGCAAAATGCGTTTGACGACGCTGTCGGTGAGTTCAAACGGCGCTCCTGGGCGACTGTGCCTACTGCGTGGTCTGCCAGCTGCGCAGGCGGAGCCACGGCTGAGTGCTTGATCTCGACATTCTTTGGATTTGATTACTGACGTGGGAACTTCACGTTCTAGCCAAGGCGACTGACGAGAACCTGACATCCGAGAATTGGGAATATATTCTGGTGTGTATCCTGAATGAATGACGATCGACAGCCCGGAAGCTGATTTGTTTGGTTCTGTGATATAGGATGTCTGTGACAAGGTTTCAGTCGAAGAATCTGGGTATGTAGCCTTACTTGTTTATCAGGCTAATGAGGTTGTGTACTGACTGGACTGGGATTCATAGCGCAAAAGAAGCGGTTGCTGCCATGATTAAGAGATTGGCTCATAGGAATGCCAACGTCCAGCTTTATACCTTGGAGGTTCGCAATTCTTCCCCATCTCGAATCGCATCTACCATGTGGGATTTCTCGCTAACTGGCCCAGCTTGGCAATGCTCTGTCGCAAAATTGCGGTCCGAAAATTCATCGCGAGCTGGCCTCGAGAAGCTTTACTGATGCGCTTCTTCGTCTGGCGGCTGATCGGGTATGTTGCGCTATCACAGTCTTCCGTGAGAGTAGGTTCGGTCGCTGATAATACCAAATCGCTAGAACACGCATCAACAAGTGAAGTCTAAAATCTTGGAGCGCATGCAAGAATGGACCGAAATGTTCTCATCTAACCCCGACTTTGGCATCATGGAGCAGGCATACATGAAGCTGAAGACTACAAGTAAGTACACAGCTGTATCTGGAAATCAACTTTGAGCTTTTGCTGATCAATATCGCCTACTAGATCCCAACTTGCAACCTCCCTCGAAACCTGTGAAGCAACAGATCACCGATTTCGACCGGAAGAAGGAAGAAGAAGAACTGCAGATGGCACTGGCCTTATCGGTCAAGGAAAGAAAGCCAGTTCCTACTCAAGCGGGCTCATCGGCGGCTGCTGTGCCTGCACATGCTCCTGCATCTACATCCACCCCCACTCCAGGGAGCCAAACAGAGCCTGCTGAAGCTCAGCCTGTTCTATCCGGCACGTCTGTCGCTACTGTGTCGCGAGTCAGGGCCCTCTTCGACTTCCAGCCTTCCGAGCCTGGCGAGCTCCAGTTCCGAAAGGGCGATACCATTGCCGTTTTGGAGTCTGTATATAAAGACTGGTGGAAGGGTTCCTTGAGGGGCCAGACTGGTATCTTCCCTCTCAACTATGTCGAGAAGCTCCCTGATCCGACTGTGGAGGAGTTGCAGCGTGAGGCTCAGATGGAGGGAGATGTCTTCAGTCAGATCAAGAACGTTGAGAAGCTCCTGACTCTGTTGAGTACCCGGAGCTCGGATCTCAACGTTCAAGAAAATGAGGAAATCACTACTCTCTATCACTCTACCCTCGCCATTCGACCAAAGCTTATTGAGTTGATCGGCAAGTACTCTCAAAAGAAAGGTTAGTTTTTGTTTCCCCACTGCGAAATTCGTATACTGATTATTGCCCAGATGAGTTCACCCAGCTCAATGAAAAGTTCATCAAGGCCCGCCGTGATTATGAGTCCTTGCTCGAGACGTCGATGGCTCACCCAGCGCAACCTCAATACGGTCGACCTGGACAGCCTCAGTACGGATATCCGGGTGCTGCTGCGCCTGCTGGATATCCTCCAGGCCCTCCTCCGGATCAGCGATACTTTAGCCCTCGACCTCAAGGTTTGTGGAAACTCGAAATCGTTTCATTGCAGCAATTCGCTAATTTTCTATACAGAGCAACCTGCCCAGTCGCAGACCCCCTACTATGGCGCAGAGCAGACAATCCCTTACCGGCCTGCGTCTCATTCACCTGATCCTCGCACCCAACATGCAGGTGGCGCGCCACTGCAGCAACAGCCACCTCAGGCTGAACCCTATCAATCCATGCACCACCGCCCCCAGTCTACATACGACCATCCCCAAGAACTAGGAACATCCGTCTACGACTCGCCCGTGGACCAGCGTCCCTCATACCCTCCCACCGGCCAAGTGCCACCTACAGCACACCAGCAATTCCAGCAGCAGCAACAACAACAAACACAGCAGGACTACTCGCCCTCTGCTTACTCCGGCGAGGAAACACCCCAGATGCCCTCTGCTCCTGGTATGCCGCAGCAGTACCAAAATCAGCAGCAACAAGCCCCCTACCCCAATTCTCCCACCACTCAGCACCAAGCACCTCCCTCGCACCAACCCCCCTCGATTCCCGGAACCGCACCGTCTGCTCAATACAACGCTTTCAACCCTGCGCCATCGGCACCACCTGGTAGCGCGGAATATCAGGCATATCAGCCTACGCAGGGTAGCGTGCCTCCCTCGAATCCAGCTTCGTTCTACAGATAATACTAGAATTTTGTGCTTGGGTGACCAAGCTTGCGGCTGCTCTTTCGTCGCGTGGGAAGGTTTTTGATTCCCTGTTTCTCTGTCACTTGCTGGGCCGCTCTGTGTGTATTAAGCCGATCACTGACTGTCGGTCCATGTAGTTTGTCGGTACATATTCCCATTTATTTCGCAATATCCTCATCTCAGTATCTTCTCTAGCCTGGTAGAAGTATACATAAGTGTAGTCTTAGCAGTTGGTTTCTCCGATGTAAAAAGAACATTGGAGGCTCAATCAATTCTTTCACCAGTAGCCCTGGTAATATTGTGTTTCATCCCGTTTCTATATTCTACGTCAGCTTTGGTCGCAGTATATGTATATTGCTTTCAAGCATTAACGACTCAAGTGCTTGGAGCTTTCTGCAACATTTAAAAGGCTGCTTGGTGATCATTTTCTCTCACATTTCATGATTTTAGTTTTAATGTCTCGGTTCGTCCATGTAGTGATTGAATTATATGCACTTGCGCCTATATATGTAACACGTCACCTGCATGCTTAGGTGTGTGTGGCTTGACGCAGCCACTAGCGGTTTTTTCTATTGCCGTGCTTCTAGAACCACAGAGACTAGTGCTAACAATCGGATGATATTTATGGGAATTCTTCCTATTGATGAGCACCTTCGCTTCTTTAACAATATCTAGTGAGCACTGGTGTTGTTCAATTGAAGAATCTGGATAATATGTCATTCTTTACTCTGAGATATGTATAAAATTATAGTTCTTACGAACTGAATCAGTAAATTGACTGACTTCCAAATTTTCTCAGATTATTGTTCCTGATATTTTTCGTCTTACCTAGGCTCCTCTGAACTATTTTCTCATGCCGTTATAACCTTCAGGGCTAAATTCCATGCACGGATCTTTACTCTCCTTGCGTCCATGCTAAGCGTTATCGGCGTACAGCACGTGACCGTATCGACACCTCAGTCCCGCGACGGTCTTCAGGCGGTCGACAACAAGCAACTTCGGGATCAGGGCGAGCCTCTCTTTCGTGCTCGCATTGAGGCTGACCGAAAGCAGTGGCTACAGCCTGACCTACTTATCACTTCTATATCTATACCCTTATCCGACCCTGCGATATATCTCAAGTCCCCTTGACAGCTTCCCCGCAATCGCGTCCTCTCCTCGCAGATGATGCCCGGTTTCGGTGAATCTCCCAAGAGGTGAAGGTAGCAGTTCCTGAACTACCATATAATACGACATACCGATTGCAGATCAGAGCATAGTCTGGGCGTCGCCCGGAAAAGGGCCGCCATGGAGGCCGACTGGGATGAATTGTCGCGTATAGCAGTGCCACCGCCGAGTGCGCTCGCGATGCCTACACCTGCGACGACAATTGCATTTGATGATGTTATGGAACTTTTGTGGACAGGAAATGAATATGTGAGCACCAGACTGTATTGTCAACTCCTGGACGAAACTAATGCGCGTCTTTTCCGATTAGGGTCGAATCTCTTCATTCTACGGACCTGACCTCCAACGATATACCTCTGTGCGAGCCCATCCAGCTTCCGAGGGAGTAGTGCGGCAGATCCTTTTTCATGATCGTGGCGTAATATCATTGTCTTCCAAGAGTGTACACATGATTACACGGCGTGGCCTGACACAATGGCATATCGCAGACGAGGATATGGTCGATCTTCGCTGCATGAGCTTCACGGCGCAGCTCAATCGGATTCTTGTTGCAGGTTGCCAGCGCGTGATGTTCACGGTGGATATAGACAAGGGCACAATTGTTGACAAGTTGCCTACTGAACACAATTATACACTGATGAAGAAGAGCCGGTATCTTTGTGCAGCGACAGACAATGGATCGGTTAACGCGCTCAGTCTCAATGACTTCAGTGTCGTCAAGTCGTGGAAGGCCCACGGCACCGCTGTGAATGATATGGATGCACGCAATGATTTGCTCGTCACTTGCGGATTCTCCGTCCGCCACCTCGGCTCTCCCATCGTTGATCCGCTGGCAAATGTATATGACCTGAAGACATTATCGCCATTGCCTCCTATTCCTTTCCATGCCGGAGCGGCATATGTTCGGATGCACCCTAAGCTTCATACGACAAGTTTTGTGGCCTCACAGACCGGACAGCTCCAAGTGGTGGATTTGATGAACCCTAATGCTATAAATTTGCGACAGGCAAACGTTTCTTTGATGCTAGGCCTTGATCTTTCAGCTTCAGGAGAGGCACTGGCTATCAATGACGCGGAATGCTCCATTCATCTATGGGGTTCGCCAAGCAAGATTCACTTCAATGAGATGAGCAAGGAGATTGAATTTGCGGACGTACCTACACGACCACCACCAATTGACTGGTCATCTGAGACTCCGATGAACATGGTTGGGATGCCTTATTACCATGAGCGTCTCTTCTCGGCATGGCCTAGTCATCTCATGTTTGAGGTTGGAAGTCCCCCTCCTCAATTGGACCAGGCATTGCTCCCATACCTGCGTCCGGCTGAGGTGGGCCATCATGCCCCAAACCCCAGAAAGATGCGGCGAAATCAGGTCGAAAATACCCGCGCACTGGCCACAGCAGAGCCGGCTCTTATGGCGCCCAAGTTCCTGAGCGAAAAGGCCCGAGAACAGAGCAATTCCAGCCTAGTGCTCTCTGTCACAAATGCCGCTGAAGCTTTGGCGGGAGCCAAGATCAATGGCGAAAGTGATGACGACCCCCTTCTCAAATATAGCAACGTTGAGATCAAGTATAGTCGCTTCGGTGTCGACGATTTCGACTTCCGGTATGTGGCCCATCCTTTAGTGACTATTAAACTTTGCTCATCCTCGCAGATTCTACAACAAGACCAATTTCTCGGGGCTCGAAACCCATATTGCCAATTCCTTCACAAACTCTCTCCTCCAGCTCTTCAAGTTCATACCGCTGTTCCGAAACATGGCGCTCACCCATGCAGCTGGCTCTTGTATTTTTGAACATTGCCTTTTGTGCGAATTGGCATACTTGTTCGACATGCTGGAGAAAGCAAATGGCCAAAACTGCCAGGCGACGAATCTGTTGAAGACCTTTAGCAGTTTCCGCGAGGCTTCCAATCTTGGCCTCTTGGAAGAGAACCTCCCTAACAAATCCCTCTCAACTGCGATTCAAGCTGTCAACCGTTTCTTCCTTACGCAAATCGCACAAGACTTCCGTATGATTCAACCTAGCTCCGAAGAGCTAGACCAACGCCTTGCGACCATCGCATCAGAGTCCATACGGTGCATGTTCTGCCAGAATGAGACAGTCCGCCCAGGGAACTCACTCGCCAACGAGCTTCTATACCCCAACCTGGACATGAAACATGCTAGGCGCAACCCAGCATTCCGATTTTCAAATATACTGCGCGCAAGTATCGAGCGGGAGACTCAGAACCGGGGATGGTGCAATTACTGCCGACGTTACCAACAGGTGATGATTCGGAAGACTATTCACCGAATGCCCCTCGTTCTTGTGCTGAACGCGGCGTTGACCAACCCCATCTGCCGTCGATTGTGGGCCGTTCCTGGATGGCTCCCTGACACAGTCGGTATTATTATCGAGAATGGCCAGATCATGTGCTTCGAAGGAGATGATCTCCGCCTTCGAATGCAGAATAATACTCCTAACCTTGTGGTATACGATCTTGTGGGTCTGGTGGCAGAGATTGATGTCCCAGAACATCAGAAGGCTCATCTTGTGTCCTTTGTCAACGTTTCTATTTCAGAGCGTGAGCCACAAGAACGGAGCAAATGGCATCTGTTCAATGACTTCTTGGTCACCGAGGTGGACCGAGATGAAGCTCTTCGCTTTACGCAGCCTTGGAAGCAGCCTTGTGTACTGGCGTTCCAAGTCAGAGATGCTCGCCACTCTGTCGATGACTCGTGGAAGAATGCTCTTGACACTACTCTGCTATTCCGTGAGTGGTCTTTGAATGGCTGTCATTCAGTTGAGTCATGCCGCATCTTGACCGAAGAGGAGAAGCCACAGCCGGGAACACCCCTGGCACTTGATACCGAGTTTGTGGACCTTGAAAAGGCCGAAATCGATGTCAAGGCGGACGGATCCCAGGAGATTGTGCGACCTAACAGAAGTGGACTTGCTCGAGTTTCCGTGCTGCGTGGCTCGGGTATTTCGGAGGGAGTGCCATTCATTGACGACTATATTACCATTCGGGAACCCATTGTCGACTACGTTACGCAATACTCTGGTATTAAGCCAGGTGATCTGGATCCACGGACAAGCGAGCATAACCTTGTGCCTCTGAAAGCAGCCTACAAGAAACTATGGTTGCTTTTGAATCTTGGTTGTGTCTTTGTGGGCCATGGCCTGGCGTCCGACTTCCGCAAGATCAACATCCAAGTTCCCAAATCTCAGACTGTTGACACACAATACCTTTTCTTCCATCCCAGCAAAAACCGCCGTCTCAGTCTCCGATACCTCGCCTGGGCTGTGTTCAAGGAGTACATCCAAGAAGAGCCGATTCCCGACACGGTCCAAGGACACGATTCTATCGAGGATGCCCGGATGGCACTGCGTCTCTGGAAAAAGTTCCAAGAATACGAAGACGCAGGCATCGTGGCCCAGATGCTCGAAGAGATTTTCCGTGAAGGCTCCAAACTGGGTTTCCGACCCCCTCCCAAGAATGTGACTGCGGTCGTGTTATCCCGACCAGGAACCGCTGTCACCATGCAGGACAGCGGTCGCAACACCCCCAGTACTCCCGACGCTACCGCTTCGGCCGCAGCAGCCGCAGCAGCAGCGGCAACCATGGCCGCTACCAGTGGAGCTCCTACCAGCGCACCCTCTACTCCTCGCCAGGCTTTCCGACGATCGATTGCCTTGACACCCAGCAACGGCACTTTCTCCGGACCAGGAGCGGGAGACTTCTTCGGAGGAAGTCCCTTGCGATAGACCTATATTTTCTGTTTTGGAAAGAGGTGCCTCTTTTCTACTCTTCTTTGGGGATGACCCCGATGGTATATGGCATGA